GATAGAAGTAATATATCATAAGTTCATTTAATTGTTTTTTTCTATATTATGGACAGTGAGAAGCAAAATAATGCACTTACATGTCCTTTATCAGTTATCAGTTATCATTAAACATTCCGAAATATCTTAAGATCAGTACTAGTGTAACTAACTACTCCAGCGAGCATTGCTACCCGGAGTTCGGGAGGTCTTCGACGTTTATCTGTACCGCCGGAGGAAGTAAAATCGTGGTTGCAACACGACTTTATCGGTATTTTCTACCCACAGAATATTGTTATATTGAGTATCTAAACTTTAGCCTCTCTCATTGTAACGAAAAACAAAAAAAAAAAAACTACTCCAGTCACATGTTCTTGTTCTCCTCGAAGTCCAATAAATCAAATAGTAATAATAAATAAAAATAATAATTATAATAATAAAGAAAGTTATGAGCAAATTTTGGGCGAACATAACTGTACGATTACAGATAATAAATTAATTTCAATTTTCTATCGTGACCTATAAGAGTATTACCCCCAAAGTGAATTTTTCTAACCGCTATAATCTTTTCAAATATAAAAAATTTTCCCTTTTAGGATGTTGTATATATATATATGCAACAAGAGAGAATTATTTTGGGATGTTGTATATATGCAGCAAGAGAGAATTATTAAACTCGTTAATTTAGTGATAAATAGGTAAACGCACATTTGTGGTGTTATTAGTTCATTATTTGCTCACTCTGGGTCGAAATTCATCAGTGTCTACAGAATGAATTTGCTGATGAGGGACAAAATGAAAATGCGAATATATATGTGGAAAAAAATTTTATTAAAAAAAAGGCCAAACAATATACTACTACAATTATTCTATATATGTAACTAGGTGTTAGACCCGTCCGATGGACGGGGAAAGCATACACATTTAGATATTTTTATATAAATTTTATATGTTTATAAAATATGTAATGATTTCATTTTAAACATGATTACCTCTGGGTTTAGAGGAATTTGTTTTTTTTAAATGACATTTTAAATTCACTGGTGACAAGGTTTATGCAGATCTCTCTAAAATTTGTTAGGATTTGGTACTCTCTCCAATCAATCTCTGTGTTAGGATTTGGTTCATGAAAATAAAGGTTCGGTTTTTATTATTTTATTTTTTAAAAATTATTTTAGTTGTTTTTTTTGTTTTATTATTTTGTTTTGTGCATTTTTAAATCTAAGAAATTAAGAAAATGCCACATAGGATGTGCTCCATGCCTTTAATTTTCTCTCTGATTTTTGCCTTAGTATATTATATAAAAGATAGATAGATTTGTAGAAACCAGTGAAGTGTGGAGCACCAATTACGGATCTAGGTTTTGAGCATTTCTGTTTTCTTTGGTGGGGGTGAGAACTGAGAAGTGAGAAGAAGGATAATTGGATTTGGCAAAGGCGTTTAATTGCGCGGCAAATTATTAGCCGGCGTTAAAATCGATGGTAGGAAGCACAACCACGTGGACGGTGTCGTGATCTGATTTCAAATTAAATCCCTTCACTTTTTATTCTTTAGAAATTGCAGTTTGCCGTACTCTTCTGTGGCGGCATCCGCCGGTCAGACTCAGATGCTGAAATTACTTTTGAATCCCCTAACCCCACATCCTGACATCCGTAAACCTTTGCTAACATCGTACTACTACACTTCCCCGGTCAACCTATTTATTTTGTGCCTATCAATTCTATCTAATTGTCACAAGCAAAAAGTCATCAAAAATTTTCAAAGCATACACACTATTCGGATAATTTGATGATAAAAACTCACGAGAGATGCTCATGAGATCGATGATAAACCAGAAAACAATTCACAATTGTATTGAAAAATATTATATTATTTTATCCGACTCTCGAAACTAATTAATAATAAGAAAAGTAGCATGTAAGATATGTTCAGTGTCAGTTTACAATTTCTAATGTGATTCGTCTCCCAATTTAAAGAAATTATTTAATTCGGTAACTAAATGTTAATAATATTCCTATTTACTTTTATCATTATAAATCATAAATGCAAGCTCCGTCTCATATGATATTTACACTTCAATAGACATATTTTTATACCTATTGAAAGCAGCTGTCAATGTGGCAGCTCCACAAAAAAAAAATGTTCTCGTTTTAACTCCACAAAAATCAAGTGGTAGTTGCTTTCAAGAGTTAGAAGGGATGTCATAATTTTAGGCATCTATTTAAAATTACCATAGTAGATTAATTTAATTTTATGGATCAATTAATTTTAAGCATTTATTTTTAGAAATAAATATTAGAATAAAAATTCACAAGGATTGGCATTATTTTATCTTTTGATTTTTTTCCAGTAAAATTTTCATAAGAAAATACTTTTTTCTTTCTATTTTACATATTTTTTTTAACGTGTTAAACAGTGCCCCGGCTGATAACCTAATTTCTATATTATTACACTAATTAAAATATGAGTTTTGAACTATAGGACGATGAAGGATCTGTAAATTATTACTGCTCCCATTTATTTTTATCAGAAGCGATATGAATTTTTTTTATTCATTTGTAAAATAGATTTTATATTTGTAATAAAGCATTAAATAGTTTTTTTCCCATAATTTACTCTCTCAATTAACTAACTCAAAATACACTCCAACCAATATCATTAATGTAATAAGGCTAATCTAATGAATTCATAACATAGTAAAATTAATTATTTTTATTGGTATGTATAAAGTAGTATTTCTTATAAATAAAAACGGAAGTAGTATTTCTTGTTCATTTGATCACAAAATGATTGTCTAGTCTGATTTTTTATTTTTATTAAATGTAAAATTCAAACACGACAGTCATTTTGAGATGTACAGAAAATTATGACTTATAGGCTTTAAAGTACTATTTGAATGGATAAGTATTTACCAAGAATCATGTGCTTTGATCACTACCGTAGCGTGGTTGCGCTGATGACTTAAAAGAGGAAAAGAGACACCAAAACATATACGAAAGCATACAACACTACGGGAGATTGGTTGTAGTTGAAGCTATTCATTTCTTAAATAGCCTTTTCCAGAAATATTCTTACTAATTAATTATTATTATTTTTTTTATACCAAAAAAAGAAGTCATCACTTGTGCCACAAGCACACACATGGAAGCTAGATTGAAAAGCAAACAATGGTGATCATCATTCAACCTCCATATCTGCGCACACTCGAACTAATCTATAACTAAATTAGATTAGCTGATGATGATGCTCTGTTTTTTGTGTATCCTTTACTACGTTATATTTATGTATACAATAATTTTTAGCGGTTATAACTTATCTTCAATCATGCTCTCCACATAGTATTTTCTACTCTACCAAAGACAATTATGAATCATTTCGAACAATTTCAAAAGAAAAAAAAAAGGAATCATCTCGAACCAATTTTTAAACCAATAATTAATTACTCCATTTAATAAAAAAACAAACTCACATTTGGCCATATGAATAAAAACTAGATTGATATATTATGATGCCCAATTGCACATTGTACAATTTTCGGTTTCGATATTCACTATTTATCACAAAAATGATGTATCGATCGCATTGTATTATAATTATCGAGATTCAAATTCTAAACACTGATATATATTTTCATCCTTTCTAATTATAGAAACCTTTACATAAAATATATTGAAGTCAATAGATATGGCGTAATCTTTGAAACATTTTATCATGTTAATCTATTCGTAGCTGCATTTTTTACCTCTTTTTTATTCTACTTTCATATTTCATACCCAAGAAATCAAAACCTTATATAAATTTTTTAAGTAGCTTTAGTCATAGATTGGAAAAATTAGTTTATGTTAACCTTCCAAAAAAAAAGAAATTAGTTTCTCATTTTTTGAGAGATTATTATTGGGAAACAAACCTTGCATTCACAAATATTTTTTTGACAGAAGAAAATCTGTATTTATTTGCGTTTCACTCGCAATTTCAGGCATGAATGGCTGAGGCTAAAGAAAAAAAGAACAGATAAGTTCAATGAAACAAAAGTAAAACTTCTATAATTAGACAAAAGGAGGAGGGCAAAATGGAGAATACATTGTTACATTTAAGACAGATCTGCAAGCCGACAAACCAGGAGGTCGGCAACTGTCGGCCAGTGAACTTGGGAGACAAATTCGGCCTTTATAATTCCCATAAATTAATTTCACATTTTTTTAAAAGTTCCATTTCTTTTATTTATTTTTTTATATAAAAACAGATAGCTAAAAATAGCTCTCCAGAGTCCAGAGTCTGAGTCCACCAGTCCCAGACTTGATGCACTCTCCAACATGATTTAAAATAGACCCTTAATATGTGTACAGTTTTACTGCCGCTTCCTCCCAGACCGTAACTACTAATGAGTTGATTGCAAATTTGCAATTAACCCCTCAAGTTTTACTCTTTTTTCAAAATTCACGAAGATTAACCAACCAGAGTAATGTCAGCAAAAATCACGCTCCATGCCACCATTTTTCTTTTATTTTTTTTTTTCAATTTTTTTTCATAATAAATTCCCACATTGATATGTTAGCTAGAGATTAACCTTTTTTTTCATCCTTTCGCTAAATAAGAACAACTTAAAGAATTATACTTTATATAAAAAGATTAAAGAGTAAAATAAACAAGAAAAAGAAAACAATGAAAGTGATGAGACATGTGAGAATATATCTCATAATAATTTTGTAATTTTTTTCAGAATTTAATTACTTTTGACTAATCAAATATCGATAGATGGAAGGGATAATGAATGTGGTAGAATCATAATTTTGCCTATTGTACAAAATTGACCCTACTCTAACTCGGATAATTAGAATTTAGGGCATCGGATTTGAACACTCGTGGAAGGTAAAAGGAAAAGTAAAAAAAAAAAAAAAAAGACTAAACTAATGTAGAAAACAGTAATACTTCGGGGGTTATTCGCAATTAACTCAAAAGAAAAAAAGAAACATGAAAATTCTAAAAACCCCCTCAAGTAACTTCCTTTCCTTTTTTCATCCATTATATCATTCTCGCTCCTCACCATCATTCATCAATTCATCTTCAACATTCTTCCCAACTTTCCTTCCCTCTCTTTTCTTCTTATTCTCAGCTCCAAATCCCATTGAACCTTTTATCACTATTCGCAAAGTGTTTGTGATTTGGTGTCAATTTTTGAAGAGAAGTTAAAAGACTGAGCTTTGGTTTTAAAAAATCTAAAGGGTCTTAGCAAATCACAGTTTTTTTCATGATTTAATAGCCCCCTGCAAATGGTCTTTAATTCCTCTCATTTCGATCAAGCCTCCTCCTCCAATCATTTGTAGCTCAATTTTTCCATGGTATGTGTTTGGTTGCGGATCAAGGCTCTACGCTTTTTGTTTCATTTTGAAGGAAAATCGATTCTTATTTTTGCCTTCTGGGTTGTTTTCCATTGTGCATTTCTTGAGTTTTTACCCCCATTATTACGCGCTCAATCAATCATTTCTTTCGTATTTCTTGTCATTATATGTGTTTTGGTTATGTTCTGCTCTAGGCCTTTTGTTCAGTTCCCTTTTGCACATATCCATTGTATTTTGGTTTCTTGGGTTGGGTTTCATTGCACATTGCTTGATAGTTGAATTCTGATGTTTAGCTTGGAGATGTAAAATTGTAAATGCCTGTCAGATAATTAAATGAACCCGCAAGTCTGCTATTACCTCGTTTTGGGTTTGTCCTGAAGCCATTGTTTGCAGTAAGGAATGAGCTTTTTGGATTGCAGATATCAGAGTTATTCTTTGGTGTGTCTGTATGGGGTTTTATTTTTTATTTTTATTTTGGGTGGGGGCTTGGATTGGTAGGTAAAGATGACTTGTACTGGGTTTCTTGCGTGGATTTTTTTTCTGTTTTTTTTTTTTGGGTTAATCGTTATGTAGTTTTTTTTTTTTTTTTTGTCTGGAAGAGATTTATTCTGTTATCATCCTAGTTATTGCTTCAAATCTGATGATTTTTTCGTTTCAGTTAATTTTTCAGGTGCTATAAAGGTAGTTTGTTAACGAATGATGGACACAGCTGAAGTTGAAGAAATTTTGCTTGCAATTGGTGAGCCGAAGGTATTGGTTTACAAGACACCCCTATGGTAGTTTCAATTTTTTTTTTTTTTAATTTAATAATTGTTTGTCTGTTATTGATTTGCCATCCTTTGCTATGGAATTAAATAAGGGGAATTGCCCCAAATTTTCTTTTCTCGGCCTAGAATGATATTCCTGCTCCAGTGAAGTGATTTGTTCAATATTGAGGTTAATTTGAGATTGCAAGTAATTTGATGCGAATTTCTGATTTCCTGTGTAGTTGCATGGGGGAATGTGTAAGAGCTTATCGGCAATTTATGGCAGAGTTTTGAGTATATTCCCTGACTTAGAAGCGGCGAGGCCAAGAAGCACCTCGGGCATTCAGGCTTTATGTTCTTTACATATAGCCCTTGAGAAGACCAAGAATATTCTTCAACATTGTGCGGAATGTAGTAAACTTTACTTGGTATGGATACACCATACATTCTTCTTTTTTCTATGCCTATTTGGATGAAAAGATGTAGTTTGTTGATTAGTGGGGCAGTGTTATCTTCCTGTAATATCTAATCACCATGCAACTCCTAGGCTTCTATTGAAAGGGTTCATGTTAATCTTCGTAGTTGGCAGTGTTGCGCTTTCTCTTGGATTTTCGCTCTGTCTCTCGTGTGCTTAATACATGATTTGTATCATCAGGCTATCACGGGTGATTCTGTTGTTTTAAAGTTTGAGAAAGCTAGAAGTGCTCTTGAAGATGGTTTGAGGCGGGTTGAAGACATTGTCCCACAAGCTATTGGTTGTCAGGTAAGCCTGCCATCTATTCAATGCTCATGTTCATGTAGTTTAATTCTTGTTCTTTCCATTTAGAATCACTACATTATTATTGTTACCACCTCATGTACTTTGACTTTTCCTGATTTTCAGATTGCTGAAATTCTATGCGAACTCATTGAGATTGATTTTTCAATTGATCCACTGGAGAAACTAGTCGGTGACGAGATAATAGCATTGCTTCAGCAGGGTATAAAATTTAACAATTCCAATGACAGTACCGAACTCGAATCTTTTCACCAGGCTGCTACTAGACTTGGTATTACATCTTCAAGAGCTGCTCTTAGAGAAAGAAGGTCTTTGAAGAAACTTATCGAAAGAGCTAGGGCAGAGGAAGACAAGCGAAAGGAGTCAATTGTAGCTTATCTTATGCATCTCATGAAAAAGTATTCAAAGTTATTTAGAAATGAGTTCTCAGATGATAATGACTCTCAGGGATCAACACCTTGTTCTCCCACCATTCAGGGGTCATTTGAGGACGGGGTACCTGGACTTAATGTTCATGCTTTTGATCGGCAACTATCAAAACTAAGTTCTTTTAATTTCAAACCGAACTTCAGGAGATCTGAGCAGATGCCTGTTCCTCCGGAAGAATTAAGGTGCCCCATATCTTTACAGCTTATGTATGACCCTGTGATTATTGCTTCGGGGCAGACGTATGAAAGAATTTGTATAGAGAAATGGTTCAATGATGGGCATAACACGTGTCCAAAAACACAACAGCACCTTTCTCATCTTGCATTGACTCCCAATTATTGTGTTAAAGGTCTTGTTGCTAGTTGGTGTGAACATAATGGTGTTCCTGTTCCAGATGGTCCTCCAGAATCTCTTGACCTGAACTACTGGAGGTTGGTGTTATCAGAAAGTGACACAGCCAACACAAAAGTGACAGATAGTGTTGGACACTGTAAGTTCAAGGGCATGAAGGTGGTGCCTTTGGAGGAGGATAGTGGAATAATTGAAGAGGCAGAAGGAAATGAAGTAGTTGAAGATGTTACTGTACAAGAAGATGATGAATGTGAGGTTAATTTGTTTGAAAGATATGAGGACTTTTTGAACATTTTGAATGAAGAAGAAGATTTGAAAAAACAGTGTAAGGTGGTAGAACAGATAAGGCACTTACTGAAAGATGATGAAGAAGCCAGAATATATATGGGGGCAAATGGTTTTGTGGAAGCCTTGTTGCGGTTTTTGGACTCAGCCTTGCATGCGGGCAATGAGACAGCTCAGGAAGTAGGTGCGATGGCTCTTTTCAATCTTGCTGTCAACAATAACAGGTATTATACTGTTCTGAGTTTCGAATCCATTAGAATGTCTGTTGTCGAAAAATATGTGGTCATCGGATGATTGTATTGCAAGTGTTACATCACTCATTTTTTCAATCTGCTCTCTGGCCTTTAGTAGAGGTGACCATCGGAACCGATTTAAAATAATTCGTTTATTTTACAAGTCTTGTTTTCAGATGTAAATTCAATCCCGCTTGTGTTTTTTTTTTTTTGTTTTTTTGTTTTTGCTTTAAGTAGTTGGTGATTTCCAATGCTTTCTCTTACTGTTGATACCGGTTCTACTTTGCATTAAATCTCAAGTGCCCTTTATGTTTGATGGATCTTTACTCTCTGCTCTTCAGAAACAAGGAAATGATGTTGGAAGGAGAAGTGCTTGAATTGCTTGGGAGAATGAGTGCAAATCCCGAGGTTGCTGGATCAGCAACGGCTCTCTACCTCAATCTGTCTTGCCTTGAAGAAGCCAAACCCCTAATTGGATCCAGTGTAGCTATCTCTTTCTTGATTCAGGTCCTTCACCATGAAAATGATGTACAATGTAGGCTCGATGCACTTCATGCCCTTTACAATCTGTCGAGCCACCCAAGCAACATTCCCCATCTTCTATCAGTCGGTATCCTTGACAGCTTACTTGTCCTTCTTTCATGTTCTGGCATGGACCATTCCTGGACTGAGAAATGTGTCGCTGTTGTTATAAACCTGGCGTCAAGCAGAACAGCTAGGGAGGAAATCATATCTGGTGCACCGGGCCTAATTAGCCGGCTCGCTACTATTTTAGACATTGGTGAGCCGGTGGAGCAAGAACAAGCAGCTGCGTGCCTTCTACTTCTATGCAATGGGAACGAGAAATGCAGCCAAATGGTACTTCAAGAAGGAGTCATCCCCTCCTTGGTTTCAGTTTCAGTAAATGGCACAATGCGTGGAAAACAGAAAGCCCAGAAGCTGTTGATGTTATTTCGGGAACAGAGGCAGAGGGAGCCACCTCTCCAGACGCAATCACTACATTTGCAGCAGGCCCTAGAGCAGTCCGATAGCAGCGAAATGGCTACTACGCCCGTTGAAGAACTAAAGCCTCTGTCCAAGTCAGTTTCAAGGAGGAAAATTGGTAAAGTTTGGAGCTTTTGGTCCAAGAACAAGAGCTTTTCAGCATACTAAAGTTAAATTACTTCCTTGCGGTGTTCGTAGCCTGGCAAAAAGTCTTGTAAATTAGTGTCTTTAACCTCTTTGGTCCCACCACTAAGTTAAAATCAGGGAAGAGTTGTACAGAATCTTCCCTTATAAATTAACCACTGAATTTTTCGCTTCCTCTTTTCTAGGGTAAAACGCTAAAATTACCAGAGAATGGAACATGTTAGTCTATGTTTTGATACATAATTAGGAGTAAATATCCTTCTGTAGTTACATAGACGTGAAAATTGTAAATGACGTATGCCATAACTTGGCGTGCTTATGGCCAAGTTGGATAATTCTAGACTTTCTACTAGTGTATCTTATCCCACATTTGCAGAAAGGTTCTGACAAATTCCTGCTAGAGTGTTCTGAAGCTATTTTGTGTTTCTGTTGTAGTTTTAGACCCAATCAAATGGAGTATGATCTGAAGCTCTGAACCATGCATGGTGGATGGACATCTCATCGTTTAAACTATGTTAATCTTGTGATTATTTATTTCCCTTTTCCATATGCTCAATATAACTAACTGTCATCGCTGAGCTGCTATAATTTGCTGGGCGATGAAATTAGGAAGAATTTATACTATCGGGTTTTTAAGAGATTTATAAGTTCTTTCCCAAGACGTTGCCACAAGCCCGTCTAGCTCAGTCGGTAGAGCGCAAGGCTCTTAACCTTGTGGTCGTGGGTTCGAGCCCCACGGTGGGCGTTCTTGCTTATGTGCATCGTTTGTTATTGTTCTCTTTCTAGTTTTTTGCGTGTTATGGCGATGGATACACTTTTAATTTCTTATAATCAAAACAGTTAGTATTATTTTGAAAATGATACAATCAAATACACATTTCACAGCTCTCCAGAATGACACAATCAAAACAGTTCTTATTTCTTCAAACGTCGAAAATGACACAATCAAATACACATTTCACAGCTCTCCAGAATCACTATCTGTGGCTGCTTGATTGACATCTATAGATATAACTTTTTTAGGCCTATAATACAAGTCCCTACACACATATTTATATACACACTTCCCATTCTTTCTTGAGGAATCACTTGAGGTGCCAACTTGCTTCATACAATTCAAGGATTGGATCGTTCAGGTTGAACGAGAATTGCGTCGCGCTGCTGTTGTCGTTATTGATCTTCTTTCCTTCAATATCTTTCTCCCTTCCTCCTTCACTAATCTTTTCTTCATGACTAATGGTGCTTCCTGCAGGGCTCCCTGTATCCTCCTCTTCCTCTTCTTGTTTGCTTCCCTTTTCAAGCACTTCCTTATAACTACACTTCATCCCGTTTGAACTTACACTCTTTGGATGATTTAAATCAACCCCATCTTTCTTTTCAAGAATTTCCTTGTAACTACACTTTATCCCATCATCATTTGGACTAACATTGTTTGGATATTGATGGTTACACTCAACAAAACTCTCCAATTTATCGCAATGCGCGACCATGCCTTGCTTATCATAGTAAGGAACATCTCTAATGCTATCTTGATGATGAGGGTATGTAAATGAGGTAGTTTCAACACAAGGGAAATGGTCATGATCACGATGGATGTCGAAATCTGAATTCGCATTGTCTCTCGAAATATCCACTCTGCCACTGTAATTCCTTGATGGAATGTTATTCTTGGAGCTTAAGCTTGAATCAGCATGATGATCAACCATGATGATATTTTTGATATTGACATCATTGTTCTTCTCCTCCTTCTTATTGTTACTACTACTTTTCAAGACCCCCAAAAGTGTTAAAGTAGAGATTAGGCAGCTTATTAGCCATGATGAAATGATGAGGCAATTGGCCAGAAATGGGGAGAAAATGCGGACAAATTTGGGCAAGGTTAAGGTGTCCATTGCATCATCAAACTTGCTAGGCAGGCATTCTGCATCATAAACAAGCCTATCAATCCCATCGAAAAGGCGGTTCGATAGCGGGAAGATCTTCTCCACTGCATCTTCAAAGGCTAAGATGTAATCATCGGCCATGAACAGAATGGCCAGCCATTGGTATAGGATTGTGCAGACTAATTGAAGAAGGCTAGAATTCAACAATTCGGTTGCCCTTTTGGTCAATAATCGGAGTGGACCGTTTACATTGTTGGCTCTTGTGCAAGAATTGTGGATGATGGCTAAGATTGAAGCTCCAATGGTGTGCAATGGAGGGCGTCTTGGCATTGTATTAAGCAAATTGATTGCTTTAATCATTTAAATTTGGAGAAAGAAGGAAAAAGAGGATATGTGAAAGAAGGAAAAAGAGGAACTCTAATTGGCATGTTTGAATTTATAGTAAGGCCATGAGTCCAGGAAAAATTGAAAGGTACAAATTGATTGGATTTTTCTAAGTCGTAGAGATGTTTCTTTGGCATTTCCGAAGAATTTGGTTGTTTCACTCATTTTTTTGTTTCAATCTCTTATTCTCTTATCACCCAAGTTTTCTTTTTATTTTTATTTTATAAAAAACCGAAAATAGAAATCTGCGTTTGTGTTGATGGGTGACGAGAGTTATTGGCTATCTAATTATATAAGACTTCTTGTTTTTTTTTTTTAAGGGTCAATAAATTATTTGTTATACTAGAAATATCGAAATTTTAAACTGGACAATCATTTTGAGAAGGCGAGAGGATTATACATGTAAGAAAGAATATGCTTAATCTCGGAATACGATTCTGCAATTTAATCGATTCTGGACAATCATTTTAATCGATTTTTCGGAATACGATTCTGCAATTTTGACAACATTAATTTCTGAGCAGCAGCTGGCCAGAATATGCTTTCCAATCTCTAAAGTTCTCCTCTCCACTTATATGAAGCTAGAATCAGAATCCCATGAGAACCCCCAAAAAAAAAAAAAAACAAAACAAAAGAAGAGAAAAAAGTGTCAAAAGCTGAAATGGAATGTAAATTGCAAAACTTTTTCAGCTTAAGTTACGACCATTTTCTTTCATTTTTTTAATTGATTCGTTATGCCTACCTCCTTCGGTAACGACTTTCGCACTATTCGTATGTCTTATTATTTATTGTGATTAATCGTTTTAGAACTATTTAAGTTCCGTTCATTTTGTAATTACTGTGCCATTTACACATTGTTCAAGAAAAGTAAAACAGAAATAGAGTTTGAAGTAGTTGTGATCAGAGGGTAAATTAATTGTAAACTACATATGGTATGTACGATGCTTTGCTTCAACTCTAAAACTTGGTATTTGCTTCACGATTCTTTTCGTGCTTTCATGCTGTTTTCTTGGGGTTTAGTTCAGTGATTTCTAATTTCTGTGACCAAGAGGATCGTGATTTTACATGATGAGAATTGGGGGCTTCTTGATTTATATATTTGGAGTAGATTCACATATAGTTTGTGGTTAGAAAAATATGGAATTGGGATTAGGTGTGTTTTCCTTTTAACTTTAAGTACTAAACCAGAGGTATCTGGTTGGGTACATGTAGATTTAAATTCTTTAATTGACATTACTAGTTATCTTAGAGCCGAATGATAAAATATGATTTATATAACAGACTCGATGTAATAAGAATATTGGATATTTAAAAAAATATTGTTGTATGATCTCAGGAATACCTGGAGATGGAAGATGCTTGTTCCGGTCGGTGGTTCATGGAGCTTGTCTGAGAGCAGGAAATCCATCCCCAAATGAAGCTTCTGAAAGAGAGCTTGCTGATGAACTTCGATCCAAGGTGACAATATATGTTAGGATAATGTATTCCAATATCATTTATTCTCTTTTCCCTTTTCTTTTTCCATTTTTTTTCATTCGAGAAGTAAATGAAATTTCTTGTGGTCAAATCATGTACTACTAGTATCTTATAATATGATGAGTATCAGTAATTTAGCTGTTATTGTGTTCTCGACCAAAGTTTACTTTTTTATTTTGGTAAAATTAATACTATGGATATGGGAAAAAAAAAAAAAAAACCATTTCTGTTAATTGACTGGAATGGGGGTGGCTGGTGTGCAGGTTGCGGACGAATTCATCAAGAGACGAGCAGATACTGAATGGTCAGATGATGTTTGAACTTCTTTAATTTGGTTGATTTTGTATGTAGTTCTCTATCTCAAATCTAGAGTTTTCATGTTTATTTAAGAAAAAAAAGACGAAAAAAACAGTCAACGTAAAACTCTGTCACGCTTTAATTATGCCTGATCCTGCTGTTTTTATGTATTTATTTATTTATTTAAGGTTTGTGGAGGGAAATTTTGATACATACGTGAAGCAGATGAGACTGCCGCACACCTGGGGAGGGGAACCTGAGTTGCTCATGTCTTGCCATGTTTTACAGTAGGTTTACTTCCCCATTGATTTCCATACAAAGAAAAACCCAGACCAACGTGTTGATTTGTAATACTTTTTTCCCCCTTCCCTCCACAGAAAATTTTGAAACATACTTTTCATTGTTCGTTAGTTAAATCGTCATTTCTCTATCAAATTCTCTTCACACACGAATAGATATACCCGATTATTCATTAGTTAAATCGTCATTTCTCTGTTAGATTTTCGTCACATGAGCAAATACTTGATTAATTGGGCAGGGTTCCAATTACAGTTTACATGTGGGATAAGAAGACAAATCGGCTACAGATAATAGCTGAATATGGAGGAGCAGAATATGGGAAAGAAAATCCAGTTCGTGTTGTGTATCATGGTTACGGCCATTACGATGCATTACATACTTCATCTTTTGGTGCTCTCCACCCCAAAATGTACACGTAAATGATATTACATATTTGTGTTAGGGAAAATTGAAAGGATTGATATTAAAACGAAAGTTTAATTTAGTGTTGGTTTTGCTACTTAATAATGCCCAGGCACTCAGTAACCTAGGGAGGCTTCATGCTGTTCTTCACTGTATAATAAATACTACCATCTCCTGAACTAATGAGTCCATATTCCGGAATCTACAGTAGAAGATTAGTCTCTTTCTGACTGATTATCTCCCACAATTTACTTAATAATGTGATTGACTAGTTTAGATTTTTATTTTTTTTTCCTTTCTAGAGCAAAATAAAATTCTAACAAAACAATCATTTTGGATGGAGGGAGTATTAAGTTTGAGTAGTGAGACAAAACGCATTGACCATATCAGGCTAAGAACTTTTTTTTTTTTTTTGAAAAACCAGGCTAAGAACTTATTAGGGTTGAATATACCATTCCCCATTTCAATATTCAATGAGAAGAAAATCTAATGAATTTAACTTTAATTAACGACGATAAACATGATCATTCCAGAGCATGAGCAGATGTATACTCATTCCGAGGCTAAAAAAAGATAACCAAATACTTACTTCTTTTCTCCATGTATTTACACAAAAAAGTAGTAAGGGTGGTTTCACTGCTCATAATCTCTCCAAACTTCTTGAAGAAGTGAATATCTGGAGACCTTGCAACTGCTGCTATTTCTCCCGTTTGATGTCCAGACGAGTTTCCTGGGAGCCGAATTACTCTTTAAGCTATCGGTAGTGAGGATACTGGTCAATGGTGAGCTGAGTTCTTCGAGCTCATCATCGCTTGTGTTCAGCTTTCTCAGTAAAGATGAGCGTCTCTGTACTGCGCGTTGGTTTGATTGGTTTCCGACTTCTTTCATGAAAGAAGTCAGCGATTTTTCCGGAGGGGGTGAATATACAGTAGGAGGTGCGCTACAAGGATGGCTTGTTGCAGTCTCTGTCGAATCATCCGATGCATCCTGAAAAGTAAAACGCAATGGAAAATTGTTGGGAAAGCGAGAAATGCAGAGTAATAATCAGCTCCAAAATGAGCGTTGTCGAGCACTGTCGAGACATGAGATCTATACAGCTGACTTTGTGTAGATAAAAGAAACATGTACTATCTAGACTACGTAAGATTTTGCTATGTGGAAATGAATTCCAAAAGACTATTAGTGCTGCACTATTCAACCTACTCCAAAAAGCTATATTCAAAACTGCACATATATTAACTAACCTCATAATCCAGGGCATCCACTACACTTCGAGGAATAGGTTTTGGACAGAACTCATCTGGAACATAGTTGACAAGCACCTTCTTGATCAACATTGGACCGAGCAGTGGGCAGACCTAAAAGAGCAAGAACCAAAGCAAAAAATAGATGAAAAGATCACGTGACTGGAAGTATTCTAATTTTCTTTTTACCCCACAGCCAAACTGCTTTAATAATTATTCACCTCCTTTCTTGTTGAGACATCTGTGAGCATTTCCAGCGGAAGCATCATTAGATCGCTGAGAGCATTGAGAAGCAGGAAAGCCTTGAAAGAATAAGGCCCTTTGTCATCAATATTGTCTTCTGCCGACTCACTATCTTCGATGCCAAATAAATCAGAAAGCCATCTTGACCAGTTCCCAATCTAATGATTCGAGCAATCGAAAAGACGTTTTAGTTTCCACTAGTTACTACCAAGGGTGACATTTTACTAGCCATGGATGAAAGGGGAATCTTTTAAGCCACTATATTTCAGAAAAAAACAGAACATTTATACTTTGACATGAGGTTGCTCTTTATTGTCCAGAGCTTATATGAGGACATGGAACTCTGATATTGAAACTTCAGTTCTATAGGTGTGTGTTTCAGCACAAAATGGGTTCGAGTCTTTAAACAAAGAATTTCATAAAGAAAATGAATTGTCTGTAAGGGAGCTCCTGTCTTCTAAGTGAGTAATTTCAATAACAATAATTATGGAAGCCATAGCGAACAGATATCATATGCCTGATCAAGACATGGAAGCTGTAATACTACTTACAGCATTCTTCAGTTGAGCACCAGCACCAAAACTCAATTTTCCAGCTGGGATAGGAAGAACCCTTGAATCGCTTATGGGGTCAGAGACTGGATCTGTTGGCATCTCTTCTGAAGATTCACGGAGGATGGCATTGAACATTGCCACATCCAGCCGACTTACTAATTGCTCCATAACCTGAAAAGCACACACAAGGCATTGAATTTTCTTTGCACGAGAGGAACTTGGTGTAAAGAATGACAATGAAACTAATACAACAACTGTAAAGCAAAGAGGAAGAGGGAAAAATAACAGCATTTCATTTTTTTTTTTTTTGACTAAGCAGCATTTCATTTGTTGTCAGTTACAAATGCATACCAATCTTGCTATTACAGGCAAGCAACCACATTCGTGGCCCCCAGCACGAATTGGACAAAGCCTTTCACAAGCATCTTTGAATGCCTTCTTCCATAGTTCGATAGAGAAGTTTCCCTGCTCTTGATTACCCAAACCGTATCGAACTTTATTAGTTTTCTTTGAACTTGATCCCTTCGCAACTGTAGTCTGCATGTGGGGCGTCAGAGTCTGCAAGGATAAAACCACATGGTTGAGTTACAGAACAATTTTGACTATACAGAACTGAAAGAAACACATGGTGAAACCACCTGCCACCATATAGACTCCACAATCCGAGAGAAAACCCAAGATTCAGTTTTCTCCAAAGCAAACATAAATGTTTCTACGTCCTCCCACTCATCTCCTTCTTCACTCTTATTCTGATCTATTGCATCAACTGAAGAATTTGTCTGGTTTCCAACATGCCTCCTACCTGATATTCTTATTTCCCCCGCTGCCTGGCTAACTATGGCCCTCAACATGATAGTATTTGATAACCAGAAAGTCAACCTGTATATACAGAGAGAAAAAAGCATTTACATAACAATGTGTTGTGCATCCAATATTACTAATCTGCATACAGTTATATCAACATTTTGAAAATTCATCACTAAAATTGTTGAATTATATGATATACCAAATGTTTCTCTATTAAGTTGAATTTCACTAATCTGACTAAGAACATATGATCCACAATTCCATATATCTGACCTCATTGTTGTAAGAATAAACTCCACATAGGAAAAGTGATATGTCAAAAAAATTATACCTTGGAACATCATTACCACACGCTTTTGAGACCAAGACTAACCCAGAAATCACAGCTCTGGCAGCACTTGCACTTTTGGCTTGAGATTTTTCTTTGCATGCATGAAGATAAAATCTTGAAAGGCGCCGAGCCGGAGCATGGACTTTGTTCACAGAACTTCCATGCTCAGCAACAACAGAGTACAGCCCAATCTCAAGAGTTGCAGTTTCCCTTAACTCGTCCTCCAACATCTGAATTCTGGAATCTGACTGAACCTTTTGAAGAGAAGATTGATTTTTTCCCTCGTTTTTAAATGCTACAGTGCTTTTACCATTGTTATCAGGACCTCTCTCGCCAATTTCTTTTTTGTTCCGTAATGGTTGAGAACTTCTAGCTCTATTTCCCACATCTCTCCTTATGATATCTGCTGTTGTTGCCATTTCGGCAGCATCATCATTGCCACTTCTAAAATAATATCCATTATTTCTCCCAGTTGATGACTCATACAATTGAGATTTGACATGCTTTAGTCGACCATTAGACGTCTCAAACCCTGGCATTTTCCCAATATGACTTGTGCTGCCCATTGTACCAATTCTCCCGAATCCTCCTCGTGGCAATTTATCGACTGATTTGTATTCTGAAGACAATGTAGATGACTTATCTTCCTTTTCAGAACTTTGCTGTTCTTTTTTCCCGTCCACATCCATACAATCAACACCTATATTACTAAGAACTGGAGCTGCTGAGTTAGTACCTTGATCTGTTGGGAATTTTTCATCAACGAGCTCATCTCTGACAATGTCTCTATTATTTTCTTTTGGTGTTTCCTCAGCAGTGGGCCGCAAGTTCTTTTGAGTCTCAGGTACTTCATTCACACCAAGATAACTCAACAAGGAAGAATTTGATGCTATGCTATTCTCTGGGGATATGGTAGAGATACGACCATTTTGATGCTCTTTATCAGACTTTACTACAGGGGAAAGCAGCGGAGAAATTCCATTAGAATATGATTGTTGAACATTCTGTCCTTTAGTTCCATTTATGGGCTCTTGTGCATTCTGCATATTGACTATAAGATGTCAAAAATGGCCTTTCACACTATAAGGGAAGAATGTCACCAAGGGTGATGAGTAATTACATAGGCTTTTACATATATCAAGAACAAACTAGAGATCAGAGAGGAAAGCAATAAGCAGAAACATCCAAGAGTGATTGAGCCATTCACATTTGTGTATTAAGTAAAAGCTTAAAAGACCAACACCAAAAGCAAGCATATACTGTCTGAATAATCAGCCAACAACAAAGGGATGAAAAGGGACTGAAGAGTGAAGTAAGCTACCTTATCACTATGAGAGGGTGAAGCTTTTGCAGCCCCGGGGACAGAAGATGCTGCTGTGTGGGACGAATGAGAGGACAAGTCATCATCGGTGAAAGAAGCAATCTCTAAATCATCACCATCTACATCAGCTAGCGATTCTTGACCATCTTGTTGGTCTAATGAAGTTCTTGAGGATCTCACAGTGGGAGATGACTTAGAGCTACCCTTGTCAAGAGGCTCAATTCTAATGTATAAAACCGGCTGTGGGGAATTTTTGGAACTCTTCTTGCAGTTCAGTGAAGCAGCAATGGTTACAATCTCCTCAATCACTCCATAATCAGAAAGATTCAACATGGCAGTTCCTAATAGTTGCTCTCGTGTTCCTTTATCTCTTCGAGGCTCGTACAAGGAGAACTCCAATAAATTCTTCTGGAATTTTTCGCGGCTTTTTTTATCAGGTTGTAAAGTTAAAGGGAGTACAAAGGACTCATTGAATACAATGCTGGACTCCCCAGCAACAGTTAAGAAGGAACCAGAATTCTTTTCACTGTTTTGCCATTGAAGCAACACAGATTGCACAGATGGCAAGGATGGAGATGGAGGCCAAGGCTTAATCTCGACTACATTCACAACATAATCAATCTGAACAGATGCACCCCTTTTCTTCCTCGACCGTAACCCCAGAACCATAGCTCCAGAACAACAGCAGACCAATCAATTAAACCTCCTTTTCCCACAGTTCTGATCAATGAGAAAGAAATAAAATTAACTCATCAACAAAAAAAAAAACAATCATAACCAGAATATAAAGGCACAGCATTCATCTATTGTTCCTCAAAAGCACAATTAACTGACTGGAACCAATGAAATATGTTAAGGATGGTTTAAACAGGATAACCCCAGAAGAAGAATTGAACCTTACCATAGAGCTCAAACGACACGATCTTAATCTTCTTTTCTTAATTGGGTTTATAATTTCATCTTTGTATAGCATCAAAGACCAAACACCCAGAAATGATAGCAAGAATATAAACCAAACATTCACCTCTTATAAACAGGTTTGACCGTTTGAGTAAGTGCAACCAATAAATTATGCGAAGGAGAGCTGAAACCAGGCTAGCCCCAGACGACGCATTGACCCTTTAAGCTCAAAGATAGGATTTTTATTCAAATATCGATAACCAAAAACCCTTCAAAGCATTCCCTCTCCATATATAGAAGCAATAAAGAATATATCAGAATGAGATGGGGATCAAAGTACAAAATGACTACAGACCAAGCTTTAAAGATCAGGTGATCATCATGATGCAGAGGAACAGAACAAGAGAAGCCTTGAATTTAGTATTTGTTTACCTGCTGTAAAAAAGCTGGGGAATGAATGAGAATGATCAACACAAAAAAGAACTTTCAATGGAAGAGCCAGAAGAAAAATGTAAGCTCTAGAACATATTTCTAATAAGCATCATCCTCCTCATCACCAATGACATTGCCACTAGCTTTTTGGAATTGACAACTTTCCATGTGGACTGCTTTTCATACTTATTTGTTTGTTTCTGGGTGAAGCAAAGGCGAGAACTTGAGAAGTTTACACCGGGAAAAGTAAAACCCCAAAAAAGGAAAATTCGATATCTAGAAAAACCCCAGGAGATGAAGCAGATTCAGAAAGCATGAGGAGGAAGAAAAATCAAAAGGCCCTACATGAAATGTAGTAATTAATTAATTAACATTAAATGACAAGTTTATATAATAATACTAGTTTATATACAACTTAAACATACCCGAAAAGCGTAGTAGGAGTTAGTTCGTGGCTCCCTAGAAAGTCCACAGATCCCTTTGTTGTCAGTTATCACTGCATAAATTTTTTTTTATCATAAAGTAAAAAACGTGTTGGAGTCTGAAAAGGAAAGAACTTGTCAAACTCTGGTATTGGTATCTCTTCTTTTTCCTTCAGCTGGTCTTTCTCTTCTTCTCTCTCTTGGTGGATTATTTTATTGATTCAAAATTTTCAGATTGATGGATGATGATCATATTGTTAATAATATTGTTATTTTGCTGGGATATTTTTAATTTCTGTATTTACTTTTTTTGGGGTGGTAAAGCTTGAGGAGATCTAAAATCATAACCGTCATTATCCTAATCCACAAAGAAAAGGACGGTGAGTAAGTGAGATTTTAGCTGTTATTTCACAGTAAAATGCTTGGGGATCGGATGAAGAAAACGTTGGGAGGAGTAAATAAAATTTGAGAGTCAGAAAACCGATATAATTTGTTGGGATTTATTCTATTTTTAAAATAATGACACTTTCCGCGATCAACTCCTACATTTAAGCATGACATTGACATCCACCCTTCCTGCTAGATTACATAGTACTATACTTACTCTCTCCTTTTCTTTTTCTCCTTTGTAGTTTTTACTTTTTAGAGTTTGTTTTTTATTTTTAGTTGTATTTGAGGTTTGACTGATAGTTGAACCACACTTCAATTTGTCGAAAAATGATTCAAACCAGTACCGAGATCCAATCTCAATGATCATGTCACTAGGAGTCACAAAACACTACACACACAGTCAAATAGTTATCAATAAAACCATTTAAAACGATCAATAAACCATTTAGTCCAAATGATCCACAATCACAATAGAGCCATTTAAAACGATCAATAGACCATTTAGTCCAAATGATCCACAATCACAATAGAGCGACCTTGCCCGCATGAAGGTCTTTTGAGAGTAATTAAGGAGCTTTTGTATAGAGAATAGATAGTAGAAGTTAGTAACACACGTAGAGAGTGTAATTTTACAACCAATTTTTTGGTCTCACTGGTGAAAGAGAATTCATGTGGTTTGACTCGCTTGGATTCGCCTCCTTAAGGTTTGGTAGATTGGCTTTATCACGACGTTGTTGGGTTAGCTACCCCGTCGGATTGTTGTATAATGTAGAAGTAATATAAGACTCCCTTTGCACCAAAAAAAAAAAAAAAAACCACTTTTTAGAGATTCTGTTACAAAAACACGAGCCGTTTGGTGCGTTCCACACAGAAGGCCGGGCAGTGTGCTCTTCCGGCCGCTCGTTCGACTGAGATCCTTGTGATGTAAGAGTCGGGCGATTTTTGTCCTTTCCCTGTTTAAATTCACTCACCCTCTATTTATAGCTCAAAACTTGTAAGCAAACAAATACACTTTAAGAATTAAGAAAAGAAAATAAAATGAAAATTAAAGAATTTCACTATCTCTATACATTTTTTTTTATAGGGCTACTTGAAAAGTTGAAATAATCAAAAGCACCGATCCAAGTGCAATGCCCAAAATAGTTACGGGAAAACAACTTGCACAATTTAGAACCTAATCCACGAACAGAATTGGAAAACCAAGGATATAAACCCCCAAATCAAGTACGTTTTATACACACCACACTATTACGCCAAGAAAATGACGCAATGCTGTCACACTTTCACACAGGAAATCCTCAAAACAAAGTACATAGTTGCTAATCAGAAATCCTCTTATACAATCCGGGCATACAGCCCTGAGATGGATGGACAAAGGCACATATATACCACCATTGTTTGGTACAAGGAAAAGAGACGTGAAGAAGAAGCTGCAATATCACTCCTTCCATATGTAATCAGGGTGCGTTCTTATGTGCATCTTTTGATGGTCTTCTATATCATGAGCAGACATGTGCTTCTTCCACCCAGTGCTCCCTATGTGGTAAACTGAAAAACTCAAAAAGGAAAAGGAAACACAAGAAAACGAATAACTTGTCAGGAAAAAGAACCGGAAACACATAGCTACTACATGTAAGAAAGAGATAAAGAAACAAGGGCCAAGGAGGCCCAGAAATCACCAACATACCACTGACCACGTCACAGTATTCCGGAGTTGCCTCACTCTGAGTGCCATTCACTAAAGCCCAAGAAGCAGCACAAATCATCTGTTTTCCATAAAAAGCAGCTTTATCTACGCACATATCGTCTGGCACCCTATTACATCCATAAATATCTTATGAATATACAATAATTTGATTTAACAATCAAGCAAAGGCTTCAATAGGATAATAGAGTGCATAAACGAAAATTAAGAAAATATTCTATTACTTGGAAATACTTTAAGCAAACAAAATATAAGTTCCTTCAAATCGAAGGCAATGCCCGTAATAACCACCATGTTCGATTGCTACAAGTCAAGGTGACTAAAATTAATCATAAAACAGGAAAAGAGGCAGACCCGAGACCCAGACAACATTGAGCACCATCTCCAGTGGCCATTATTCTACCTTTATGCACCTTCCCGGTACAGTCCCGTATCTCCTCACAATTCTGCACTTTCTCTTCACTGTCTACATGATACAAGATAGGACCCTGCAGGAAAGATGAACAATGACAATTCATAAGAAGACGAAGCAAGGGCTGAAGCAAAATCCTTGTCACTAATTAAAACCAACATAAATGTCCATACAAAGAAGTTCCAATTACCGTTTCCTCCCACCCAGCAATCAATACTCCCACTGACAAACCCCTCTCTACATGAGAAGCCAGAGTGTCACCCAGCCACTCGGATGCCTCTGCAACAGAAGTTCTTCTCCCCGTCACGGGTTCATGTAGCCGGCACTAGCATGCACACAAGCAATGATGGCAAGAGCATAAGAACTCATACAATGCTGACATAAAACATAGACCCAAAATTCTTAGATTGTCGCTAAACCATTCAAAGGAAAACATAGTGTTCGTAATAATGTCAGCAAGTACCTTCTTCTGCAGATCTTTCAACAAAAATTCACTTCCTCCAGAAATAGTGGCAACCACATGAGAATTGAGTCCAACAACATTTGGGATAGACCATTTAAATACTACAGTATAGTACACTAAGTTAGTAGCCATCAATAATTCAAATCAGAACATAATTTTATTTTATTTTTTTTAAAAAAAAGCATAGGCCTAAATAGTAAACCAACTCACAACTACGTTGATGCTCAGCAGCTACGATCACTCCCCCCTCGAAAATAAAGGCCAAAACCATGGTTCCGGTGCTTTCCCCGGGGATTGAATCCTACAAATACCACCCCAAGAAAATAATAATTACAAGTAAATGAAAGCATAAATAAAACTGAAATAAAAACAGATCAGACTTAAGTATTTAGGACAAAAAATAACTGAAGTGAAAACAGACCAGTCTGTCGAATTTAGGGGGGCCAATCGAGGCCTCGGGAAGGGACTTTGGAGGAGGGGACTCGAGAGGGACCTTGGGAGGGCCATACAAGTATCCACCAATGCAGACAGAATAGCTTTGTATCGGAGGTAACCTGATCACACCCACTTTCAACTTCGACAATCAAAGCAAAACAAACTATCAGAAGATAATAAACAAGACCGACAAAACTGATAGGACTCAGGCCCTTGCAATGAATTCTGGCCCTGAGTACTCGACTAAGACTGCAGTCAAAAAAAAAATACTGCAGCAAAAATTATATATTGGAAATTCAACTAGAAACCTGTAGAGCAAAACAAGCCCTAATTTGAAGGGGCAAAAATCCTACCTTTCGGCCAATTTCTACAATGAGCTTAAATCCACTGGAGATGGAATCCATGGATCTCACCTACAACAATCCACCAGAACAAACAAAATCAGACATTTTATTGTTTTATTTTTTTCTAAAAAAAAAGCAACAGGAGTACGGATTATGGAGCATTCTAGTCCTAAATGTTCAGACTTTAATTGACAAAACAAGCCCTAATTTGAATAAAATAGGATTTGAATGCAAGCAGAAACGTTACCATTCCACGGGATTTAGAAAAGCGTTCAGGTCCAAAGGAACAGTTCCTCGCCTTCTATCCAAGCAGTAGAAACAAAGACAAAAAATAAGCTAAGTTGATTTTGTTGATAACAAAAGTACATACATATGCATTGATTCCCTAATAATGCCATTTGTTCGGAAGAAAAAAATTACCCAGCCAAACAGAGAAACAACACCCTAATTCAGGGAACTAATATATCTATATATATATATATATATATATATATATATATCACCTCATTCTCAAGTTTTAGAGAAGTCTTCTTTATCAAACTTCCAAGCTCCAGCAGTGAAACAGAAGCGGTGGTTCCTTTTTCTTCCTTAGCGTATTCATCATCAAACTAAAAATACCGCCACCAACAAAAACATGAAAAAAGAGAAATACATTAAACCTAACGAGAGAGAAAAAAGTAATACATAAAACCTAACTAGAGAGAAGGAATTTTTTTTTTTTTGTTGGGTTTACTCAAATAATAAATTTTGTTTCACTAATAACAGAAGAAAAGAAGGAAAAAGTCAATTCATAGCCCTAATTGTTCCTTCTCGGTTAAGAATAATTCAACAGATGTATCTGGAATTCGAGTAAGAAGGCCAAACAGAAGAGGTAACCCAAGGAAACCAATCAGCAAAAGAAGTCACAAATCAAAGAAAGAAAACATTACCTTTTTATCCTTTATAGAGAAGTGTTCAAGTCCAGAATGCAACGTTCTCAGCTTCAATCGGGGAAAAACAAACAAAATGAATCCAACGAAGGTGATTTATTTGATTCAATTGGTACACAGGGATTCTAGGCCTAATTGCTTCGATTAACGTTCCAATTAATTCTTGGGCTAAAAATTGTATATGCATGGTGAAGAAATTGTACCAGCAAACAGAAGAAGGAAAAAAGCCCCAATTTGAACAAATGAAAGAGAATTTATTAGAGAATTGTTTAGCCCAAGATCCTTGATTCGCAGAATTAAGGATATAGCAGTGAAAAATAGAAGTACTTCAAATGAAAAAAACAAAGCCCCAAATTCGAAGGAGATGTGGAGGGAATTTTAAAGCATCTGATATATAGGCGAAACAGGGACGGAAGTCTCATAGGTTTAGCTTTTATCGCCTTAGCCTGCCACTACTTCCCCAAATGCTGGGCCGGCCTCCAAAAACCCAAACATTTCCACGACGAACCAGTCCCAAATTACCGGTGTAACATGGCTATAAATAAATAGAACATTCCTACAATTCAGCGAGAGAGATTAGTCATTGTTAGCGTATTCAAATGTATTGTTTGAAGTATTTTTGACCAATTTGATTATTAGGAAATTAAGAAAAAGAGAGTTGAAGGGGGAGAATAAGGAAATAGGAAGATAAAATTTTCAGTTTTTCAGATGATGAGAAATTAGTCATTGTTAGCGTATTCAAATGTATTGTTTGAAGTATTTTTGACCAATTTGATTATTAGGAAATTAAGAAAAAGAGAGTTGAAGGGGGAGAATAAGGAAATAGGAAGATAAAATTTTCAGTTTTTCAGATGATGAAATTAGAACTGTAAATGGGGATTAGGAATCTATAACATTATACTAAGAGAGAAACCAGAGAGAGAAAACAAAAAAGAATTCTAAAGGTGTCCTATGTGTCATTTTTTTAATGGTTGAATCAAAAAATATTTACAACAATTATACTAATAGTCTTTCAAATTTTATGTAAATAAAATTTTATCAAATGGCATTTAAAACTATAGTTTAAAATAGGAAAATAAAAATTAATTAAATTTAATGGACGGGATTAATGAACATTAATGCACCAGAATTATTCCCTCTTTAAAAGAATCCCCAAAGTTACTACTGGACTCATTTAATTAATCTCTCTAAAAAAAAATCTCCCTCCCAATCATGTAAATCAATAGACTACAATTCAAAAAAAAAAAAAAAAAAAACCAATCATTCAACATTAATGTTATCTTTAAAATCTTTTCCCAAAAACATGACCCTGTATTTTTTGCCAATAAAAAAGAAAAAAAAGGTACAAAACTTACCTATAATTATTACTAAATAGATGGGATTTAACTATAATTAAATGTTATCTTTTGAATTTCAAACTAATGCATTTATTTGTGTAATATCATATTTACCCAAATAAATATAATCTTTCTTAATAATATCTCAAAAATTGTTATAAACTTTATTTTTATCACTGAAATTTTGGATAATCAATTATCATCAATCCCACTTTATCTCTATTTATTTTCACTTTTGGATAATAAAATTTTGGATAGTAAAATATACTCCAAAATACCTACATTACTAATGGATTATAAATAAAAATAGTAAAATTCATTTTACACTTTTTATATATTTTTTTAGATTTTTTATAATGTATATAAATAAATCTCACGTATCGCGCGGGTTTAACATCTAGTTTAGGATGAATGAGGAAGAAGAAAATTAGGGAGATAATCACAATTCAGGAAATTCAGTATAAAACAAGCTTAACTCGTATATGAGGAGACTGGGTTGGTTTTGAACCACGCTCACTGGGTTGTAAACTTTGTGACGGATACACTTCCTAGGCCGTAATTTTATCATTTTGTGGTTTTACAGTCTTGTGCTAGGCCGTAACTTTTTTATGATCTAGTAGTAGACAGTGCATGCTTTAGATTTTAGACATGTTACTTTGTATCATTAGGCCTCGACCTGTATTTTATCCCAAAACTCAAAGAAAAAAAAAGTAAAAATAATAAAGAAAAAGAAAGAAATGCAAAAATAGTTGAAAGAAAAATCGAAAGGAAAGAAATATTTTGTCCTCTCCATCGAATCATCTTATTCAAATTAGTACTATTTCTATCCCAAAATGATTGTTAGGTTTGAATTTTTGTTTTTAAAACTCAAAATGAAAATTCTAATTGGCCAATAATTTTGAGACGGAAAGAGTATTATATTTTCTAAAAATCTCATGATTTTTTTTTAATTTTTATAATTAAAATATCATTTTTTTTTCAAAACAGTAAAATATCATTCTTTGTAACACATTGATAAAGATGTAACACATAGAATCCAAACCGGGTGGAATAAATGGCGTAGTGCCTCATCAATATTTTGTGATCATAAAGTACCATTGAGTTTGAAAGGTAAGTTCTATAGAACGGCTATTCGACCGGCGATGTTTTATGGATCCGAGTGTTGGGCCACTAAATATGAAAATGAGCAAAAAATGAGAGTAGCAAAGATGAGAATGTTAAGATGTATGTGTGGGCATACTAGATTAGATAGGATTAGAAATGGTTGTATTATAGAGAAAGTAGGGGTAACACCAATAGATGAAAAAATGAGAGAAAACTGTTTAAGATGGTTTGGACATGTGCGTAGGAGACCGGTAGAAGCTCCTGTTAGGAGGATAGAAACTATAAAATCAAGATTTCAAATTAAAAGGGGTAGGGGTAGACCTAAAAAAAATGGAAAGAAACTATAAAAAATAATTTGAAATATTTAAATTTATCCGATAAGTTATGCATCAACCGTATACGATGGCGACATATGATCCATATAGCCAACCTCATCTAGTGGGAAAAAGGCTTGTTGTTATTGTTATTGGTAAAATATCATTCTTTCTCATGCCTTATTAAGAGTTTGGACTGTTGTTTTGTTTTGTATTTTATTGATGTTGTGTCTTTTCATGTTGGAGATAGTTTTTTAAATTAATTTTAAAAATGCATTTGCATACCAAAATAAAAAATAAATTTTTTTTTTCTAAATAAGAAAAAAAAAAGATGGGAGGGAATTTAAAGCATCAGTCTGATTACATCGCCACGAGGAGCAGTGGACACCACAAGGAAAATGGATAATCGGCTACACTGCAAAAATTGGAGATTGCCCTGTTCTTGATGCCAAGATGTGGGCCGCTTTTTTTGGGCTACAAATTTCTTGGAACCTGGGCCGTCAAGAAAGTCCAACTTCAAATGGACAGTCTCCAAGCAGTAAACTCAATTAATGAGGAAGCCACCGAAGCATCCAGATCGAACCAACAACAACTCAAGAAACCCCAACAGAGCAATAACATAAAGGAAAGCAACGTTTGGAAGCCCCCTCCTTGGGATTGGGTTCGTCTCAATACTGACGGTGCAGTGGCGACTTCGCCGATGATGGCTACGGCAGGAGGTCTGGTACGCAACCACGAAGGAAAATAGCTCATGGGCTTTGTGGCAAAAATCGGTGATTGCTCGGTCCTAGAAGCAGAACTTTGGGCTATCTTCTTTGGGCTAAAAATAGCCTGGTCTTGGGCTTCAAAAAGTTCCAATTACAGCTGGACTCATCACAAGTAGTCAACCTCATCAATGACAACAACAATAATCCAGCAGCTAGCAATGTTTTGTATAGAATCAGAAAATTTTTAGATCTCCAGTGGATAGTAGATGCCACTCACATAAGACGTCCTGGCAACGAATCGGCCGATTCTTTAGCTAAATTAGGATTCTCCTACATTCCGGGACTATATATTTTAGCAATGCCTCTGGACTCAATCTTAGAATAAATGGCTAAAGATTATCCTACTTCTACTCTCCATTGAAGAGTTCCTTTTGTACACTAAGTTTCGGCTTTCTCAGTATATTAAAAAAAACATAAAAATAAAAAATTAATGAGGAAGCCCAATCAACTCTCAACAGCAATATACTACCTCGAACAAAAAAAAAACTACTAAAGCAACAATAGGAAGTACACACTACGTTCGTTAAAACGCCAAGGCAACGAACCGGCTGATTCACTAGTCAAATTAGGACTATCTTGCAACCCCGGTAAATACATTTTGTCAACCCCGCCGGAATCGATCCTAGGCAAAATAGCCACAGATTGTCCTACATCTCCTCTGTCTGCATGAGTTGATTTTTGTAAACCCCTGCTTCCCAAGTATATATATTAAAAAAAACTTGGCTCCCCAGGAGGGGATTATAAAGGACTCATTGTAAAAATCAAATGCTGGACTCCGATCAACACTTGAGAAGGAAAACTCACCAGATTGCTAGGATTGAGATTGAGGCTAAGGCTTAATGCCAACTACATTCACAAAATAATCGATTTGAATACTCAACTTTTTTCTTCACAGGGGATACCCTTCTCTGCAATTGAGCATCATCATTATTTGATGATTCTTCAGCAAACAATCAAATTATTAAACACTATAAAAATGGTTTAACCACATTGCAGACTTGTACACATTAAAGTTGTATTCCTTGCAAAATACATAGATAGTCTACTCAAGTAGTAGTTCGAGGAAACATGAGAACAATATTGTTGGCTTATTGAACAAAATAACCACTCTTTTTGGTAAAAAAGAAAAACAAATCAAGCATTAAAGGCACCACAATTTATCAGGCTGCAGCAGCTTGTTTCAGCTCCCTATCAGCTCCGGTCGGAAATGCCTGATTAGACGGACTCATTGAATACAATGCTGGACTCCTCAACAACAGTTAAGAAGGAACCAGAATTCTTTCCGCTGTTTTGGCATTGAAGCAACACGGATTGAACAGATTGCAAGGATTGAGATAATCAACCTGAATAACAGGACCATAGCTCCAGAACAACAGCACGCCAATCAATTACTCCTCCTTTTTCCCACAGTTCTGATCAATGAGAAAAAATTAAAAATGAAGCGTCAACAAGGAAAAACAATCATAACCAGAACAAAAAAGGCACAACAACATTCATCTATTGTTCTTCAAAAGCACGATTAACTGACTGGAACCAATGAAATATATTAAGGATGGTTAAAACAGGCTAACCCCCGAAGAAGAATTGGCCCATACCAAAGAGCTCAAACGATACTGATTTTTATATCTTACTTTCTTTCTATTGGGCTATATTTTATCTTTATGCGGGAATCAAAGACCAAACGCCGAGAAATTATAGCAGGAATATAATCCAAATATTCATCAAGAGGTCGGGCCATTGTACATAGAGCTCAGGCCAATCACGACTGAATTCACATAATTTTAATTCACTTGTCATCTTTCAACAGATTATTATGCTCGCAAGAATTGCTTCATGTTTGGAATCTTCAAGAATCAAACTAGTTGTTCCTGGTAGAACGGTCTGTCGAAACTCAAACGATATTAGAAACTAGTAGAAGAATACACTTTTTGCAGCCGAAAACTATGAGGCAATGCAGTCCATTCTCCGACAGAAAACCCTTAAGCCAAAATACAAACATGGTTGCTAATTAGAAATTTTCCAAAGGGCATAAATATAGTTTAGTGTGTCTGCTAGTCCCAAGTTTCCCAATGGTCATAAGCACAACTACTAGACAAGCATTAGATATGGATAGGAAATGTGTGCAACATTCAAAACGCAAAAGATACTGCAATAACTAGATACTGTAGGCCGGCATGAAGAAGTTGTCATCACTCATCAGTTGTGTGCTGTCCCTTCTTCAAGATCTTCATCGTTTTCAGAGACCTCACCCCAACCACCAGCTCCTACATGGTAAACTGAAAGGAATGTACTACCCATCAGGGCCAGAATTCAAGGAAGAACAACCTTCCAATACAACATAATAGTAAAGAAAACAATCGGATAGGAGGCAAGCATACATACCACTGATAAAAGCACCACAGCTTTCACTAGCTTCATCACTTCCACTACCTTCATCATCAGATGGATATACAGACCAGCAAGTTGCAACTCTGGCAAACTTTGCAGCTTCACTAAATGACATACCAAGATGGTCCCTACATGACAAAACCAACATACCAAAACCAAATATATAATGATATCCTATGTAAAACTAAACAAGAGGACTAAGATACGGAGTCATACTTATAATCAAGAGCACCAAGTGCCATTTGTGAACAAGATCTACATGCAAACCTATCTCCTTCAAACAATCTCCCCTCACCATTCACGCGATTTGTTATTATATAACTAATACTACCTCCGTCCCCTTTAAAAAAAAAATCCACATTGAGTTTTTAGATTTGTATTATTTTTAGTAGAAATTCCAAAACTCAAAGTAAACTTTTTTTTTCAGGACAGAGGGAGTATAATTTATACTACTTTTGACCAAAAAAAAAAATCACCTATTTGTCATATGAAAGTTTTGATTTGTAATTATTTAATATACAGGACTAAAAAAATGAATAAATTTGATTATGTAACTATTAATACGCTACATTTGGTATCAGAATATTAGAGTTGCTAAACTACCTTTAAAATTATTTTGCGCAGATTTTTTTTTTTTTTTGAAAGAAAGAAAATTTTATTACGATTGCTTGATTTCAGCCTTAATGAGCATAGATATATTTTGGTAGAATATGGTAAAAAGAAAATGAATATTACAAATATCACTATTTGCAATAATTCTATCTTTGCAAAAATAAAAAAGAAAAAAAAAACATAAAAGGAGAAAATATAAGCCAAAAGAAATCTGGAAAAAATAAAAACTCAAAAACAAAAAAGGCATGCATGCGCGTGAGGAAGGATCCGGCCAATTTCCCCTTCTGCGAGTTTATTGCACGCCACCCGAATTTTACAATCCTAGAATTTGAATTACAATTATTAGAAAACAAAAAATTAAACCCATATTGAATTATAATTTCACTTATATTTTTATCAACCAAACAAAGGAATTCAACCCTTCTCCCAACAGGGGTTAACCTTCTCTGCAATTGAGCGGCAGCATTATTTGATGATTCTTCTTCAGCAAACCATCAAATTATTAAGATTAAAAATGGTTCAAGCACATTGCAGACTTGTAGAGACATTACACATTAAAGTTGAATTCCTTGCAAAAGTACATAGATAGTCTACCCAAGCAGTAGTTCGAGGAAACATGAGAACAATATTGTTGGCTTATTGAACAAATAACCATTCTTTTTGGTTAAATAGAAAAACAAATCAAGCATTAAAGGCACCACAATTTATCAGGCCGCCGCAGCTTGTTTCAGCTCCCTATCAGCACGCTCTATAATCCTCCTCTCAAGCTCCGGTCGGAAATGCCTGATTAGACCCTGAACTGGCCATGCAGCCGCATCACCCAATGCACAAATTGTGTGCCCCTCGATCTGCTTTGTGACTTCCTGAAGCATGTCAATCTCCTCCAACTTTGCATTGCCTACCTTGAGTCTTTCCATGATCATCCAAAGCCAGCCAGTCCCCTCCCTACAAGGCGTACATTGGCCACAGCTCTCATGTTTGTAGAAGTACGAAAGCCTTGCAATTGCATCCACAATGTCAGTTGACTTATCCATTACAATTACAGCAGCGGTACCCAAACCAGACTGGACAGCTTTTAGTGCATCAAAATCCATAAGCACGTCCTCGCATATATGCTTGGGAAGCAACGGAACGGACGAACCTCCTGGAATAACAGCAAGTAAATTGTCCCACCCGCCGCGGACGCCACCACAGTGCCTCTCCAGAAGTTCCCTCAATGGTATACTCATTTCCTCTTCAACCGTGCAGGGTTTGTTCACATGCCCTGAGATGCAGAAAAGTTTAGTTCCATGATTGTTCTTCCTTCCAAAGCTTGAAAACCATTCCGGACCACGCCTCAAAATGGTGGGAGAAACAGCTACCGTTTCCACGTTAGTCACGGTAGTGGGACAACCATACAATCCAGCATTAGCTGGAAAAGGAGGCTTCAATCTAGGTTTGCCCTGTTTTCCCTCAAGGCTCTCCAGAAGAGCCGTCTCCTCGCCACAAATATAGGCACCAGCACCAAAGTGAATATGCACATCAAAATCATAACCTGATCCACATGCGTTCTTTCCAAGGAGTCCGGCTTCATAAGCCTCTCTTCTAGCCTTCTCGAGATTCTTCCGCTCATTGACATATTCACCTCTAATGTAAATATAGGCAGCACTTGCTCTCATACCCACTCCAGCAATCAGGCAACCTTCCAACAACTTATGTGGATCATGACGCATTATCTCTCTATCTTTACACGTCCCAGGTTCACTTTCATCGGCATTGACGACAAGATAAGAAGGACGACCATCAGACACTTTTGGCATGAAAGACCATTTAAGACCAGAGGGAAAACCAGCACCACCACGTCCACGAAGTCCAGATTTCTTCATTTCGTTGACAATCCAGTCGGTACCCTTTAGTACTAGGTCTTTTGTCCTATACCAGTCTCCCCGTTTCATAGCACCTTTAAGAAAAGGGTCATGCAAACCGTATACGTTTGTGAAGATGCGGTCCTCATCCTTTAGACCACCGAAGTGAGTCTTCTCAGGAGGCGGTGGAGGAGGGGGAGACTGAGGCGTAGCTGCAGTGGATGCAGCCTGAGTGCTTAATAATCTACTGCCTAGGCCTTGAAGCTTAGAATGTTGGATTAACCTAATCCTTTGAGAAGAAAGAATTCCCTTTATGGGTGCCTGTAAAAGAAATTGTCAAAGGCCAATGTAAAGAAATGCACCAGATCAGCATGCTTTTCTCTTGCAGTGACAATGAAAACGCGACTGCAAAAGCATTTCTTTCGTTTCATTCCCAAATTACATCACCAAGGTTATAATATTACAGAATAATAAGAAAGCAATGCCTAGGAAATCAAACAGTTGATCACATATACAACTTGAAGGATGACAAAGAAATTGAACAACCATTTATATCTGAATATCTGCACATACTAAAATAAACCAGCTCCATCAACAGCTGTTAGAAATGCTTAGAGGTGGACAGCAGAAGACTAAACAAGAAAGCATTTCTACAAAACTAATTTCCTAAATTATCCATAGAAGAACTGGTAAAAGTTTTCTTGGTTTTTGTAGCTAGGGTAGATAATTTGGGAAATCAGAGTGTAGAAAAGCTTTTCTTATTTAGTCCCCTGCTGTCCACCTCTAAACATTTGTAATAGCTGTTAATGGTTGATATTAGTATTTGCAGATATTTTGGATATAAATGGGTATCTAATTTTAGCCACAGCACAGAAAAACCTGGATCATCACGGACACAAAGTAACAGTATGCAGAGGGTAAGAGATAAAGGAAATGCAAAATTCGATGAAAAAACGGCTAAGAGAACAGCAAATGCTACGCAGATTATTAGGGTTAGGATTTCATATAAGAGAATGATCCCCATCACCTTCACAAACAATATTTACCATGAACAAGTGATTCTCTACCGCATTTTTCAATCCCAAAACTCAAAGATTTCGAAACCCATCACTAATCGAATCCCTAAAACACGATCCCATTTTTGTTCTCAACAATTTTCCCACGGATCTAGAAAGGAGAGAACCCAAGCATTTAGGTTCAAAAATATAAAACAAAACATTGAAAAACGATCAAATGTCAAATTAAGCGTGAGCAACGTACCATTAGAGCTCCACGAGCTGGAGAAGTAAGCCCAAAGAACACCAACGAGGATCGAGCTCAATAAGCTTTCGGGTTTGGAGCTCTTTCTTTCTCAGTTCATCCGTGTTAAGTGAAATTTTCTAAGTGTTGGAAATGATGGCGTTCGGATGACGGTCAGGATTCTACATTAGGAAAATATAAGTCTTCAAAAGTATTCACATCCGACGGTTGTTATGATTTGGAGCCTTTGTGATGACAAAATGGAGTACGTGGAGTAACCAAAATGTTGGGCCAAATATCAACTTCAGGAATGAAGACCCCAAAATAATATTGGGCCTACAAAAACACCAGCCAAGGCTGTGAATCCGATTCCAGCCTGTCCAAAACGGGATACATTGGCACCCTTTTCTTTTTTACATTAATTTTTAAGCATTGGAGGGCTTTATAATAGTAATTAACTCGTCGTTCAAGGGATATTTTTTATAAGTATTTACTTAAACAATACTAAGCGTTTTTTTTTTTAGATATTCGGCTCAATTCCGGTTCTAGAACATCCCTAATCCTGGGCATCATCGATTGAATTGAGCTTTTTTTTCGTTGTGTTCTGAGTATTATATGTCTGTTTCTGAAGCTGTGTTCTTGGGGAAATTTGTGATTTGCTCGGCTGCATGGATTGAAGTAGAATCCTTGACGGCAATGAAATTATAAAAATCAGCAAAAGGAAGCCGACCAATACTTTTCCCCTTCCAAAAACCTTGTTCTCAAGGCTGGAAAACAAGCAAGGAAATGCAATCCACTGACTATGATATAATTGAAACTCCATATCAACTTCGTAGTTTCGCCGAGCTACCTTCAGTGTCCCTAGAACAACCCTGAGTTTACATAATTCAAGTTCATGAATTGTATTAGAAAACAAAATAGCTCTTACATTTTTCATGTCTTCAACGTCAATAGGGAATCTGCAATTTCTGAACTCAAACCCATGCTTAATAATCAGCTTTCCCTTAGAAAAACTAAGCTCCATAGCAACAGCCAGCTCACATTTAGAGATGACAAGAATATCTTGGAAAAGTACACTCATGATTGATATAGAATCGAACTCGCTGACTGTCACTTCTTACAAAGAAAGTCATCGGGCTACACACTACAGCAACCCTTTTCGGGGCAAAGGAATTTCGACAAATCAAGCTTCTAAACCAACCTTCATATGTACATTAGCTCCAAAATGGAAAGCCAAGCAGATAAAACTACTATACCAAATCTATAAAATCACATTTTCACCAAAGTCTATTTCTTGCCAAAAATTGCTTCCTTAGTCACCAACTGAATTCCCCTTACCCACAACTCAGCCATTTCCCTTCCACCTTCACACACGACAAAATGCACTTCCCTGTCCTTTGTGGTGGTGATCACCCTGAAAACACCTGGATCATCAACGTCCCCTCTCTTCCTCCTGTTCCACTGGAAAGTTGTGCTTGGCCCGACTTCTGCTCCCCTGCATACTACGTTCCTCTTACTTGATTTCCCCCAACTTAGAACACCATTGCCCCCAACCATCTTTAAGACCTGCAGGGACAGAGTTATAGTGGTTTTTTGCATGTTAATTACATTGAGAAAAGACTAAGTAGATAGGTCTCTGTAAGATAATAAGTGGAATGTGAAATTAAACATGAGACTATGTTGGCCATACGCCTTAGTACCTTCCAGTGAGGCCTTCCTTTGCCATTTTTAGTGTGTTTCTTCATTTTTCCACCGTCTAACACCAGCCGTCTAGCAAGCGAATCTAGTATTACATCTTCTGCATCTCTGTTATTGCTTTTCCGTGCAAGGGAGAGTGCTTGAATGTCACATTTTGCACCGCATGATATCAGAAGCTCACACATTGTTCTGTTTCCTGTTTTTGCAGCCAGCATGAGTGGAGTGTATCCATCGGCATCAACAAGATCCACATCATATCCTTCATCAATCAAAACCTGTACTAACTGAACATCACCACTGTGTGCAGCGCGGTGTAGGGTAGAGGAGCCAATGTAGGTTTGATCACCCTTAGATCGCAAATAATTAAGCATTACTCTCTCAAATGCGTCGCTGTTCTGATGCTTTTCGGCTAGACTAATTGCTGTTTCTCCATGGAAATTAGGCAATTTTACATCGGCTCCGGCATGTAGGAGAACCTTAAAAGCTTCCACATTGCCCCCTAATGCAGCAAACATTACTGCTGAGAATCCATTCCCATCTTGCTCGTTGAGGTTTAAATTGTCCTGTTGATTGAGGAGAATCTTTAAAGCCTCTGTGTCATTAGCTTGTGTAACAAACAACAAGGAGGAAAACATTTTCGGGTTGCTAGATCGGGCGAGCTTTCCATCTCGAATCACATCCAACACGGCTCGCTGGAAGCCTGTCTCCCAATGTACAGATCCAGCAATTGACTTGGCACATAGCCCTGCTACATTACAACTTCCAAAATCTGCACCTTTTTCTGCAAGAAGTTTTACACATTCCTCGTGCTTATTTCCCACACTAATCATCAATGCAGTCTCTCCAGAATCAGTGTTGGCATTCAAATTGCATCCAGCATCAATAAGATGCCGAACGGCTCCAGCTAAACCAAGTCGTGATGCCATATGTATCGGGCGGAAAAAATCCCTTTGTTTTGCTGTTTTCACTGGGGCTTCTGCATTGGCACCATAGCTTAAGAGCACTTCAACTGCTCTTGCATTTCCACATAGAATGGCATGATGGATGAGGGTCCGACCTAAATGTGGGATGTTCGGTGAATGGCGCTGCAGAAGCATACGCAAGATAGTGCCACTCGATTCATAGTACTCCACTGCACACCATGTTACATGATAAGGCTCAGCCAATCCAGCACCCACACGGAATTCCTCGCCGGTGCCTGCATCCCATGTCCAAGCTCCCAGTCTAACCATAATGTCTGTTCTGGCGCCGACCTAAAACAAAGATTCTAGCTTTTAAAAAACGCAATTGGCGGCGTAAAGTAGGCCAGCTTTCGTGCAAAAAAAGAGAGAACTCATAGACCATGTGAAAAGGTCCTGCTTATTTTGATTACAATGGCAACAGCAGTCTTACCTGTGACAGCAGTAAGGCAATAGATATCTGTCTTCCAACAATAGCAGCAGCCAGAGAATTACAGTCAACATTGGCATGAAGAGATGGCTTGGTAGATTGCAAAAGCACCCTGGCTGTGGCATTATAGTCCACACCATTCTGTGAAAAGCAAAAGTAAACTTGTTGCTTCAGATCACACACACACATATACATATAAAGTACAGGAGTCAAACAGATTATTGAGTAAAGATGATGGACTTATACGAGGGGGAATGTTATCAAACACGTTGTACCAAGTAGGGTAGCACCTTACCTTAATGAGAGTGTCAACGACATCTTTGAACCCTCTAAAAGATGCTGTGACAAGGGCATGCACAGCAACATGTGGGCGGACTAATTCAGATGCCAGAAGAAGTTCAGCAGGCCTGGCCATCCCCATGTAACATGCTTCCAAAAGGGCTTCCTCACAAGCATCCTGGCTCGCTCCCCCACTTATCAACATGTCCAATATCTCTACGTGTCCCTCCCTAGCTGCCGCTGTCGTGGCGTAGCCTCGAAACATTTTTTGGTTCACATTTGCTCCCACACTCTGTCCAAATTCCAAAAAAAGAAACAGCGGTGAGATCACGCATAAACTCCATTTCTAAACATAGGTATAGAAGTTAGAGTTTAGCATTGCACGTTGGAGCTGCAGGAGAAATCAGGTTGTCAAGTAAACTTGTCATTTTTCCGGGTTAAATTAGATTCCTAACACATTCTCATATAGTGTTTCAAAATGTCACCCTCTCTGCTTCCTTCGCTGTACCTAATATCTACAACCAATATATAAAACTGACGGTCTATAATAGAATTGTAAATAAGCTGGTCTGCTTCAAAACCAGTACAATGAACAAAGTTAACGATCTCCATGATCAAGCTTATTACGCTAACTGTTAAACAGCAAATTTCATTCGTTGCAGGTGAGGGAATTGCTCTATTGTTGAGCTTTAAACCGGGAATTGGAAAAAGTAATAGATCCATTATATTCTACGCCGGTCTAATTTAATGACTACTAATTAATTAAATAAGCTGGAAATCAGATACTATGAGCAACTAATTAAATTCCATTTTGAAATTCCTTCAGTTACTAGTAAAATTCAAAAGAGCAAAGAAAGAAAAGGAGACTAAAAATCATCATCATCATTTAATAATTTTTGCATTTTAATGAACGAGATTTTCTTCTTTTGGACTTCGCAGTTTGACTTGGATTGGACGAAGAATAATTGACTGACCAGTAACCTTCGGACAAGTGTGACGTTTCCGTTATGAGCGGCGAGGAACAACGCCGTAACCTCAGTCTTGAACTCCTCGAACTCAACGACGACTTGGACAGCCTCTTCCTCCCGCAGCACCACCTCCGTCTTCCTCACCTTCAACACCACCGATCCCAGGTAATTCACGTCCGCCGCCGCCGGCGACGACGTGATCAGCTCCGTCGCCGCCTTCAAGTCGTTAGCGTGGGCCGCGTCCACCAGCCGCTGAGATAACGACTCCGTCTCCGTCGACGCCGCTTCCTCGTGATAGAATTCCACCGGAAATACTTGCTTTCCCGCCATGTATCCTCCGCCACCGCTGCCCGCCGCTGCGCCAGCATTCGTTGAGGCGAACACCGTCATGATGGTTTTCACATTAGCCGGAAATTTGCTTGTGATTTGATTTTGATTAGTTCTGAATCTTGAGTGAAGGAGTGACCAGTTGACGGAATTAATTAAATGAGTGTTTTTTTGTTAGTGAGGAGAAATGTAGATAGTGGAGGAGGAGGAGCCTTATTTATATATATGTGTAAGATTATGGGAGGGAGAGTTTAACTGTGGTTAATTTAAATTATCATTTTCATTGAATTATTTATGTCTGACTAATCCTTTGCGACTAAATATCTTCGAATCGATTAAAGAAAAATCAGCGCATTAATTCTTTCACTTCTTTTTGTTTTTGTTTTTTTTTTTTTTGGACTTCAATACTCATTTGGACTACGTATATAATTTACCTTCCAAATTGAAAGTGGAAAGAAAGAAAGAAAGAAAGAAAGAAAGAAAGAAGATGAAAATGATATAATCTGGCTCTTGTATGAACAACTGGTATATGATGGAGCGTTTAGGCCATGATTATGGTTTCAAAATGGATATTTCGATTTTAACTTTTATGAATGGACCCAAGGAAGGAAAAAACCAATATTATTTAGTGGGCTATCTCTGCTTGTTGTTTGATGAGAAATAAAATGTAAAATAATGTAGATAGAAAACATGCATGTTGCTTTTCGTGCGAACATTTTATTATGCGTAAATGATACACTAACATTTTTGCAAAATTTAGCTTTTATTGAATCACAACAAGATAATTAAATTTGATAACAAAAGGTTAAAGTTAAATAGTAGTACAATCAAAAACATTAAAATTTGTGATGGTAATTTCATACTACAATTCAATTGGCGGCATAAATTGGTCAAAGTGACAAACAAAGTTACCAAGCAATGGTGAGTTGGTGACAGATAAAATTAATTAAGTTACACACTACTACATCCCAAAGCCAGAATAAATTTTAATGAAACGCAAATTTACATTTTTCTTTTGTTTATGTCGTTTACCTTAGACCAGGATTTTGCCCAAAAAATCAAAATGTCGACCAATTGCAATTGGATCGGAAGACACATGGCATGACCAGAGATCATCCCACCAATACACCCACAAAGGGACAGAATTTAAGGTTTGTCACCGGCTTGAATCGGATCGCCGGATTTGGCCTGCAAACAAGAAAATTTTTTCGACCTTTACGTTTAAATCTCACCCATGATGATATATTAACGTCGCAACATTATTGTTGAAGGATACTGAAAAGATATTGTAATGTGCGGGAATATCAATCAGATCATGATTTCATGATCAACTCTACACGCGCGGGAGGGATTAAGTCAGCGACAATACGATTGAACTTGATTTCAGTTAAGAAGAACTTGCAAAGGATGAGTAGATCTGGAAGATGGTATACATAATAATAATAATACAGTATATATTAAGAACATTCACATGCGTCGTAAATCTGTGATGAATTTATTATAAATGGAATGCATACTCTTAGGATCTTTTGCTATAGGCTATAGCCTTTTACACTGTATTATTATTATTATTAGTAGTGGTAGTAGTACGTAGTAGTACATGAACAACCGAATTAATCTCATTTTTCTTTAAAAAAAAAACTTAAGAACTTAATCGACAAACACAAAATAGGACATTTTTTTGGATGAATCACAAAAGTAAATGCCTTCGGTTGATTCTGATTTTGAAATGCTCATGATAATATCATAATACTCTCTCTAGCATCATGCGTTTGGATTTTTTTTTTTTAATTACATATTTTTTCATGCGTTTGGATTTTTTAAAATACGAATTGAATGAACAAAAATTTCAAAAAATAAAAAATAAAAAATAAAAAATAAAAATGCATCAGATATTAGGCCTTAGCTCTGGTCATTTTGATGGTGTTTTTTTTTTTTTTTGGGTTGGTTCTCAAGAGTCATCTGGATTCTGGCCCATAATCCCATCTGACGTTAATGTCGGAGGAATGTGGTAATAACGGGATGGGATCGCAGCACCATGTGGTGTTTTGGCATGTTGGTTTTTGAGCAGATGCAAACGATGCATCACAATTGTGGAATCCTAAGTTGATTTACTGCTACTACTCCTACTGATAGATTGAATTGTGGTTCCCCGATCGTGATATTGTGAGTGAAGTCAATATAATAAATCTAGTACTACGTGTGACGGTGTGAGTGAATTATTATGATGTAGTACTATGTCTTTATAAATTCACTTTTAATTTTAATTAATATTTAGATTTAATACTCCCTCCGGTCTTTATTATAAGTCATTTTGATTTCGTCTTATGTTTCACCTATGATATACTTTTAATTAAAATAAAAATTTTAAAAATATATCATAATAATTAGGAGAACATAACAAATATGAAAATATATGTTTAAAGTTTTTTTTTTTCAAATTAAAAAGGCATCTTCGGTTAAACCTAATACGGAATGGAAATGCCTTTTAATAAGGACCGGAGGGAGTAATAAAGTAAATATAAATTTATTAAAACGAGTATCATTTTCTTAAATCTCGAAGGTATCATCATATCGTTAAAACACATTGAAGATCAAATACAGTACATAGGTGATTACTAATCCAATTACTTCGACAAAATTGATAGTATAGATTTGACCAAAACTACAGTACTTTTGCAATTTGGAAGCAATAAAAAAAAAGGAAAATTAAAAAAATGAAGTAAGTTTGACTAAGTTATGGTAGGGCAAAATGGCTCAATACACCAGTTGCCCAGTTGATAGGATTTTTAATACGCCACCATGCAACAACAACTGAGAGACAAAGGTTTGTTCGCATTGTTACAATACTTACAATTTATAAATTTCTAATTTTGGGAGAAAAAAAGTAGTAATACAACTTCGAGTAAAGACATTTTAAATTTCTACAGACGACTATTCAATCCGAGATGCTCAATTTGTTTTTCTTTTTTCCCCTTGAGTTTTCAAATATTTTTTAAAATCTATATTTACTATCCTAAAATAAGATTCACTATACTGCATGATCTTATTTTAAAAAATGGATAGAAAGAGTCAGGCCCAAAGGCAATGGCCAATGAAATCGCTCTACGACTCTGTCGAAATGCTGAATATTATCAACGCCTTTCAATGGCGCGCAATTCAAGGAGTTACTTCACGCCTTCAGACTGGAGCAACTAAAAGCGTGACTTATTTCAAATTCCATATTTGCGCCTTCTGATCCACCTTTCTCCTTCGTCTGTTCTTTCAGTTTTCGTCGGCAACGTTTCCATAATCTGAAAGCTTTTTCTCTCCAATTCTAAGTACTCTGCTACCATTACATAATCCTTCCATCAACACCACTTTTTTTTTTTCCAATTATAATTTATCATCATGGATTATTGTAATTCCAATCCTAAATACACCCGAAATCCTAATTAATCATACGTTGACTTTTGATTTGGTTGGTTTATGAATTTGTAAATTTCTTATTCCAATCAAAGATAAGCTTCCAAGGTCTACTTAACTCTAGGGGGGATTACAATCTTTAAAGGAATTCCTAAAGCCATAGAAAAAGATGAAGTTGGTTCCGAGAGAAACAGAGAAGTTGATGCTCCACAGTGCAGGGCACCTTGCTCAGAAGCGTCTGGCTCGTGGGCTCAGGCTCAATTTCACTGAATCAGTTGCCCTGATTGCTACTCAGGTTTCTTCTTCTTCCTTCTATTTGCCACTGTGATTGATCCTTTTAATGTGTACTGTTTCATTGACTATTCATTTCCTCGTGTAACTGTAAGTGTTGTGTGTGTGTGTGTGTGTGTGGAACAAGAAAAAATGGACTTCGTAATGGGGATTTCGTTGGCAACTCGGCATTTTAGTTTTTTGTTTTCCCTCACCAACATTTGGATATTAACTTTGCCAAGTGCTACTGAATGCAAGCCGGAGGCTGTTCTTGTTGACTCAGAGAGACCTATAAACATGAGTTCATAGTTCTTTTCTTAAGAAAATAAATTATATCAGTGATTAATCATCAAAACGTTTATGTATGTTATGGAAGCTCCTTAACTGAGGCTTTGAGTATGTCCTTTTGATCGCTTGTTTGGAATAAGAACGCCTTTTGTTGCGATGGAGGACTTTGTTTGAACAGAATTTTACATTTTATGCTGGCCTTTCAGTACAACGTTTATGCTCTTAGTGTACATTCTATTGCATTGCACTTGCGACTTTGTGTATATTGATAAGATAGTAAAAGTGCAAAATTTTATGCTGTTTACATAGATTTATAGAGAATGATGAATTTTTATAGCCCAGCTATTCATCTGCATCTGGGATTGTGCTTCAATCTTGTGCAAATAGAGCTAGCTTCCTATGCTGTCAATCCTGTTAATACTTGTGTTGTTTAATTTATTATTATTTTGGAATTTCTCTTGTTTATTCTGCCTTAAGTTTGAATTTTTTGAATTTTGGTTTGGAATGGAGGATAGATTCTGGAGTTTGTGCGCGATGGTGACAAGAGTGTGGCCGAACTGATGGACCTTGGAAGAAAATTGTTAGGAAGGTATAGTCACCTCCTATTCTTTTCCATTCATGTGTAAGCCATATACGAATTCATTTTCATTGGATTGAAAGTTGATGATTCTGTATTACAAGCCCGGTATTGAGTACCTGAAGCAGTTTGGCATTTCGCATGCTCTTAAGTCATCAAGAGCAAGTTTTTTAGCCACGGTCGCTACCTATGATAATCATCTATAGTATAGGTCTGGCTCATATTTTTCTTTTCTGGAAATTGCAGGAGGCAGGTTCTTCCAGCTGTTCCTCATCTATTAGAAACAGTGCAGGTATTGAATTTTGTAAATTTTGAAAGATACTTGGCTGTTCTCTTGTCCCTTCATGTTGCTAAACAATGGCCTTTATGATTTATATTGCAAATGCAGATTGAGGGAACATTCCTTGATGGAACAAAGCTCATTACGGTCCATGAACCAATTGCATCAGAAAATGGAAATCTGGAGCTGGCATTGCATGGTTCCTTTCTTCCAGGTGATTCTATTTTACAAATGAAAGAGACCTTATGATGCTCAATTATGGCCCTAGACATTTTCATGCTTCTTTGCACTCTCTCACAAAAATCTTATTATCAAAGTTATCTTAAGGTTACGTTGAGTGTCACATGAATTGATTATGTGGGACAAAACTTCAATTGAGAAACAAACAGCTCGGCTGCTCTTTTGTTGCTTGATAGTCGTAATTCTTTGAGCTTTTTACACATGAATTTTATGCTAAATCGTCTTCTGTGCTTCTCACAAAAGTGCACTTCCGTCGCGAATGCTCTATTCTGTGAAGGCTATTGTCTGAAAAGATATGGTTTTGCAGTGCCTTCTCTAGACAAGTTCCCCCCTTTGGAAACCGGAACACTTCCTGGTGAAATAATCTTTCGAGATGGATTCATTACACTTAATTCCGGGAGGAAAGCTGTTAAACTTAAAGTCACCAATACTGGAGACAGACCAATTCAGGTTTTTGGCTTATATATAACTTTAGATTAATTCAATCATATAAGATTCCCTTGCCCTGAATTTAAATTAATATATTTTGAAGTATTTTTTGTTTGTGCGACTCCATCAGCATGATTTTATTATCTGTGAACTCACTTCCCTTCATACAATATTTATAATTTATAAAAACACTGGAACCATGATATTTGACACGATGAATGCTATTTATTATTATTTTTTTCCCCCTAAAAGGAGATGGTGCATGTTAAATTTTCAGGTTGGTAGCCATTATCATTTCATTGAGGTGAATCCATACTTGGTTTTTGACCGAAGAAAAGCCTGTGCCATGCGGTTGAACATACCAGCTGGGACGGCTACAAGATTTGAGGTTCATCCTTTTAAACCTATATATTAATTTTTAATTGCTTCTTTCTCTTTTGTACTGCATCGTTATAGCATTGAAAAGTGGGTTTAACTTAGTCGAAGGAACTGTATATATCAAACTGAAGCACAGTTAAATGACACATAAAAGGATGAATCTAACAGTTGCTCCTACGTTTGTCTTAGAGGGACTCCAGACCTGTCTCTGCTGATTAACAGTTGCTCCTATGTTTGTGTATGAATTTACAAGAGATCGAATCTTTCTTTCCGTCCATAACAACAAATTTTCTCATCTTCGAGAAATTTCTTTCAACCTTCAATTATTTTCCTGTGGTTCATCTCCAAATAATTTGCTATTTTTGTTGCTTAATACCGTGTACTTTCCATCTCGGGAAACTTTTGTTCACTTCTAAAAGCTTGTAACAGCAATTATTATACGTTTTGTCAGCCAGGAGACACCAAGACTGTCACCCTTGTCGGGATCGGGGGAAAGCAAGTGATTAGAGGTGGAAATGGAATCTCTGATGGTGCTGTACATGATGTGAGCATCACAGAAATAATGAAAGCAATGCAAGAGAGAGGATTCAGGCATCTTGAGGAACAAAATTCAAGGTTTTGAAAGCTGGCTAAAATGCATTTTACGCTGGCCAAAATTTGCTTTTCTTAGTTATGCACGATTTGCTTTTATCCTTTTTTCTTTTTCGTCCCCTTTATTTCTTGGTTATGTTTATAGTCCTTACTGTAGTTAATGGTACTCCATAATAGGCAACCTCTGAACTGATGTTGCAGTGAAGGTGTTATTGAAGAAGGATCCTCTTTTGCATATGGATTGTCACATGAGACCTATGGTAACATGTACGGGCCAACAGTCGGTGACAAAGTTCGGTTGGGTGACACCGATTTATTTGCAGAAATCGAAAGGGATTTTGCCATTTATGGGGATGAATGTGTATTTGGGGGTGGGAAGGTGTTGCGAGACGGAATGGGACAGGCTAGCGGTTATCCTGCCTCTGACTGCTTGGACACGGTCATAACTAATGCAATTATCATGGATTATACTGGCATTTACAAAGCTGACATTGGGATTAAAGATGGGCTTATCATTGGAATTGGTAAAGCTGGCAACCCGGATATCATGGACTGTGTGTCTGCCAACATGATTATTGGTGTGAGTCCTGTTTCCCATGTTTGACATAGATTGAATCCCAAAACTTTCTTTAGATCAATACTAAACCTTTTTGATTGATGATACAGGTTAGCACTGAAGTTATTGCCGGTGAAGGATTTATTGTAACTGCTGGAGTCATAGACTGCCATGTTCATTTTATATGCCCTCAACTCGCATTTGAGGCAATTTCAAGTGGTAAGATTCCAATTCATTTGAACATGTAAAAAGGGTCTTTTTTTTGGACAAGTTTATAGTGAATGATTTACTGGTTTCAAAATTTCTTAAAATTCTTTGATTCTAGAATTTCTTTATACTTTATTCTTTTGGAAGTGGAGTATTGTTCAAGTGTTTGTTTGAGTGCTTTCTTGTTTTCACTATTCTTGTTTGCATTATCTGTAGGAATTACTACACTGGTTGGAGGTGGCACGGGACCAGCTTATGGTACACGTGCAACAACTTGCACACCAGCAGCATCACATATGAGATTAATGTTGCAATCCACGGATGATTTACCTCTTAATTTTGGTTTCACAGGAAAAGTATGCGCCTCTTTTGACTTTTTTTTTTTCGGTTTTTGTTTTTATTGACAGAATTTTGATGCATATCAGAGCACCTGATGCTCTGATATTGATGATTTTTCCTTCATTTTTGCATAACACATAGATGCTGATGGTCTCAACACACCAAATGTTTGTCTTTGTGTTTGTAATGGGGTGATGTAGTACGAGCTTTTTAATGTCGCTAAAACATTCTTTTAATTTGTAGGGAAATAGTGCCAAGGAAGATGGCTTACATGAAATAATCAGGGCTGGAGCAATGGGATTAAAGCTTCATGAGGATTGGGGAACTACTCCTGCTGCAATAGACTGTTGTTTGAGAGTTGCCGAGCAACATGACATTCAGGTAATCACAGCCATTCGTCACCCGGCCCCGCCCCGGTTCTCTCTCTCTCTCTCTCTCTCTCTCTCTCTCTCTCACACACACACACACACACACACACACACACACACACACAAGGGCCTTCATTAACTCAGCGTCAGCCTTGAAATGGTACAGGTAAATATCCACACTGACACTTTGAATGAATCTGGTTTTGTGGAGCACACAATTGCTGCGTTTAAAGATAGAACAATTCATACTTATCACAGGTATTGGCTTTTTCCAATGGAGCAGGTCACCTTCTCTTTTGTTAAGTATATGGAAAAGATTATTTGTGGATGATAGATTTGCATAATTAGTATTCCTGCAGTGAAGGTGCAGGTGGTGGCCATGCTCCTGATATTATTAAAGTATGTGGTGTAAAGAACGTTCTCCCTTCATCAACTAATCCCACTCGTCCTTACACTTCAAACACTGTTGATGAACACCTTGATATGCTGGTAAGATAATTATGATTTAACTTTAGGATTTGGCGACTGCTCAAGAAACAATGTGCAATATGTACTCTGCCATTTTTGAGAACTGTTTTACTCTTACATGCAGATGGTTTGTCATCACCTTCATAAGGATATTCGAGAAGATGTAGCTTTTGCTGAATCTCGAATACGTGCGGAAACAATAGCTGCAGAGGATATTTTACATGATATGGGAGCAATTAGCATCATATCATCTGATTCACAAGCTATGGGTCGCATAGGCGAGGTTCAATTAGCCTTTTTTTCTCTTTATTCTTTTGACATTTTCTTTTGCTCCTCTATATTTGTTAGTTTGCAAAAAATGTTGAAGTTCCAGTCATGATATTCCCTTTTATCTTTTCCTCTTAATCAAAATGGAAGGGTTAAATAGACTTGTTTTTACTTGTGAGATACAGATGCAAACCTTTAGCTGCTTTTCTTGGCAGGTAATCTGCAGGACGTGGCAAACTGCACATAAGATGAAGTTAATGAGAGGACCACTTGAAGGGGATGGATCAAATGACAATCTGCGGATCAAAAGATATATTGCCAAATATACAATAAACCCTGCAATTGCCAATGGCTTCGCTCAGTTTGTTGGATCAGTTGAGGTATGGTAACTGGTCTTCCAAATTATTGATACTACATACAACACTAATTGTGCAGCAAAGTTTTCGGTTTACAGTAATCCAGATAATTCGTAGAACTAGCATGAGCAAATTTTGGTACTTGCAAGAATAGATGAATTCTGGGGTGCTCAAGTGTACTGGGGGGTTTGTAAGATGAAAACAAATTTTTGCCTACTGGACCTGAGTAGCGATTCTTGGTTCATACGTTGTTCAGTAAAATCTCGATATCTTTCCTAACACCATCTGGAATGCCCTGATAGTACAGGTGGGGAAATTGGCTGACCTTGTTGTTTGGAAACCAGCATTTTTTGGTACAAAACCGGAAATTGTGATCAAAGGTGGCACAATTGCATGGGCCCTCATGGGGGATCCAAATGCCAGCATTCCAACTCCCGAGCCGGTAATCATCAGAATAATTTTTTTTTCCTTTTTTTTTTGGCTGAAATCTCTGAAATTTGTGTGCCTTTTCAAGTACATCTCATTTGGCATCTTAAATTCTCATCTGACTTGTCTGTCTTATGCCAACACAGTACGAGTGAAAGCAGTAATTTTGCAGTAAGTGCTGCCTACATGCATCTCACATTTGAGTGGCTGAAGCAGCATTTTATAGAATATATATTAGACACTGCATGCATAAGGCCTCGATGGTTTATTTGTCATGAAACCTACCATAGATCAATTGCCCCTTTTATTTTGGTGTATTTACTATAACCCAAATTTTGAGCTTCATGTTACTCCTGCCAAACGCCATGTCAGATCCAGGGCATCCGAATTATATTAACTGGAATGACAGTTTCTCATTCGAAATCTGTAAAATGTTCCGCACGTGCAGGAGCTTTTATGTGCCATAATGTTATGTTTTGGTCTCCTATCTCTGTTTTCACTTTAGGCTAAGATTAACATATGCAAACATCATCATTATGCATCCATTAGTTGATGTATTCAACTAAGCTTTAAGGAGGCATCTTTTTTTCCATTTTCTCGCGCACCGGAAACTTTTTGATTTTGTTGTATTAACAAGGAGTTATCTGCAGGTAATGATGAGGCCCATGTTCGGAGCATTTGGTCAAGCTGCAAGTGACAACTCAATAGCTTTTGTTAGCAAAGTAAGTTCTTACTTCCCTCTCTTCCATTTACAAAACAAAGTAAGCTTCTTATGCGCTGTGTGGGGTCAATATCATGAATTTTCTTGCATCCTCATGTTATATCATATGTTATTGGTTCAATCACAATGCAAAAAATTAGCTTCCACAGCTCATTTTGATAATTTTGGACTAAACCACCTTAAAAATTCCTTGGTAAAAGTGACTGTGTAAGGGTGACATTGTTCAAATGACAGTGATTAGCTTTGGAAGTTTATTTTTGTACTGTGGCCATAATTCCTGGCCAGAAAATATCTCATACTCGAGAGGCGAGAGTCATTTACATGTGAGATTTCATTACCTCTTGCCAACATGACTCTCACTCTACCAACTCGGCATGGTTTTTGAATTCAGGCAGCTTTAGATTTGAGAATTAAGGATCAGTATGGATTGAAGAAGAGAGTGGAAGCGGTGAAAGGTGCGCGAGGGCTAACAAAACTGGACATGAAGCTGAACGATGCACTCCCAGACATCAAGGTTGACCCGGAAACTTACATAGTAACCGTGGATGGCGTCCATCTCACATGCCCTGCAGCTAACACCGTCCCTCTTTCACGAAACTACTACCTTTTCTGAACACAGAACCCACTTCCACATTTTTAGTTTTATCAAATGCTCTCAAAGATTGATGCAAACTCTTGCAGTATTGTTTAAGTTAGTTTCTTGCCGGTTTTTATGATTACACCTGACAACATCGGGACCATATATGCTGTTGGGCATGGAGTAAGGTTCCAAGTAAACTTATAAATGCAGCACCAAGTTGTCTACACACACACACACACACACACACACACACCCACACACACACACCAATCTAGGGAAACTGATAAATTCCTGTACATTTTTAAATCAAATAAGTCTTCTTGATGATGTCAAGAAAACCTTGGGAATATGATTTTTACCTTCATCTTGAGCAGATGGGATCCTCTGTGCTATCAAGTGTGTAAAACTGCGTAATTTCATTTAATTAGAGTCTGCCAGCTTAATCTATTAGAATTTTCATTTTGGTAGTTTTCTTAGTTGTCGGCATGATGGCGTTATCCCTTTTTCATCCTTTCCATTTAATATAAACTTGTGAAGTGTGATGATCGACGGTCAAAACCTATTTCGAGATTGCTAAATCACCAAATTTAGTGGCATTGAACAAAAAATGATATCATTGATGAACACTCAAGAGAAAGGAGCATCGAACGAAAATCATATTATGGATGAAAAAAACAACCATCATGACAAAACAATACTAGAGAAGTGGAGGTTTAATATATGTTAGGAAGAAGGGGCAAAAACAAAAATCAAATTGCCACGATAATTGGACAATGTCCTCCCAATAGTATGCAGCCTATACCCATCAACGTCTCTTTTAGAGAAACCTCCTCGTGACGATATTTAAGTAGTCTGTTCTTAACAAACAAACACTTCGTCCAAGTGCTAAAGATAGTAAATCAGTTTAACTATGATTCGGGATTAAATATGAGCATGAATATGCAACTGTGATTAAAATATTTGTTCGGAGAATTTTGCCTACTGAAATTGACCTACATGGCTTGGATTCGAGTTAGTCGAAACAATAATTTCGGAAATCGAAATTTTATACTAAAAATATGTAGTCTATTCTTTGAAAAAAATTTATAATAATTATAACGACCACCAATAGTGCTTTCCTCGACAATTCCGTAGAGACAAACTTTTTGTTTCCAAAGAGATATAATTAGCTGATTATTGATAAAGGTTTTCTTAATGACAGGAATCGGTTCATAATTAAATCTGTCACTGTTGGTTACTGGTATTTTGATCCGCATGCACAACAAAGATAGTGCAGTGCCATTATTTGATTCAGAATGGACACCCCCCAAAAGAAAAATGATCATATATGCTTATGGAATTGTGGGCAATCCCCTCTCGACCCCATTTTTAGTAAGTTTCCTTGTGGTAATAATGAAGGCCAATTGGATCGTGGCCTATCATCAACCCATCTCAGATTGAGACTTTGATCTTTTTTCCCTCTTTGCTTTCTAGAACTTTGTTATGCATCTGCATTAATGATAATGATAATGATAATGTTGTTTTGAGTGATAGAACGATTGAAAATATTATTTTAATGTAACCAGCATGATTATATCTTTTTAGTCAGAGTATTATATGGTTCTACACATTGTAGTATTCACTATTCAAAGCATCTTTTTTCTCGTTTATTTCTCTTTGTGGAGCAAACTCTGAAACTTCTGTAGTAGTATTTCTAATTAGAAAGAGCCCCACCAAACTCAAAATTTGAGGCACGTTGAAAACCTGCATATGCATGATGGTATGAACATAAAATGTGGAAATCGTTTCTTGGGCAAATGTACACGTGATTCAATACTAACAGGATTGACCCCTGCCAGTGCTTGCCTAGCAAACTACTAGTTCACTACGTTTTCTTCTTTCCTTTTTGTTTTTTATTTTTCCAGAAAAATGAAACTTTTGATTAACGACATTTTGCTCACTAAGTCCAAGCGGTCTTTATTGCTTTCTATTTTAAAGGAGGCACCTCAAAATAACATCAAATAATGGTAGTTATAACGTTAATGGGGACTGAAAACAGTCTTTCAATAATGGAGAAATTGTGTACATACATTCCGTGCTCACTTCTATGTAAAAGGTGACCCATGATCGTGAATCCATTCCACTGGCCAACTTGCAATTGATCTCACAATCTGATTATGCGTGAAACTTATGGTCTTCCACTCCCCCACACGATACCTTAACTTATTAGCGACTTAGCGTATGCATTTCTGTCTCTTATGTGAATACCCTAATTCTCTATCTGCTTCAAAATGAATGAAATTACTTCGAAATAATTGAACACTTGTGCATTTATGATGGCTCGTGTGTATTTATCTTGGAATTTGCAAAGCTGATTCTCTCAAATAAACTCAAATTACCAGCAGCTATTTCAAAATTTTGTTTAATTTTAACAATAATAGAATTGTTTTTATAAGACGAATATACGATTTATTTAGGATTTAATTTTTGCACATACAAAAATTGTATAAGATATGTTGTACTCCGTCCGTCCCACAAAAATAGTCCAGTTTAATAAATAATCTTGTTCCAAAAAAATAGTCCAATTTTAAAAAGTTAAAATAAAAAGTAATTGAAATGACTATAACATCCTTCACAATTAAACATTATTACACAACTTGTATCAGGGTCCCAATTCATCCGCCGATTCTCTGATTTCTTCTTGAAAAAAGCTCGGAGATTTTTTCCGATGGTTTCCTCCACCGCATTGAGACCCTCCTTGAGTAGTTCTTCCTTCTTTCTTTTATCTCCTTTTTCACCTTAGTCTTCTGTTTAATTGAAAATTTAACATTAATTATCAAAAAAACAAATCAAAAATAAAATAAATAAAGAATTGGGATTTCTTGATATACAGAGTGTACCTGTTTGGCGATAAAGATTAATTTTGAACTGTTGTTGTTGAATCTCGAAAGACACATCTTGGCCAGGAAAAGTGAGAGAACCGCCACTGTATCACAGATTCTTGGTGGTTTGTGGTGGTGGTGGGCCTGGTGGCTTGGCGGAGGAAATTGAAATTTACTGTTGATCATCGGCGGTGGTGGCGTTGTCGTCGTACCATGGGCGCTTTCTCTGAACTGCGGAGAAAAACCACTACCGTCTCTATCACGTCTAGAATTGATTGGTATCAAAGACTTTCGTTAATAGCAGGCGACTGTGATTTTTTTTCCGGCGAGAGAACAGTAGAAGATATGAAATAACAAGGTTAAGATAGGAAATTTGTTAGACTAAAATAAGTTGTACGTTACTGGGTTGATCAAATTAAAAAATTTATACGTTTCGAAACTAGACTATTTTTTGTGGGACGGAGGGAGGGAGTATTTTTATGCCGTATCATGCATTGTACACGCCATCTCATACGAGTCTGGATTGCCAAATATATTTATTTATTTTCCCATTCCCATCACTTGCAAGGTAGCTCCAGAAGTCCAGATCAGAGCAATTTGGTATTTAATCAGTATAATAATCAGACTATATTTGACTAAATTTTTTATGTTTTCCGTCTGTCGCCATTAGATTTTATTCAAGGCTCTTCAAACAACACAAAAAAAAAAAAAAGAAAAGAAAAAGAATTGGAAATAGTGCAGCGTACAACGTGATAGTAGCAAAATTTAATCATGCTAGTTTTAATCTAAGTTAGATAAATGACAATTTCCGGGTTTATTATATCTCCAAGTCATCTTCCAGTTTGTGTTTTTGCTGCACTGATCAGTTGACTTGACTGGAAAAACTTGTCGGATTATTTTTTTTCCAAGAAGATGTTTACTGCTCAGCTAAAAGGCAGCAACAATATCAAGCACCATGTCCCCGACATCGTCCGGCGACCGGAGAAGTTCACCGGAGCCGGGAAGTTTGGTGGTGGGTTATCTTTGCTTAGCAGTAATGTCCCCTGTTTCAGGTCAAAACAGAGTAGCAGCATAAGAGCAGTGATCAGCAGCGAGGAAGATGCAACAAAGCTGGTTGTGGAAAAAGATGCTCAAAAATTAGGAAACTCTAATGGGTCTTTGTTGGCTTCTGATTCTAATTCATCTATGGAGGTTAAAGCAGTGATCACTGTAAGGAAGAAGATGAAGGAAACTATGAGTGTTAAGCTTGAAGAGCAGTGGGGAACTTTTATTAATGGGATTGGCAGAGGAATCTTGATTCAACTCATCAGTGAAGATATTGATCCTGGTAAAAAAAAAAAATTATTGTTTTTGGTCAAGGAAAAAAAATGCTTCATTTTCTTTATGAATTGACTGAATACAGAGATCCTTGTTTGATACTCATTGATAGTTGACATATTATATTGGTAATTTTAAGCTTCAAAAGTAAAAGGCTTTCTTTTCTTTTTGAAAATTTATTTATGGATAGAATCTTTAGTTTCTCTTAAGGATAATTGTGTGTAGGAATCTTGGTTTAGCTCATCAGTTGAAGAATCCCCTTTGTTCATGAAGTCCTTATTCCTTTTTGTTGTTTTCGTTCAAATAGATTCATCAAGTATATGATTTTTTTCCCCTTTTTTTTTTCGGAAACATAGTTACCAATTCTGGAAGGAGTGTTGAAGCTTATGTTAGGGGATTTCCTAAGCCAACAAACAATCCGTATGTTGTTGAATATGGGGCAAATTTCATGGTGCCACGAGATTTTGGATGCCCTGGAGCCATCCTGGTTACCAATTTTCTGGACAATGAATTCTACTTGGCTGAGATTGTTGTCCATAATTATGGTGAATGGCCCCTATTCTTTCCTGCACATACATGGATCCATCCGCGAAAAGCTAATCCGGAAAGCAGGATCATCTTCAATAGTAAGGTCAGAGAATTTCATTCCTTTGGTGATTCAGATGACTTAGTGAACTCAAAAAGGTTTAACATATATGTACATTGATATGACAGGCATACTTGCCATCTCAAACGCCAGCCGGAATTAAGGATCTTCGAAGGGAAGACTTGCTGAGTATCCGCGGCAATGGGAAAGGCGAGAGGAAAATGCATGAGAGGATATATGATTATGATGTCTACAATGACCTTGGAAATCCAGACAAGAATGATGATTTAGCTCGGCCTACCTTAGGTGGCAATGAGAGGCCTTATCCTAGGCGCTGTCGAACAGGCCGAGCTCCCATGAAACGAGGTATTTGTCATTTTAGGTTGAGTAAACCTTTTTTTGGTCCAATGTGTGTGTGTAATCTGCAGTAATGCACTTCCATTTTCACAGATTCATCCTGTGAAAGTAGAATAGAGAAACCTCATCCCATCTATGTTCCGCGAGATGAAGCATTCGAGGAGATCAAGCAGAACACATTTTCAGCCGGAAGATTGAAAGCTCTGATGCACAACCTGGTACCATTGATTGTTTCGACCTTCTCCAGCTCAGACAATCCATTCACTTGTTTTTCGGAAATAGACAAGCTCTATAAGGTCGGCATGGTTCTGAAACTTGAAGAACAAAAAGATATCATAAATGGTCAAAATATATCCAATTTCTTCCGGCAAATCTTTACAGTAGGCGAAAGGCTGCTGAAGTATGATACACCATCCATCATCAGAAGTATGTATTTTTAAATCCTTTTCCTGTTTTTTTCGCCTCTCTTCCCATATTTAGGCTTCATTCAAGCTGTTATTGGAAATTGTAGTTTGTGAAACACTTTGAAAACGGGTTGCAATCTTTATGTTTCAAGGGGACAGGTTTGCGTGGTTAAGAGACAATGAGTTTGCTAGGCAAGCACTGGCAGGGGTCAATCCTGTTAGTATTGAACTGCTAAGGGTAGGATTTTGCTGTGACAAAACTTTATTTATTTGTGATCATCAATTTCTCAGTTCTATCTTAAGAGAAATGGTGAAGTTCTTCTATATTCGCTAACTTACAGGAATTCCCCATCATGAGCAAACTGGATCCCGCAGTTTATGGCCCTCGAGAGTCTGCAATTACTAAAGAAGTAATTGAGCGAGAGTTGCAGGGAATGACTGTTGAAGAGGTACCATTATCTGAACATCATCTTCTTTACCATTTAACCTATTTAGTCTGTTGACGGTTTCGCTTCTTCCTTACTTTTCTCTTCATACAAATTTGACTGACCTGTACAGGCCATGGCGGAAAAGAGACTCTTTATAATCGACTATCATGATATGCTTTTGCCATTCATTGAGAAGATGAACTCGCTGCCTGGGAGAAAAGCTTATGCCTCTAGAACAGTGTTGTTCCTCGGACCGACTGGCGCTATGAGGCCAATAGTCATCGAGCTTTCGCTTCCTCCTACATCTGATTCACCGAGAAACAAGCGTATCTTTGTCCAAGGCCATGATGCTACAAATCATTGGATGTGGAAGCTAGCTAAAGCGCATGTATGCTCCAATGATGCTGGTGTTCACCAATTAGTGAACCATTGGTATGTCAGTTGTTTCCCAAAGGTCTTAAAGTCACATCAGTTTTCAAGCATTTTAGTTTTTGCTTCATCTGAATTCGGATGAATCCATTTCATAATAGATTTCACAGTTCTTATTGGAATGCTTAAAATGGAAATGGGAAGAAAGTCTTTTGGAAATATGAATATGTGCATTTTTGTTTAATATGTTCATAAATTTGGGATATTCCAGGTTGCGGACTCATGCCTGCATGGAACCTTACATAATTGCTGCGAATCGGCAGCTCAGCTCAATGCATCCAATCTACAAACTGCTGCATCCTCACATGCGTTACACGCTGGAAATTAATGCCATAGCAAGACAAGGATTAATTAATGGAGGTGGGATTATCGAAGCTTGTTTTAGTCCTGGAAAAAATGCCCTGGAAATAAGCTCTGCAGCCTATAAGCAAATGTGGCGGTTTGACATGGAAGCACTGCCGGCTGATTTGATTCGGAGGTAAGTGAATTTACTGAGTCTTTGCAGCTATAAAGCTGTTATAGTTTTTACCCTTTTCTCCCAAATCAGCTATATTTGTCATGTCAAATTTATAGGGGAATGGCTGTGGAGGATTCCTCGATGCCTTGTGGCATAAAACTCGTGATCGAAGACTACCCTTATGCAGCTGATGGACTACTCATATGGGCTGCTATCAAAGAGTTGGTGGAATCCTATGTGGAGTACTATTACAGTGACTCTGAATCCATCAAATCTGATGTTGAGCTCCAAGCCTGGTGGAATGAGATCATAAATAAAGGCCATCCTGACAAAAGAAATGAGCCCTGGTGGCCGAAACTTGAAAACCAGAGTGATTTATCTGGTATACTAACAACAATGATCTGGATTGCTTCAGGTCAGCAACAACAAGAACTATATAAGAACTATATAATCCCTATGGATCAGTTACATGAATCATATGTTTCTGTCGTGCTTGTCGAAACACATAGCTTATGTCTATCTTAACTGTTTGTTTCCTTGCTTTAGGTCAACATGCAGCTATAAACTTTGGACAGTATCCATTCGGAGGATACATGCCGAATCGCCCAACCCTAATGCGGAAACTCATACCCGAAGAAAGCGATGAACTCGAGTATGAGAAGTTCCTTCTTAATCCTGAACACACTTTCCTGTCATCTTTGCCTACACAACTCCAAGCCACAAAAATAATGGCAGTTCAGGACACATTGTCAACCCATTCGCCCGACGAAGAGTACCTTCACCAGGTGCACCATCTCCACAGCAGTTCACTCAAGGATCCCGAAATCCTCAAGTTATTTGAGAAGTTCTCATCCAAACTGGAGGATATAGAGAAGATCATAAACCAAAGAAACAAGGATATACGGTTCAAGAACCGAAATGGTGCCGGCATTCCTCCGTATGAATTGTTGTTGCCTTCTTCGGGTCCAGGCGTAACCGGGCGGGGTATTCCCAACAGCATTTCTATCTGATTAGGTTAGTTATATTCTTAGTTGCAGTAGAATTTTTTGGTACCTATTTTCAGCAGTAAAGGAACATGTTTACATTTGCTTCCACTCCAAACCTTTTTGTATAGTTCTTTGTAATTCAGCCAGTCAAAGTAGAATTATGGTCGGGTCGCAATGTTTTTTCAGGGGAAAATATATTGAACTTAACAAGACTTTTTTTTTTTTTTTGCATCAATACTGGCTGTTGAAATTTGAAGCTAAATGAAAGATCTTTACTCTTTAAGATGAAAAATTGGCCAATCTACCAAAGGTTGACATGTGTTGTCAATTCTACACTATTCTTTTTCGGTTAGTCAATATTACTCTAAACTATCCAACAGTTAGCCGATTTTGTCCCATTTGCAGATTTCCGTTTAAATTAACGGAATTCTATTAGTTTTAATTACAAAAAAATCTTAATAGTTTTGAAAATTATAAAAATGGACTCAAAAATTTGTAAAAATAACCAAACAGTATTTTTTTACTTTTTATTTAATTTTTTCTGTTTTCTATTTCCTTTTACTATTTCTCATAAGTATTAAAATATATTATATGGTCTTTTAAAAAAATTATTTATTTTTAAACACTACTGTGCAAATTTATAGATATACATATTTGTACTTCATGGTAGATTTACATAAACATATTAATTTTTTTTAATAATATAACTTGACAATAATGATATTATTTTTTTAATCCATTTTTTTCAATTTAAAGAATAAAATTTTTTTGACTAAAAACTAATTTTTACAAAAAATTAAAACATTTAGCATAACTTAAAAAATTTTATTGGTATACTTTAATGTTATTGCAATTTAATTCAATAGAATTTAGATTGTATAGTAAAATTTAAAAAAATAATTAAACTAAAATATAAATTTTCTTTAAAAGTCCAAGTACGAACAGAAAGTAAAAAAAAATTGTAAAAAATATTTTATAAAAAATATGTATATTTATAACTGCGAGGGTTTAACATTTCGTGATAATTTTTTTGAGATATTAACATATCTAACTTTAGCAGGAAGTTTTTTTCCAATAAAAGAAAAAAGAAAAACTACTTCAGTACTGGACTTCACCTTTTTTATATATATATATATATATATATATATATATATATAAAAAGATTGTCCTAGTGAGAATCGAGACCTCGAACACAGTAATAATCATCTCCTATCTGAAATCACCTGACCATCCAACTCAACCACCTCACTTTTAGTAGACTATGATTAAATATAGATAAAATCACTCTCCCGGTTAGAAATTCTTTTGTGAGAATTTATCTTATATTTACTCTCATGAAGCTCAACACCCTAAACACTAGTTTGTATCCGATATTTTAGTTTAATTTTTTTTTGAATTAGATAATAAAATCTATAGTCTGTTTAGTTAATTTGTAATAAATTAAAATGTACTAATATATTAATTTTTAATCTATGCTAATGTTTTAATTTCTTATAAAAATTAATTTTTAGTCAAAAAATCTTATTCTTTAAATTGAAAAAAAAGGATTAAAAAAAATATCATTATTTTCAAGTTATAATATTAAAAAATTAATATGTTTATGTAAATCAACCATGAGTTACAAATATGCATATCTATAAATTTGTACAGTAGTGTTTAAAAATAAATAGTTTTTTAGAAAAGATCATATAATATATTTTTATAGTTATGAGAAATAGTAAAACGAAATAGAAAACATAAAAAATTAAATAACAAGTGAAAAAAGACTGTTTGGTTATTTTTATAAATTTTTGAGGTTATTTTTATAATTTTTAAAACTATTAGGGTATTTTTGTAATTAAAACTAACATAATTCCGTTAATTTAAAGGAATTAGTAAATTGGACAAAATCAGCTAACGGTTGGATAGCTTAAGATAATTTTGACTAACTTAAAAAAAGAATAAGATAGAATTGACAATGCATGTCAATTTTTAGGTAGATCGGCCAATTTTTCCTGTTTAAGATGCACATTAGGTTTTTGAAGTTTCAATAACTGGTTTGATTACATTGGCCTCTCCTGCGATTTTGCAAAAGCTACCAACACTAGGAAGTCAACCGTGAGACTAAAGTGTCTCCCAATTTAGCCAAATAATGACGAACGATTTCATTGTTTCTTCACAAACAATAATTTACCTCTAAAAAACTAGAGAAATCTTCCCTTGAAATTAAACAAGAACAATCGAAAATTAATGAACATTTTCAGGGCGGATCACATTGCTAAGATGCACATATGCTTCCGAATTCATAAACAAAAATTCTGTTTAATACTATATTTGACAATTATTTTAAAACAAAAATACATTAAAAAAACATGTGTTAGTAAAGTGGAGACGGCGAAGCCAGCCATTATTTTTAAACATTCAAGATCTATTCAAAGTCTCGGGAGTTTAAATATTGGGATGATTTTATTTTATTTTATATTAAAGAGGGCCAAGAGTGGTAATATTAAGTTTTTTTTTTATATTAAGTATAGTACCCCTCCATTCCAAAATAAATGTCATTTTTAGATTCTAATGTATTTTTTGTCAAAAATTTTCAAACATACCCTCAAAAGAAATAATATTATTGGTGAGTATTATTTTAATGAGATTGATTGAGGATATTCTAGTAATTTAACTACATTATTTAAGTGTTTCTTAAAATGGGTGCAAACTCTAGAATAACGCTTATTTTTGAATGGAGAGAATAAAATGTAGTAATAAATCCAGGATTTTTTGTTGGTTTTTTGGTGACAGGATTATGGTGTTCCATGCAGCAAAGTTGGTTGCATAAAAAAAACACAAGCACGTGGCCAAGTGTTTTTTTAAAAATAAAAAATAAAAATCCATTCCAATAAAATCTATTTAAATGTGGGTAAAAATTTCAGATTGTCAGAATGTGAGTAAAAATACTAGGAAATACATCAACCAAACTACTAGACTGTCATTCAATTCCGGCATGTGGCCAAGTTGAAGTCTCTTCTCCTTGCAATTAATCTTTCTCTTGTCTTGATAATGTCAGACCCGAAATAAATTTTATTTTTTTAAAAAAAAATCAACTTGGTTGGCTAATCATTTTATTGGACCTTGAAGTGAAGAGATTCCCAGATTAAGAACCAAATTGAAAGTTTATCTATTCACTAATAATCTTAGTAAGGCACAAATGAAATTATGGAAGAGCAGATAATTCAAAAGAGCTGGTAATGAGTTACCATGAGCTAGCTCGCTCCTTATCTTTTTCGGATAGATATTTTCCAATATGAATTAGCCACTTATTCAACTTTTCCCTTAAGCCCAGCCCTAATGGATGGACAAGATACCTTATTATGGTCAAACATAAACTCCTTCAGTATTTTGTTTGCAAAGTTTGAGGGATGGATCTATAGCTCTTATTTCCTCTCTTTCAAATCAAGAATCAAGTTTGTTATAATTTCATTAAGAGCAAGTGCAAGGGTGAGGGTTAAATAACGTAGGGTCACCCTCCACCTAAGCTAATTATTGTCTCACTTTTTTACTTCATACACTCACCTCTACTGAATTTATCAAAATGAGTAAGTAAAGTGGGCCACTTTTTCTCCCCTACATTACTGCATTCATTTTATCACAATTCGGCCCCACAATTTACAGTAAAAACAAGTAAGAAACAAAATGACGCAGGGTTACTACTCAACTCTCTCCCTTGAGTTGGGTCGTAAGTGGCACATATTTTAATGTCAATTACGACTAGTGGACATGCTCTAATTTTCTGGCATCTTGCTAGACTGCTCCAGTTAGTCGGTTACCACGTTCAACTATACTTATTGGTTATTAGTACAAACGATCAGTCTAATCTGGTGTTGTACTAGCAAGTTTGTCTATAAACTATAAAGTATTACATCTGTTCCAAAAAATAGTTCATAAGTTTTTATATTTGTATTATTTTTAATATAAATTTTCAAACTCGATGTAAAATTATAAATTTTTTTTGGGTGGGCCTTATCCAAAAACAAAAAATTCGTTTCTTAAAATATCAAGTCATTTTCTTAACCATGTCAGCCAAAAGTTTTCTAAATAATATTCTTGTCCCACTTAGGATAATCATCATCAGCGATGACGTAGTCCACTGATAATAAGAATCGAATTGAAAGTTTGTCTTTTCGGCTGATGAAATTATTTCCCTCTCTCTTTTTCCAAAAGGATCCATAAATTGACTACAAACACCTAAATAATATGAAAACTCAAAACTTCATGTCAGTATTGGTATCGCTGCCCATGCAACGCAGATGCCAGAGCAGAGAAATAATAGATTAAATTGTTCAAACGCTGCTTTCAAGCACGACATCGAAAAAATTGTCACGCTTATTTTATTCATCTCATTTTAATAATTAATTTTGTTATAAATAAAATTATAGGTAGAAATCAATTCAATAGAGTTTCAACGATATCCTTCCCGATTTTCTTTTGCTAATTATTTATGTTGAAGGGGTGGACAGATGGATATAAACCATTTTTATTGTATACTTTCATTTCCTTTTCAATATTGATCAAGAATCATGATCACCATTTTGTTTGTACTACAGTTACCACAATAATTCATTGATCAAGTTTTATAATCACATGATTAGATTTCATCATTGAGCTACCAAAACAAAAAAAGAATTTACGGGAAAAAACAAAACTGAATTCCTGCACAATTGATGTGCTAAGAATTTGTTAATGTTATCCTTGGAGGAATCACATTTCTTGGGACTAGCATAAATTGAGTTTTAATACTCCCTACATTTTGAAATATATGTCGTTTTAGAATTTGGTAAATTTTTTTTAAATATATGCCTTTTTCACGAATCGAGGCATATTTGACCACTTTTTACTAATATTACCCTTGCATTAGAAATGAAAATATATTTATAATAAATTTTTATTGATTTGTAATGAGTTGTATAGAAAAAAAAATAAGGTTATTTTAATATTTCAACTACATTAATTAATGTCTTTTTGATAAATTTTCTAGAAATTAAAAAAAAAATGGAGGGAGTATCTAGTAGTGGTTTGCCCAAATACTGAATCTTTTGACTGAAGGGGGAAAAAAACTTGGGATTGTTAAGTTTTTGTTTCCAACAAAATGTTAACAGCTCAACCAAGAAGCAGCTCAAGTATCAAGCATCATCATGTCCCTGCTGCCATCATCCGGCGGCCGGAGATGGTCACCGGAGTTGGTAGGTTTGGTGGGTTCTCCATGCAAAACAAAAATGCGGTTTGCTTCAGATCAAAAAAGAGGCAACAGCAAGTGAACATAATAAGAGCTATGTCAGGCTGTGATGATATCCTGTTGGCTGCCAAAAAGGGGATTGGTAATGGATCTTCTTTGGTTGCTCCAACTGTGGAGGTTAAAGCTGTGATCAGTATAAAGAAGAGGAAGGAAGAGAGCATCAATGTTATTCTTGAAGAGCAGTGGGCAACTTTGATTAATGGGATTGGCAGAGGAATCTCCATGCAGCTCATCAGTGAAGATATTGATCCCGGTAACCATCAAGCTTTAAAAACCAGTAAATACTTTCTTACTTTTTTGTGCATTTAATTTTTAAGTGAATCTTCAGCTTTTCTTGTAAGTATGTCTGCATATTAGGTTCTAGTTGCTGTCTTGTAAAACTGTGGTTTCTGAAAATTGAAGAAACATACTGTTGAAACTTTTCATCAAGCAAGCAAACAGAAAGATCAGTCCTTTATTACTACTTTGTGTTTCCTACTTTTCTTCATGTTATGTTTCTGCAATCTGATTTTTTTTGCCTGTTTTACTCTTTGTATCACAAATAGTTACCAATTCAGGAAAAAGTGTTGAATCTTCTGTAAAGGGATTGCCTAAGCCCTCAAACAGTCCAAATGTTGTTGAATACACTCTGAATTTCGCCGTGCCAACTGACTTCGGATGCCCTGGAGCTATCATTGTTACCAATTTTCTGGACAAGGAATTCTATTTGGTGAATGTAGTTCTCCATGGTCATGGTGGAGAGCCCCTTGTCTTTCCAGCCAATACATGGATCCATTCGCAAAAAGATAATCCTGAAAGCCGGATCATCTTCAGCAACAAGGTTACAAATTAAGAAATGGAAAAAGCTTATGTGTATTAAGCAACTTGCTTATGTGTATTAAGCAACTTCATGATTGATGAAAAGTTAATACATTGGTTGCTCTGAATGATAGGCCTGCTTGCCATCTCAAACACCATCTGGAATTAAGGATCTTCGAAGGGAAGATTTGCTGAGTCTTCGAGGCAGTGGTAAAGGCGAGAGGAAAATGCACGAGAGAATCTACGACTATGCTGTTTACAATGATCTCGGGGATCCTGATAAGAGTGATGATCTAGCCAGACCTACCTTAGGAGGTAGTGATGAGAGGCCTTATCCTAGGCGCTGTCGAACAGGCCGGCCTCCAACCAAAAAGGGTATATATTTTTGATGTTTCAATGAGAAAAGTATCTTCATTAAGCTTAATTTATGTGTATACAGTTTAATCCTCTTCCATTTTGAACAGATTCATCTTGTGAAAGTAGAGCAGAGGGGCCTCATCCATTCTATGTTCCCCGAGATGAATTTCCTAATGAGATCAAAATCACTACATTTTCAGCCGAAGATTTGTTGAAAGGTCTGTTGCAAAACCTAGTACCATTGATAGTGTATCTCTTGTTCAGTTCAGACAGTAATCCCTCTTCTTGGCTTTTACAAATATACAAGCTTTATAATAATGTCGGTGTCGTTCTGAAGCCTGAAGAACAAAAAGATAGTTTAAATAATGAAAATGTTTCCAATTTAATGAAGCAAATTGTAACAGTAGCTGAAAGATTGCTGAAGTATGATACATCCTCACCCATCAAGAGAAGTATGTACTTCTATAGTCTTTCTTTCATTAGGTTTCTTGGGACCATGTTCGCCCCTCACTCGCTAAATAGGCTTTCTTCAAGCTGTAAGTTACTGAACAAAAAAATGTAGATTGAGATGCATTGGAATGATACTCCAGTTCTGAAAACATCTTTTGTGATGAACTTAAGTTATGTTCTTTTTTGGGTTTCTAGGGGACAGATTTGATTGGTTAAGAGATGATCAGTTTGCTAGACAGACACTGGCAGGTGCTAATGCTGTTAACATTGAACTATTAAAGGTATATTACTAAACCTTACTGTAGAGTGAGATTTGTTCAAGTTACTGTAGACTAATGAAGTTCAACCTTGTGGCAGGATTTTCCGATCATGAGCAAACTTGATCCTGCAGTTTACGGTCCTCAAGAATCCTCGATTACTAAGGAAGTAATAGAACACGAGCTACATGGAATGACCGTTGAAGAGGTAACAGTATCTAACCACCATCTTCTCTGCTGCTGAACTTATCTAATCTAAGGTCTAACTCGTAGATATGATCCTTACTTCTATCAGTTCAGGATATTATAACAATACACTCACGCTAAAGAATTTCCCTAATCTTAATGTGAGGTTTCAGATATACTAAATGTTGACTTACTCATGCAGGCCATAGCGGAAAAGAGACTCTTTATAGTTGACTATCATGATCTACTTTTGCCATTTGTGGAGAAGATCAACTCCCTGCCTGCTGGTAGAAAAACATATGCCTCCAGAACAGTGTTCTTCTATATGCCTGCTGGTGTTTTGAGGCCTATAGTCATCGAGCTCTCCCTCCCTCCAACATCTACAGCTCCGAGAAAGAAGCATATCTTCATCCAAGGCCATGATTCTACGACTCATTGGATATGGAAACTCGCAAAAGCTCATGTTTCCTCCAATGATTTTGGCGTTCATCAAATGGTGAACCATTGGTATGTTGAGTTTTACTATTTTCTGAAGGTTCTTAATTCTATTTGCGGCGAATCAACTTCTGTGAGGTTTATCGGCTTATCACGGTGTCAGGCATCTTTTGCTTACCACATCCTACCTTGGATTAAAAGATTTGAAGTTTGATATGCACGTTCGGGGTTATAAACGAGCCGAGTTAACTATTTCAGTCAATTTCCTCATGTTCCTTGATGTGCTGATACTTTGCGAACAGGTTGAAGACTCATGCTTGCATGGAGCCATATATAATTGCTACACACCGACAGCTCAGCTCAGTGCATCCGGTTCACAAACTGCTTCGTCCTCATTTGAGCCACACGCTGCAAATTAATGCCATGGCAAGACGAGGATTGGCAAATGCAGGTGGAATGTTAGAGACTTGTTCTAGTTTTGGAGACTATGCTATGGAAGTAACCTCTGCAGCCTATAAGAGCACATGGCGATTCGACATGGAAGCACTGCCTGCTGATTTAGTTCAGAGGTAATGAAGTTTATGCTATCTTCTTAGGCTCCAAAGGATTAGTGCCATCTTCAGAGCAAAAATCAGGTTCCTTGGGACCAATATCAGTCACAATGCACAAAACTACCCGAAAAAGCTATGCTACAACACGAAGTGATCGTGAAAGGATAGCATAGCCTAAATATTTAACTCTGAAGCTAACAACAACAGCTGCAATAAAAGTTGTCTTGATTATCTTTGTTGACCTTTTTCATTCTCAAATGAGCTCATTTGAATTTTCTTCCTGTGCAATACCTTCTAGGGGCATGGCTGTGGAGGATCCCTCAATGCCCTGTGGCGTAAAACTTGTGATTGAAGACTACCCTTACGCTGCTGATGGACTCCTCGTGTGGGATGCCATCAAAGACTTCGTGGAATCCTATGTTAAGTACTATTACAATGACACTAATTCCATCACCTCTGATATTGAACTACAAGCTTGGTGGAATGAGATCAAGAACAAGGGCCATCACGACAAAGGAAGCGAGCCATGGTGGCCTAAACTTGAGAATCAGAAGGATCTGTCTGGCATACTAACCACAATGATCTGGATTTCTACAGGTCAGCATACAGCCATGCACTTTGGACATTTTCCCTTCGGAGGACAAGTACCAAATCGCCCAGTGTTCATGCAAAAACTCATACCAGAAGAAAGTGATCCTGAGTATCAGAACTTCCTTCTTAATCCTGAAGATTATTTTCTGTCATCTTTGTCCACTGAATCTGACATCGTCAAAGCAATGCCAGCAGTTCAGAATGTCATGGCAATCCTGTCTCATGATGAAGAGTACATTCATCAGTTGAAAATTTTTCACAGTGCGGCTTCATTCAATGATCCTGGAGTTCTCAAGTTGCTAGAGAGATTCTCTGCTGAACTGGACGATATAGAAAAGATCATAAGCCAAAGGAATAAGGATACAACTTTCAAAAACCGAAATGGTGCTGGCATTCCTCCATAGGAATTGTTTCGACCTTCTTCCACGCTAGAAAGATCAGGGCTCGGCATTCCCACCAGCATTTCTATTTGATTGGTTTACTAATGTATGTTCAGATTTCCAGGTGTAGCGACCTATTGTATATGGTCGGTAAGCGCGAAGTGCACAAAGTTTCCACAAGGAAATGTCTGGAACTTAATAAGAACTTTTCAGCATCAATTGACCTGTTGTAATCATTATGTTCACAAGAATTTGGCATGATTTATATTTCCCCTGAAGATAGAACAAATAGCATTACTCATTGGAGATATTGCAGCTAAATATGATCTAAAGTCTCTAAAAAAGGAATTCTTCCTACTTTACTACTAATACTACTGCCAGTACCAGATGACAGAGTGACAAACAAACAAACTACAACTTCGAGGCAGTGAAGGCTGAGGTTGCCTGCTTGATTAATTCCTTTCTCAACACCTTACCAGGAGCATTTTTGGGTATCGAGTCCACAAACAACACCTTCCTGATCTTCTTGTATGGAGCAACCTAAAATAATCAAAGCAACTTCCAAGTGTGAATAAGTGAGTGATTCACTATAGGAAAAACTGATTTTATCACAAGTGCTCTTCAATAAAGCAATGCAGCATCTTTTGTGTTTTTACCTGGTTGGCAACAAAATCTATAATCTGGGTTTCATTGATAAGCCCTCCAGGTTTTCTTACAACAAATGCAACTGGTATTTGGCCTGCATCCTCATCTGGATACCTGCAATTGTCAAAACTTGCATTTTAAGATAGCATGACGCCTATATCTCACTATGTAAGGTCGGGTATATAAAACCTATGTCCTCACACTGTAAAAGTACAAACACTTGCATACTAAGATGCAGATATGAAGTAAGCTAAAAGGGACATCAAAATGCAACCCAGTCAACAAACTTACGGTATTACAGCAGCATCAGCTATGTCTGGATGGGACTGTAGAAGGTGTTCCAGCTCTGCTGGGGCAACCTGATCATATGAATGCATTACAGGAATGAAGCCAAACAGGGAATCCAAAAGTTTTAGGACAACTAGAGCCAAAACATGGTTTTTCTTTATGATTTCTAACGTTTGCGAGCAAACTGAAGAATGATTATTAAGAAAACAAGATAGGAAGATGAAGCTACTGACCTGGTAACCTTTGTACTTAATCAAGTCCTTCATCCTTTCCACATAGAACAGAAAACCTTCATTGTCGAAGTAGCCAATGTCACCAGTTCTTAACCATCCATCTGAATCTATGATTGCATCCGTTGCTTCTTTTTCACCCGCATATCCTACATTGAGTTCGGGTATATATATCTGGTTAAACATACTTGATTAGAAAATCAATGTGTCAAATGCATGATAAACTTTTCCAATGTGTCAAACACAAATTTTTCTGCCAATGCCTGAAGTCACTTTTTCCTTACCCTTACTTTTACCCCTTTTATGGTATAGCGAATCATTTTTTGTTTGGTAATGAAAAGGATTGAATTTTAGTTGATATTTGAGTTACCGATAACGAAAATTTGGCGCCATGTTTTTAAGGGACGATTCTAACAAACAACTACTAAAATGCTAAAAGCTGTTCAAACTGCTTTGTTCAACTTGCCAGGATAGGAAAAGTGGGCACACATTGTACCTTTCATTACGTACAGCCCTCTAATCCAAATTTCGCCTTCTTGTAGTGGGGGTAGTCCAGGTCCATTTGGGGTTTTAGGATCCACAATCTTAGCCTGGCACCCAGGCATAAGTCGGCCAACTGAGCCCAACACTCGGCTTTCATTAGGTCCAATGATTCGAGTCGCTCCCGCTGTCGTTTCTGTTAGCCCATATCCCTGTCCATTTTTGTTCGTCAACAATTTTCATATCAGGACAAAAACGAAATACTGTTGTTAAATTTAAATTAATGTCAGTGTTAAAAATTTACTAGGTGTATGTTGTAGTAAGTTGTAGTAAGACGTTAGCTATGCAATTGCATTTTGAGTCTTGATTTTGATTTCAATAATTGATAATCTAAACCGAGAAATTTCAGACTTGAAGGTCTAAAAAAGACTTATTTTATTCAACTATCACTGACGAGTCGCACTCTATAAATTTCAACTCCCAAACACTTCTATTAAAGGTAAAATTTGGCCGGCCGGCAGTCGACCCCCAACCCCTAATTCCGTCCATGGTTTAAGCATGACATAAAATGATCCCAGCTAAATAGGGTTCTTAGAAAACACTAATAATAAACAATTTGGATTGAGAGGAAAGGACCACCATAACTCACCTGCGCTATAGCCACACCGGGAAACTCCCGCCAAAAACTTTGGATCACAGAATTCACCAACTGAGCTCCGCCGCAAAACACCGCCTCTAACGACCGCAAGTCGTAATCCCTAGTAGCCACGCGCCCAGTCTTCGCCATCGCAACCACGAGCGGCGGCGCAGCCGCCAAATGCGTGACTTTCAGCTCATCCACGTTTCTCAGAATCGATTCCAAATTATACTTCTTCGTCAACACCACCGTGCCTCCCATCGCCACCTCTCTCAAACAGACCATAAATCCGTACACGTGGAACACCGGCAGCGCGCACAAGATCACCGCCGGCGTTTTCCTAACCGGACGAGTTGCGTGTGAGCCGGCGATACTCGAAATGATGTTTCGGTGAGTCAATTCCACGCCCTTAAAACTCCCGGTGGTTCCTGAGGAGTAAAGAATCGCCGCCGTATCTGACTGGGAGATCTGAAACGATCGGAAGTCAAAGTCACAGCCGCATTCGCTCTCAACCAACATCATCTTATAAAAATCCGGTGAGTCGAGGAGGATTAGTGTTTTATTGCGTCGCCGGAGGAAGGACGGGAGCTTGTGAACGTCGTCGGAACTCGTAAAAGCGACGGCAGGTTTGCTGAGGCGAAGTTGTTGGAGAATTTCCGCCGGGGTGTTGGCGGGATTCGAAGGAGAGACAAGGACGCCAATAGCAAATAAGGCGAGGTATAGAATAGGAATTTCGGGCGAATTGAGGGAAAGAATGAAGGCGCGATCGCCTTTGGAGAGTCGGAATTCATGATGAAGCGAGTAAGCTAATGATTTGACGCGGGATTCGAGTTCGGAATGGAGGATTACCCGGCGGTAGCTGAGGGAAACGGTTGGGTCAAGGAGTGCTGGAGAAGAGGAGGAATGGTGGAGGAACCGAAAAATGTAAGAGGTTATGGAGATGGGGGCAGTTGGAAGAAAAGGGAGGGTAACTGCAGGTCTAATGCTATGGAAAGTTTTCGTCTTGCAACAGAAACCGCTTTTGGGGTCAATGGAAGAAGCCTGCGGCGAGGATGAATGTGGTGGGTTCTGTGTATCCATTTCAGTTTTCTGTTCAATTTTTACTTTCTGGCTCAATCTATATGAGGTTTGCAGGTCGATTAAACATTTTACCAAAGACTGTGTAAACAGATATATCTATATATATATACATATATATATATATATATATATCCTAAATCCTAATCTCTTGAGTTCCATAAGCCCAAAAAAAGAAAAGAAAATTCATGAGATAATGGTCATAATCGTTACATTTTATATCACCAAAACAAGAAAAGGATTATCATCACGGTAATACTTTTCAGGAAAAATCGGAAAATTAACCTGCATCTTTATTTCCAGCAAATTGTTTATAACTGCAGCGGAGAACCATCATTGGCCAATTGTGAATTTCCGAGCTGTTCAGTTTGTCATTTTGCGGTTTTGCCTTCTTATTTCTCATTTCCATCCAGCACACTTGTCAATTATTCTATTCTTGCCAAGACTATTTGAAGAAGCATTCCACTAAGGCTGACATGTAAATTTTTCAGCTACTACAGAGTTCATGCCACTTCTCAGCCTTTCCTGCCATTACTAAAGTGTCTAATGATGGCTCAAATTTATTAAAAACCATTTAACTCCAACGAAAAATAAGAATAAAATACTTCCGTATACATCAAAAGTGATTTTTTAAAAAAAATAAAATCTAAACGAAAAGAACAATAGAGACACGACTTATGGTTTGCGCAGGCCTTGAAAGAGGTTAGATACTTGCAAGTCTATCAGGTGTGGATATACGTTCTTTAGTATGTGATGGAAGCAGCTTACACGCGAAGTGTTCACTTCTCCCAAACCACAACTAAAACGACATTGATTTACTTACATTAATGAACATAAACATTGCATTGTTTGACAAAAAGCTTAGAACGAATTAATAGTATCATTTCCTGCTCTAATCTATCACAGACCTACAATATCTGCACCAGATATTTTTGACAGATAGCATACAGATGAATATCAACCTTCTCGCCATGACTTCTCTAATAAATTACATGGTCGGTTAACACGAATTCCAGATATCTAACACCATCGGTGAGAAAATATGGAACACTATCAGAACCACCCACCTGAGAAAAACAGATCCCGACTGAAATGTGGACCTTGATGAATTCATCAAAATTGCAAAATTAATGTAACTGAACAATTATTCACAAATTATATCCCCGATGCTCGAGGGAGCAGAAATCACAAAAATCCCAACACAGGTTCTAACACACAGCCAAAACTGCAGAACAGCCAAATAAATAAACCAAAAATGTCCTCAAATCTTGTTCAGCTGTAAAAATTCATGGTAAACTACTGGCCTGATGTTCTCTTTAATTCACTGAAATTCCTATCCCGTATTAGTTCACGCCTAAAAAAGAACGGGAAGAATGCACATAGTACAGTAAATTGGTCAAAAGCAAAAAGGAAAAAAAAATGAAAAGAAAGAAAGAAAGATAAAAAACACAACTTCGTCTTTAACACGTCTCCTCAACTTCATATAATGACATAATATCTGCCAGCAAACCCTGTCAACATTTAATTTGCGACTGGTTTTCAAAATGACAATATACAGTTCTTTCTCAATGTTTGGAAAATGATTGGCAAGGAACCAAAGAAAAACCTAAACTTTGGCTACCATACATCTCAAGACCAGCCTTCAGATTTTATCAAAAGACAATTGCATCACAAGTTCCCCAACACATCGGGAGATGAAACAGAAGAATAAACATGCACGTCACATAAGGTACTCAGGGTATGCAAAATACCTTTCCAGAGCTTGAAGAAGACAAAAAGACTGAAGAATGGAAAAATTAATTTGAAAAACTGTTTCCCCAGGCTGCGTAGGTGAACTCCTTAATATGCTTCCTTCAGTACTGCAGCGAGATACGCATACAAATGCCTTAGAAGTCCAAAAGCATTACATAAATCCCAAAAGTAATTAACACCGTTAAAGCCACAAAGAAAGTGGTGTGTGCATGCGTGTGAGTGCGTTGGTGGTGGGTGGGGCTCTGCGCTTGTGCATGGGGTGGGGGGTATACATTTGGTTACTTGGGGAATAACAGAAAAAATTGTGTAACCATAAATTCAGCATGTAGCAAAGGCTCTTCACTGATTAATAAAAGACACCCAGCAGCTGAATGAGTAACAACATACACTGCCCACCCGTAGCACAGATATCAATCAATAATTATAGTTTCTTCAGAAATCACCATAACGCACAACAAAAGAGAAACATCTCCGGAGCCAATTAATCAATTCTTGAAACCATAGCCTAGGCAGTATTTGATTTTAATTGAATAAACAAAGCAACACGGAGTTTAAAATTGGTCCCAAACTTTTCTCACAAAGCAAAGCTATATGTCAATATGGGACTAAGAGACAAGAATGTTGAAAGCTTCATGTTAACAACAAATATCAGAAAAAAATCAGCGCTTCGCAACAGTTAACAATTAATGATGTCAAATTATATGGTTCATACTTCAAATGGCATGAGCAAGTACATACCAAGCTAAATCAACTGAATTCCTAAATAGTGCAAATCTTAAACACATCATTTTATTGCTGATTTTTGAGCCGAGGAAAAAACAACGAATAGACAACTGGATCACCCAGAGCAGGGGCGAACCTTAAGTTAGTTCAGTATATATTATACATTAAAAAACCAAACCTAAAAAAGTTACTTCAGTAAATATTAAAAAAGTTAGACTAGACACGTTATAACAGCAAGCACCAGACACTGCAAACCTATAGGGATGAGGCAAGCATTTCTCTTAACAACACTGCAAAAGAAAAAACCCAGAAGACGGAACACCCTTGCTACACCCATGCTTCAAACTTGACATTACCTCCGATACTTTTGTCATATCTTCTTCAACATAAGGTATCAAGGCCTTCTCCGCTCTACACCTCTTGCAAACACCAATTCAAAATTAAAATGGATAGAACAGAAGTGCACATAAACCATAATGTTTCTATAACAAATCCAATGGATATTTTCAACAAAAAGAACTTTTATGGAAAATGTTACAGGGTATCTATCAACGAAATATAGGTTACATACAGAAGTTTCAACTGAAACTATTTTTTCAATGAAAAAGGCATTATGCCACACCTTGGCATGCTAGCAGTTGTCAAAGAAGGAATTTTCTCAACATCAGAGCTCCCCAACATACTGGATTGAAATCTTAGACAGAACATTTATGCTCCATCTACTTCATCAGTGGTGCCTGCTAAAACACAGCACGAATGATCTTCACACGTTAAATGTTTGCAACTTCCTCTCAATACATTGCCCTCACCTCAACAGCCAATCATTAAAACAGAAGGATAAATATAACTTCAAGGCACCGATAACTTCCCTTAACCAAACAAACCACCAGTCCCCAAACCCCCTTGCTGCAACTCTTTCCTGCGTTGTTCTTCCAAAGGATCTGGGCTCTTTTGGACCCTTCGTGTGCGTCTGGATATTGCAACAAAATAGTTATTATGACATTCATGGGAACATAAAGTTTTCATAAACACAGAAGCAGCACTAGAATACCTGTCCTGGGCATGCTGTGCTGGAAAAGTAGGCATAAATTCTTTTGATTTGGGTAGAGGAACTTCCCGAAACCATTCGTGGTTAAGAGCAGCCTCAGCTGTTATTCTCTGCACAATAACAAAAACATTAAAATCTATTTACAGACTCATCAGGATTTCTTTTTACAGACAGCTAAAAACCATGGTATGGAATCTGCATACCTTCTCAGGGTCGTATGTCAAAAGCCTATTCAACAAATCAAATCCAGCATCAGATAACACTGGCGACCCCGTGAAAGACGCCGGAGGGAATTTCGCACGCAATCCACTGAACCTGAAACAATCAGAGGACCCGAGTTAATAGAAACATGACATTCTATTTTCAGAACTGAAACTGTCACCAACGAAGGCCCTGAAAGCCAGACCAGAATCACCCAAAGCTGGAAGCCTGGGAAAAGAGTGGGAAACACAAAATAGATAAATCGCATATTCCATTTGAAGAAAACTTAGACAAACATAAAATCAATACTTACTCGTTCTTCACCATGTTAACCTTGGGTTGCGTCAGCTTTGAGAGCCCAGGCCAAATCTTCTCATTTGGAGTCCCAAGAACTTTATATATCTGCAATTCAAGAAGATTAGATGGTTAAGTACCAATATTTTTCTCTCTTTGAAGTTTGCAGGAGTATAAGACCCAACAAATTGTAAATAGAGAACTTCAACCAATTCAGACCTTGACAAGTTGGTCAATTTCATTTTGCCCATTGAATAGTGGCTTCTTAGCTAACAGCTCAGCCATAATACAACCCAAAGACCACATGTCAATTGCTGTTGAATACTCCTTAGCTCCCAATAGCAGCTCAGGCGCTCTGAGGAAACATAAAGTTCAAAGCATTGATTAGCAGATGACACAAGAAATGGGCACACACAAAAACCAGTAGATAAAAACTAATGGGAAAACCAATGAAGAAGGCCCACCTGTACCACAAAGTAACCACCAACTGAGTATATGGTTTCAAAGGGCTTCCATACTGACGTGCTAACCCAAAGTCGCAGATTTTCAATTCACCGCGATTATTTAAGAGTATATTTGATGTCTTCAGATCTCGGTGCAAAACCCAGTTATCGTGAAGGTACTTAACACCTCCGATAAGCTGAAGCATGAGGCACTTTACTTCGCTTTGACTAAAAGGCTGTTTCATGCTCTCCATCAACGCTTTCAGGTCATGTTCCATGTACTCCATTACCATAAAGATGCTGTCAAGACTACTCCCTACAACTACTTCTTTGACATCTACAATTGAAGGATGATGAAACGAGAGAAGAATATTTATTTCCCTCAAAGCAGTCAAAGGGAATCCTTCTCTTTCTTTTTCCATCTTGACCTTCTTAAGTGCAACTATTTCTCCTGTTTTCTTATCCCTAGCTCTAAAAACTACACCGTAAGTACCTTCATCAATCTTGTTCAGCCGCTCAAATTCATCAACACTTCTACAACCCTGAAGCATGTTCACAGTCCTCGGAGGAGGACCAGTAGGTTCTGGTGTTCGAGGAGTTTCGTCTTCTTGGTCCGATTCAGTGTCTGACTGGCTACTAGAGGCTCCAGTATAGGGCCGGTCCTCCTCGACCTCCATGTAGTCATCCTTCGGCATCTCATCAGCATACCTATCACTACTACCAGATCTAATTCGTTCATCAGAGGACCTGGCTCTATTGCTTTCAGAGCCCTCTCTCCTCAACTCTCCAAGCTCTGGAGTTGCAGACTTTCTCCATTTAGTTTCTGCTAATTCAGTGATATATTTCTTCTTCTTCTTCAATTTTGTCATCTCCTCTTCCTCAATTATTTCACCTTCATCACCAGACGATTCATCCTCATTTGCCCAGCGTGAAGCTCTTATTGTCCGAGTTGATGTATAATCATCATCTAGCGTCTCTGCTCCCTGATTATAAGTCACTGCTTCTTTCTCTTCCTCGACCCCGGGCGACAAATGCGGCAATTCTACCGGGGACAGAGAAGTGGCATCCATTTCTTCATCAACCTTCTCAGCTGAAGGCAGCCCTTCTGGACTCTGAATTGCATATTGTTGAGTACATGAGCTATTCTCAGGACCATCAGGTTTTGAATCAGGCAAAATTGTGCTTGAAGAATTAGACAGGGGAGGAGGAAGACCTGTTAGTGCATTTGCTTCAGCAGGAGAAGTCCTAGCCTTAACTGTTCGAGTCACTTTCTTACCATCTCCATCCCGATCCCAAATAATGGGAGAAAACTTGCGTTTTCCATTTTCAACCTTCTTCAACTCGCCACAACCTTTATTGTTTAGTGATTCGGAGTCAACAGCTCCTCCATCAGATCCACTTTCACTGGATAATTCCCCAGGCTCTCTGTCAATAGCCCTAACAGGAAAAACATTCTTCCTGGGCCCTGCTCCACCCCCACCGCTACTGCCAGAATCACTCCTACTGGAAGCTGAACGATACCCACCAGCACCACCATTCCTCATCTCCCTTTCATTAAAATCCTTCTGCCTAAGCCTAACCCTATCACGAGGGCCCTGCTCTCCCTCGCGGATGTTTTGCTCCCTACCATAACCTCGGTCACTGTTCCCATTCCTACGGCCATAATCACCGCCCCGTGGGTAACCATTCTCCCTGGTTGAGCCTTCGAAATCTGAATCGACAAGTCCTCTGAACTGATTATCCCTGTAACCCCCATGTCTACCAGCAGCCATATATGTATCTAACTAGAGATGCAAGAATTCGTCTACAGATGCAGCAAAAGCTTCTAAATTTTTGCACCCCGTAACTCCCCGAAACGTGGGTTTTGAACTAAAACCCTAAATTGAGTTCCCCAACTCCCAAGATAAATAAAAAAAGAAAAGAAGCCCTAATTTCACCCGGCCGGATTCGATAGCATCAAATCGATACAGGCCAAAACACCTACCTTCGAGTAAATTAGTAAACCCCTATACTATATCAAGAAGAAAACAAAAAAGCTCTCTTAATTGAAAAGGAGACAGAAAACCCTAAAATACGACAGGCGGAACTCGAATTCTCAACCCCCGAGATAATTGAATGAAGAATTGATTATCGAAGGGCTTACCGACGAATGGCACCGATGTCCCGGAGAAAATAAGGGAACGATCGAAGCTGGACGCGGCGGCGATACGCGGTGAGATTTTAGAGAGAGAAAGTGAAGGAGGGGAAAGTTCTTACGGGTCTCGGGCGTTTCCTCTCGCAGGTTCGAAGAAACGAAAAGGGAACACCAGGAATGCCTGAGCTGGATATTTAACTAAACTAATCAATTAAAAATTACATCAATTATTTGTTTTCTCCTTTTCCCTTTTTCCTCTTTCTTTTTTCTTTGAAAAAAAAAAACCACCTCCTTCACTTTAAGGTAATTCAATAACACAATAAATATTTAAATATACATTTTTATGTTTTATTTTTAATTAAAAAAATATAATAAATTAAATTTTTATATAAAAAATCAAAATAATTTATAATAAAGACCCGAAGAAAGATTTTACTAATATGTAGTTGCGATGAATCGCAAATTCTTTATTTACTTTGAAAAAAAAAAAGAACTACTCCAATAATTAAACAAATATAATGGAATGAAGCAACAAATATTAATCCAAACACAGTTCTCAATCTCCTCATAAATCTATTGTAGATTATCTCAGTTAATCAGGATATTCCACTGGGGAAAAAAATAAATTATATGTACTGTACCATCTTAATTCAACGAATAATTTCTTTTAGTGGCGCAACCATAGTGATGAAAATAATTAGGTGAATTATAAGAGCCTGCGATGTATACCATTTTCACCTTATTATTAAGTCAAGCTGGGTTAAAATGGACTTGCAACGTCTCGTGGATATTCCGATTTGAGGTTGAAAAACACTTGGAAATTATAGATCAAACCAGGTAATAAGGATACGAGCATTGTTATGTAAAGTACTCATTAGAAAAAAAAATTCATTTATTTTTGAACCAAAAAAAAAAAAATTAGTCTTAAACTCATAGCTAATTGAACGAAAAATCTTTAATCTTCTACAACTTATTAACATTTGATTGAGTTGTTGAATGCTTACATAACGAGGCTGCTCGTTATGATCTCCCGTTACTTCTAAATAATACTCTTTCCGTCTCATAATTATTGTCTTGTTTGGATTTTCATTTCTAATTCAAATTATATTAAAATTAAAATTTCAAAGTGAAAAATAATTTTAAAACAGATGGAATTTATCCGAAAGAATGATTTTATTTTATTTTTTTGTTGGTGTACTATCTGAAGATGATGACGTTCATTCAACCTCTCTGGATTTTCATTAAGTGACCAATTAGGCATGAACTGGTAATAACTTACATAATAATAATGCCAAAAAAAAGGGCAGGAAATTGTGAGAAAAAAAGAGAAAAGATACAAGTTATACTCCTATATACTACCAGCAGAAGGAAGGCAACTTGAGAGAGAAAGATGAAGGCATGTGGCCGGTTCTTCTGATGTAATCTGCCTTTTCCGAAGTCTTCATTGCTTTCTCGTTCAGTTTTGATTCCGCATTTGCACGCTTCTCCTCTGCTATCCTCTTGGTCGCCGCCAGTTTGTTCGCGTATTTCTCCTGTGCTCGTGATTTCATCTGTTCCGCCTTCACCTGAGAGATGGAACCACAGAAAAACCACCCCTATTCTTACTCGTCTATGCCGGAAAAAGAAAATCTACCTCCAAATGAATGCCGAACCATGTGATATTTTGGGTTGTCAAAGAGTACTGTTTAATTATTGTGTAACACTCATCCCGACCTTATCATAAAACGAGTTTTCTTTGTGGAACTAATTCAATAAGCACCACTTTAATTTGCATATTTTCTGTGTCCTGTAACATAATTATGTCACATTTAAAGATTTGCCTTTTTCCCATCCAACTTGATGATGCGAGGAGGAGACTAATATACTGTAAGCCTAATCTTAACAAATGGTCAATTTAACTACTAGTAATGACGGAAAATCAGTTATGGGAGATTGGATTTAGAATGGAGTGAAAATTATAGTATACTAATTATAATTTGTTGTTTACCTCCATTCTTCGCATTGACATTTCAGCTTTCCTTTTCTGATGATTTTCCCAAGCTTGAATCTTCATCTCTTCTCGCTTGTACCTGGCAGTAATTCCATCATCATCTCAATTAATCCCCTCGGTAACAAATCTAAGAAATTACATTGCAATCTTGTTTGAATTGATTTTACCTTGCTAAGTATTTAGCTCTTTCTGCTTCATCCCAAGCCATTGCTCTTGTTTCCAGAGGATTTGGCTTCTTTGCAGCTGCATCTAGACTACTCCTCGATTCATTAACTTCCTCCCCTTCTCTCCCAAATCTACTCGTCGTCGCCGTCGTTGTTGTGGCCGTTCCTCCTCCATTTCCGGCCCTATTGCTCCGATCATCATCGGTTTCCACGATATGGATAATCCCATTTTGGTATCTCGCCGGCGTCGAAGATCCCGAAGCTATCGGACTCCTGGTCGCCGGAGTTGTAGATTTAACCGGAGTAGCTGTTCTTGAAGGCTCCTGGCTACCAACAGGGGTCATTTCCGTCCCCATATCCCTCACACAAATCGATCTAACAACCGGAGCAGCAGCAACGGCGCCGGAAGAAGAAGATCCGGCACTGGTTTTTTTATTGATTCTCCAAATCGATTCATCCATTTTCTTGGTTAATTCCCCTTCGTACGGAATCACAAGGTCGTCGTCATTGTCAATATCATGTCTTCCTCCTCCTGATTCGTCTTCATCTTCATCCTCATCTTCAGTATTATATTCTTCCTCCTTGGGAACTGGATTGTTTATCAATCTCCTGTCATCTGCATTTGAGTTTCTGGGCTTTGTTGATGAGTGATTTTTCTGGTGACCATTTCTGGACAGATGGTTTCCAAGCCATTTCTGTGCATCGTCCCATTTCAATGGCGTTGGTTTTCCTAAACTCATTTGACGATGATGATGATGGTGGTGGTGGTGATGAGAAGAAGCAATATTCTTTGCTGTACTACCCTTGTGAAACTCAAAATTAGTTTCTTGTGCTGCAATTGCTCCTCTTCCATTATTGTTCAAACATCCTTTGTCTTCTACTGATGACCTCATTTTAGCCTATAGATATACTTAAAAAAAAAAAAAAAAAAATTACCAGATGCTCTGTTTCTGTATCACAGATTTGAAGGCACCAAGCTGCAACATTCAATCAGGAGTAATCTGGGAAGTGGAGGCAAAAAATTGTTGAAGGGGAAAAAAATCTGGAGGGTAAGGAAAGCAAGAGTAGCTTTCATGGCCACCCTGGAATTGAATTGGATGCTTAGATCGAACAGAGACAGAGTGGTGGGACTAGGTTTGAGTGAGTGAGCAGAGAGGCAGAGAAACAGAGAATAAGGGGTCCTCGAAAGTATGGATTTTTGAGATTGGCAGAGCTGCATAGAGACTCTGAGTCTGAGATGATTAAAAAAACCAATAATAATAATAATAATACAGTAAGACAAGTTAATGAGATCCATTCCACTTAATACATATAGCTAGAGGTGAAAATAGTTGAATAATCTGCATTGTTTCGAGGAATGGCCATATGCTATGCATCAATTAAGAACAAAAGAAATTCTCAAAAAAAAAAGAACAAAAGAAAATACTTGTATATAGTTAAATATTGTATATTGTGTTTTCTACGCCTTGAAAGAGGTGTGCTTTATTGCCTAAAATTCACATAACAGGGCAAAACAGTTACAATCAAGTCGTGTTTTGTATTAACGAGTAGAAAAAGACGGTGATTTTTGTACCGGAATTCTATTGTTGAGAGATGATCTCTAAACGAAGTTAAGACATCTTTCTTTTTCACACGCAATTAAATGAAAGCTGTGTTTGTATAGTATGCAAAACAAAATGCAATCTTTATGGTGTCACAAAGTGTTTAATTGGCGGTGGAGTGAGGTAGGTGTTGGAAAAACTTTTTAACACTGATAAACATATTCTTTCATTCAACAGGAGAATCTAGGGGAAAGAGTTTTTTTTCAGTGAGACGACGCCATTAAGTATTGTTGTTGCTAACGTACACCTTTATGTCTGCTGCCATTTCGTATTTTTTTACTAAAGAAAATTGCAGTCACCCAGGCCCATTGCGTGCCTGCTTGATTCCCTTTTTTATTTCTTTCATTCCTGGGCTTAACAATGTCTTTATAACGGGCAAAATATTTGAAAAAAATAATGGAGATTCCGAAGTCGCTGTACGAAATTGCAATTTGGAAACTTATATTAGTATGTATGGTGTAAATTGCTTTTTAAACATCTGTTTCGATAATTTACTATTAACGCGAGTTTTTTGTTCTAAAAGAGTATACTATATCATTACAGTGAGAGCGACAAGTGATAAATAAATAGAGTTTTATTCAATTTTAAAACAACTATAAAGAAGTATAACACACAATGTATGAGAGGGGAATCTTATATTGGATCCATTAAGTGTCGTTGTCATGTGTTATTCTAGAGTGTCATCATTAAAACGACGTCCTATTATAAGCTATAAAAACAAGAGGGTAGTGTTTAAAATGTGATCAAGATAATGTTAACAGATTTTGAGCTTAATTTTTACGGTTTCAACAAGGTAAAAATGGAGATAAATTGAAGCAGCAAATTTGGTGCTATAAGAGGCGTGTGGAAAGGTTCAATGTGTAGTAGCCAATTGAAGAAAAGATTGGGGTGGTTATTAATATTCAGACAATGCTAGTGTAAATAATGGCTGAGCATTCTCACATGGCCAGGATGGGCAAGAAACTGGTAATGTCTGCTTAATGCCAAAGAATTTTTCACAGATTTTTAAATCACCACAAAATATATTATTGGTATTATTATTATTTTTTTTTTGACCACATTTGCAGGACTAAATAATACTACACTGTTGTACTGCCTTTTTAAGAGTGGACCATGGTTTTCAAAACTAGCAATGAACTTGATGGTGAAAGAAATAGCCTTAAATGGCCAAAGAGGAAGTACGTAGCATTATGAATTCATTATTACTAATTATTTTTAGGAGTTGGAATTTTATGTATGCATTTTACGTGGAGAGACTTGGCCATGTGCATTGCCATATGAATACAAAAGTATGGGCATTAAGTTGTTTTTGGCTTTGTATCATGTGAGAAGCCACCCGTGTATTGTTATTACTTTATATTTGATGAGGAATTAATATTACTCCATCATGTATTCCCAATAATTAACAAGTTTACAAACTATACATACTGATGTTTATCCAAGCCTAAAGAATGATAATGAACAAACAAAAAGGATAAATTGTTTTCTAAATGCGGTATGATGAGACACTAACGAGTGACTCGAGTTATTGTGCTGAAATTTGACGCAAAACTTGTAGAATGTCGGAGCCAGAAAATTAATATGGAGACACAAAATTTAGTAGAAAAAAAAAACTACTCGTAATAATAAACCAGAAAATCAATGTACGGGATAAAAAAAATTATAAAATGCATAATTTTTTATTAAAAATTTAATATACTTCTATTAATTACAAAAAATTAAACATGTGTAATCGCACCCCTCCGTCACAGCTCCGCATGCTGCTTTTCGAAAATGTGATCATTGAACGTGTCTCATGATAATAATACTCTAAACTCTTAAGGTGGCTCTCATTTCGTATTATTCAAAAATTACAGTGTGATTATAGTTTAGTGAACTAACATTTTGAAAACCTATTAGTTACCGGTTATTCCCATATGTGTAGGATTGAACCAAATACCAAACATCTATACTTTTGAAGGACCAATATAATTTATGAACATAACTTTGCCTATACCCTTTTATTATTATTATTATCATATTTGCCTTCTCTTTTATCTGACAGTTGCCTGGTTGATTATGTTTTGGGGGATTTTACTCCTATATGCAATTTTAGGTGCCTACTTCGCTTTGATTTTTGGTTTCGATGCAATCTGATTTCCCATCTTGGTCTCAATTTGAGTCCCTAAAAGCCATTGTCTTAGAATTGGATGATCACTGCTTCAATTTCCACTGTCAATCAAATTTGGTTTATTTATGAGTTTCAAGAGCTTCTTTCTTTGTTTCGACTTTTGAGTCTTTTTCTCCTTCGCTTCGGATATTATAGTCGAAATTGAGGTGATGATATGCATCCTAGGTGTTTGTTTATAGTAGTGAGAGAGTAATGAAGTCACTCTACTCAAAGTTATTAAATAGTTCCAATCCCACATCGGTGTTGGAAAACTCTGATTATTAATATATAAATTTCATGGGCTACTTCCCTCATCGCCAATTGGTTTTGAAGTGGAACCCCATAGCCTTCTATATGATATTAGAGTCAGCACGCCGACATTCGAATTCTAAATACCCAACAAAAAAATAGGGTTGAGACGTGAGGCGGTGCCTGGGCTAAAAAAATAGCACAAGCCCAACCCAAAAAATACGTTGGGCTTGCGGGCAGTATTTAGGAGTCCTAATCCCACATCGGTGTTGAGAGACTCTGAGTATTAATATATAAGTTTCATGGGCTACTCCCCTCATCGCCAATTGGTTTTGAGGTGGAATCTCATGAGCTTCTGTAATCTCATGGACTTTTGTAAAAGTTATCTTGTGAGCATTTTACAATGCAGAATAGGGGACGGATGTTGGGAGACTCGGGGACGGATGTTGGGAGATTCTGAGTATCAATACATACGTTTCATGGGCTACTCCCCTCATCGCCAATTGGTTTTGAGGTGGAATCCTATGAGTTTCTGTAAAAGTTATCTTGTGAGCATTTTACAATGCAAAATAGGGGACGGTTTCATTTGATCCCGGTGTCGGGAGACTCTGAGTATCAATATATAAGTTTCATGAGCTATTCCCTTTATCGCCAATTGGTTTTGAGGTGGAATCCCATGAACTTCTGTAAAAGTTATCTTGTGAACATTTTACAATGCAGAATAGGGGACGGTTTCATTTGATCCTCAAATGAGTAGGGATGTAGGATGTACATATTTTGCCTAATTTTCCCTTATAATTTCGTATGACATACTTGTATCATAATCAATGTAATATAATCTATTTTCAAACTTTTTGTTCCGCTTCATTTCGGAATTCATATCCTCAATTTACTTAAAAATAAAGAAAAACAAATTTTCATAAATAATTTCATCTATCCATAAGAATCATTATAGAAATGGTATGATTGTGTGTACTTGTTTTTGGACGAAAAACATTAATTAATTACTATTTTTCTACGGGAGGGGCGAAGTGAATATATATGACAGTGAAAATTGAATAAAGATATTCATCCGGAGACTATATCTACTACTACTAGTGATGTCTGGTCGCGCAATGCGCGATCCTGGCTCAATATATCTGTAGATCTTAGAAATATTTGTATCTGGAAAAAAAATATTTTGTATTTGACCCGATATATTTTAGAAATATTTGAAGAATTTTAGAAATGTTTTATAAGTGTGATGTTTGTATTTGGCATAAAAATAAATTGTATTTGGCCCGGTACGTTTTAGAAATGTTTGAAGATTTTAAAAATGTTTTATAAGTGTTACTTCTTAAATATAAATAAACTTGATCAAATATATGTCTTGAAGTAAATGCTAGAAAAAATATAAAAGCATCCTAATAAATTTAAATATTAGTAAGATAATTTATTGATGTTTTCCATTGGTTGTGCCAAATCAATCCTTAGTTTTGGAGATTAATAGCCTTGTAGTTAGCTTCCTCCAAAGGGTATATGCTTAATTGTTGGAACTATTTCTTCTAAAAGTTTATAGGTAGTAAAATATCAAAAATATGATTTTGATACTGGTTAATTGTTGAAACTGGTTGATCACAAATATGAGAATGAAAATAATGTAAATTTGCATAGGTTTCAAGATATAGCAAAAAAGAACTCACCTCACCATGGCAAATAAAAAAAAAAAGTAAAAGATAGCCCATTAAAATTTGGAAAATTTTTTTTCCTGTAGGTAAAAATGATGTATAAAAACATAAATAAACGTAGAAACATCATTCTTTCCCTCTCCACCTCAAATTCATAAAAGGTTTCCCCATAAATTAGTTAAAAGAAGCTACTTGAACTATTTAGATGATGAGGAACTAAAAAAAGTCCAAAAACCAAATCCAAAAAAGTATATTCTTGAAACCCCGAACACAAAAAAAAAAAAAAAACGTGCTTCATTTGCAAATAAAATAATAATAATAATAATCATAATTGGTCAACTGGGAGTATGAAACAAAATCAAAAGCAATTAAACAAAGAAAAAACACACTTCATAGCTGGACATATACGAAAAAAAACATGAGACTCCATAATTAAAAAAAAAACCACTCTAATTAAATGAAACATAAAAAACAAATTTAAAAAACCACACTTTGTAACAAAAACCCAATCAATCAATTCAATCCAAACATAACTAAAATCATACAAAAATTTTAGACTAACTAACCAAATAAGAAATCACATCATACTACCTGACAACGGCTCCGGTAGCTGTAACGGATGGATGCATAAAAATAATAGTAATAACACTATTCTTGAACGGAAAAAATAAAAAATAATAAAAGCTAAACCAATTATCTGTGGAAATAAAATCATTTAAATTTTAATACCTGTAATGGCACCACCACAACGGCCGAAGTAAGATCAATGAGAAATTTTTTTTTTCTTTGTGTTTATATAGAGAGGTAAAGAAAATATATTTTGAAGTTAAAATTTTATCCGATTAGGATGTAGTTGATCATCACTAATGAAAAGATTGAACATGCTAATAGGAAAGGAGTATATTTCACCACATATTTTCAATTGATGATTGATGATGAATTTTTTTTTTTTATTGTGGAGAAGGGATTGATTAAGGAGTCGATTGTCGTGGCGATGGGGATGATGATTTGGGTTTTTTATGAACCCGTAGTTTTTTTTTTTTGTTTGGACGAAAATAGGAGGTGGAAATAAATTAAGAATTGGGACTGCATTTGCCTTTTAAGTTTAGGAGATGTGGAAATAGAAATTTATTTTAAAAATATGATGTAAAAATACCACATGTCAAATAGTGATACTTTCTTTTAAGTGTGGTTTTTGTTTCTAATATAATAAGATATAAAAGCAAGGGGACCAATAACTACAACATTCTTTCATTGTTGGAACCCTACCTGAACAAGGGTATTTTTGTGACCAATAACTACAGTACTCTTTCGTCGTTGGAACCCTACCTAAACGAGGTATTTTTGTAATTTTACCTTTAAAACATACCCAATTGTCCGGACAAATATAACGGGCCTTCCACTTTCTGATTTCCACCCAACTTTTGCGCTTCCATCAATCCCCATTTTCTGTTAGTTTTTTATTTCCCCTTTTGAAACCGGCCATTTTTTGGTTAATGTATGAAATCTTTTTTTATTTTTTAAAATATAAATAATTAATATGTGAATAAAAATATAATTAATTAAAAATAGTTAAACATTAAATCTGTTTTTTGTGATAATACTATAAAGCGTTACAAAAACTTTGCTTTTAATTTTCTTCACAAAAACTGTAAATACTCAATAAAAAATAATAAAATATAACTACAATAATGGGAAGTATGGAATATCATTCCGAGAAGATCATAATTTAAAAAATTATATTTCTAAAAAAATAAGTCCTCAAATAATAAAAGGTTTGTTTGCCCAACGCTTATTTTGTATTTTTGTCTCATTTTACTTCTTAAAACACCTCTCAAACACAAATCCCAATGCTATCTAAACAACTTTTTAATTTACCTTTTAAAAAATATTTCAAAAATTATTTTCACACAATTTTCATCCACCACCACCGGACCACCTCCACCACCATCCGCCGCCACCGGACTGCTCGCCAGCGGCGGCGGCGGAGGAGGTAGTCTGGTGGTGGTGGATGAAAATATTATTAATTTATTTAAAATATCAACCAAACAACTTTTTAAATTTTATCTTAAATCACATTTTAGATGACATCTGAAACCTAAATAAAAAAACCAAAACAAAATATTGCCCAAACAAGTCATTTTAATTTGCGGGGAGAGAAAACCTAGATGGGAATTAAGGGAAAAGGACAACGAACGGTCTTTTTGGTGCCACGACGTCGTTATGATTTTATTCTCTTGTGTTCATTACAATAGAGCTCCTTCGGCCAAATTACCGCCAGAATCAGTTTTCTCAATTCTCAAAACGGCCATGGGGATTGTTGTTAATGGCTTGACGAAGAAGTTGTTCAAACTCCGCAATATTTCTTCTTCAACTACTAGGAAAGCTTCCTCATTCATCAGAAAGGACGATGATTCTTCAATACTCCCCGTGTTGATCGTGGGTGCAGGACCTGTTGGGCTTGCCCTTTCTATTCTCCTCACTAAACTAGGTACACATAAAAAATCTCTCTCTCTCTCCTCCCCCTCTCAATTTTGTATATTTGATGTCCCGGTTTCTGTTAATCAGTTATTTACGTTGATTCACTGAAGAAATGAAGTGGGATCCTGGGTTTTGAATTTTTATGCATCTTCACCTTCCTTAGTCCTGGTTAAAAGTTTAAAATCAGGCGGAAGACCTTTTTTTTAAAAGGTAATTTTGATGTATCTTTTCTGATTGGGTCTGTTAGTTTGTTTGATTCATTGAAGACATGAAATAGAATTCTGGGCTTTTCTGTTTTCATTAACGTTTAGAAAGAAGTAGGTACAAAAGGGCTTTTATTCCTCGAAAAAAAAACAGGTGTTCCTTTTTGGTTTAGAGTCTGGTTAATTTCATTGATTCGTCGAAGAGCTGAAATGGATTATGAACTGTATAGTTTCATGTAGCTTTCACTTCCGATGCGCTGCTAAACGAGTTGAAAGTATGTGTTGTTGTTTGATGTCCATTTTCTAATTAAGTCATCTATTTGGTTTCATTTATGAAAGACTGAAAAGGGATTGCCGGATTTTAATACTATGTACCTTTCTAATCTAATGTTTGTTCAGGTGTCAAATGTTCAATATTGGAGAAACACACTACTTTCTCCAGGCACCCTCAAGCTCATTTTATAAATAACCGCACCATGGAGGTTGGTTTTTCTATTAAAATATGTGTTTCTTTTTCCTTTTTTTTTTTCTTGTGGTTTGTTATGATTTGATAATTTGGAAGCAGAAGGATTTGGTATTGATAAATGCCTTATTGATAGTTGTTCAGGAAAATGGATGGTTTAGCAGATGAGATTATGAGTTTACAACCACCTGTTGATCATTGGAGGAAGTTTATATATTGTACTTCTATAACTGGTCAGATACTTGGGTCTGTTGACCATATGCAGCCACAAGGTACCTTTTCATTATGATTAAGGATGAATTCTGTATTTGAAGCTGGCAATATCCTCTTGAGAGCAAGCGTTCTTGCCTTGGAGATTTTCCCTTAACTTTGTCTTCAAAATGTGGTGTTGAAATCTTAACTTTTTGGCATTATTATTGGCTGGAGAGAGATTTTGTAATGCATGCTAAAAAGCACGAATGATACACGAAGAGGAAGATAATTCAATGTCCTTGTAGAGCTATCTATTCCCCTGTTCCTCAGTAATGGTGGTTTATTGTCTGCAGATTTTGACGGAACTGTGAGCCCCATCTCTGTTGCACATTTTTCACAATATAAACTCAATGAGTTACTACTACAGAAGGTTGTTAACCTAGGTTTTGACGTGGTTGACCACCAAGCCTTACGTTGTCAGAATGATGGCCTGATTAAAGAGAAGCAGATATTGATGGGGCATGAATGCGTATCGGTTAATGCTGCTGACGACCACAGCGTAACTGTCACTACATCTTTTCTCAGGGAAGGGAGGTTAGTGAAGAAAGATATCCGCTGCAATTTCCTTGTTGGAACAGATGGTGCTGGAAGTACAGTCAGGAAGTTAGTAGGAATTGACATGGTAGGCGAAAAGGACTTGCAGAAACTCGTGAGCATCCACTTTATGAGTGAAGACCTTGGGAAATATTTAATGACCGAGAGACCTGGAATGCTGTTCTTTGTTTTCAATGCAGAAGCAATTGGCGTACTTGTAGCTCATGACCTAGGGCAAGGGGAATTTGTTTTACAGGTGATGTTCGGGAATACAAATTGCATATTATCACTGTAATTAAATAATGTATTGTTTGCATTCAGAAACATTTGGCTTTCTGATAAACGTACTAAATTTATTGTGTTTTAGGTACCATTTTATCCTCCACAGCAAAAGCTTGAGGACTTCAGTTCTGAGGTATGTATTTCTATTTTTATTTATTCTTTCAGGGCATGAGCAAGTTTTCAATTTGATTTCCACACCAAAATATGGAAATCACGGCAATAACTCCTTTTTGGTAAAACTGGTCGTAGATGTGCGAGAAATTTATCCTCAAATTGGTTGGTCGTGGGCTCGCTGACATAAAGGTAATGGATGTGAAGCCATGGGTTATGCATGCTGAGGTCGCGGAAAAGTTTCTGACTCATAATAATAAAGTATTGTTGGCTGGTGATGCTGCCCATCGCTTTCCTCCTGCAGGTGGTTTTGGTGAGTAGTCAATTTTTTGTCTTTGTGCTGGCATTTAGGGGTTGAATTTAGTTGCATCACACATCAAAGGGGATATTCAGAATTTTACAATTTGGAGGGGTGATCAGCAGTTGTCACAAACTTTTTTTTTTTTTGGGGGGTCATTGTAACCAACTCCATGTTTTTAAGGTTTTGGATATATATGACCTTGAGAACAAAGTTCTTATTCATTTCAGGTATGAATACTGGAATTCAAGATGCTCATAATCTTGCGTGGAAAATAGCCGCCGTCCTCAATGATATTGCACCTGTTTCTCTTCTTTCTTCTTATGAAATGGAACGGAAGCAGGTCTGATTTAAATGTTGCGAAGTAAATTGTTTCTTTTTAAGTGTTTTCTATATTCTCAAATGTTGAACACCCTACATATTTTTTTGGAATTTGTTAGATTGCCAGTTTTAATACAAAGCTTAGTGTTCAAAACTTCAAATCAGCTATGAGGATTCCTGCTGCGCTTGGTCTTGATCCGAGAATTGCAAATGCAGGTGACATCACATTTTAAGATTTAAATCTTCTATAATTGTTCAAAATCCTAAAAATTTTCTCTTTTTTTTTTCTTTTCTTTTCTGGATTTGTAGTCCATCGAGCTATCAATGATACTGTGGGTAATTTATTACCGGAAACAGTGCAGAGGTCCATTTTGGATGGAATTTTTAGCATCGGTCGTGCACAGATTTCTATATTGAATGAAAAGAATCCTCTTGGTTCCTCGAGGCTTGCTAAACTGAGGCAGATATTTGATGAAGGAAATAGTCTTCAACTTCAGTTTCCAGCTGAGGATCTAGGTTTCAGGTGGAGCTACTGTTACATTTTTTTGTGCTGAATTTTTTTAGCAATGTCCACAGAGCAAAATTCTGTTTTGAAGTTAACTGGAATACCTTGGTCAAATTTTCGAGACAATCAGTTAGAGGCAGTTTTTTTATAGTTTATTTGAACATGAAGATGGTTCTAACTTTTGTGTTTGTGGCTTATTGTTAGATACCTGAAAGGAGCATTAGTGTCTGATGCTGATGATTTGGCAGATGCAAATAATTCAGATGCACCCCTTGGGCGCAGAAGGGACTATATCCCGTCAGCAGATCCTGGATCTAGGTTGCCTCATATGAGTGTCCGATTGTTGTCAAATCTTTCAAATAAGGTAGCAATTAGACTTTTCTTTCTGTATTTCATTTCATGCACCGTTTTACCTGTTGCCCTTTGAGTTTTGCAATCTGAGTGCGCTATATTGCGTGTTGACTGTTTTCTCTTTAATTGCAGCAGGTGGCTGCTCCGGACCTTTCTTTGATAACATTTTGTCGTTATTTCTATTACTTTGTGGAATTTGCATCTTCTTATCAGAATACAAATCTAATCAATCATCAATTTGCAGGAAACAATTTCGACTCTTGATCTTGTGTCTCTGGAAAAAGTTGAGTTTCTTCTTATAATTGCACCAATGGAAAAGTCTTTCAGTCTCGCGCGAGCTGCGTTTGAAGTGGCAGAGGAACTTAAAATCCATATGAAGACATGTGTAATATGGCCGAGTGGAACTACTAATGATAAAATCGGCAGAACAGATGCGGCATTAGAACCCTGGAAAAGTTTTATTGAAGTTGTGGAAGTGAGAAATCATCCCAGTTCAGTTTCGTGGTGGGATGTTTGCCAGATGACAGACCAAGGTGCCATTTTAGTAAGGCCTGATGAGCACATTGCCTGGCGTATAAAGATTGGAGTTACAGGAGATCCTGTTCTGGAAATGAAAAGAGTGTTTTGCAAGACATTAGGGCTTTAACCCTAGAAGGTAGACTGCTATATTTAGGAAATCATAGTTTCTTTTTTCGAGCAATGATGAGACTCATTAGTTTCCATGATGTACATATTCTTTGGGCCTCTTGTATATTGAGTGATATACTTCATTGAATGAAGCATAAAATTCAGAGCAGAAGCTTGCTTCAGAGCTTTATTTTGGCTCCTACATAATTCAGATGGCAGACCATTGATGCAGTTATAGTAAATTCGTACAATTCACGATGAACTCCGGATCACACAAAGACCAGTTATTAGCCATATATCAAATAGATTTACAGCTCTAGCTGCGCGAAATAATTCTACCCAAATTGATGAATAATATCATTATTTCCAAATAAACAAACCCTATATATATTTACAACGTAACTGAACAGTGAATCTAGATAGAAGATTAGTCTTAGCATATCCCTTTCAGTGGGAAACAAGGTGACCTAAACTAGAGTACTAGACATGATTTGTAAGAGTTGAATTGCATACAGCAGCATCTTCAACACGTCTTGATAAAAAAGGTAATACAGTTGTCGGCTTCATTTCTGACACAATGATCTCTAATAACGCCATAACACACCAGACTGAAGAGAGATCAAGCTATACTCCCCCAGCCAAACATCATATGGATTATTGTTGCTGTCACAATGCCGAGAAATCCGCCAGCAACAACCTGTGAAATTTATGGTTCATATGTCCCAAAAAATGAATTTCATATCCACCGCAGATAAATCTACTTCTATTTGAATTTATGAAAAGGACAGTATAGCAATATACTAGGAAGATAAAAACTGGGAAGAGAAACTTTAATGACGAAGAAACTGAAACAACCCCAGTTTTCTTGCATAATAGACCAGTAACTATGAGCAGCAATATACCAGTTTTATTTCTTGCATAATGACTAATTAACTATGAGGGCAGGGCGACAACCAAAAATTCAGCGGGTACTACAAGAACCTGATGATTTTCCATGCAAAGGCGTAAAGATGTACCTGAGGTGGGGTGTGGCCAAGAAGTTCCCGCAATGGTCTGCTCTCTGAAAGAGGATGCTCAGATGGAAGTTCACAGACAATTTGATTCAAAACCTATAAAACCACATGGGATTGAGATAAATATGCATTTTTATGCTTGAACCCAACGTCTAAACAGTTCAAGTGCGATTCATTTTCTAGAGCTCCCAAAAAATTAAAAACATGCATTCGTGACTATTGCACATGCAAACCAATAAGAAATTCATAAACTGAGCAGGTTATCAAACCTCGGCCTGTCGTCCAGCATGTAACCGTACACCCGTTGCGTCGTACATAACCTACGTAAAAGTGGCTTCATTTAGAAACTGTTTCATATACTTGAAAAAGCATTAATGACAACTCTATCCAGCTGCATCTAGTAAGATCAGGCAACTTGAAATTAATACAGTACAGTAAAACAGAAATTTGAGAGGAGTTCAGGTAAAAGTCAATCTAAGCCACAAATAATGTTACTCCTGTTGTATTGTAGGCAAATCTAAATTATGAGAAAATATCAGGAAAAAAAGAAAGAAATGAAACACTGAAACTAAATGGATAAAAAGGACATTGTCTACATCGGCGTGGAACAAGTTTTTGCAGTTCACCCATCCCATTTTACCAGATGCCCCCGAAAGAACAAATTTGCAGTTCACCCATAAGTATATATTTTTATTGAAATTCAAATTCATCAAAATGCAAATTGCAGCAAGTAAAGTGACAGCAACGACAATTAAGCCTCTCTATGCTGACCACAGAGCATTGTGTTCTTTCAAAACACATTTACCATACAGGTGTTATACCAAGTCATTTCAACAGTTTCTTCCGATATTATTCTTAGATTGCCCCATTCCATTACCATTTGAGTTACTAATTCTCTGTTTTGCACTCGCCTTCATCAAAAGTTCTCCTCTGCACATATCCCAACCACATAAAGGCCATTTCATTGTCTATTCTATGAGGCGTACTTTTCTTCCCATTCACCTTTTGATTTGAGTCAATCATTATTCTTTCTCGCCTTGACCCAAGTAAATATCCAAACCACTTATCTAATCATTTTAAGAGTGTTTTTCTCATTGTTTATTCTATTAGGGCAACAGTTTTCTTTGCAATGCAGTCATTCGTATCCTATCTAATTAATCTAATCCTGTGTATCTTCACATTAAATACACAGAACAAAAGTTACTTTTAGCTCCGTCCCACCAGAGCTATACTCTACAATGTGTCGCATCCATTTCATCAAATGTACAAAGTGGGAACTGGGAAGAACATTACCACAGAAGCTAAGATCAATGCGATAGCAAATGATGGCCCGCCAAAGCCATCTTGGTAGCCAACCCCCATTGCCAGAGCAGTGACGGTTGATGAATGGGATGATGGCATCCCACCGGATCCAACAAGTTGCTTCAGATCCCACTTTTTTTCACGGTACCTAAACACAACATTCGTACAACCTTTTACACACTTAACAAAATTAAAAAACCATCGACAACAGCAGGCATTCCAATTGTTGGGCATAATCCGTTTTCACGGCCCAAAAACAAAAAATTGTACTTTGTTTCTTCCTGCTTGCATCAAATCCGAACTAATCAAACATGGATGCTTTAAATGTACAAAATTACTCAAAGATTAGATCATAACTGTAAGACTTCCAAGATGGCAGCTTTATCAAAAACCGCACCTTCGAGATCCCAAAATATACAGTCCGAAACCAAAATAAACATGAAAGGACCAGTTTAAATCAAGACATGACAAAAGGCTCAGTCGCAATCGTAGGAAAAAAAAAAACAGAAAAACAAAAGCAAAAAAACATGGAAGATGGGAAGGAGTATCTTTACGTACCAAGACGTGACGAACTTGAAGGATTGAGCAATAGCAAAGGCCAAGACAGCAGAAATCAGAGCATAGTTTGAGAATATTGATGATGAGGATGATGACGACGTCGATACGTACGATGATGTCGCGGCTGCAGCAACAGTTGAGGGGGAAGAAGGTACCGAATTCCGGATCAGCCGGACCGTTGTATCCACCACCGAATCCATTTTTACTAATTAATTCAGTCTCGGCAAAGCTTCTCCGCAAACGCAAAAACTTGGCCTTTCTTTCTCGCTGATTTTACTGAAGCTCTCTAGTTCCCCCCAACAACATTAACCCAGCAAAAATTCAAGGGGAAAAAAGGAAGGAAAAGAGGAAAGAAAGACGAAACGAATAAATTTGAATGGAAGGTTGGATTTCGTGGGAAGGAACTTGGGGTGGATTGGAGCTTGGAGGGAGGAAGCAGATGTAAAACGTTGCTTCCAGTTTTTGGAATTTTTGTTTACTTTTTGTTTGGTATGCAATATTTTTTAGCTGCTCCAACGTGATGTATATGATGGTGGGGCCTTTTAGTTCTTGGAGACTTCCTTAATGTCAAGTTTCACTAATTTGCTTGTACCGGGCTCAAAGTTTGATCAAACTATCAAACGATCGTGTTATATTTATTTGATGTTAAAAAATCAGCATTGAAGATCATATGGATAATATAACAAGAAACTAATTGTCATAATTTATTTGATGTTAATCGAATAAAAAAATGATCATCATAACTTATTTAACATCATGAATTACGAGTGAAGATCATATGGATAATCTAATACTGTAAAAGATATCATCGTCATCATGTATATAAAAATAAAAATAAAAAGAAAATATCATCGTCATGGTCCTCAAATCCAATGCAACAGCTCCGCCCCCCTTTGTACAATCTTTATGTTAGTAACATTTCACATGTTTCATTAATGATGGATTTGATTACTATACAACATAACATCAATAAGTAGATAAAGGTTACAGGTTTAATTGCCATAGATTTAAGAGTTTGGTAGGAATATTTAAAAGTTATTTTGTATTACAGGCTGCACTTTACAAATTTAAAAGACGTCAAGGATTGTAGGTGTAAATTAGCCTTAGTTTTCAACTGAATATGCTACCAACTTTTGCTAACGTTGTATAGAATATACTCCCTCTTTCATTAGATGCCCATTTCGTGTGTGTGTGTGTAAATTCTGAATTAAAAATTCTGATCAAACAAAAACTATGTTTTTTGGATGACTGGCAATGGAGTAAAAAGGAAAACACCAAATGGGATGGGAGCACCAATGCATTCAAAGAAGTATGTTGCCAAAAGGTTTATAGACTCTGGGATCCATACATAATACAGGTAGAAAGTCACGCTTTAAAAATCTATCAACGGTTGTTCTGTAAAATGTAACTTAACCAAAAACTGCATACTATGGCATGCACCAAGCTCAAATCAAGAGCCAGTTGGTTGCGAGTTGGGACATTCAGTCAGCTTAACTCAGGAGGGAGGTCTCTAATTGGTGGCGTTAACAAGGCAGTGCTAAGTCCGGGAAGGAAAAATAGGAAACACCCTCTTACATTACCATACCTCCATCAATGGTAAAGACCTGCCAATCAATAACATTGGGTGTAAGGGAAAAGGATGTGCAGTGAAGATATTATGGGGGAAAATAAAAAGAAATTGATGACTTTGGATACCTAGTGAAACACATGACTCGACAAGGTCTCCTTGAACGGCAAAAAAAGTGCATGGCAAATACATATTTCTAATTAAGACACAAAACTTGAGGAAAGATTACCTGTCCAGTGATGTAGCTGGCAGCCGGATTCAGGGCCAAGAATTCAACCAGTCCAGCAACTTCTTCTGGTTGGCCGTATCTCCCTGACATCACCAGTTCAACATAAGGCTTAACCAAATAGTAACTTAGAGTGGAAAGAGAACTAAATAACAAGAAATATGAACCATAATTAGATACAATTTGGTGCAATTAACACGTGATAGTTGATACATTGTGATGAAAGCTTTGAAAAGGGTAAAATTATATGGTATAACACAACACAATTGCAATGCCTAAGTTAGTAATTTTAAGGTGACAGAAGTTACATGTTAGCAATAAGGACAATGTCCTGTTTTTCTTTGTTTTAGTGGTATTAAACCCAGGAACATTCTTCCACTGACGAGATAGTAGAATCAAGAGTTACTAGATTTAAAAATTTACCTAGTGGGATTGTCTCCAATATCTTCTTTTCAATGTCACTACTAAGTTTGGCTGTCATATCAGATGCAATGAAACCAGGAGCAACAGCATTCACCTGAGAGCAAAAAAATTATCAATTGGCTCATGGCACATTTCATTTACTATATGTAGTGACTAAAACTTTTGCAAAACTTACATTGATATTTCTGCTAGAGTATTCCTTAGCCACGGATTTCGTCAAGCCAATTACTCCAGCCTTTGCTGCACTATAATTGGCTTGTCCAACATTACCAACAAGACCAACAACTGATGCTATGTTAATGATTCTTCCCTGAAAACAACAAAGTAATGTCAGATCTCTCAAAACAAAAATGAAGACACGACCAGGAAACAAGGTAGAACAGAACACTGAGACTACTCTCTGGATATCTGTTGTATTAGTACACTGACACTCAGATAAGCATGATCCCCTATTCCATGATAACGTTCATATATTTTAAGATTTGCTAGTAAACAAACAGCCCAAATGTACAGGGCACGAATCTGAAAATTCCATCAATCCCAGCAAAATAAAAAAAGGGAAAAAGGAGTACAATGGTAAAGATGAAAAATCAACTTCCAGGGAAGATATTGGCCAAACTAGTAGGGAAAAAAAAAAAAAAACCGGTCGACAAACAAAGTTTAGTATGAAAATACTGACGTACCTTTTTCTTCTTCATCATTAGCTTAGCTGCAGCCTGCAAAGGGACAAATTTTAGATTCACAAGGCATGTTCCAAATATCAGTTTTTCTGTTAGGAAAAAGGATCTCAAAACTGTACCTGAGTACACAGGAACACCCCAGTAAGATTTAGATCAATAACCTCTTGCCATTGAGAAGTCTTCATCCTCATCAACAAGCCATCACGGGTGATTCCTAAACATTGTATTCCATTAGATGTAATCTATATAATTTACTATGGGAAAAGGCACTAATTTAAGATTGTGATCAGACCTGCATTGTTGATCAATACGTCCACAGTTCCCCAAGCATCAACAGCCTAATATAGTTTCGGCAGAATCAGTGTCAAAACTTTACAAACCAGAAAACCAATACAGATAGTTGAACATAGGAGTTACCGTTTTAATCATTGATTCCACATCAGCTTCTTTAGAAACATCTCCACCGAAGGTCAGTGCCTGACCACCACATGCCTCAATCTGCAAGACACGACAGTATCACACATAATTTCCAACAGACACTTGAATTAAAAGTTAGGGCTGCTCTACTGTAACAAGGTAACACATACAATATGGTAAAGTTAGATAATTTTTGGGAACTAACAGAGACAGAGTACTATTTTTTACCTCCTTGCAAACTTCCTCAGCTTCCTTAGATGACCTTGCATAATTAACCAGGACCTGTGGACAAATTCATCTGTCAATTCAGCTCTACTTGACAAATTGTAAACCAGAAAAAGACTGGGGGTTCTCGAGATCCCACCTTACAACCAGCTTTTCCCATGCTCAATGCAATTGCTTTGCCAATCCCTCTAGAAGCTCCAGTGACGATAACAACAGGAGATTCCACCTTCTGTGAAGCTTCAGGGCTTGATTGTTCTACAGTAGCAACGGCTTTCACCCCTGGAACAATCCAAACGAAAGCAAATTATCCACCTAGACCTCCTCATTTCATTAAATCCATAAACTTATCAAGAAAATTCCAAGAGTTAGTTTGGCATCCCAGTTCGGTCTCTTTTTCTCAGGATTAACTTTCCATTCCCAACACACAAACAAGATCAAGTTAGCCACATCTCCAGTAAAACTTTTGTTTCCTTGTAAACAGGGATGAAAATGGATATCCCTACAGGCTCAAGTTAAGCGTTTTCATTCAATTCCAAAAGAAACTTGGTTTTGTCTTTGAAATATTTTTATTTGTAGAAATCCTTTAAAACAGCTAAAGTACTGCGGATAATTTTCGGTTGAAAGCACTAATCCAATACAATTATTCATGATCTTCAAATTCAGTAGGAAAAAAGCCCCTCTAGACTAACTTAAACATTTCAAGCTCAATCAACAAATTCGACAAACGAAATGAAATTAGAAGGTGGGGGGAAGAATCACCGGAGCTGATCGATCTACATTGTGAGGAGGAGGTGAAGCAATGATGTCGGAGCTGAAGCGCCGGAGAGGACAGCCGCTGCTGCTGGAAGTAAGAAACCGAGCGGGGGGCAGAGAGCGACTGTTGTTTGGTGAAAGTCGCGGCAGCCTTGACGGAAAGGATGGCAGAAGATCCGGCAGAGGAAGCCATGATGAGATTTCTACGAATTACGGAAAGGGGAGAAGAAGAAGAAGCAGAAGAAGCTGAACGGAACAAAAAATTCGCCACTGGAGAAGAAGAAGAGGAAGGCAGCGACCAAAAAGACGTCGTTTTTTTCTATAATAAAGGGAGGAGGAGAAAGGGATTTGGAACCTCGGAATTTCCGAAGACTAAACAGACTGTTTAAATGAGTGCGTGAAAGTGGCGATGGATACTATGGAAACGAAAAGACTGATAATAGTGATATCAAAGTCTGAACCCGTTTTTTGGTTGAGACTTTTCCTGTATTGTTGTTGTTTACAACTCTTTTTCTTTCTTTCTTTCTTTTTTTTTTTTCCTTTTTCCCTTTCTAATTTCTGTCCCTCTTTTCCCTTCGTTTGTATTTGGGTATAATAATGCACTTCCTCTCCTTTTTGAAATTATACCCAGTCTCAAAAGTCATGTTGGTTAATGGTTAGGACTTAGGGGACTCATGAACCGAAATTTTCAACCTAAAATGCACCAAAAGAATTGAGGTTGTGCAAGAACTTACTGGTAAAGAAATGAACATCCGGACAGAATTAAAATTCAGGGCAATGGGGAAGAAGAATTGAGAAATGGAAATAGCAGTATTTGTATGCATTGCTTATTGAAGAGAAAAAAACAAGAATGTTGCCATTCGGTAGTAGGTCATGAAGCCACAGAGAGAACTGAAGTCCACTGATTGGACTAAAGCATGCCTAGCAAAATATCTGAGAATCTGTTCTGTCATGATGGCAGGTACTTTTAAACTACAATTTCTATACAACATGAGCCGACAACATCCAATGCAGCAGCATCCTATCTAGAAACAATTACACAGGTATTCATTACGTGCTACACCGGATAGCCCATAGCAAACAGTTCAGCAGGCTGTGTTGAGTTTAAACACTAAACAGCACGACGATTCTTTCAGGCTTTCGGTTGGGGTCGTTTCTTGGAATTATTCTTAGGTCGGATCTTCACAAAAGCCTTCTCCAGATCCTAAACCAAACAAACAAGAATCAAGATCGTAATTTGGGTTAGATGAGCAGGTCTCTTACATTCCAGGAAGTGTACTAATCACTCCACAAGCAACATGAACAAGGCTATTGTTGATTTTAGGCAGCCCGGGAAGGGGGGTTGGGGGTTGTTCTTGTAGTCGTTCTTCTCTCAGATTAAAAAAATAAAATAAAAAAAAATACCACAGTTCAAGAAGAGATTTTACCGGTGCCTGCTCAAGATCGGATGAGGTCTTTGGGGAGGACCAAATCTCCTCAAGATTGTAATATGCTCTCACTTTCTCATCCAGAGCATGAATCACCAAGTTGCCTAGATAACAGTTGCAACAATAAGGATTTAGAGGACCAAAACAATAAAGGGTTAAAACCTAGTCCTTAACAGGTCAATAGGTGCATTAAAATAGATTTCTACCAATGTCAGTGGATAACAATCAGTTAAAACTTACGAATCCAGAAAACCATCAGCAATCTACAATTTCATCTCCCTATCGTTTTGTTCCTACCCAGACATACCACTTAAATTATACCTTTAACTCAACATCAGAACCTCAATTCACAGAAAAGCAAACAAATTGCTTTACTTGTGTTTCAGTTGAATGAGATAAAATGTAGAGGCTTGGGGTAGTTCAGATGCAGGGATTTTTTTTAGCATAGATACCGGTTAGTTGTAGCTTGACCTAAGTACTCAGTTTACCCCAAAATGACTGCAATCCAGTTCAGTAGAGAACACTTGACATTACCAAATATTTGAACTTTGAGCATCGCCGCACTTTAAAAATGTTTTCATTGATATTCCAAATGAAGCCCAAAAAATAGACTACTCAATGCTGGCAACCATGAAAAACTTAGGTCTTTAAAATGGTTGACGCAAACATGACCTATTTAGTAATAAGAACTCAACATGAAATTGAAACATAGTTTATAGGATAGTTTTACACTAACAATTAAGACACTGACACAAAAATCCAACATTCCACAGTTTACGCAAAGAACTGATTGAACTGTCTATCCCAAAATTTGCACCTCTAAAACCAATTATCATACCAGAATCAATGACAATCCACTTCCCTACTTCCTGTCCTTCGACATTAGGCAGCACCATCCTCTTCGCTCCTTTTTGCTTCTGCTTTACCTGCCCATCCAAAATCAAAATCCGGCAAGAAACAAAAAGAACCCATATCAGAGAACCAAACTTTTTTACACCTCAACAAGAAAAATCCATCACAAAAAAAAAAAAAAAAATCTCACAAACCTCATTATAGCATAGCAAATGGAGCAGAAAAATAATTACGCAGATGAAATGCACGACAGAAAGACTGACTGAACTTACCCTGTAAATAAGGGCTTGGGCAATATTACGGACGTGCCACTCGGAGCGGCCGGTGGCGATGACCATATGATCGGCAAAGTCATAGTGTTTGGGTACCGGAATAACCTTGATATCGTCGGCGTGAACGTCGTTGAGGATTTTCTTCACTTCCTCCAAGTTCAGAAGCTCCGTTTTACCGCTGCTCGGCGTACTAGATTCTTCGACCGACGACGAGGAAGAGCAGAAACCTCGGTTGTAACGAGGGAGGCCAATGCCGATTGCCGCCGCCGGATGTAGCTTCCATCGGCTGAGCGCCGCGGCGGAGGATGAGAGAATTCGTAGGAATGACGAGGACATCTGTTGGATTGGATCTTCTGTCTTCTTCCAATACTATATTTGGTGCAAATTTATGGGCCTATGGTCCAAAGCTGGTTTCTCTTTTTTCCCTTTTTGTTTGCGGGCCTCTATATACCAATCCAATCCAATTTCTAATTTCCAATTTTCATTTTAAGATAATTTCCAATTTGGCACTCCCTCTCCAAGAGTCTTTTTGTAAACAAAGCTATAAAAGCTTCCCCTGTATTTAAAAAATAATAATAATAATAATAAGATAATTTTATAAACTTTTGATTTTTTTAAAAAATAAAAAATGTACAAGAATACAAAATTGCTTCTTTTATGTGATTGATGAGCTAAAATAATGACATTTGTGATCATCTAATGAAAGTTTAATATGGAAGATAATGTATTAAGTTTTTGTGTGTGTTTAGTTTTCTGGACAACCTTGCAAAAAAATGAATGCAACAAAGGAGAATGAAGGGAACAAATATACACGGGGAAGGAATGTAAATAGTAAAAATAGTACTCTCCATGTCCCAAAATTATAGTCTAGTTTGAGATTTCACTTTTAGTACAATTTGAATTATAAATGAAAACTCAAATCGAACAATAATTATGGAACGGAGGGAGTACTAAATGCTTATTCCTGGCCTATGTTTTGATATGACCACAAATCCTCTTTGGATGATGAATATATCTTCCAAAGTCCAAACCCACTTCAAGTTGTAACCATACGTACCATTGATGTCAATGATTATGCCTTTTGCTTATGTCCAACGTGCAATGGAACTAGTCAAGTCATGTGTGCTTATCCAGCTGCATTTCCCTCTTATCCCTTTTGGAAACCAAAGTTAAATGACTATACTTAGTTAAGTACATGTGTATATGTACTTCGGTTTCTATTATTCATAAGATTAATGAATTTTACAATACTACGGTTAAAGTATTCTATTTGTAGTAATGTACATTAGCGGCCTTAAACATGTGAGATTATCAATTTCCTGGATGATGTTATTACGATGAAATATTGTTTTTAGATTTTTAATTGTAGTAAAACTGAATATCTAAACTAGTACCAATGAATTTTTACAAAACTATTCATGAAATGAACTTGTAATTGAGATATGCTGGCAGGGGATACCATCTTTGAGATGGTGATCAGACTGTAATCGCCACGGTGAGGAGGATGGAGAGGTGCCAATGCTATTGACTATTCACTATTCCATCAATATCATGAGCAAGATGTATCTGACGAGGTTTTTTCCCCTTTACACCTACCATTAAAAATGACATTCTTAAATTCTTGGAATTTGGACGAAGATTTTCCATTCCTGATACTGATTGCTGCGAATGAGATCAACTCATCATCATTCCACGATTAATATTTAATATCGGTTGTTAAGTTCTTCTTCCAAACTAATCCCAATGTATGTAATCATTATTAGTTGGGGTATCAATATGTGACACCATAACAATAGCATGATAAATATATAATTAACTATAAATAAGTTATACTTTAACATGCATGTTACGATACACATATAATGTAAAACACTTCATCGATCTACGAGTGTCACAATTTTATTTTTTTTTAGGATATGGAATATATATTACTCGTTAGGTATGTAACAATTATGTTTTTTTCCTTATATATTCGAAACACAACTTGATTGTACGTAGCTGTTAGTTAATTAATACTAATAGGCTCATAACCCGGATTATGTGTGGTTTTGCATATGACTATTTGATCGTTAATTGCATAAACAACAGTTAGGTTACTAATTATGGGATGCCTCCAACTGGATCCTGCCTTTTAAACCATACCAGTACCGTTTGAAGAATGTCAACTAATTAAATTAGTAAATTTATTAACACCTAACTAACATAAGATATCCATCTCTAGCTAATTGATTGATGTCAATATTGCCATTATTGTTACTTAAAACTGTTAACTTTGGATTAATGTTTGCTGTAATCACAATTTATTAGTTCTAAGCAACCAAGCTTATTGTTTGTCTTCTACTTCAAGGCATGACCTGTAAATCTGTGCATTTTTTTTTCAGATTAACTTAAAATTGGGTTATGTTTTGATTTGTCATTTCCACCAATGCATGGAGATAAATATCCTGAATTAATTTGCTACTGTAAATGTAAGGTGTACCTCCTAATATGAATTATGTAGCTTAGTTAGTTGCCGTTAAATCAAAACGAATCACATATAATCAGCAATGGAACCAGTGTTGAATTACTACGACAAGGTGGTAAATAGTAATAGTACTAGATCAAGTTAACTATGAATTCAACTGTGTTTCAAACATCTGGTGGAATGTCAAAGGAATGCCTAAGTAAATTAGATATAATTGACGTTCATACTCTTGGAGTTTTTACTAACGGTATTTACTCTATTTTAACTATATATAAAAGATAACTGGAACTGTGGCAAGCCGGACAAACGGTTGATTTGCTCTCACTAATTACTTATGATACTAAATAGTAGATTGTGATTATGTCAACAAGTTTAATTGTAATAGATACTTGAGAATTATATTCCCTCCATCCCATAATTATTGTTCAGTTTGGATTTTCATTTTTAGGTTAAATTGTATTAAAAGTGAAATATCAAATTGGACAATAATTTTAGGAGAAATGGCGTATTTTGTTTTGGGATTGGAAAAAGGTTATACACAGAGGGAGCAATATATTAGTTGCAATGTATGCAAAAATATCATTTTGGAATTGAGAAGAAGCTCATTTGTGGTTATAAACACAATAAGTTAATATAAGTGGAATTCATTTGTTTGCAATGAGCTTAATCACACAACATACTTTCATTTTTCCTATAAAGGATCACAGTAATTGTCTGTCCTCTCCTAGGGGAATGAACATCCTTTATAATATTACTTGTTAAATGTGATGTTGGATTAAGAACATCAAACATCCTAGACTAAATGAAAGTAACAATCAAAGCAAATGTCTTAATCATTCACTAATCATTATCCATCCAAGGAAAAAGAAAGGAAAAAAAAAAGGGATTTATATATGCTGTCCCCCTTATTGCCACTTGAATGCCAGCTATAATACACATAGGGATATACAATAAAGAACAAAACCAAATAAACAAAATATACTCAAATTAAGTACTCTCATCATAATCATAGATTAAAACTGTCATATCAAATTTAAAATGTCAAAGAACAAAGCAAATCTACTAAACTACTATCCCAAGTACTAACACCAACTCCAAGGTTGTCTATAAAGATAACTAAAAAGTGATTAACGTTACTCCAAATGAACTTTATCAAAATTTTCACCTTTTTTTTTTTTTTCTAAACTGTATGGGCTGTACTTATTATGCTTTTTTTTTTTTTTTCCTGAGTTTTATGCCCATCCCCGTAAGTAATCATGAGGAATTTTCCACAACACGAACGGATTGTTTCTGGCGTTACATTTTAGCGAAATGACGGAGGCAACACAAATTTTAATACAAACACTATATATTATTCTGTTTACGACACACTTTATCAAGTCTTTGTTAAATTCATGACTGATATCATTAGTAAAAAAAATTTGCAATTTGCACGAGATTATGATATTTGTACACTTTCACCTTTTATTAATATGTGTTCCCGATTAGAGAGTCTTGTGCATTTGGTGATACTCTTTCCCGCCCATAATTATTATCTAGTTTGAATTTTCATTTTTAGTTTAAATTGTACTAAAAGTAAAATCTCAAACTGAACAATAATTTTAGGACAGAGGAAATATGTATTTTGAAACAAAGAAATACTGTGTTAACTTAACTTATTAGGCTTAAACATAGGTCCGGTGTGCATACCTCAAATCAAAATAATTAATTAGAGGGTTGGAGGAAAATGAAAAACAGAAAATGAACCCTGAACATAAATTAAAAAAAGGAAAATATTAAAAAGAAGAAAAAAACGAAAAAGGAAAGCTTGCTGAGAAGAAAAGCAGGAAGAAAGAGCACAGCATCCAACAAACATCACCACCACCACGACCACCACCGCTTTAGTACTCACCAGTAGTTAGTTTGCTGCGGCAGAGCACAAAATTTTAGCACAGTATTTGAAGAGTGAGAACAAAGTTTGCAGAAACCATTTTTATTGCTTTCCTTCTTTGCAATCCATCTTTCACGTGACACCTGTGGTTTCTTTTTTTTACCTTACTGTCTATCCAGAAGTGTGGGGAAAAAGGAAAAAAAAAAGGGGCAAAAGGAACCTTTTTTTTGTTCTTGTAATTTTCTTATTGTTGGTTTGGATCCACTTGATCTCTTCCATTCCGGATCCACAAGATCCCATTTTTCCCCTTAATTCATCTTCATTTCACTTCAACGGGGTTTGGAATTTCTCTGGGTTTTTGTTGGAATTCCTGGTATTTTAGTACTTGGGCTTGGTTTTGGTTTTTGGGTTCGAGTTTGACTTGGTTTGCCAGGAATGCGAGGAAAGCTTTTGACTTGGTAATTTCATTGACGCTATTTTCTTCAGTGGGAGTTGAATTTTGTTGACTACGGTTCAGTTTTCCTGCGGCGGCTGCCGAATTTTTCCCGGTGCTGCGAATAATAGCTGAAATTTGTGGGCATTGTGGACTGTTCATCTTGGATTTGGAGTGAATTTTTTCCGTAAATTGGAGCTGGGAATGAGCTTCTTCAGTTTAATGAGCTGGTCATATTGGTGAATTTTAGTGCTAAATTGGATGGGTTTGATTTGAAATGAGAGGTGGGTTTTTGATATTTGGAGATTACAGGGTCCAAGGATTGGTTTCTCGATGGCTTTGAGGTGGATTTTTGATACGGTGAGCTTATTGTAGAAAGATTTTATTTCTTTTTGCTGGTGTTGAACATGTGGTTCTGTAACTTGAATTGGGGATTCTGGAAGGATTAGGGTAAATATTTGGGGCATCAACGAAGATGCCACCTTCACCAGCAATGAGATGCTCTCCAGGGAGGGAAACGAGGGCAGAAATTCACAAAAGAGGGCGCAGTCTTGAAGGGGGGATTTTGTTCAGGGAAAAAGACGAGGATCTTGCTCTCTTTAATGAGGTGCAGAGCAAGGAGAAAGACAGTTTCTTACTTCAACAGTCCAATGATGACTTTGAAGATTTGTTCTGTAATTCCTATTAACTCTGTCATCTTTCCTTAATATTTGGTTTGGCCTGATTTTTCTTCAATTTTTAGGCGTTGTTGTTACTTTATTTTTGTGTTTGGTTTTTCTTGGGCTGACACGTTGTTGTTGGCATTGTTTTGTTCTTGTCGCATTCTGACAGCAAGCAAATTAAGATACTTTTCGGATAATAAGATTGGAATCAACATTCCTGCTAGGGGAGGGAGCAGTAATGACCTGTTGCTAAATGCAGAAGGAGATAAAAATGACTATGACTGGTGAGTTTTTGCTTCTGTTCTTGTTACCAACGATCTTTAGCAAGGCATTAAGTCTTAATGGATTGCTTGCACATTGAACCATCTTTATCAGTCTTGTTTTGGAATGTTTGATTGCTGGAAATTTAATACGGTTAATTGTTGATTTTGTGTATTCTTTTTTCATTTTGTTATAGTTTTACACTTCTAGACTGATTCAGTCAATTGCCTCAGTAATTAATGTCATTAAGATGTGGCCTTCTTTGATTGAAGGTTGTTAACTCCTCCTGAGACGCCACTTTTTCCATCTCTGGATGATGAGATGCCGTCATCCAGCAGCGCTGCGCAAAGGGGCAGGGCACGAAGTCAACCCATTTCAATCTCAAGATCGTCGACGGTAAAATGCAAAGAATTCCTGATATTATTAGACTTAAATTTCTTGCTCAAAGCATTGGTGAGGGAGGGAAGTGTGTTTAACTGTTTCTAAATGGTATGCACTTTTGAATTTCAGATGGAAAGGAGTCAGAGAAGTAGCAGAGGTAGTGCAAGTCCAAATCGTTTAAGCCCATCTCCGCGTTCTGGTCAAACAACTTATCAAACAAGGGGCAGACCATCATCTTCAGGAATGCATTCGAGTCCGCCTTCTGTTGCACGTCCTGCTACACCAACTAGGAGACCATCTCCAACTCCCGCTCCAAGGTCTTCTACACCCACCCATAGGAGGATTGGCAGTGGTTCTAGTGGCCCTGGAGTGCCTTCCAGAGTAAGGGGTAACTCCCCTATTAAGGTGAACAGAGGAAGCTCTCCGTCACCCAAAATAAAAGCTTGGCAGACGAATATTCCAGGGTTTCCATCAGAGGCGCCTCCTAATCTGCGTACCTCTCTGGGTGATAGGCCAGCCTCGTACGTGAGGGGATCCTCACCGGCATCATCCAGAAATGGCTCAAAATCTGGCAGGCAATCAATGTCTCCTACTGCATCTCGAAGTGTTTGTTCGTCATACAGTCATGACCGAGACCGATTTAGCTCCCACAGCAAAGGCTCAGTTGCATCATCTGGTGATGATGATGTAGACTCTCTGCAATCACTTCCCATCAGCAGCTCAGACCACTCCGCTCCGAGGTCTACTAGCACATTTTCAAATGGCCGTGGGTTGAGCTCTCCAAAGAAGCCCACCAAAGTAGTAGCTTCAAGTTCTGCACCAAAAAGATCCTTTGACATTGCAATTCGACAAATGGTATCTATTTTCATTGTCTGTTCTCTTGAAAACGTACAGCTTTAGATGTTGATATGTTGATATCTGTCTTAATTTAAGTTCAAAAACATTTTCTCTTCATAGTCTTCTCTCTCTCTCTCTCTCTCTCACACACACACACACACACACACACCACACACACACACACACAAAACAGACCCACGTGTAAGAATCTAAATTCTCAAACTATTCAATTAATGTAGTTAACCGAAGGAATTCGCACTCTGATTTCTGAATGATATGTCACACGCATGTGTATTAGTCCCATCTACTAGGTTTAGATGAGGGTTTGGGACATAGTGGATCTTATTGAGCATTATGTGGTTCAAGGTTTTGATGATCTTCTTTATAACCTTTTAAAGGTTCAGTTGATTTTTAATCTTGTTTTGATCTCTGTCTTCCACAGGATCACAGAAAAAGTCCGCAGAATATGTTTAGGCCTCTATTATCCAGCGTTCCTAGTTCGACATTCCATGCTGGCAAAACTAGTGCTGCTCATCGCTCTATTGTATCTCGGAATTCTTCTTCAGTCACTACGAGCAGTAATGCAAGCTCCGATTTTGGTACTAGTGGGGCACATGATACTGAAGGTAGCGAGCAGAACCAGGAGGATATCAGTAGTGCATTTGTGAAGGCTGTGGATCATTTTGTGCATGAAGAAGAAGTATTTGCCTTTGACAAGGGTGATTCAACCCATTCAGAACCTCAAAATAATGGGGACTTGCCAGAATGTCATGACGAGATTGACCATCATCCTACATTGAAGTCTGAGGTAATGGATGATGAGAAGTCTGGCCAGAATGATGCAGCAATGGTAACCTCAGTAGCTTCTGGGGCAGATAACCTTGAAGATATGGTTATCTGTGATAGGTGTGGTTGTGGGTACCGTGTCAATAATGAAATCGAGGAGGACCTAAAGCTTTGTAGGGAGTGTAGAGATGCCGAAATATGTTATGTTCTAACTTCTTTATCCGAGACAGTGATGGCTGGTGAGCAATCGCTGGGTGATTTGGTTGATGATTCTGCTTGTGTTGTGAAACCTGAAGTCTTCGCCGCGTGTGTTGTGGGTGACTCTGAAAGTGGTCCTCACAGTGAAGTCAGGCACAACTTGCCAGAAGCTTCCGATGCACCAGGAGAGCCCATGTTTGCCAGCCAACAACATTCAGAAAATCAAACAACTGTTAGTAATATAAAACTGGATGGTGAGGTTTCTGGTCAGGACTTGCCAAAAACCAGCAGCGTTTTAAATTCAAAGGTCGATATTTCTGAAGGTGGTTCTGGGATATCTGTTTTACTGACATCAAACAGTGGAAAAGGGCCAATTGTGAGGACTAGGACATTTACTGCCACCAGCATAACTTGTGATGATTTCTCTTATCTAAGAGATAGTGCAACCAGCACAAGAAGCTCCTGTGGTCATGGGACAACCTCAGCATCCTCATCTGCGGACTGGGGCTCTGGTAGACAAATAGAAGCCCGTTATCATAGGCAAGTAAGTAGCAAAAAGTCAGATACGGAAAGTTACAGGTCTGAGATGTACACTAAGCACGGACGATCTGCATCGTCCTTGTCTGGAGCTTCAACCCAAGGATTCCAAGCTTCAAGTTTTGCCACAAGCTCTCATGAAGGTCTACAGGTTTCTGCTATCCATGATGATGACAAATATAATCTTGCGCCAGCACATGTAGACCCTTCATTGGCTTCAGAAAGTGTAGAACTGGACCATTTGAGTATTGATATTGAAAGTGACAGTAAGTGGAGAACAGTTTCTGAGTTGTCAAATGATACAGTAATTATCCAAATGGTTGATGCTACTACATCAGTTTCAAACATGGATGAGGCTTTACCTGAGTATTGTAGAGAAGACTTAGCAGATGATTCTTGTAGTGGTATCAACTTCGAAGTTGTTGCATCTTCACTTTCCGAGACTAGTAATTTGGAGGACGAATCTACGCCCAATGCTGCTTCTACAGACAGGATGGATGATTCTGCAGAAGCTCCCAACTTAGCCACCCCTTTGGATGCTATTTCGGAATTGGATTTTGAGAATGATCATGCTGTTTCTCCTGATTCTGTATTTGATATTGCTTCACAGAACTCAAGAAGTAGCATGGATGACGACTTACGTCCTGAATCATCTCATCCTCCCGAGTCATCCTCTAATGATGTAGGCAATTTGGTTGAAGGGTCGATAAACCAAGATTATTCTCACAGCATTCGTGGTATGTATTTCTGGAACTATCAATCTCATGTTCTATTAATGTTCTACTGCTTGCACCCTTGAAACCAGTGTTACTTGTGTCTTCCTTTTTGATGCAAAATTAAGAATGTACCCAATGTTAAAGTATTTGTGGTTAATGCATCTGGACTCATCTCACTTAAGTGTCATAACTTAAATCTGTTAATGTTTTGAATAAAGTTTTTCTGGCACAGAGGGAGTATTTTGGAATCTTTTACTGTTTCTTTGCCTCGTTTCTAAAAGCTATTGCCTTTCAATACTTCTTTCTTGTGGTAATGGTAGGACACCTAGAGGGAAAAAAAAAGTACATTTTCACTTGAGTTTATATAACTTTCTCTGGAATATCACATCTGAAAAACATTCTTAAATTCTCTTATTGGTCACAGAAGAATCATCTGTGGTGTTAGAGGACCATGCAGGCATTCATTCGAGAAGCTTGACTCTGGAAGAAGCAACCGATACCATACTGTTCTGCAGCTCTATTGTCCACAGTTTGGCGTATGAGGCTGCGAACATTGCTTCAGAGAAGGAAAACAAGATTGTCCATACAGAGGAGGGTGCCAAATTGATGGTAACCCTTGTCGGTAAATCAAATCCTGAAAGAAGGGATCCGCGTGCCAGGGTCAAGCGAAACGCCAAGTCCCATAAAGCTAGGCAAAGGCGGTTAGAAATAGACTCCAAACCTCCTCCTGATTCCACCAACGCTCCGATGGATGAGAAGGAAAATGACAATACTTCAACCCGTATGGTTGGAGTTTCTAATAAGGGTGGTGACAGCATGAAGCCCCCAAAATTGGAGTCCAAATGCAACTGTACAATCATGTAGACTATCATCCATGTAGACTATCATCCCCTCTCCTGTTACCCTGGCCGAGTCAGGGTTGCAAAGCTCTCGCCACTATAACTATAAGGATGCATCATTTCTTGCTGCTCCAATTGGGTTGATTCCATCTTCCTTTTTTTTTTTCTTTTTGGTTTTTGGCAATTAGGTTCTGTAAGAAATATATACATGTTTGTCCATTGTAAAGGTATCGTTTTTTTTAGGCTGATGATATAATAGCAGAAGGGTTGGGGAAAATTTGCCACTATTCCACTTTGCCATGTATTCTTTATATAGTATCTGGTGTTTTTTTGGGTTAGTTTCCAACCCTTTTTAATTAGGGTATCGTGTTAATTCTTTTGCTCATTGGAAACACTACCATTTTGTCCTAGTCCTTTGTAATTGTGGCTCATATAATTTGATTCATTCTACTACTTTGTTTTCATTTTCTTTGTTTGCATTCCCGGTACGTTTATGTTTGTCTCATTCTGTAGATAAAAGCGGATTTCCCCCTCTTCGAGTCTTACAAGTTACAATTACTTTTTGCTGAATTCCTTCTACTTGTACAAGTTTATGCACAATATGTCGAAGGAAAGCGGGCAAAAAGAAGAAAAATCCATGAATTCCAGGCACTTCGAATTTAAACTTAAGTACCACAATGTTTTGGTAAGGCTTGCTAGTTTTGTCATGATTAAGAATTACTCCATATATTTCCCAAAAAAAAATAAAAATTATAAGTTCTCGATTATGTCAGTCAAACCTTAAAAATTTTCGATCACTAGTAATTAATTCAAGCGAGGATTAAGCTCGGGTTGTAAATCATTAGATCTAGTCTTTGGTATTCACTGCATTTTTACTGTTCAGATCACATCTTGTAATTGTGTTACATGAATGACATTATTTTCATTTATTTTGGTAAAGGATTTAGGAATCCATTCGTCCTATAATTATTGTTCAGTTTGAATTTTCATTTTCTCAAACTGAACAATAATTTTGGGACATAAGGAGTAATAATAATGGAGAAAAAAAAAAAACACGCACTCACACACACCCCCCTGACCATCTTTTGCGGCGTTCTATCCGTCGTTCCGAATTCGATTCCCGTGCTAACCAGATCTCCGCCACACCACACAGGGACTCAGCCACCTGAGTTAGTGAAAAACCACTTCAGTAAGGGAATACTAGTCGCATTTTGATCTTACTTTTTCTTAACTGACAATCTTAATTTTCATCAGCTCAGCTCCTTTAAAATCGTATATGCGATCTAGTTTTGTTACTCAAATTGTTTTATAGTACCATCCAGAAAGAAAAAGAACTTGAGTCGCTCATTTCATTGCTTTCAATGTTGAACCCGCTACTGCGCCCCGATAGGTATCCGAAATGCAGCTGGATAGTGCTATACAAACTTCAATCATCTTGTTGTATATTTATTTATCCTCATCTCAGAAAGAACTTCATATGAATCCAATGAACCCTTGATTTTGGATTACCTAGATATATAAAAAGAATCTGAGGGAATTTACTTTGTTGACATATCTGAGTCTTTTAGTTTTAGTCCGACTAATAACTGTATTTATGTCGTTGCTTCAATTTTTTGGCGTTCAAATTGTTCTAATAAGGAATTAAGGTTTCATATATCCCATCTTTGGATTCTCAAACATCGGAGTCATTGTTGCGTCAAGAGACAAAAAGGTAAGGAAATTACCCTTCGCGGCCATTTCTCGTCCCTTTTATTTACTCCCTCCGTTTCACAAAAATAGCTCACATTGAGTTTTGTATTGTTTTTAGTACAAATTTGAAAACTCATGTGGATTATTTTTGTGAGATGAAGGTAATAAAAAAAAAAAAAATCCAACTCCACGGTAATAACCTTTTCACAAATTATTGTTTGAATTAAATAGTGAAAATGGTCAATTATAAGCAGAAACCTAATAAACGTTATGTTTTCAATAACATATAAAAGAATGGGGGAAAATCCTAATAAACGTTATGTTTTCAATAACATATAAAAGAATGGGGGAAAATCCTAATAAAGTGGTATATCAGACGTACTCCCTCTATTCCAAAATAAGTGTCGTTTTAACAAAATGGAGAAATTCTAAAATAAGTGTTATTCTCATATTTCAATGCACTTTTTGTCAAAAGTTTCCATAATTACCCTCAAAAGAGTTGATGCTATTGGTGGACAATTTTATAATGGGGTTGGTTGAGGATATTCAAATAATTTTATTACCCTATTTAAGAGTTTCTTAAACTATGTACAAAGTTTAGTACGATACTTATTTTGGAATGGAGGGAGTACAAAAGAACTTTACTTCACAAATAACCACAATTTTCTTGAAATTGTAAAACACCCAAGGATGTACGGTCTGGATTTCGGGCCCATTTGTTCCAGCGAATGGAAATTGTAATTCCTTTTTAAAGTTCCGGCGGATGAATTGAATACATAATTCCTCCACCGAATTCAGCGTGTTTCATATTCTGCTTTTGCCGTTCTTTTACATCATGACCATATATGAGTTGTTCAATCCCGTTGCTCCCTATGTGGTAAACTTCAAAACATGAAAAAAACAAAAATACTTAACAGAGAAACTTATGGATAAAATCAGAAATATTAAGTCGGTTGATTGGTTCAGTCTGACAGGTTGTGGTTCAATATCATGATTCGGTTAAACCAAAATCGAACCGCTAAAACCGATTGCTTATTCGATCGGTTCAGTTCGGATTAATAGTATTTGCGGTTCAATTGCGTGCAGTTCATTAGACTGAAAAAAATCGATTAACCTGAACCAAATTCACCCGAATCGACTGAACCCGCCCGATCTGACAGCCCTAAGAGTCTTAGTAAGAGTACACATGAAACTAGCTTATAACTTAGCTCACAAGACTTAAATCTATTTAATATGAAATTTATATTTTTCTAAAAAAAAAGGTTTTATAATTACATTTTCCTTAGTTTTTATTGTTTTTACAATATATATTTTTTTTTGGGAGAAATTCAGGCAACTAATGGGAGGATCCTGATTTTATTAATATTAAAATTAAAACTATAAAGGATAATGCTTAAAACTTACCCAATAACAAAAAAAACCGTCTTACTATTTTTTTTTTCAAAAAAACTCTATAATGGTTCCTATACTTTTATACTAAGAAATTGTCTTAGAAAGGTTTACTAAAATCTCGTTGTAATAGTTAGACTTCCTGTTTATTTTTAAAAGCAAATAGCTGTTGAGGAATTCTTATAGGATCTTTGTAAAACATGTTCTTAAATTAGTTATTAATAGCAAATATATCAGAACTGTTATGAGATTCTTAGAACAATCTTTGTAAGACAGTTTCTTAAATCTAGTTTGTATTAGAACCGTCATGTAATTTCTAGAAATTCTTTGTATGATGGTTTCTTCCCTTTGGATAACTTTTAAACACTGCTCTTTATAATTTTCTTTTTTAAATTAATAAAATGGGGGGATAGCCGCTAGATAGCATCTTACCTTAAAAAAAGAAAAAGAAAAAAGAGGTTTACGAAGATCCCTTGACAACTCTCTTCATTTTTACAGTCTACATTTAAAAATTATCTTATGAAAATTTTCTACAAATCCCATAACATTTTTTTTTCAAGAACAACAATTTAACATCTAAGAGAGTGTATGTCATTTAGCAGAAATATCTAAGAAAATGTTTTACAAAGATTTGACTGTAAATCTTTTACTTAGTTAATTGTGCACAATATATTAAAGGAAAGCACGCCAAAGAATGAAATTAATCTGCAATCCACCAATTTCAAGCACTTTTAAAGTACAACAAGGTTTTGGTAAGATTTGATAGTTTTGTCATACCCCATAATTTTAAACACTCCATTAGTTACACTAAAAGTTAAAGAAAGATTTACGTACTAATTTTGTCGTGTTAAAATTTATAAACTCACGATCACTGGATATTGAAGGAAGAGGATTAACCGATTGAGCCACTCGCTGATAGAATTGTAAATCACTAGATTTTCTATTTGCTATTTTAATGCATTTTCTATTGCACAAATCATATCATATATTGTTATTGTGTTATATCGAATGACATTATTCTCCTTTAATATATATATATATATATTGTAATTTATTTCTTATTTGAAATGTTTTTTTAAGTGAGTATTTGTTTTGTTAACAATGTAAAAATGTGTCTTAAGAATGAAAAAAAATATATGATGGAAGAGAAGTATATTAACAAAAAATTCTAAAATAAACTGATAAATGTAGTAAGAAAAGAACAAGAAGTTAGGCTCTTTTTGGTTGGTTTTCTTTTCATTGTTTCTTCAGAATTTTTTTATATATATAAAATTAATGAATGTCGCATTCAAAAATATTTTTTTTTCATCCTCAATACGTATTTTCACATTTATTTATGATAAAAAAAACACTTAAAACACACAATGAAAAACAGTCCTACATACCATTAGAGTTTCATTTAGGTGGGAAGCCAGTTTTCCCTCCAGATTATTTCAAAAAAAATTTCCCTGCAGAAAAATTAGGCGGGAGAAGGTAATAATAAAAAAGAAAATGGGAAAAAAAAACACGCACACACACACACAACGACCATTTTTCCGGCGTCCCATCAGTCGTCGTTCCTCCCCGATTTAATCATATTTCCATGGGCTCCGATTTCGATTCCCGTGCTTATCAGATCTCCGCCACTCCACACAGGGACTCGAAATTTAGTTCCATTTCCTCCGCTAAGAAATCAATAACTAACACTAAGGCGGCCTCGGCCTCCGCCGCCGCCGCCGCCGCCGCCGTTATTTCCACTTCACGCCTCGTCCTGAAAGTCAAACCGCCCTCCAATAAGAAGAAGAAGAAGAAGAATCATTCTTCAAACACAGCAGAGAATGCAGAATCCGAGGGACAACTTGAAGAAAACCCATCTCAACTTCCGCTGCCGACTTCCTCGCCGGAGATCCCTAATTTCACCGTCATTCGTCGCTCCGACAGTGGAAGCTCAAACCCTTTATTTCCTTCTTCCAAAAGTGCTCCCCTTTCTGCCTGTGGACGTATATTGTCCAGGTTCACGAAATCCCAGAGAGAAAACATCACATTTCAGCCTATTGAGAGTGATCCTGTTGGCCCTAAGCTACAGGGCATTGAAAAAGAAGGTGCTAATAATTCGTCCACGAAGAAGCATCCTAATTCTATTGGAGGTTGTGGTAATGTGTCTTCTTCTCCTTCGTCGGGTAATTTATCGAAGAGAGTTAAATCCGTCAGTGATGGTAATTTTGTGAAACTTAATATCAATGGTTATGGTAGTAAAAAGTTCAAGTTCAAAGGTAAAAGGAAGAGCTTTGCAAGTTATTCATCAACTGGGCGTCCTAGATTTTCTAAGAAATGGAAGGGGAAAGCTGGAGTTGGAGTTGAAGGAGGTGAACTGGAGAGTGGGTTTTGTGAGGAAGAGGGTTTGGTTTGGGAGAGAAAGCAAAATGAGGAGAAAAAGAGGTCGACGTTTGATGCTGGGATGATTGAGGAGGCTGTGATGATGGTAAGAAATGAGGCGTCAGATGACAATTTACTAAGGCTGTTGAAGTTGACGCACGGATATAATTCATTTAGAGATGGACAATTGGAAGCTGTTAAGACGGTGCTCTCTGGAAAATCAACAATGTTGGTTTTACCGACCGGTGCCGGAAAATCGCTGTGTTATCAATTGCCTGCGGTGGTGCTGCCAGGGATTACGCTTGTCGTGAGTCCTTTAGTAGCTTTGATGATTGATCAGCTCAAACATCTTCCCCCTGCCATCCCGGGTGGTCTTCTTTGTAGCAGCCAGGTTCTCTTCCTCTTAGTTGGTCAATATTGTCCCAGTTCCTGATGATGATTACACTGATTTTGTGTACTTTTTCTTGTCGTGTTGTAGACACAAGATGAGGCTTGCGAGACACTTGAGTTGCTAAAGGACCAAGCAATTAAGGTAACCAAATTTTAGTTTTCATTCCTAAATGTACGTGAATGCACATTATGTGGGACCAATTTTAGAATTAGGAATATGTGATCCTTCACCAGTATTTATGTATTTGAGGATGGTGCTTGAAGATCTTGTACAATCACTGTGTTCTATGCTCTTCTAGCTACTTGCACCGATATGGCTGCTAATTTTGGACCTCATTTTGGCGATGTTTCAGGTTCTTTTCGTTTCACCAGAGAGGCTTTTGAATGCAGAGTTCCTGTCCATCTTTTCTGGCATCAGTAGTCCTTTAGTATCTTTGGTGGTAATTGATGAAGCACATTGTGTTTCCGAATGGTAAATAATTATTGTCTTTTTTACTTATTCAAGATCATGGATCGAATCTTGCCAGCTTCTATGTCTTCGTGGACAAGAGCATCAATCTTATAAGATCACACCAAAAATGACAGGTCACACAATTTCCGGCCCTCATACATGAGGTTAAGAGCATCAGTATTGTATGCTAAGCTTCATGCTCAATGCATTCTTGCTATGACTGCAACAGCTACGTCCAAGACTTTGCATGATGTGATGCATGCTTTGGAGATTCCTGCTGGAAATCTAATCCAGGCTGCCAAAATGAGAGATAATCTGCAGTTATCTCTCTCAATGACTGGAGGAAATAGGCAAGTCTACTGAAAGTCTGAAACATTTTCTACTACTTCGAATCAGTTCGAATCAGCTCCTTGTCTCTATCATAATCTTGCTCAACTATTCCCTTATTTGATGTGTGTTTTTTTCTTTTGAAAATAAATTCAGAATGAAGGATTTGATGACATTGCTTAAGTCTCTACCTTTTCTGGAAGTAAAAAGCATCATAATTTACTGCAAATTTCAGGTGATGCCTGGATAAGATCTCAAAAATTCTAGTTGTAAAGTGATGTAACCGTTCTATATATTTATTCTTTTGTTCACCGGTATCTGATCAATTTTCTTCCTCTTTGTTCACAGTATGAAACTGACAACTTAAGCAAATTCCTATGTGATAACAATATCTCAGCTAAGGTACCTCATTTGTTTCCTTGCGTCTTTGAATTAATCACACTTCAATGATTCTTATGCTTGGTATGTACTTATGATAGTTATCTTCCTATCCAGAGTTATCATAGCTCTATCCCAGCAAAAGAACGCCGAACCATACAAGAACAATTTTGCAAGAACAAGATAAGAGTGGTAAGTGGTGGTGTTAACCATTGCTTTTTTTTGTTTGGTTTACATTAACCGTTGTCTTTAATAATTCTTTTGCATTTTCCTCCGTCCCTAATCTTTTAAGCTTTGTTTTTCCAGGTGGTTGCAACTGTGGCATTTGGCATGGGTCTTGATAAAAAAGATATTGGAGCTGTATGGACATTTTCTTGGTTCTTTTGTTTGAAAGCATCTATCCCTGTAACTTCAACTTCTATACATCTGTCACAGGTGATTCATTACAGCTTACCAGAAAGTTTGGAAGGATACGTCCAGGTAGATAGCTGTTCTTCAAATCATTTGTATCGTTGTGAAAATTGTTTAAACTTCATATTCTGATTAATGCTCTACCATGTCTTAGACTAAGCACACAAGTAATCTGTGCAGGAGATTGGACGTGCAGGACGTGATGGAAGATTGTCATACTGCCATCTTTTCTTTGATGAGGCTACCTATTTTAAGATGCGTAGTCTCATGCACAGGTGATCAAACGTGATTATGAATTTCATCACCTTTTTAATGGCTCTGAAGATCTAAAGTGACATCTTTTGCAGCGATGGTGTAGACGACTTTGCAGTTATTAAGTTCCTCAGTCAAGTTTTCCATAATGGAATCAGTTCATCTGGGAAAATTTGTTCACTCATTAAGGAGTCTGCTTCGCGTAAATTTGATATCAAAGAAGAGGTTCTTCCACTTGACTTACAACTTTCTTGCATCCTCGCAATATCCCTAATGGATCAACAATCCTAAGAAGCATCATATTTTAACCATAAGCCCGAACTAGAAGCATAATATATTCATACGAAATATATTTCTGTTTCTGTGGATTCATCAAACTAAGGATGTAATCCTGTTTCAATTGCTTTAGCAGAATATGGACCGGACTTAATAGCATTCATGATAAGAGCCTGTATCTACTTTTCAAGGACTTATTGGATGATCAAATTTGAAAAACTTCCCATATTTTGCATGTATATGCCCCAAAAACTACTTAATCACCAGTATCTTTAGCTGACATGTCAGTAAATTTAGCGGAGATTCTTTTGTTGGCAATAACACAAGTTACAAAAAAACCCACAAATAGTTGGGGAATACTTCTTATATGCAAAATTCTACTTCTGACAGGTAATGCTTACAATCTTAACTCACTTGGAAATAGGCGATATACAGTACTTGAACTTACTTCCGCAGCTAAATGTCACTTGCACTGTAAATTTCCATCAGGTTTGCTCCTTTAATATTGTCAGTCAGGTGCATCTTTTTGCTATAGCTTCTGCCACTCATTTGAAAGAAGTTTTGGTAATGCAGACATCCCCGGGATTGCTCGCGTTGAATGATACGCTGATTGCAGCAATTTTAAGGAAGTGAGTTCCTTTTTGAGCTAGTATCTAAGATATTATTATTTCTCATCAATTTTAATGTGCTCAACGACTTCTTTCAGGTCTGAACTGAAAGATGGGCAATATGTGTTTGACATACCAAGTGTAGCAAATAGCATCAGATTGCTGCCTGCTGAGTTATCAAGTCATCTACATAATCTAAAGGTGCATGTCAAAAATCAAGTGTGATATAGTTTTGTTACTCAAAAGTTTCTTAGTAACATCAGAACAAAGCTTAGTGTCTCATTTTATTGCTTTGCTCAAGTTGTTGAACAATGTGGCCCAATAGGTGTCTGAATGCAGCTGGATAGTGCTATACAAACTTCAATCATCTCATATAGTTATCTTGGTCAGGGAAAGAATCTTTTATGAATCTAATGACGCCTTGAGCCTTGCACCTAGCTCAAACCTGTTCCATTCAGTTTGGTGACATTTCTGATTCTTAGTCTGACTGAAACTGTATTATACCATTTGAAGAGTTTTCATGCAAGTGTTATGGAAAATAAGGACCTGGTAATGTGAGCCATGATTGAACCTTTTTGTACTTTTTACATACTAGAAACCAGAAATATAATTTGAAATAAGTCGAACTACATGACAACAAAAGGTTACAACATGTGGAGCGTGATAAGATGTTTAATGACTCACATATGCATTTATAAACATTGATGAGCAAGCTGTTAGTTGACCATGCATTTCTTCCTTTTGAATGCTTCTAAATTTCATTTTCTACATCAAGAACTAAAACTGCTCTGTACCTTAGTTTTCACTAAATTTGTATTTCTCATGGTTTCAGCTGAAAGGAGAAATTACGTACGAGATGAAGGATCAAGCATATTGCTACACAATTTTGGGTGTCCCAAATGATATATGCTCTATGGCAGCAAATACTGCAAAGTGGTTGTCACAAGTTGAGAGGTGTAAGGTGAGATGCTTATAGATTTACTGTTAGGTTTAGTAAAAATTTTTTTTTGAGTAGTGTGTAGTCTTGGCATGGGTGGTTTTTCACTTTTTTCTTCTGTCCAGAGAGTGGCTGGTTTGAATCTTTCTCTCGACAAATATTAAAATGTGGTATTAACTTTTTGTTGTTTACAATATCTGAATTATGATTAAGATTACATATCCAATTTTGGCATCTCAATATTGAGTAAGTCTGGCATCTGAAAATGTGATCCTGTTAACCCCCAAAAAAAAATATATATATATATATATATATATATATATATATAAAATATAGATTCTCCTTTCTCAACAGGTGCAAAAATTGGATGCCATGTTTAATGCTGCAGCCTTTGCTATTAAAGAGTGTGATAAGGTAGCCGGATGTGATGGTCACCAGCATACCACTTGCTTAGCAAAGAAAATTTCTGAGTACTTTAACAAAGACGACGAATATGATGTACCGAATAAGATGGGAGAACATAGGTTCGAATTTATAAAGCTTTCTTCACGCATGAAAAATATTTGGAATGTTTTCTACATCAATGTGAAAAGAATGCATGTTCTAACTCAAGACAATGTTTATTTCTGCAGCCGGTTTTTAAGCGCCGACATAAAGGTAACAAGCTAACCTAATTACAAGACCAAAAATGCTGGAACTTGCTTTTTAAAAACCTTTCTAAACAACTTTATTTTCCCCACGCTAAGGGTTTTATCATAAAGGAAGGCTTCATTCGTACTTAGTCCTTGAGAAAAAATTACATACTTCACACTGTTGTAATTAGTTCTACCATCTAAATTCCCTATTACACAGGTGTTCTTGCAAAGTCATTCACAGGCAAAGTTTACCCCCAGAGCTGTGGCTAGGATAATGCATGGAATTGGGAGCCCAGCATTTCCTTCTGCAACTTGGTCAAAAACACATTTCTGGTACATTTTTTATTTTATCGTATCACACTGAATAGGATATTTCTGTCAATGCTGTGGTACATGTTGGCATCAAATGTCTTTCTGCTCGGATGAATCAAGCAAATAAGTCTACAACATGCTTTCAGCCTCCGGGCTTATAATTTGCTACTCCCAAAGCCAGAGTTCTTGAACATCTGAACATCTGTTGTTGGTGCATTGTTTACGATGATAAGAACTATGTCCAGTGTTTTGTTTAGAGAAGCTAGAGTTAGAATGATGGAAGTTAACTTGTTTTGCTGGGATTTTCAGGGGAAGATACATGGAAACCGACTTCAAGGTAGTCATGGAAGCAGCTCAGGCAGAGCTCCTCAACTTTGTTTCAAAGCATTCAGCCTAACACCCCCCAGTTACAGAAGCTAACCTGCAAGTACAAGCTAAACTAATTTGAGCAATAACATATCCGAATGTATTATGGTTCTAATAGTTGAATATATCGTTTTATTACTTTCTTTTTAATCTCCCTTTTGGGTGTAAATAGATATAGGTTCAGGTCCATCAGATACCGCATACTTCAATTCGAACAAATCAAAGCTGAAACGAATCCACATCGATCCTTACTGACATTTTTCTGCTTTATCGTTTATTGTTATTGTTCAACTCCAGTTGGATAGTGCAACAATTATCCTCAGCGTCAGCACTTTATTTTCTTAATCTTACACGATTTTGCCTTGTTTATAGAATGTAATATGCTTAGTTACCACATGAGATGCATGAAAATGGGCTCTGATGTTGCAGTTGATGTAGTGATTAAGTTGCGTTGTGTACAGATAGTTAGCATGGAATTCATTTAACCTCCCGAATGGAAGTTAGAATACTTTCTGGTAGTTTAACACGGCCTCGTGTATAAGAGATTTGCTGGTGTTAACTAGTTTCTCAGTCGAATCGAAGTCCAAGTTTTTCAACAGAGACTAAAATTGTTCAGGCGAAGATTGTTTGCCTGAACAATTTTTGCCTCATTGTTCAGGCAAAGATTGTATCAAGTACCAAGGCTAAAAGCATATAACATATACTCCCTCTGTCTCAAAATTATTGTCCAGTTTGGGTTTTGACTTTTAGTATAATTTGAACTATAAATGGAAACCCAAACTGGACAATAATTATGGGACGGAGGGAGTACATTTTTGGAACTCAAGAAATAACCGAAAAGCAGAACGAGCCCTAATCCAAAGCGGAAAGAGAAACTAAAATCATGAAGATATTGGCAAAGAAGGTCACTTTGGCATAGTATATCCATAATACCAACTTGGAGAAACAAACCAAACAACCAGATGTTCGCAGAGTTGGCCTAATTGATATGAATTTTCTCCTTAAGTGTTCTGGCTAAGATTGCATCATACATCACCTCAAAACATATGCTGGGAGTTTGACACCAGCTAAAAATATGTCAGGAATTTGATTGGGAAAATGAACGGCAAAAGGAGTACCAATATGAAGAACATAAAAATTTCGGCGAAATTTCACCTCTTTGCCAATTTCAGTGTCAGGACCAAAGTCATGGAGTAGACGGGAGACCACCTTCAATCAAAGAGGGGACAAAACAAAATCAGACAAAATATAATATAGCACTGAACTTCTCGGCCAAAAATAAACATGGCAAAAACCTAAACTACAAAATAAGCTAAATTTCAAAAAAGAAGCCAACCCCCCCAACCCAACCCAACCCCCTCTTTCCTCTTGCTAAGATGGCAACATAGATGTAGTCCACCTACAATGTGGTATGGTGTTGAATGTTGATATGAGGGTTAGTGGATGCACAAATGCAAGAACCTCAGAAAAAAGAAGTAGCAAAGGAGAAAGAAAAACATCAGTATATCTCTATTAAACAGTGTTACCCGGTCCCGAAGGGCTTGGTAACGTTCCAGCAGAATCTTCCCACGAGCACCTTGCTCAGGTTTTTCGCCATCCTTTACATGCTTATCATAGCAGCCACTAGCTCAAAGAAGTCACCCTCCTGAAGAGGATACATGGTTAAAAATATGTCCCCCAATCCGTTAAAAATATGTCGCCCAATCCGTCTAATAAGCGAAAAGCAAAACGATTCGAAGATAAAACAGAAAGTAAAGTAAGCCATTTATTACCTTTTTGCCGATTTCAGACGAGCGTTGTCCAGGTCCACCAGACTCCACAACCTTCGTTGTCACCTACAATACAAGGATAACATAACAAACACAGCACAGACCAAGTTAATTTAATTGATACAGACAGATAGTTGCCCTTAACACTATGAATAAGACGAGTAACCTAACAATTGAGCTAGCCCTAACTCAAAGAAGAAAAGAGAAATTAAATCAGCAATAATATTATCTGTTTCAGATGATCAGATAAGAGTCAGGTAACATACCAAATCATGCTCTAATTCAATCCGAGCAAATGAAAACAAAACATCATAAATATAATTGTCTCACCCCTCTATTTGAACCAAGACGTAAAGAAAAAACTTGGAGATTTCTCTACTTTGGGAAAAGGGAGAGCTTGTGATAGGTGGATCATCAAAACAGCAAAACACACAGCAAAGAAAGCCCTAATTCGAAGAAGAGAAATCTTTTAGAGAAATTTTCTCGCGGGAAACTCCAGGCTCCAGTACCACCGCAGAAGTGGTTGACCCCTTTTCTTCCTTACGGCTTCCGTCATCAAACTAAAAACACCACAAAGAACGTATAATCAAACCTACCAAAAAGACAATCACTTACGTCGCTGTGAAAGTCAGTGGCCAATGGATCATGCTCGCTATATTCAGACTTCATGATTCTGTCTTTCAATTCAAGTATGATGAGCGAAATCTAAAACAAAAAGGAGACTTCATGATTCTTGGCCCCTGATTATTCCGGCAAATCTCACACAAAATACTTCAGCTGAAATTGTGGATCAAAAAAGAATCCGATGAAGAAATTAAACTGCACAATAAAGCCCCCTAATTCGAGGAAGAAAATCCAGAGGTGAGTACTAAACTTTTTCTCCCATTTTCAGAACAGAGTTTCTTGCGCGCGAAATTATATTTTTATTATTATTATTATTATTATTATTATTATTATTATTATTATTATTAACACTCCTCTTGTGAAAAATATAATAAAAAATTAGTCCGCCCTAAAAAAACAACACTGGAAGTTGAAGCAAACAGAACTTCTTTCTCTTCCTATTCGGCCAGCGGCGTCTCCTGCCTTTTTTCTCTCTTTAGCTTTCTTCACTGGAAAAAACACACACACACGTCCACCATCGGCGTCCCCTTTTTCTCTCTATAGTCGAGCAGCCATAGATATAGATTTCTTCACTGAAGAAAAAGACAAAAGAAGTGATGGCGGCTTTGTGTGCCCCAACACTGAATTCTGTGGCTCCTGCATTGGTGATTCTATCTCAATCCCAACGATCCCAGCGATCCCAAGCTAGTAGTAGTAAAGTCAGAGTCAGAGGAAGACCCACAATGCCAATGCTGCGGGCTGCTGCGCCTCTCACAATTGCTTGTGCGGCTTTGAAATCGATTACCTTTTCTGGGTTGCCATCAATCAATGCATTGGACAATAATAATGTGGTCCGATTTGGCCAAAGCTCGTTACTTTCGAAAGTGGGACCAACAACAACTAATACTACTAATGATCGTTATCACCAGCAGTATCAAAGTAGGAGAAGATGCAGTCGAATGGTGCCAAAAGCTATGTTTGAACGGTACACTGAGAAGGCCATTAAAGTGATTATGCTTGCACAAGATGAGTCAAGACGATTAGGGCATGATTATGTGGGCACAGAGGAAATCCTGTTGGGTCTCATTGGTGAAGGTACTGGGATTGCATCAAAGGTGTTGAAATCCATGGGGATTAGTTTGAAAGAGGCAAGGATTGTGACTGAGAAAATTGTCGGAAAGGGTAAGTTTGTTGCGGTTGTGGAACTTCCCTTCACCCCTTTGGCAAAGAAAGTTTTGGACTTTACACTTGAAGAGGCTCGTCAGCTCAGCCATGTTTATATTGGGACAGAGCACCTCTTGCTCGGGTTGCTTCGGGAATGTGAAGGTGTTGCGGCTCGTGTTCTTGACAGTTTAGGTGCTGATCCCGGAAAGATTCGTGCCCAGGTGATTAAAATGATTGCTGATAATGAGGATGCATATGCTTTCCCAGTTGGTATGGATCCAAGCAGTAGTAACAAGATACCTACATTGGAGGAGTTTGGTACTAATCTGACAAAGCTTGCTGCAGACGGGAAATTGGATCCTGTAGTTGGAAGACAGGAACAAATTGAGCGTGTTATTCAGATATTAGGTCGAAGAACCAAGAATAATCCGTGCCTTATTGGAGAGCCTGGTGTTGGAAAAACCGCGGTGGCCGAGGGGCTTGCTCAACGGATTGCCAAGGGTGATGTTCCTGAGACGATTGAGGGAAAACAGGTTATAACATTGGACATGGGGCTCCTGGTTGCGGGGACGAAATACCGTGGAGAATTCGAGGAAAGGCTGAAGAGGTTGATGGATGAGATCAGGCAGAATAAGGAAATCATACTCTTCATTGATGAAGTGCATACATTGATTGGTGCTGGAGCTGCTGAGGGAGCCATTGATGCTGCAAACATTTTGAAACCTGCTCTGGCTCGTGGTGAACTTCAGTGTATTGGGGCAACAACTCTGGATGAATACAGGAAGCACATTGAGAAAGATCCAGCTTTAGAGAGGCGTTTTCAGCCTGTTAAGGTGCCTGAGCCGTCTGTGGACGAAACTGTTCAGATTTTGAAAGGGCTTCGAGAGCGATACGAGCTCCATCACAAACTTTGTTACACAAATGAAGCTTTGGTTGCAGCTGCCCAGCTGTCTTACCAATATATCAGTGACCGGTTCTTGCCTGACAAAGCCATCGACTTGATTGATGAAGCTGGTTCTCGTGTTCGACTTCGTTATGCTCAGCTCCCTGTGAAAGCTAGAGAGTTGGAGAAACAGCTCAGACAGCTCGCCGTTTTGAAGGATGAAGCCATCCGTAGTCAAGACTTTGACAAGGCTAAGGAAATACATGACAGAGAAATGGATCTTCGGGCTCAAATCAGAACTGTTATTGAGAAGAACAAAGAGATGAGCATCGCAGAAACTGAGCTGGAGGATGGTAGAATCATGGTGACGGAAGTGGATATACAGCACATTGTCGCTTTGTGGACTGGAATACCTGTTGATAAGGTGTCCAGCGATGAATCTGATCGGCTTCTGAAGATGGAAGAGACACTTCACAATCGAGTCATTGGACAGGATGAAGCTGTCAAAGCCATTAGCCGTGCCATTCGCCGTGCTCGTGTTGGACTCAAGAATCCCGACAGGCCTATTGCGAGCTTTATTTTCTCCGGTCCTACCGGAGTTGGGAAGTCAGAACTGGCTAAAGCGCTCACTGCTTACTACTTTGGTTCTGAGGAAGCTATGGTTAGGCTAGATATGAGTGAATTCATGGAGAGACATACCGTCTCGAAGCTCATCGGTTCACCTCCAGGTTATGTTGGTTATACTGAGGGTGGTCAGCTGACAGAAGCTGTTCGCCGTCGGCCTTATACTGTTGTGCTGTTTGATGAGATTGAGAAGGCTCATCCAGATGTTTTCAACATGATGCTTCAGATTCTTGAAGATGGGCGCTTGACTGACAGTAAGGGTCGGACTGTTGACTTCAAAAACACACTCTTGATCATGACCTCAAATGTGGGAAGTAGCATCATCGAGAAAGGTGGGCGACAGATGTGTTTTGATGTAGATTATGATGAGAAAGATAGTAGTTACAACAGGATTAAAACCATGGTGACCGAGGAATTGAAACAGTACTTCAAGCCCGAATTCTTGAACAGATTGGATGAGATGATCGTGTTTAGACAACTTACTAAGCTGGAGGTGAAGGACATTGCTGACATTATGCTCAAGGAAGTGTTTGAGAGGTTGAAGAAGAAGGAAATACAACTTCAGGTGACAGAGAGGTTCAGGGACAGAGTTGTTGATGAGGGTTACGATCCAAGCTATGGTGCGCGGCCTCTACGAAGAGCCATAAACAGACTGTTGGAGGATAGTTTGGCTGAGAAGATGCTCGGCCGGGAGATCAAGGAAGGCGATTCCGTCATTGTGGACGTTGATTCAAAGGGCAATGTAACCGTCCTCAATGGCAGTGCTGGCGTTCTAGTAGAATAAACTGAATCCTGTTCTTGCGAAGTACATTGATACATAGTCATTGCGGTATGAGTTTCAACTTTTGAATTTTTAACTTTTGTTTCATAATCCAATAGTTGTCTTTTTCATCCTTTCATTTTAGAGATGGGCAGTTGGTATTGAGAAGTCTGCTTGGGACCGTCAACCTAAATCACTATGAAACATAAAAGTAACCGCTATGACACTTTCAAATTGTCTAATCCTGGTTATCTCTGAACTCTTAAGTACCCTGTATGGTAAAAGTTGCTCATTTCCTGCATCTATATAGGTCAGAAACGCATCTGCTGAGGAGTATATATCTTGAACTCTTGAAAAGATGGGAGAAGTTATGTCAACATTATGTTTTCAGTAATACACTATCCATTCAAGTACACTCAAGTACTCACTCATGCAGCTAATTATCTTTGGTCACCGCATTTCTTCATATTCATATAAGACGGAAAGAGCACCATTATCATGTTAATATCCGAGGCTTTCGGCTTGCATTATCTTTGGCTTGGGATGATCAAGGCTTTTGGCAAGTGGGAGCACTTAATAGACAAGCTGTGAACTCGCAATAATTTGTCCATGACCAAACCCTAGACTGTAAAAATTTGAAAGGAAAAAATCTTAAACGGCAAACTGCGTATAAACCCTCAACGATAATCAACAAGTACAACACCCACAAACAGTGTCAAACCTTATACAACAATCAAGGAGAAATTCCTTTAAAGTTTGGGCGGATGAATTGAAATAGTCATTGGTCCAGACAATCCAGCATATTTCATATTCTGCCTTTGCCAATCTTACATCATGACCAGATATGAGCTGTTCAATCCCGTTGCTCCCTATGTGGAAAACTTCAAAACAGGAAAATGAAAATACTTAGCAGAAACTTGGGGAGAAAACACACCAAAAAAGAAAAGAGACATTAAGGTACCACCTAGAATGTGAAACAACAAAATAAGAAAAAAAGAAAAGGCCATGTCGGCGGGAAGAACACAAACTTACAAAATCACCAATTACAGTCGCGGAAAATGCAGTAAAGCAGATAGCAGCTTTTGCAACCTCTTTCGCTTGAGTCACAGACATATCAGGCTTCATCCTACAGAAACAGATAGATATTATCACTCATTTGAATCAAACTAGCCAAAGTTTCAGAACCCTTACAGAAATATAGAACCGAAAACAATTGAAAGCAAAATTAAGTAAAAGTGTAGTATACATCAAACAAGCCAAGTACCCAATCCTCGAGCTAAAAAGCAATGCATGAAACAGTTACCATGTTTACGTGTTACAAAGTGAAGGTGGTTAGAATCAGAAATCAAGTACTGAAAGGAGACATACTTGGACTGCAGGTAAATCATAGCTCCTACTGCACCAGATCCAGTGGCATAACAAATCCATTTCAAGGAATTTCCAAGATGGTTCCGTTTCAGTTTAACATCCATCAGTTCCCCACCACGGTTAATGTAATACAAGTCAAACTCGCCCTACACTTGCACAAAAACCTTAACAGTAAATAAAAAACTCCTGGGCTTAAGCTCAAAAGAGAGTACCCTTAACACTAACCTCTTCATCCATCCCTCCAATCAATAGACCTCCAGTGGACATACTTGGAGATACAGTGCCAGCTAGACATTTTGCTGCTTCAGCGACAGAAACTCTGGTCCCCGTCATATTTTCATATGCACAGCACTGACATATATATACACAATGAAATTATTGACCAGTCTTTCTTAAATAGCAGCTAAAACTATCAAGGAACATACGGTAGACTAAAGTACCTTTCTCTGCAAACGCTCAAGCAAATATTCGCTCCCACCAGAGACAGTGGCAACGATGCGATTATTAACACAAATGACATTTGGGACAGACAACTCCGATGCTAAATCCACAAAGAGAAATATACCATTTAATACTCATATCAAAAGAACAGAGTCATAGTGATAACATAGTAAAACAACTCACAATGATCAGCAGCTATCATCACCCCCTCTTTGAAAATAAAGGCTATAGTTGTAGTTCCCCTCTCTCTCCTCGGGTATAAAAAATGCTAACAGCAGCACAAAAAGTATATAAATGAATCATTAAGTATACTATTAGAAGTATATTTTAAGAAGAAGGGGGGTGACGTATTACATGTTCATCGTCCACAAAATGGACTCTCCCGGGGTTATTGGTATAAAAGGGACTGGTGGGATTAAATCTATCGTACGTTTCGTCCACCATTGGCACCTTCAATCCAAGGATAACAAACATAGTATCAGAAACAAAATTTATTTAATATCAGAAACAATCACACAAACTACCTCGGCTAGAAATATATTTTGTGAATTCGAAACTAAATGATCTGCAGAACAATCCCTAACTTGCAGAAGAAAAGACAGCTTAACTCATCAATAACGTACCTGTTTCCTGATATCCAATGGTTCCACCTTGAGTTTGAGCAAAACAAACATAACATCAGAAACAAAGCTCTTTAATAATATGGATCCTTGAATCTCATACCAATTCTTCCAGCTAAGATTGCATTAGAATAATATGTTCAAAATCGAAAAGAAAATAGAAAGTATTGCAACTAATGCATTACCTTTTCACCAGTTCCAAAAGATAATTTGGGTTCATGGGAGATCACATCCGTCGTTCCCACCTTTAATCCAGGTGAAACAGACATAATATCAAAATGAAGAGATAATATGATTGATATTCATTGTTGCCCTCATTCTACCATCTAAATAAGTCAGTGAATTCAACAAGTATTTGCAAAGCAGAACGAGCTCTAATCCGAAGAAGAAATGAAAAATCAAATCAACAATGAAATTAGCTCTCTGACGAGTTCGGGGATAACTATCACTATGGCCTTGCATTCCTTCAGTTCGAAGAAATAAATAATAAGCATAAGTGATTCAAATTTTAGGGAGTTTGAGCCTAATCACCTTTAAAGTGAATGTCTACATACATATAAAGTTCAGGACCAAATTCAAAGAAAAAAGCAGCAAAGATATATAGAGGGGTTCAGGACCCTTTTGATCAATACCAAACATAACATAATCAACCGGAGAAAAGCAAAGTCGCTGTAATTGGCATGTATCTTTCCAAAGCCTTTTGGCTAAGAGTGCATCATACATGATCTAAAATCATACACGGGGAATTCGACTATGAAAATGAACAGCGAGGGATCCGACTAAGACGGCATTATATATGCAGCCAACACACCATGCATGCCTGTGTTAACTCCTGGAGTGATTTAAATTCATCCCTTGCATGTATGATATGCACATGGAATTGTTCATTTACAATTGCAATAACCTTCGAAATAGAAAACGAGAAAGGAAAAATATTTGTAAGGCTTTATCAAAGAGTATTACCTGGCCCCTAAGCTCTAATGCTTTTTCTTTGGCACTATATCCTTCCAGAGGCTTTTCACAAGCACCTTGCCCAGATTTTTCATCATCCAGTACAACCTTATCATCTGCAGCCACTTGCTTACTGAAGTCATGCTCCTCCAAGAAAAAAAGGATCATACCACAGCTAGAAAAAATATACCTTCAGAATTCCACCAGTAACTCAATAGCAGAACAGGCCCTGATACGACTAAAAAAGAGAAAATAAATGAACAAGGTTACGACCTTTTTGCCAATTTCAGATGTACCTAACAAACATAACATCAGACAAAGTAAATGAAAATACATGGATGCTTTCCCTTAAAATATATGTCAGTAATTTGACGTGGAAAATAAACAGCAAATGAAGTCCTAATTTAAGAAGAAAAAATAATTTAAAGCGAGATTTCACCTTCACACCAATTTCAGTTTTGGATACAGGTTCAGGTCGCCGGGAGCGCATAAAGGACATCACCTTCAATTCAAGCAAGGGGAAAAAAATCAGACGAAAATGGAGAAGGTCGATAACTGATAAATCATTAAAAGCCCCAGCATTCACTACATTATTAGCCTGCATACCATGTATTGCATGCCTGGAATTAACTGCTGGAATGATGTAAATTCATACCTTGCATGCATCATATGCATATGTAAAATTATTGATACACAATTGCAAGAACTTCTGAATAGAAAAGAGGTAAGGAAAAACATTTATAAACCTTTATCAAAAAGTGTCACCTTGCGCCTAAGCTCGAGTACTTTTTCCAGGGCAATACATTCTTGCAGACCTTGGCCAGGTTTTCCCTCATCCAATACTAGCTTATCATCTGCGGCCAGTTGCTTGCAGGAGTCACCCTCCTGCTAGACAATAACAACAACAACAACAACAGCGTATTTTCATTTCAAAAAATAAAAGAAAAAAACACCCACGTCGCCGTTCAAGCCTCCATCATTAGGGCAGATAAATCTGGGAAACTCGAGCGGGAAATTTTTCACTGGAAAAATTATCAGGGTTCAGTGAATTTACAGTTCATGATTATCCCCATTAATTTCAAAATGAAATCAAATGAGATACTGGAAAATTGAAGAGGTGAATAAATGGAACGGGAAAGGTTTTTTCCCTAATTGTTCCCGAAAAGATCACATAAATTTACCTCGTGAATTGGATGAAGAAATTAAAGAGCTTAGTGAACCCTAAATCGAAGATTATTGATTGCCCTTATTGTTCCGGGTAAGATCGCATGATCCGCTTTCGCCGATTTTTTTTTATTTTTATTAATAATACAGTAATTAAATCTTGCGCGCGAAAAAATGAACTCCAGGCTTCAAAATTGAAACAAACTGGGCGGATTCACTTTTATTGGATCAGATGAGTCAAATAGATTGGGCTTTGTTTCCCGGCCCAAATTATTTTTTCTATTTCTGTACCATTACAAAATTTTAATGAGTGATTGTTACGCAATTTTAAAGAAAAAACATTGTTACGCAACTTTAATCACTAAATAAATACTTGTGTTTCACTCATCATATTAAAATTTAGTATAATCATTTAATTAATTTTGATGATTTAAGGACAATTAAAATTGTAGTCAAATCCCGTAATGAAATCAAACAGAAGAGTCACTGCTGAGTAAGGAGACAATAGGCAAGGAATTTTATTTTATTTTTTTTGGACAAAGATTACATTAGTTTTCATTTCATCACATTGTTGGGATTTTTCTTCCCCTTATTTACAAATAGAAGTCTACAGGAAGTCTACTACTCTATGGTAATATAACCTTTTTCATGAATTTCTGTGTCAACAATTTGAGTTAAATACTCAAAATGGTCAATTATAACCAACCACCCTATGTGAATAAACCAGAAAAAAAGAAGGGAAAAAAAAAATTAAATCACCATCACAGTTTGCCCCCAACAAACAAAAATCTGAGGATTGGAATATTCTTCATCATTTGATATGGTTTTATGCCAAATTTCATCCAGTTGTGTTGTATATCATGAACACATCAGAAAAACCAAAAACATCAAACTTTCTTATTTAAATCATAGGCAAAGATAAGAGATATATTCCTTTGACAAACAATCATCTCATCATTCCCTTATTCCCCCTCCTTTCTTCTCACTTTTTTTCTCCTCCAGTCTCATAAAAACTCCATCATGGAGATTATTTCTTCATCCCTTTCACCATTTGATTCCCCTGTGATATCATTCACTTTGATGTTTGGAGCCATCTATTTGTTTGGATACAACTTAATCTTCAAGAACTGGGGTTCAAGTAAGTATGAAGCCACTAGTTGTTTCATCTCTTTGTTCCATGGATCACCAGCTGTGATTTTGTCCATCTTAGCATTGATTCAATCATCCCAAGACAACACCAACAATCACAGTTCACTTTCTATGCTTTTCCAAGTGGGTAAAGAAAACACAGCTTCACAGGATTTGGTACTTGAATTCAGCATTGGATACTTCATCATTGACCTTTTGCACTACATCATCTTCATCCCAAAAGATGTTCTGTTTATAGCCCACCACTTTGCCACTCTGTATGTTTTAGTGACTTGTAGGTATGTGGTTCATCATGGTGGGGCTGCCCTGCTTGGCTTACTTGTTCTTGCTGAGATTACTAGTCCTTGTCAGAACACTTGGAGCTTAGCTAGGTACAGGAAAGTGGATTTGCCTGAAGCTGCTAGGTATTATGAGTTCTTGTCACCTTATTTCTTCACATTTTACTCAGTGGTTAGAGGGGTACTTGGACCCCTTTATGTGTTGAAGATGATTGGAGCAGTTCTTGGAGCAAGTGGAGGTGCAGCTGCTGCTGCTACTAGTGGTTTGGTTTTCTGGACTTGGATTTCTTGGTTGACTGTGATTACAGTTGCCATTTGGGTGAGCATATTGTGGATTTTGAACCTTTGGATTGATTTGTTCAGAAGAAGAGCTAATTTGATGAAGAAAGTCAGTTAGTTTTGGTGTTTTCTTCCTCAAAATTGGAACTCAAGATGATGGTTGTCTGGGTTAGTACTGTAGATATATACTGTACAAGCAAATCATTCTCAACATTAAATATAGTTTTATCATTAATGGTAGTATTATTTACTGGCTACTGCTTATCTTCTGCTGTAAAACTTTGGAGAAATTGGAATGCAATTTGGGTAAGTTGTATATGGATATAGATAACAGATTCCTGTACAATTTTTTCTTCTGTACTTCTTTGACTTTCTTTCCCATTTGTCTTAAAAATGTTTAGTGGATGGCTTTGTGCATATCTTATCTTCATAATCCACCACTGACATTCTGCTTTTCAAAGGCTGCCTTTGCTCAAGAAAGTTAAAAGGATATAGGAAAAGAATTAAAAACAAAAACGTAACAATGGAGGTTTGCGTGCAAAACTGAGCCACAATAATCATCCTTCTCACTTCTTTCGTGTCAAAATCAGTTAAAAGATCAATCCACCAGCTCAATCTCATGCTCATTTTTCATATAAACAAAATCACAACCTTGAAGCAATGACACAGGTGAAAACGCTCAAGTAGAGCAGTGACTGCTCTCGATTGTTTAAAAGCACACATCTTTTATACAAGAGTGACCAATAATGAAGCTACTGCTATACTACTGAATCAATTCTAGTACCAATTTAAAAAGAAAAAAAAGGGTTTATAGAAGCAGATCACTTGCATTCATCGTATCAAACACTCCCAAACAAATTCATTCCTTACCTGCCCATTGTCCATAGCATCCATGTCAATGGACTTCCAAATTCCATACAACTTCTTCTGCAGCATTTGGGCACTTTTTGCTTAGTGAATTCCTGACACTCTTTAACAAGAGTAAGTACTTCTGTGTCGGATACCAATTCTTTTCTCTATGCAATCGAAGCAGAATCATTCTATACAAAATGGAGAGCAGAGTTGAGTCTATATGCGTATAACTGAAGCAGTAGCTGAATCCGGACATCCTTTATAGTTGATCTCTACAAAGAAACCTCCTCCTTCACCTCTAGCAAGTCTCCCAGGGTTGACACAAAGGCACTTGACTTCTTGTTCTCCTTCACTTTTTGGTGCCAAGGACAGTACCTAATTACAGGGAAACACAGTTCAGTTTGTTTCTTATTCAACCTCTCTTTCACTTGAAAGCATTGATGCAGTAGTGTTCTATTATACAACAGTAAGATATAAAGTGACTAAACAAAACCACTGTATAATTCTAGCTTTTGGAACCTGAAACTGCAATAGCACGTTTGTTTAGGCTATCATTGAGCAGGAAATGTTCAGGCAATGGACCAAATTACTCAGAAACAATATACGTTCTTAATAGCATACATGATGCGTTTGATTCTATAAGTATTTTGTCAACGAAATTAGAAGTACTTTAATTCCAAACCAAGAAGACTTCATACCCGAACAAAGTGAGCCAAGTCTGAGGGTAAGACAAGAATATCTGGTATGGATGAGATCTGAAGAGCTTCTGGTGCAAGAGAAAAGTCCAAGGGAACGCCTTCAGCAGGTGGATATAAAGGATAGAAGCTGTTCAATGTACAATAGAAATGTATCAAGGAAAAGAAAAATGAGTCTAAACCATTTTGAAGGGATTTGGTATGTAATCATCAAACTTGCCTTCGCTGGTTTAACACGTGATTTGAAAGAGTAGCCAGGCGATGCTTGGAACCCCCCTGTGGATTTCTAGATATCTCCTCTGCACTGAGTTGTTTAAGAATGTCAACCGTGCAGCAAGCAAAGTTTACCTGAAAATCCAAATCAATCCAGGAAAAACATAAATCCGATTGGAACTCCTTAAAAAATGTAAACATGAAGATGATAATGCCAGTATCCATTTTGATACCGAACATGAATTAGAAGAACAAATGATGTAGCAGATATAAAAGAATACAAATATTTCTTCTCATTTTGAGATATAGAACGGGTGTGCTTTGATGATTTTATCCTTTCATCTGAGTCATATCATTTATTCTCCTAATTTACTTTCTCTAATAAGAGACACTGACAATTGAAAAGCTTCCCCGACTTGAGAGGAAAACAAAAATGGATTTCATAATTGACAAATAACCACCTTGTTTGCTGTAAAGGTCCCCGGATTGGATATGCTTTGTATCTGAAAATTTAGAACAGTCGTGGGTTAAAAACCATGACACTGAAGTATTGACTTATGCAAAACTAACCATTAAAAATGAAAGTTCACTAGATGAAAGATGTTAATTACCTGATGTTTTAGATTAGGTGAATTCAAATCAAATCTAGGCTGTGAAAAACAAAAAGGAGGATAAATGTGAGCATCTATACCATGAATCTAATTAATTTTAGAAGCCTGAACCTTGAAATTTAATTACTTGCGGGAACACGAAATCATGATGCGCGTCTCGGATTGATGGCACAAGAAGCACAGTAGCTGATGATCCCATGTAGTCTACGTAATCTTGAAGCTAGAAACAATTCGCAAAAAGGAAATATTAGAAGGATGTAGTTGTCATTATCTTCAAACTTGCCAATAGTTGCCATCATTAAATTTTAGCATACCCTTCCAAGTATTTCAAGCTGAAACATCTCATCATAGCTTTTGTTGACTGATCCCTTTTTGATCTCCGGATGATCGGTATCAATGAACGGCCCTTGCTGCAAAGGTCATAAGAAGTCAGTTTCCACATACTTGCGGATGTAGTAGTGCCACTGACAGCAGTACAGATATTTTTACCAGTATAAGCAACTGAGGTTGCTTTCGTCTTGCGTAGCCAAGAAGCTCAACTAAAGGTTCAAACATTAAGTTGTCACTCGTGGTATAAGGACCAGCAGCAATGATCTGTAAATTATCCAAAAACACAAATCCACTTATCAAGAAGATAACTTAGGATCAAAGAGCCAAAATCATGATATTAGTCGGCAACTTTAGGAATAACACACAGCACAACTCAAACGCACTTTCAGTGTCCAACTGATTGAGATATATTGAATCACTTATAAGAATTGAGTGTAAGATTACTCACAAATGAAAGCTCTGGAGCTGTATCAGATGGGTCAACAAGCTGGACATTTTGATCCAAAGCTGGTTTCTTTGAAGGATGTAAATTCTCATCAGAAGAAACTGAGAATGGTACATGATCAATAATTCTTGATGCTATCAAGCAATGACCACTTGGATTATGCCCTTCCACACCAACCACCTGTACATTTACATTACATCAACCCACAAAAGTCTTCAATGGACTAGGCTATTTCTCACTAAAAGAAGCATGATTCCCATTCAGTGCTCACCTGACCCGGAAAAATAGAAAATTGCTCTAGCTTTTGCAAGTCAAGGCGTATCCGTTGTCCTCCAGAGTGCTCAACACTAAAGAGGTAAGAACATGGTTAAGTATCATACCTTTACCAGCTCAAATTTCATAACAAGGCCATTACTTAATGGATTTTATGTTAACCAGCCATTACCTGCTTTGCAATAAGATAGGCTTTTCCTTCAAACGGCCATCTTCTTCGCAACAGATCATGCCTACAGCCAATAAGCTTTTCTGGAACAAGATGATTAAATGGCATGTGAGTTTCCACGAGGATACCATGAACAGAGATTGAAAGAAGTAATAAGATTTAAACAAAAATGCCAGGGACCGCACCCGGGGGGGGGGGGGGGGGGGGGGGGGGGGGTTGGTTTGGTTTGGTTTGATATCTGAAAAAAGATGTATTACCTGGGAGGCCACTGTGGGATCCATTGGTTCACCAAAAAGCCCAGATTCAACTAGAGAGTCTGCATACTTCTTTATGCGATTTTCCAGGAAATTAAACTGTTTCAGAAAAAGAGAAAAGGTAAGTACTTCATGTTGATAAGGATGCAAACACTATCAGTGTTTTGGAGCATAAAATACCTTGTCTTCAATCCTGTCATACAAAAACCTACAGCCAGGCTTTGGTTGGGAACCGGTAATAGCTATGGAACACTTTTTGCTAGCTTGCACCCTCTTTATGATATCATCTTCAGAGTTGTCTTGACCCTGTTCTTCCTCAATTTTCATTGCATCTACAGTCGTTGGCTCATTAAGAGTAAATTGCACAACAAATTTATTCTTTCTTTGAGCAAAAGGAGTCATCGAGTCTAATGATCTTTTGGAGCCGAAGATGCTTGCATTTGTCTTTTGTGCTGAATCGAATTGCTCAGTCTTAAGTGTCTCAGGTCGCTGTGATGGTGCTGGACTATACAAAGCATCTTCTTTTATATCGTCATATTCATCATTAAGTAGCCTACATCAATTACGTCAACATATATGATTACGATACTCTCAAAGATAATAATATAGAGCGTATGTTCTTAGGCAGGACAGTAGCACATATTTGCTTTCCACCAGACAATTGGAATCCATTTACCAGCTTTGATTAGCAATATCAATTTAGATCACATCAAATAGATAGACAAACATAGCATTAGGCATAAAAGCACCAAATGAGAAACAAAAAAATGAATGTATTAAGGCTTTTAATCAGTTCGTTTTAGAAGATGGAAATGGCATACAACGTTGAAGAAAGATAAAGACAAGAGAAACAATGATAAATGGAAAGAGCAACAACTGAATGTCTCACTCACATAGTAACATCATTAGAGTAAAAATGCAAACCGGGCTCCTTTTTCACAATTGCATCTCTTTGCTCATTCTGTAGTTGCTGCAAAAAAGCTCCCATATGCGCACTTTGAACCGTAAGTTCTAACCCCCTGTTACAGAAGTAACAGTTAAAAATTACTAACAGAAAAACGAATAGAATACGTATCAGCAATGCTATAACTAAGCAACATTCAACATTTCCATGAATAACAGCTCAATTGAAAACTTAAAAAAGTACCCTGTAACATTCAGATGACAAATTTGTCTCTTAGTTTAGTATGTTTGCCAACAACCCATGAAAGAAATGAATTGATTTTTCCCAAACAAAACACTAATTAGACTCAAAAGTGACTCTTCTTTATCAGTTAATTTTCCTTCTTAATTTTTTACAAAATGGGAAAATGAGGTGAGAATTCTTATAAAATTCTACAAAACCATAAAATATCGCACCTGTTAAGGGAGAAGACATCCCAGCTTGAGACGAGATCGGAAGGGCTTAGTTTGTAGTCGATGCAGAAAGTCAGACCTAACAATCGAGCACATGAAATTAAAAATAGGAGCAAAAGAGAAGACCAAATTTACCAAAGAAAAAGTGAGAAAAGACAAATGGTTACATTTCTTAAGGATTTCTTCCTCGTTATTGAGAGAGAATCCATTCTTCTTGAACTCTGCTTTGATTTCCTCTTCCATGGACGATCGATCTAGGGTTTCGGCGACGGGGATAACTTTCTCTTTCTTTTGCTGAATGTGATGGCGGGAAACTTTTCCCTCCATTTTGCTGAACGAGTACGTTGGGCCAAGCCTGTTTATGGGCTAACCTTAGGAATAAAACTATTTTCGGCTCGTTGAAGATCAAAAAGGAGAATTGATTTTTTAGCCTTTACCATGGAATTATGGAAATGAAAGTAACTGATTTTTTACTTTTTATTAATTTAAAAAATAATATTGCCTGAAAATGAATCAAGCCGTTAGTTTTTTTTTATTTTTTATTTTTTTTTTTAAATATTTATTTGTTTTGTTGAATCTCCTACTGTTTTGAAAGATTTTTCAATAGCAAATTCTCCGGGCAGAGAAACTTTTTTTTTAAGGGGAAAAAAAAAATTGTAAGATGCTTTGGCTTAGACATTAAGTTAATAGTCTCTCCATCTCAATAAAATAATTTGTGAGTTCTGAGATTTGTACTATGTGTACTAGACTGTACTCCTCTTTTTTTTTTTTTTTTTGGTTACTAGGTTTGATGAATTATCTTCCGAGTGATGTTTTTTCTCTTGGATTAAATTAATAGTTTAAGTCGTGTTCATTGCTTAATTAAAGCCTTAAACATCTCGATTGCTGGCTATAAGCAAGTTCTACAAAATATGGATATCCTCAGTTAACAAAACAAGAATCGTTTTATATGATAAATATGACTCTTATTCTAAAATGTAATGAAGATTTTAATTTCTATGACTGTTAACGAAATAAATAAAAAGTTATAAAAAAAAAAAAAGAAATGTTATCCAAACCAATCGTCTCCTGGCAGTATGATGATTTTCATCCTAGCCATTTACTCATTACATAATTCCCTTGTGTGTGTGTGTGTGTGTATTTTTTTTATTTTTATTTTTTTGACGTGAAATATAGCTCTAATCAAGAGCATTGAAATTATTCCAAAAGTTTGGCAAAGTGTTTTCCGTTCACATAGGTCCAGTGGTTGTCAAACGGAAGACGGCTGATTTGAGACTTTCAGTACATGTGATTTTTGTTAATATTTTGGGCATGTAGTTGCAAAATGTAGAATGCAATTAAAAGAAAAAGAAAACGGAAAAAAGGCAAACATATCCAAAAATCTACATCTTCCATTCAATAAAATCCATTCCACTCTTTAAGTAAATGTTATTATGTACATGACCAGACCCATAACACAAGTCTACAAATCTTTTTTAAAAAAGGGGGGAAAAAGAAAAAGGAAAATCAACATCATATAAGACTAAGACATTAGGACACAGGTGTACTATAATACTACTACGACTAGCGCTGATTAACTTCCCAGGAAAAGTTGAAGCTTTCCGGTCCACGTAACAGAAGATTTCAGCATTGATCAGTGCCCAATTAAACCCGAATCCGAACTAAAACGACCAATCTTGACTGATTCACTTGGGGGTACTACTTGATCGAGACGACTTTGAATAATTAGTATTATTCTTCAAACATCAATTTTTGTTTTTTTTTTTTTTCTTTTATCTCTTTTTCTTGGAACCATTTTTGGAAAACAAAAGTTTGGGTTTATGGATTCAAGAGAACATCTTGTAATTTTTGGATGAGATTATGATAGTCCTTAGACCTCCAATTGGTGCTAGAGTCATCAGCAGCACTCCTAATACAATGCATATCTGCAAATGAAAAAACACAACAAATTATAATAAAAAAAATTTCAATAAGGGTAATCATAGTACTCTAATTATTGTATAGATTTAACCATGCACGCACTATTAAATTTGAATTAGGGGAAAAAAGAAAAAACTAACCCAATTTGTAAACCAAGATAAACTGAAGGTCCTTGGTTTCTTGAGGATGAGCCAGATGATGCAGGGGAGCTGCATTGAGAAGAAGAAAAACACAAAATTAACCAAATACTTTCTTAACTATATTAAAGTATACTTGCTAATAATTATGACTAAGGAGTTTGGTATTGTATTTTCTCGTACGTAATACGATGTGGGAGCTAAAGCAAAGCCACCAAAGAATCCCATCAATCCTCCAAAGAATGGAATTGCCATCCCAATTAACATAGTCACAGCTGCACACAAAATCCAATCAATTTTCATTTTCATCAAACTAACTCAACAAAATTAAGCATATGATATGTTCATGATGAATTGATGATCATCACTACAAAAGACAAAAAAAAAAAAAAATTGTACTTCCTCTATCCCAAAATTATTGTCTAATTTGAGATTTCAATTTTAGTACAATTTAAACTGAAATTGAAAATTCAAACTGAACAATAATTATGGGACGAAGGGAGTAAGTAACAAGATTCCTACCAACGTATAGAGTACGAGTGCAAAAACGAAGAGGAGTCGATGGCTTAAACTTCAACTGCTTAACCAAGAAAGTTTCCAACATGTCGAAAACCGGCATGGCGAAGATTTGATAGCTCCCAATGACATGAACCACGACGAACATGTTAGCCATGGCGACGACCCATTGTGGCTTCTCCAAGGTGATCAAGATGTTGTCGTCCACGGCTCTACCAAACGTGTAGTAGCCGCAGAGTGCAACAGGAAAGTAGCACAACGCAACCACGAAGTAAGCCAGCATGACTCCCTTCCACATTGGCTTCTTCGATGGTTTCTCGGGGGTCGAAGGGATGGTTGCTTGGATCTCAAGCACCACGTTGTGACCCGCGTAGGCGAACGCCACGTCACCCAATGCGTTGAAGAAATTGAAGGTGTTTCCAGCTGTGGTTGGTTCTCTTGGTGCATAGCTCACATTTGGAATTTGTCCCCTTTTTAGTGATGCCACCCAAGCAATTGTTGAATAACTACACCCACCCGAAATGATAATTGTCAGGAGTTTTGAATGAGAAAAATAGGTCCAAAGAGTTACAATATCTCTCAATATTGTAATTTTTGGATCTATCTTATTTATTAATTACTCTGTATTGTTTTTTATATGGCGATTTAAAATATATCTCCACTTATAACCCAACAACAAGAATATGTGAGGTCGACTATATAATTATTTCAATTATGAAAAAAATTGTACCTTAAAGACATAACGGCAGCGGATAAGGAGATGATGGAGAGGGAATGGAAGTTGGGGAGATGGGAGATGACAAAATGGACGGAGGCAAAGATGAGGATGAAGTAAGTGAGCTTAATGCTCTGGCACTGCGGAGGCGGACAAACAATATCGTGGAATTTCTTGAGGGATCGGCCTCCCGTGACCATGTACACGATGCAAGTGCTGACTTCCACTATGATTTGCTGCGGGACGACGATCCAAAGCCCGAGTTTGTCCCCGAAAGCGGCCTGACCAAGCTCGTGGTACCGGTCAAACCGCTTTCCGGGGAACATCTCGTGCATCTCTACCATTTGCCACAAGGTGTACAATGTTATGATCCATGAAATTACCAACACCGACACTCCAGGACCCCTACATTTACAAATGTACTTAAATGTAATTAACTACATCACACAATATACACAGTAAGTAATGATAGAGCCCTAAATAAAAATAAAAATATAGTAAAAATTCATAGCGACTGATGTGTACATAATAATTAACAGTAAAATTATAATTTTAAACAAAAAGATAAAATTTCAACGGAAATGTGCCAACCAAATAAAATGATCATATTATTACATATTGGTCACTATTTTTTTCCATTATATATTTATCACTATGAATATCATTTTCCTATTACACATTACCAGTCATTAGTATTTGCCCAGTCTTAATTATAATACAACATTAATTTGACTAATATTAATACTATACCAATCTTACATAACTCTCCAGCTGATACTGATTAAATCAAATAATATATATTACACGATTTGATATCAAAGAATATTTGCATGGTAAAGTTGGAGAAATGCATGAAGAAAAAAAAATGAATAGAAGAGAAAGATTCGAGGTGATATATATACCATCCAAGTTCGGACATGGCATAAGGGAGGCCAAGAACGCCGGCACCGACCATGGCGGTGACATTGTGAAAAGCCGAGTACCACCAATTGGCTTTCCTGGCTGAGCTGATGGGAAGCCAGTCATCAATGGCTTGCTCCTCTTGAGTTTTCCCACTTGGTCCACCATTCTGTGGTTGACTCTCGATTCCCATATTTCCCATTTTATAATCTCTTGATAGATTGGATTTATCTTAACCTTGTCAAACCAATTTGGGAAGAGCAATGGGGAACCCTCCTCAAGAAAAAAATGAATCTCTTCAAACCAAGGATTATCAAAATAAATGGGCAATAATGGGAGTAATTATAATTCTTTTTTCTCCGATCAACAACAACAGAATGGCGGTGATTTTTTTTTTTGATGATGAGATTATAACATATATAGTACAGATTTGTGTGTTTTTTTCTACAAAGGTGAAAGGTTTGAAACTTTGAGGTTTTTTGAGAGGCTTTTAACGTTCAACAAATTTGGATCGATAAAAGAAGGTGGTTCTTTTTTGGGGAATTTGCCTTTTTTAGTTCCCGCGAAATTTGGCGGCTTAGCTTTAATTTCTCATCCAGTGTGAAACTTGATACCAGGAATCCAATCCGAGAATCAATGTACGGTTCACCTGAGATTCTAAGATTCATGGATCATCGGTCATCTCTGAGCTTTTGTAGTAACTATGGTCATTTTCTTGTTCTTTTTTGGGAAAACATTTCCTGAAATTCTGGGGTTCAAGTTTGAACGACTCTCTCTCCCGCGATTACTTCATAGTTGATATGTACACTTAAAAACGATTTTTGTCTGTTAATTTCAGATAGGCTATAGATTAGATGGGATTATATTAATATAAATTGGGAGTACATCTACCCTAAATGGTGACCATAAGTATAGAGTGAAATTATTACGATGGTAATTGGGGAAGAAAAAATACAACAAAGCAGAGCATTATAAATTTTGTAATTTATAATAATACTCCCTCCATTTTGAAATACATATCGTTTTAGGGTTTGGTGAATTTTTCAAGGCCATTAACGAATTACTTGTTTTGCTACTGTTAAATAATTCACATGTCCATCAATCCTATTCCCCTCTCTCTCTCTCTCTCTCTCTCTATATATATATATATATATATATCTTTAATATATTAAAGGAGAGTTTTCAATCGGACACATGACGCGATATTAGATAAGCTAATCCACGTGGCGCAAAATTAGATGCCTAAGTCCACATGTCACAAGCACGTCACTCCATCATTTAATGGTAAATTTTTAATGTAAAAAATTGTAAAAAGAGCTAAATTAACTAATAATTACAAAAGTTGAAAAAGTAAAGTTAATTTCCTAATTTTTTAGTAGTATTCTATCGTCCCCCTCCCCCTCCCCCAACCCACACACACACTGATGAAGAGAAACACAATTGATAAAACAAAACAATTTAGTTAACTTCATAAAACCTTAAAAAAACTTAGCACAACTTAGTTAAATTTATAAACAATTTAGTCGGGTGTTTTAGCTTAGTCATCAATCAAAACCTAAGCAATAATAAGTTTAGTAAACTTATTGACTGTAAATTTATTATATTTTGATAACTCAACCGAATCTAAAAAAGTAAATAAGTTTACTAATTTAGATAAATAAAGTTATTAGTTTAGCACAGCTTATTAGTTTGATATGATTGGATTGTTTAGTTCCTCAGCTTGGTGCACTAATTTAAATATGACTGACCCCAAGATTGGTTGCTAGATTATTTGTGTTTATTCCTAGATTTAATATAATTAAATATTAATATCAAATACAATAAGTTTTAGAAAAAAAATTATAAGAAATAAATGTTAATTAATTTATGCCCTATAACATTAACACGTCTAGATAAAAAAAATAAAATAATAAGATGTATATTTTTGGTTGTCCAGAATCAAAATTGTTTTATCCTAATAAAGAGAATTAATACGGGTGCTAAATAGTTTTTTTTTTCCTTTATTTTTTTGCATATGCATCTTCGAATTTAAGTGTGATATGTGATTTTTATCGATGAATCTTCTAACCTTAATGAAGATTGGTAATTTGCAACAAGACAATATATATATATAGATGATTAATTATATTTTTTTTTATTTTTCATATAGCATAATGGTAGAAAAAGTTAATGTTATGATGATAAAAAAAAATCTAAAATTAATAAGGAGAAAGTTTTCCAAAATGAAAAATAATAATAAAATTTTATGTGAGAGACAAATAGTAGAAACAAAAAAGCATATTGAGAATTTCAAAATAATTATATGGAAAAAAAAATTATGTAGAGAATAAGAAAAAATGAAAAAAGAAACTAGAGATAACAGTGGAAAATGAAAAATATATTACAAATTTGTCAATAAATGAAGTTTTAAAGAGAGGTTGTCAAATTTAATAAGAAAAAAGTGAAAACTTTACAACCAAGAAAAAAAATAAACACTATATTATATGAAAAAAAATATATGAACAAACCTCCAAAGAAAGGTTGCAATAGATATATAGAAAGATGAAAAATAAAGATAAGTTCATTGAAAAAAATAATGAGAAACTTTCTACTATAGGGAGAGTTTAAAACATATCACGCAGATAGAAATATTTAGAGAGATCATTACAAAAAATAAGAGAATACATTTTGAAAGATATAAAACCATATATTAACGAAACAAAAAGATGGACATTAAGTTACATAAGATGATTTCCAATAGTGAAATTTATTCTAAATGTATTTAAAATAACAAAATACATTGACGTTAAAAATAACACAATTGCAATTTATATCATTATTAATATTTTTTTTATGAATATCACTCCATTAAAAATGTTATATAATTGTTAAATTATTCAACTCATATATATTTGGAAAACCCGCACAACGAACGGTGTAAACACTAGCTTCATTTTTATTTTATTATTTTGGTTATAAATGTTTGACTTCTTATTAAAAAAAACATATTAAGAAATTGAAACAATTATATGGGGAAAAAACTTATGTAGAGAGTAAGGAAAATGTGAAAAAAAATAGAGACAATAGTGAAAAATGAAATAATTATTACAAAATTATCAATAAATTAAGCTTTAAAGAGAGGTAATTATATTTAGAAAGAAAAAGCGAAGACTATCTAACAAAATTAAAAAACTAAAAAATATATTATAGAAAAATATACAAACAAACTTTTAATGAATATTTTTAATTTTGTTTACTCCGATGGCATGAAGCTGAGCAAACAAGTCAAGCTTGCTACCCTCCGTAGAACTGTGCCCACTCGAATCCGCCAAGTGGTAAATTTCTGTTGCTTTAAAACTTTTGCTTCTTTGAATTAGGACTTGAATTTGCTGTTTCGTTTCCTAGTTGAATGTGTCATATTTTCAGCTATCCTGATTAGTTAAAGCAGATGTGTTGTATCATCAATTGAATTAACCTTTTTTCCTTTCTTTCTTTTATTTGATTTGATTTTGTTCGTCTTGCTAGAAGGTAAACCCTGCGACTGCTAAGCTGTTGGACAGTTGTTACTCTGCCTTGAAAGATATCAAGAACCCGACCCCTGAGGATGATGATCTTAACTGTAGCCTTGCGTACTTTGACTCTGAACAAAGTGTTAGTTCCCTTTTATCTTAAAATTTAATCTTAACCATTTTATTATTTGAACAATGCTTTGCGATTTTTATATCTTGGTTTGATTTGCTTATTATTTTTATCATCATTGTTGTGGGTGGCATTTGTAGTTTTATATTCAATGCAAATCTCTGTCGTTAGAATTTATGATCATTGTTGTGGTGGAATTTTATGTTTTATGTTCAAATTCAAATCACTGTCCTTAGAATTTATAGTTTATTTAAATTAGAAGTTTTGCTGTTTGGTTTACTAGTCACGCTCCTGGTTATATGTTTACATGAGGATTTAATTCGATCTTACGTGGAACAATTAGGGAAATAATCTGTATTAATTAAATTGGCCATTTTCCTCCCTATTCCCATTTTATTGACCGTATTTAGTTTGTTTTTGCTTATCTTGTCCCAGCCTGAGGGTAGCATCCCCGTGTTGACCCGCGACTGCTTAAGAGGATGGGCTAGTCTTTTTTCTTCTTTCTTACAAAATATGCTCCAAAGCTGCAAGTTATGGAATCTCTTTTTCTTTTTCTTGTTTTACCTTTTTCCCCTTTGGTTTGATTAGTATGATAATATTTTTTTGTGCTGGTTTTAGGGGGAAGCTCGCCGTAAGAAAGAAAAGGGAAATGCGATGCTGGCTTTTATTTGTAAAGAAGCGGTTATGGTTGCTGTTGATCATTCAGTTTCTGGCACAGATAGTATACCATGTGAGTTGTTTTACTTTGGTATATGCTTGTCTATGTATATATGTTCTGCATATTGTTAAACAAATTCTGACTCTGTACTGATTACTTTCAGCGTCAAAGTCGGTTTTCCACCACCGCATTGTATTCAATCCTCACGTGATTGGCTGGCTCACTGTAGATACTCGGGTGACTCGAGAATTTCTCAGATATCTTGAACTGAATTGGGTGATTATCTCGTCTGATTCTTATTCTCTGTTCAAGAATCTTAAGTTGTGCCATAGAGTTTTATTGATGAAGTTTTTTAATCCGGAATTTCTCATTACATCTACATGTTTTATTCTCAAGGCGGAAGGAGCTTCTGTTTCTGAGGTTTTCCATGGGCTGGTTGACATTGTTACTTCTGAGGGCATGGGGGTGTCTGCAATATTGATTGCTGGGTGGGACAAAACGGTAATTTACAACACTTCACTGTGGAATTCTTCAGGTTGGAGTTGGTGAGACTCTGTTTATTTTATGTGACTTTTTTTTTTTGTTCCGCTGGGATGGTTGTGGAAATCGGCATAAGTCAAACGTGTTTGCTTGTGGTTCTTGTTCAGAATTTGGTGTTGGTGTCCTTATAACCAAGTATGACTCCGTTTCTTGGTCCTCTTGTTTAGTTTTATGATATTATGATATAGCAATTCATGTTTTGTTGGGTTCTATGTATAGGAACTTTCCCTTAATGTCAATTAAAGAAGCTGCAAAGCTTGCCAGAATTGCAATTCGGGCAGCTCTAGCTGAATCTGATGATGTTAATGGAACTGATGAATGTGGTAACAGTGGTGTTGATATCAGTGGTAAGCTTGTCTCCCAGTTGCGTTTCTTTCTTTTGTGTCAGATTGTACCTGAATGATCTTTTGCTTGTTCTGCTGAGCTTGTCTCCCAGCCCCGTTTCTTTAATTTGAGTTAGATTCTACCTGAACGATTTTTTTTTGTTCTGATGAATACATCCCTTCCAGTTTACTATGTACGTCCTGCTGGTTTCGGCGTAGTTGATGAAGGGACAGAATGCAAAATGCAGTAGGAGGTCCATAAAGACGGCTTGCATGATCCAGTTATTGCAATATCTTTTATGTCTTTGTAATGTTGCAGACATTCTAAGTAGACATCAAATATGACTTAATTTATACTTATGACCATTAGAAGATTTCTAATTAGCAACTACAGGGGAGGGATCCTTGTAGCTTGTGATGTAAGACTCAATCTAGTGGAGTTGATGTAGTGTAGTTTCCGATCCTGTTTGATGGATGGAACTAATTTATGCGTGTTGTTTTTTGGCCATTATTTTGTGGGTGCATGTGTTGGTGGTGGTTTGGATGCCTCGTATTAAAAAGGTAACATATAGAGTTTAGATAATCAGCAATTAAGGAGTAGGACATGATTCATCTCATTTGCCACGAATAGATCGTAGGAAGAGAGTTAAGAAAAAGAGATCAAATTGTATGGACCAATCTCTCAGACGGGCTGCTGAACCAAATCTTGCAATTTGAGGAGTCAGAATCTCCTTCCACTGGCCCTTTATGTACAATGGTCGTTTGATGCGCAATGGGCGTTTGAGCACCAAACAGCTTGGACATAATTTGTGTAACAGAATCTCTAAAGGAGATTTCGTGATTATTTTAAATGAATTGTATGGCTGTTTGACTGTGTGTAGAGTGTTTTATGACTTGATCATTGAGAATGAATCTGGATGAATTTGAATCATTTTTCGACAAATTAGGATGTTCAACCATCTAAGTACAAACAAATGAATAAAAAATAAACTCTAAAAACTAAAAAGGAGAAAAAGAAAAGGTATCTCTGCCACGGTGGAGATGTCAATGTCGTCTCATTATTATTATTTTATTATTATTTTAAAAATAGGATAAATCTTAACAAATCATATCATTTTTTGACTTCAAATTTGTTTGCTACTCCCGACGTTTTCTTCATCCAATCCTCAAGCATTTTACTGTGTGATGGTGCGGTCCCTGGTCAGTCCACGGGACAACGCCTAGAATTCCTAAAATACCTTGCAAAACAGAGTTAGCATTTCAATGCTAAAGTCAGAACTCTTAGAAAGAGAAAGGAAAAACAGTAAGTGATATGTAGAGAGAGAATAATATGAAAAGTAAATGTCTTGGGGTTCTTCCTTTTATAGACCCAAAAAAAGAATATTCTTATATTCCCTTGCACATGGGTGCACATGGATCTTAGTTGATATTATTTGATATCTGGGCCAATTTAATTAGGGCTTAATGAGACAATGGCCTAATTGCCTCATCAATTGTCCATACTAGAGGCTAAAACCCATAAATTTATTCTGGGTTTGGGCTCTAGTAATCGAGCCTTTGCGACTTGGGCTTCTGTAAGTGCGACCTGCTTTGCTAACACTGTAAGTGCCCCATCATCAGACGACTGAGGTAAGTTCTGGATGACCAACGGTCCATACCCTATTACTGCGAAATAGCCTCACTTGCTTACCGTATTTTTCTTTATGGATTAGGATAATGATTGGATCTCCTCAAGCTTTTACCCCCCAAAAAATCAATAAAGAAATGACTAAATTATAGAAACTTCTTATACATTTGTGCAAAAAAATCATTTTTGTCTTATATATTTCAAAACGCATATTTTGTTTCATTTCGTTCAAAAAATGTGATTTTTTTTTTTACTATTTACGTTCCAAAGCAACTCTCCATCCAATTGACTGTCAAAATACAGGATATTAGCAACTCTACATGATCATCACCCCTCAATCTGAAAATGGTCAATCAATAAAACAATCAACAAAAAAACAGAGGAAGAGAAAGACCAGCTGAAAGGGTAAAGAGGAGATGCCAATCCCAGAGGTTGACAAGTTCTTTCCTTTCCAGAGTGCAACCCATCTTTTACGTTATGGAAAGATGTTAATTCTTTCACGTTATGGAAAGATGTCAATTCCAAAAAGCTAGTGGCAAATGTCATTGATGATGAGGAGGATGATGCTTATTAGTAATATGTTCTAGAATCTAGAGCTAAGATTTTTCTTCCGGGTCTTCCATTGAAAGTATTTTTTCGATCATTCTCATTCATTCCCCAGCCTTTTTTACAGCAGGTGAACAAATACTAAATTCAAAGGCTTCTCTTGTTCTGTTTCTCTGCATTATGATGATCACCTGATCTTTAAGCTAGGTCTGTAGGTATTTCGTGATTGGATCCCCATCTCACTGCCATGTTCAATCTTTCTGATCATTATGGAGTGATTGAGGAGATTGTAACCATTGCTGCTCCAATGAACTGCAAGAAGAGTCCCAAAACTTCCCGGCAGCCAGCTTTATACGTCAGAATAGAGCCTCTACCCTTATGGTGTGAAAGGCCATTCTTGAGAGTCAATATGCAAAATGGAGAGGAACCCGTAAATAAAGGACAAGATGTTCAACAAAATCAAATTCTAATGGAAGTTCTCCGCTACCTTCCCCTGCCTTTAAAGTCTGATAAAGAGGATCAAACTGGCCATAACTAGCTCTACCAAATCCTCAGAAAATAACATGGTATCAAATTCTTCCATGCTTATTAGCCGTACATCTTCAGCTATTAGTTCTTCAGAAATCACATATGTAATGAGATTCATAGCTAGATATAATCATAACAGAGGTATGATAATGATTGAATTGAGTGCACACGAAAAACCACAGGACTAAATAAGAAGAGGAGCAATAAATTGATGGAGTTCAGAACCGAGTCTAGTGAAATAACATAGGAGTCAAGTACTTCACCGTAATATGTCCTTTTATCAAACGGAAGCTGAGGGGAAATATAATCCCATCAGGATTTTATCATTGCAGCAGTTAGGAATCGAGTTTGTGGCACACATAATGGAAGAACTTCACGAGTTAGCTAAGTCAACCATAAGATGGATGAATTAACTTAGATGATTAGACTACCACACTGGTAACGAAAGTAGCTAAGATAACCTAAGCAGAAAAATGCTAAATGATTTCAGTTGTGACCCGTGTTGAATGAATGAGTGTAACTCTCCGAGACACTTAATGATGCTTCTTATTGAATCCTTAAAATACTGAATAAAACTGGAATAGTTGAAGCTGAAACTAAAGTATTATCAGAACCTATTAAAGCCCAAAATAAGTCTAGATTGCGAAGGCCCTAGAAACAGAATAGCAATTGTAACTCAGGGAGGTCAGGTGGTAATTCCTAGTGAACCCTTTACTCTCTAGATAACTGGAAACATTGTTTCCATATCCTACTTAAAATGACAAAGGTTGTACGAATAGAAAGTAAAAGAAAATCGCTGGCACTATTAAGCCTGATTGGAGAAAAGGTTACTTTTTTTAATGAACTGATAGATATTGAATCATCAACTATAGGAAAGGACAAAAGTAGGCCAAGTGAGTACTCCCCTGAAATTTATTAGGCGTACGAATCATACACTAGTTAATTAGGAGTGGTTGAATTCCACTTCCCTACTCTTGGGACTAGTTTCCTTGGAAATATGTCCAGTAGAGAAGGTGAATCGTATCTTCTGAAATGTAATTGTTGGAAAGAATGAAAAGGAAAAAAGAAGATATTTGGAATTTCTGTTTGTAAGAAATCTTTCAACTGGAACTTACAAACCGGTGTTAGGAAGCAAATTGAATAGGGAAACTCATACCCATCTCTTTACCCTTTCTTTCATCTGACCCTTCTCTTCTTACGCTGTACTTCTTCTATTTTCTGAACATCGAAGCCACGTTATGAGAGCAACGAAGAATTGCAAAGTTTTGCCTCTGCTTGCTTAGATAGTAAGTAATTTCCGTGTACCATTTCCCTCTAATGCTAGTTTTCCTGACATCAATTTAAAGGTTTACTGGTCTGGAAAATAGGTTACTCTAGTGTTGTTGTTAAGACTCAGAAAAGAAAAAGAAATAGTTTGAACCTGAACACTCCAAGGATGACTATAAACAGCGAGATAAACTGGTTATAGAATTACACAAATAGCACTACGAGATCATTTCCTTTTTAAGACTAATTTCTCTAGTGTTGGTCTGCAGCTTGAAATAAAAGAAATTAAACCAAAAAGGGGAGAGAGTGAGAAAGACCGAAAGAAATCTAGAGAACTACGTCTCTGTTTGTTTTTAATTCTTTAGCATTAATCGGGTAACCATATAACTGGGAACATTTTCATATTATTTAAAACTTAGTAACAACCCTAACTTCATTTTAGCTCCAGTGCTGCTGTTAAGTTTATATATTAAAAAAATGGAGGAAAAGCATAATGTTGGTTGTAGAAATACATGTTAGCTGAATGCAAATGCGAGGGGCATTGGAGGTGGTTCTCTAAAGAAAAAGTAGAACAATCAAGTAACAGGCAATCTATTGGCCCATGTGATCTTTGAATTTTATTTTTTTTCAAGTACTGGGACGTAATTTGTATTGACCTTTATCTTTTAAAAGATAGATTCTGTTACTGGTTAACTAAATTAGTCTTCCCACCACCAATTGAACGTGAGGAAGTTCATAGTGTTGCTGTTGCTCCTAGCCGCATTTCAGTCACGTAGGTAGTCTCTATTGATGGTTAATAGTTGTACTGTTAATAGGGCACTTGTGCATTTTGAAAACCCCAAAGTAGAGGAGCAGAACAACTAGAAACTGGTAGCTTAAGACCGTTAATGCGTGTTTAAACTGCTCAACATAGAAATATAATAAAATCTAAACTAGTTTAATCTAGGAAACTTTAAAATGATGCTGTAAGACATAGTAATGATTATGGTAGTTAAGACATAGTCCCGCTAGCCTTAAGGAAGACAGTACTAATAAGCTTCAGTTCATTTTAAGGGGTTGAGAATTTAAAGGACTGGCAAAGTTACAGTAGGATTGCAGGGACGCAATCCAGTTTAAGGGGTTGAGGATGTGAGGACCGCTAAATTTGATGTTCCTCACTGTAAAGTACCTGCACATCTTGTATCCCAAGTCAGGTGCATGCGTGTGTTTCATGAAAATTAAAGTAATAATGAGTTTAAAGTTAGATGGATCAAATCTATTATATCTCTCCCTCTCTCTCCCTCCCTCCCTCCTTCAGACCCTCCCTGTTAGAAATGAGCAAGACAAATGTAATCCTGAATGTCAATCAATTTAGTTAGCATGGCACATATTTGTTTGGTTGTATCCTAACTTGTGGAATTGTTTGATCTTCTAATATTTAACAGCTGGAGCTATGACATGTCAGCTGATGATGCTTTGTTATTTGTCCAGCAATTAGTATGTCTTGCATCCGTATATGATCATACGTATTCTGGCGGTTTAGCAAACAGTACGTTTCTCTTTCTATCTTTAATTCTTTTTACTGATTTTGTATCTTATTAAACAAAATGGTTATTTTGTAGTCCGCGTATTGGATCCCAAAGTCACCATGATTTCTATAAAAGATATTCACGATTTGATGCGTCATGGAACGATGCGATGGATGAGACGCGTCGGATTGCCATTACCTCCACCACCGCCGTTTCCACTAGACATTAGGATGATAGATGATTAGTGGTGTTGTCTTAGCTACTATTTGTTATTATTATAAGACTATCGATAACTATCGAATTTAGAACTTGTTACGCTTGCAAAATGCTATTTGCAACATTATCTAAAATTTGAGGCGTGTAAAAAGATTAAAGTAAATTGATAATGCACGATAACATTTCGGTACACCAATAAGATCTTGACAAAAGATTAGTAATGTTGTTGTAGAACAAACAATGATCTCCCAGAGCACAGACATCAATCAATACGTTACAATAGGTTTTTTTTTATCTACAACATTATATGCAGTTAACTTTTACTTTTTCCTTTCTCTTTTTTCAGTTTAGTTTTGTCCAACAACACGTATAATATTGCTGAAAACTAGAATTATTTCTGGCTCAGTCGATAACATTAACTAACAAAAACACCATTTTTCTTTTGGGTCAGTGAACTGATGATGTGCTCTTGTTGCAAGCCTGACTTTCTAGTTCTAAGTTGATTCTTCCATCATGATCATCTGCATTAAGTCCTTGGGCTCCAAAGCATAGATACCGGTTCATTGCCTTCATGCTAAATGAGCTCTGACTGCGCTTTATTTTCCTCATTTTATCATCCATCTGATGACGAGGCGAATGGTTGTCGTGTTTATTCCCTGCTCGGACTAATTCGGCTGACATCGGTAATGACCAGGAAGATTCGGAAAGAGGGCTCGAAGGAGAAGCTGAGGAGACGAAAGACAATGAATGCTGCCTTTTCACTTGCAAAACTCCGTGCATGAGCCCTGCCGCGAACTTCTTCTTTGTGGATGGACTTGGGAGGAAGTCGCTGTTGTTGGAGAGCGCCGCGATTCTGTTGCTACTCTTGGAAAATCTTTGTCGAAGAGAAATGATGGGCTTTTGGCCCGTCATTGGACTCGAAATTTTGTATGAGTCGACAGAATTAGTTTCTTCCTCCAAGTTCACACCTTTCGCCATGGTCCTCGCTCTCGTCTTAGGTAAATGGAGCATGAGCTTTAGGCGACGAGCAGCACTATTCACAGAACCGAACCTTGTTTTGTTAGATACTGATCCGGTTAGTTCCCCTGATCTCATGTCGTAATCTGTGATACAGCTCTCTACGTCAGGAGAAGGTGCATCTGCATTTTCGATCCCTGCATACAGAAATATTTCCGAATCAGGAATTCTGAAAGACGTTCCGGGACTGCCTCCAATTCCGTGCATCTTTAGGTGAGAAACGAGGGCACTTCTTGTCAAATGGTCTCGAGAATTTCCAATCCCTCCCGCCTGAATCAGCCGCTTGATCAATATCTCAGAAGATGCTGATTTTGGATGTTGTTTGAGTAAATCGAGCGCTGTCCTTCCATCATTATCCCGGACGTTTAGGTTGATGCCAAATATAGACATCAGAAGTTCAACCAACTCAGAATGGATGTTGTCTGTCACAGCTATGTGAAGAGCTGTTCTACCATCTTTGTTCTGTTCATTGATGATATCTTCTATATTTGCCGTTTTACAGCTCGCTAACTGCTTCATGAGAGCCATCTGTCTGTCCAGTCTCCTGAACCCGGGGCTTCTAAAACTCGCCACCGCCATGTGAAGAAATGTGTCTCCATTTTTGTTTTTCTGTAACCTGATTGATGGCGATGTGGAGATTAGAAAATCTACGACAGCTAAGTGACCCCGGTAAGCAGCTACATGTAGTGCGGTGTTTCCCTCATTATCGGTTGAATTAATGAGTTCATAGGATGCCAGAAGACTTCGAACCACCTGCACTTTATGAATAGCATATAGACAGATCAGAACAAGCTGCTAATCAGGAAGTTCTATTCTGAATAGGCTGCTAATTAAAATGACAGTTCGCTAGAAAACATATATACTAGGAGCTCCAGATGATAATGGAAAGCACATTATTTCTGCAATTTCCCATTAGTAAAACTTTTATTAGAGACTGATACTAGCTTCTGCCATTTCCCATTTATTTCTCCAGTTTCATGATACCTCATATATACTACCTTCTGCAATTCGTATCCACCTAGCAAACATCAGCTTTCTGCGCTTTTGACATGTAACCAGTGTTATACTGTTATATTTGTGTCCTTTAATTTTTTTGATTTTTTTTTTATTTGTGTCCTTTCCTTTTTTCCTGGTTTGAGTAATTGAGTCCGACCTAAATCTGTGTCAGTCATGTCCAGGGGAACTGCAGTTATGCACTCAAGGGACTGCATCCAGTTTGGATTCCAAAGAAACACTATTTTAGAGAGAACCTAAAATGCTTTTCGATCCTAGTAATTTCCTAATTTATGATCAGCATTTTCATCCTAACTTGTTAGAAGTTTTAAGTGTAACACTCAAAACTCCATCTATCTACAGTCGAACACCACTAGAGCACCAAAGATCCATTGATCAAATTGATAGGAACAGTCAGAAAGCTGTAAAATATCAGAAGGTAACAGTAGAAAAAGTAAAGAAACATTCAACTAAAGGCTAAAGCAGATTTCTCCTAATCCTAGTCCCTAATTATAAAGAAACATTGCGTAGCAATGCATTTTCATCTTTTACAGTCTAGCAGATGTCAGTCCTCAGTCAGACATAAAGTCTTGAGGCATCAACTCGTAATCTATACCATAACAGCAAATAGATCCAATGATCAAATTGGTGATGTGCATATTTCACATTAGCTTACATGATCCATTTCAGTAAGGCATGAAAAAGTTGTGCACTTGTTGACAATAATCCCATTGCAACCATCCTACATGTCCCGCGCTTGGAACCAGTAAATACAAGACCGTAAAGTTTAAAACTCCATAACTTTTAAACATCACAAAATCAAAAAACGCAACAACATAAAGAAGCAGAATTGCAAAGCAAGACAAAGAAATCACAGAAAGTCAACAATTAACCTACATTCATAGTCTAATAGGAGATTTCCTTCATCCTTATCACAAAAACACAGTGAAAGACAACAGCTCAAATCAAAAGAAGAACGTTCACCTCAATTTGACCTCTGACAGAAGCTGAATGCAAGAGTGTTGAACCCTGAGAATCTCTATAGACCAAAACATCTTCACAATCCCCAAGAAGTTCTCTCAACATCTCCACATATCCTCCTCTGGCAGCAGCATGAACAGCCCTATTCATGATTTCCCACTTATAAACCGATGAAACTTCCTCCGGCTCAACGCCACCATTACTACCTCCACATTTTCTCAGTGAAGCATCCAGCAACAGCCGAAAAACTTCACTGTTCTTGCTCCTGGCAGCAGCATAAAGAATATCAGTAACACCATATTCTCCTTCTCCATAAATCAACAAGGGGTTCCTCTCCAGAAGTTGCTTAACAAATCCCACATCACCAGCTGATGCAGCAGTGTACAGAAGCCAACCACCATATCCAGCTCTAATCAACGAATTGTGATGATGGCCATTCCTGGATTCTTCACACTCAAGCAAGAGTTTCTGGGCAACTTGGGACCTGCATTTGGCAACATCATTAAATTTCTTGCCTTCCTGATCATCAACATCATCATCCCACACGGTCTCAAGTCGGCGAATTCTTCTCAGGGAGGTGAGTTTGATGAGCAGATTGGTGTCAAGATGAAGCAGCTCCCTTACCAGATCATAGTGGCCATTGGCAGCAGCCCAGTCAATTGGAGATGCAAACCACCACTGATCACCAGTTATCTCCCACCGCAAAGGCAAGTATTCAGGGGGCATGGTGATCACTAAATCAATATTCAATACAGAAAGGGAAAAAATTTTATCTTTTCTTTACAACTATTCAGCCATAAGCCTGTATCAATATAAAAGAAGCAGGGCAATGATTCAAGAAAGGGTCTGTATTGGTTGAAGAGTTGAAGTCAACTACACTAAATCGTGTGGGAAAAAAAAATAAAAAATACAAAATGGATATGACAGCACAGCTCGACAACAGAGTCAATCACAGTTATTGAGAGAATAACTGGAAACTGTTCATGAACTTCAAAAATTCAGTAGAGGGATTGAGAAACTCTAACCCGAGGGAAATAAGGCAAAGATTAGACTTTTGAGTGGGAAGAAAGATCAAAGATTCCAACTTTATGAACTGCTTGTGTTTGTAGAAGATGATTAAGTAAATAGTAACAAAACAAAAGGGCAAAGGCCACACGTTTTTGTGTGGACGGAGGAATTAACTAGAAAAATATTGAAAAAGAAGTCCCAAAACGTGATCCCAGAAAAGAGTCACTGAATTTTTATTGTGGTATTCATATTTTGGCAAGCGTGTGATTAGCTGCTTCTCATCTTCATTTCTCGTACAGAAACTTTACAAAGACCAGCAGCCCCCTCTCTGACCGTGTTAATTTTCGACACCCGGACAAATAAAAATTGTTATGAAATATTTGATTTGATTTGATTGAATATCCATAATTAATATGTATTATTCTATTCACAATCAAAAAGATGTGATTGTAATATTTAGTATTAATGATAGATGATACATATCCCACAATTTAGTATTAATTTTATAATAAGTTATCAGTACGAAGTTCTAGCAAATTATAATACGTTATCAGCACGAAGTTCTAGTAAAAGAGTTTTATAATACCACTGCATGTATATTAATATGGAAAGCCTAAAGTTTTCAGTAAATATTTAGTTTTTGTGATTGAAAATATTTTTGGAGATTTGTTTCTTTCCGACGACTCCGAGAAAATCACATTAAGGTGAAGAACTTATCACATCTATGTTTATGGTGGTTTTCCCGCAAAGGAGTAGAGCACATTGAGGGCACTGATTTATTTCAAAGGTTAGTAATAAGTTTTTCCTATGGAGGAGAAAAGACAAACAGCTGAAGATGTGACGAGAAATTTGGTTCGGTCTTAAAAGAATTGATTTGAATTAATAACAAAAGGTAGAGAGTATTAAATTAGGTAGAGAGATTCTGGATGAATCTTTTCACGGTTATAAAAATTTTTTTTTTCTTTTTCTTTTACGGAATTGGCGTTTTCATAAACAGATCTCATACTCTGTAAAACTCTCAACCCTAAATTATGATGGAAATTAAATTTTGTCATAAAAAATAAGAAAATCACAAAATAACAATTGCTCAGGGAGGGGTGACCATTGAACCGCAATTTGTCTTTACCATTTGTTACACACGTGAACCTCTTCTGAAATGATCTTGTGAATGTGTAAATTCTGTGCTCACGTGATACTATCATCTTAGTCCTGGAAAATGACGAAGGAAACATGTCAAGTTCCTGTGCTGGAAGTTGGTACTGTAACCAGGAATTTACCTAGGGATTTCCCACGTTAATTTTAGCGACATCAGATCCATTTACATTCTTTATACAGAAATGCAGATCAAGGGCACATACAGTTTGTCAAATTACACATAAGATATTTCCCAAATGGTAATAGTAGTAACAAAGATGGGGTTAAGAGGTCACTTAATCACCTGCCATTTGTGTTACTGACAACTTCAGAATGCTGCAAAAGGTTGGTGGGCAGCCGAGTCAAGAAATCAAGATGACATTTTTATTGAACTACTAGTATTTTAGTTTAGAGGATCCACTAGAGCATAGTCAAATTGAATCAGAATGTAATTTATGCTTCTCAAGTATTTTGGGCGGTGATTTGATAATGATTTTAAGGCACTGAAGAGGATTAAATTCGGCACATGGATGTGTAGTTGATCAAACATACAACTACTACACAGGAGACAATGCAATTGGAAGGACAACCCCCTCATTGCACATGGCATTTATTTGGGGATTAGGACAATCTAGATTGACGGATAATTAGATGACAACCCATTTGGCCCTCTCCACTTGTTTCTTTTCTTTTCTTTTTCCCCATCCAGGACCTCCTCTATCATGAGATGTGATTATTTTCTCATCTCTCTTTTTCTTCTTTGGGGATAAGAAAAGAGATGATTCTGACGCCTACATAGGAGTTTAGTATAACAAAGCAATCATAATGTAAAAGAAGTGCCAAAATGTGTACAAAACTGCAATCCAGTAGCCTCTGCAATTCATCAGGTTAATATGCCTTATTAGATTCATCAAGTCAGACTCTACATACTATTATAGAGTTGGTGTGTGGGTTACAGCCCTACTAAAAGTGTGCAATTTCCTTTTAGTTTCAAATTTCAACAGCTTTTACCACAAAATTGTTTTCCCAGCAAATTTGAGAGTTTGTGGGTTGTCTGTAGGCTAATTATATACCTAGAAATAACATGGATGCCAATTACTAATTTGTGATCAAGCTGAAAAGCTTATTCAATGAAGCACGAGATAAGAAAACTTACCAAGAACTGATCATATTTTGAATAGACAAAAGAATGTCCATACACAAACACTATCACAAGAAGCTGCGTAGCATGAGATCCGAGAAATGTGATACCCCTGAAGAGAGATCGTCAGAAGACGGTTGATATCCTAGAGGATTTCATCTTCTTCATGAAATCTTCAACCCTATCGACAGCCACATACATATCATTCTGTCTCAATGCCTCCAGGAGCAAACGACATGTAAGATATCGAGGTGTAATGTCTTGAGCTACCATTTTGAGAAAAAGATTATATGCATCTTCGGCTTTATTGGCCTTGCACAGTCCGTGGATCAGAAGTGCATAAGTTGACAAATCAAAACACAAATGATGCTTATTGGACATATCATGCAACAATTTGTTCAAGCAACTGTCTTTCTTCCCAGCTTTAAAGCATGACTTCAGCAAAGGAATGTATGTCTGAAGATCAGGCTTACAGTATGGTGAATTTTCCATATCCCCGAGAAATTCTAAAGCTACTTCTTCTTGTTCATGATGACAGAGCAAAGCAATCATGGTATTGTACGTTGACACATTGGGAACGATCCCCCTCCCGGGCATTTCCACCTTAAAATTATAAATAGCCTCATCCACTCGATCAGCCCTCCCTAATGTATGAAGCAACACATTGAAATAGAGAGTGTCGAGTTCACAGCCTACTGCCTTCGTTTTCTCAGCCATCTTCAAGGATTCCTCAAATGCATTCGACTTTGTCAAAGAATGCATGATTGTGGTGTAAGTCACTACATTTGGGATGCAATTTTGAGCTTTCATATCATCAAGCAGCTCGTACACCCTAACAAAATTGTATTGATGACAGTAGAATTGAATGATAGTCGAGTAACTGATTACAGAAGGGCGGCAACCATCCCCTTTCATCTCTTGAACTGTCCAGTGTGCCTCCTCAACCCTATTAATGTTGCACCAACCATGAATAAAGATGTTAAAAGTATGTTCATTTGGGGGCATGTGAGATTTAAGCTTCAAGAATATATCACGAGCCTGCTCAACTTTCTTCGCCTTGCAAAGTGTATCAAGTAACAAATTCATAGATTCTGTATTCTTCTTCAGGCCGAACTTTTCCAACTCATCAAATATAAGTATCGCATCTTTCCACTGCCCTGCACCAGCAAATCTTCTCATAACCTTGGCGATGGTATTAAGTGAGACAAGCCGATCCCTTCTCATTTCTTCCACAAAAGAAAGCATCTTCTCCATCTGTTTCATTTTCCCCAATATGTCCACCACCTTATCATAAGCCTCTGGTAACGGCTTATATGCCCAATGTGATTCCACCCATCTAAATACACCCAGTGCCGACCTCCAATCGTCTGTGAACCTATTCAGCAGCTTATTGATGAGTTGATGAGTAATCTTCGTAGCATTACAACCAGGGTCTTGCATGAGGAACTGATAGACTTCATCCTCACTCCTTCCAACACAAATTTTACCAAGAAGAAGATCAAGATCAGGGTCTCTTTTCAAATCTGTACATTTTTGGTCTGAACTCTTTTCACAAGTATCACCGGAATGATTCACAAGGAAAAAACTAGACAGGTGGGAGAAGCATCGAACATATCCTCTAAAAGTAAGATGGGAAATGACATGATTAATTGGCAAGAGCAGAGGGTTCTTCCCAGTAGGGCTGGAAGGCATAGGAGGCTACAAGGAACACGACCCGCAGTGTCTCTGACTGTTATTCCTGCAATCCCTGCTGAGCACGGCTTCAGCAATAATTCTATCTTTTTTTCTGTCATATCAAGCCACAAGCAACAATCTTGAGAGAATCATAAATCACCCAATATGCAAAGAGTGCAAGAATAACTAAAGCCTTTTACAACAGTAAGTGGGAGGGACATATGGATCATATGTAGCACCCAAGTTACTAGATATTACTAGGTTTGCAACTCTCATTCCAGTGAAAAAACAAAATCTAAAATTAAAAATAAAAGAAAATAAAATAAAAATAATATTGGAATGATTTAAGAGCAAGAAGAAGCGGGTGCAGATGGAAATGCATTCGAAGGAGAAGTGTTCATCTACAAACCCGGGACAACAGGAAAATCGACCATGAAATGTTGTTGAAATGCTAGGCTACAGTCCATATGGATTCAAAATAACTATTGCATCTGAATTTCTTCCTAATGCATTTCAAGGCACATAATGCGCCGCCGTGCTCCCCTTTTACTTCCCTCCTGTAAAGAGCGGACGGGACAACTTATTCCTGGATTGGGACTGTAAATTCCTTCAGGCCCCTCAACTCTCTTTGGTAAATTGGATGCAAGTCTAGATTAAAACCATACTTCTTCTCTTAACGATTGCGAACATGAAACAACTTTCATCCATGTTTCAAAACTTTCAAAAGGAGTCATTCACAGGCTGGTCCAGGTTCTAGATTGAATCAACAACAAGAACTAATCAAATAAAGGCTCTGGAATTAAAGTGAGATTTCTACTCTGGGGAAAGGACCCTCGATCAACTCTACTATATCAGTATATCATCAATAATGGGAGCATTAGAGGAAAAAAAAAAAACAAAAACAAAAAAAAAACTTCAGGACATGAGTACAACACAAAGTTTCACCTGTAACTGTGAAGATGACGAGATGGAATGAGATGAGAGGACGCCAAGCAGATGCAAATGAGAAGGAACCTGGCCTAAAGACCGTAATTAGATTGGATTCAGCTCCTTGTCTTCAACTTGTTTGATGATATGCCTCACAGGAACTGATTAGGTCTGCAGAACTTCATTTTCACATTTTGCTCGTTTTCAAAACTCCTTTCTTCTGGCTTTTTTTTTCCCGACTTTTGTTCTTGTTTCTGCTTTTCATTTTTACTTCTTCTTCTTCCACGTCAAAGATTTTCAGGCCCAAACTGTAACACATTTCAAAGAACCGAGGCCCAGAAGCCCATATCACGTGCAGACTGACAAACTTGCTGTTTGGACCTCGCTCTTTGCCTCTCTTTCTCTCAAGTCCATACGATTATCAACAACTAAGCCTAAGTTTCCAACCTGCCAAAAAATGTTTTAAAAGAGAAAAAAGGAAACTCGATGGCTAATTCGGCCATAGTAATAAAATTCTAACATTTCACTCGTTGCGGAAAAAACATTATACTACTAATATAATTTTAATATATATTTCTTTCTGTTCCGAAATTATTGTCGGGTTCGGATTTTTTATTTTTTTATACAAATTTTACTAAAATTAAAAAATTCAATCTAGACAATTATTATAAAACAAAGAGAGTATTAGATCTCGGAACGCATAGTTTTAGTTTTTCTTTTCGTTATCTTCTAACCGTCTGAGTACATTTTCCCTTGAACTGGAGAGATATTGAATTGATTTATTTTATTTTATGCTACTAAAGGACCAATTATTTACCCAAGACAAAAATAATCAAAGCCGAGGGCCAGATAGATTGTAATCCTATTTGCAACACTAGGCATTCTGAAGAACAGGAGCCATTCCATACCCCAGGAACCCGAAAGTCAGTTCATCCGGTCCAGCATTCCCTACTTATCTTCTTCCCAAAGGACTTTTTGGATTCCCAAAGGACCAAACTTCCCCGCCCCACGATCACACTGGGCATAGGAATATGGGGTGCCAAGCACAATTTTGAATGATTACATACTCTCCGACTTGATAATGAAGAATTTAAGCAAAGCTCATCATAGCCTTAACGCTGTGCAGAATGAATACTCAAGGTCGCACTCTGGTCCTAGTATCGCATTCTATAATGATTAGTAGGTTGTTGTAGTTGGTTGATTGGGTGCTTGTCTTGATGTAACAAGTGGAAAATGGAAACATTACTGGAGGGATGGATGTCTACTGAGATAAATAAATTTGAGTGAACTTTGAAGATGGGGTACTCAAGTTGAATGTTCATATTGGTAGAGTCTTAGCTAGCTCCTGATACCCGACAAATTGTCCAGACAATCACAGAAACTGAATTTGGGCAAAAAGAAACCACAAAATGGCAAAATGCCATAACCACCCACCATCAAAAGCTAGACATGTATTGAATCCACAGGGTTTCAAAGAAGTCTTTTCTTATCTTTTACCAATTACCACAAACTGTAAAGGAGATGAAAATGTCACCATGACTACAAGGCCTGGCATAGAGAGAACAAAGTACAAGAACCAAAATAAACAAAACAAAACCTACTAACTTCGCATCATTCTAGACACTCTTTATTCCCTGGATCAAAACAGCTGAAAGAAACCCCTAAAACTCTTAACGAGAACCACCACAGGAGTTCTTTGACCATTAATGGGATCCTTAGGCACTGACGGATGCCATGTGGCAAATCAAATCAACCACTCGGGTACTGTAACCCCACTCATTGTCGTACCATGCCACAAGTTTCACGAACGTCTCATTCAAGGCAATTCCAGCAAGGGCATCAAAGATACTCGACCTGAAAGAATGAAATATGAGTTAAAACCCATCAAATGCTGATCGACTGCAATGAGTTAGAAAGTTAGTTCCCAAGTGAGTTATCCAACTGGACTCACCTGTTGTCACCAACAAAATCTGTGGACACAACATGATCTTCGGTGTAGCCCAAAATTCCCTTGAGCTTGCCCTCAGATTCCTCCCTGAAAGAGGAAATAATTAAATCGACGACCACCTTGACTATTATTATTCAAACCAGCTCTCCAGCAGGTTAACAAATACAGTGAATGTCAAAATATAACACCAGATGTCATTGACAAAACAACTTACTTAATAGCTGCTTTGATGTCCTCGTAGGTGGCAGCTTTCTCAAGTCTAACAGTCAAATCCACAACTGAAACATCCACAGTCGGAACTCGGAAGGACATTCCTGTCAACTTTCCGTTGAGAGCAGGAAGCACTTTGCCGACAGCCTGACAATAGTAAGGAGCAAACATTTGTAAATAAATACTCGAAACAAACATACTGGCGGTCAGACAAAACTAAAGAATCCCAACAGCTCCTGCCCCAGAGATCAATAGTTCAGTAATACACATAATGACTAGTGTTTACCTTGGCGGCTCCAGTGCTACTGGGGATGATGTTAAATGAAGCAGCCCTTCCACCTCTCCAGTCCTTAGCTGAAGGACCATCAACAGTTTTCTGGGTGGCTGAAGATCAAAAGAACAAGCAACATAAGATACTGGTTCCGAAAAGAAACATAACAACAAACTAAAAAAATCCTAAGCTGTACCAACCAGTAATGGAGTGGACAGTGGTCATAAGACCCTCAACAATGCCAAACCTGTCATGAATGACCTGCAAATAAAGACCGAAAAAAGAGAATGTAAGGATGGCCACATGAATAATCAAAGTCCAATCACAGGCAAATAGAAAAGGTGGTTCATATAACCTTGGCCAAGGGAGCAAGACAGTTGGTAGTGCAACTGGCATTAGACACAATGTCCAACTCGGGCTTGTATTCCTTCTCATTGACACCAACAACAAACATGGGTGCATCCTTGCTGGGAGCAGAAATAACAACCTTCTTTGCACCTCCCTATTTTCACCAAATCAAAACTTGTAAGGAGCCTTTCAGGGCACTTTGATGAAAAATAGAATCACTAACCATACATTTTTACATTAGAGTTCAAATCACCCAATGGTTAGGTTACAACATACAGTTATCTATTCAGCTAAATTCATGATTGCAAAGAAAAATAGAAACCAAATCCTGAAGATCATAACCTAAAAGGTAATATAAATAAAGCAAAGACCAAAATGATGCCAAACATACACCAAAATCAAAGGAATATATCCTCTCCAAGACAACAAAGAAGGAATCTCATATAACAAAACAATCTAGCCGAATTGCTGCATTATCACATGGTATACAGAGTAACGAACTACAGACCTTCAAGTGGGCAGCAGCCTTGTCCTTGTCAGTGAAAACTCCAGTAGACTCCACAACGAAATCTGCTCCAGTTTCACCCCATGGGATCTCCTCAGGGTTCCTAAATTACCCAAAAACATGGATTAAGCAAAATGGACTCAGTTTTGTTCATTAATTTCCAACTACTTCGAAACTCCACACAGCTAATTAAGCTTAATCATCAATAGGATGAAGTGATCTAACCTGACTCCAAAGACCTTGACGGCCTTCTCACCAAAGAGAAGGGTCTTGTCATCATGGACTTTAACGTCAAAGTGCTTCCACTGACCGTGAACACTGTCATACTTGAACATGTATGTCTACAACCAAAGATTATAAAATGTATAAATAAAATCAGATCTGTAAAGGAATGCGTACCCCAAATCTAAATTGGAAAAAAAAAACACCAGAGAGATCTTGAAGCAGTAAACAACAACAAACAGTCCAAAATTATACCATATAGTCGGTGGTAATAAATGGGTCGTTAACAGCAACAAGTTCAACGTCATCCCTCTGCAAGATAACTCGAGCAACCAAACGCCCGATCCTTCCAAATCCTGTTCCAACCAAAGAACATAAAAACACCAGAAAAAATCATTAATCCATACCACAAAAAGTAAAAGAAACCACACAACCATTAAATCGAAGCAGCCAACACTAAACACAAGCAGATCAGACAAAGTTATGCAGCTTCAGATCACAAAAACACCCAAACCCCCATTCAAACCACAAAACCATGGTTAAGAACATTACTTCTACAGCAACAAACAGATCCAATTAAGCTCGAACACCCATAAAACAACAGATCAGAGAAGCACATGCAAAAACAGATCAAACAAACACCTAGACGCCGACTCGAGCTTAAATCACTTCAAAAAAATCTTTAAAAACCACACCAAGACAAAATAGAGCTCAGACCCATGAAGGTCATCAAAGATCAGAAAAACGCCCAGAAAACAAATTAAAGGAAAAAAAAAGGAAGATACACATAGTTTCGTCATCAGCAAAGAGGGAAAAACACAGACAAAGAGTAAGAAAACGGATCAAAAAGGGGAATTAGGGTATACAGACCGTTGATTCCGATCTTGATCTTGGCCATGGAGTCGGTGAGTGAGTATTGAACGAAAGGGTTTTAGAGAGAGTTAGAGATGGGGGTAGCTTTAGTGAGAGAAAAGAGACAGTAAAAATGCGAGGAAAGACAATCAGAGAAAAGGGGTTTATTTAAAGGGGGCGGATTTCGTGATGAAGAAAATACCGGAGGAAAAAATGGGGAAATGAAATAGGACACCGTAGCGGGTTTTTTTGTCTGTCGGGTTTGTCTTGGAGAAAAAGAAAGGGCTAGCAAACCCGAGGAACATTCCAGACTCTTACCATCTTTTTAATCTTTTCTTTTTTAGAGAAATTGGTGGAAAATTATTTTAGAGCTAATCTATTTGATTAAAGCTGATGAAAAGTGTAGTTAACTGATTTATGGGTCGAGAATACCAAGATGGTTTTATGTCCTTTTTTTTTTATAAATGTGTTTAATTTCTTTTCAAATGATACAGAAGCGGGATTTCGTTTTTCTTAATCATCTATTTTAATAAATGAGTATATTTTACTGTACGTGTTAGTGTTTCTCACGTCATAAAATACTAAAATAATAATTGATATAACTTTCTTTTTAGAGTTCCTTTTTGGTCCAGGAAAATTTACTTTTTTAATTTAACCGGTAGCTATGAAGTTTCTTAATTTAATTAACGCATTACGCATTTCGCTTAAATCTCATTTTTTGGACATATTAGAAAGTGTATTCTTTTAATTATTATAGTTGAAAAAACTTTAAGGATTGCTTTTATTTTTCTAGGTTTACAAGCTATTACATCCAAATAAAGGGAGAAAATAAATAAAAGTTAATCGTGATCTTTTTCCTATAGAAAAGAACGATCGGAAAATACTACAAGATCATATCCTGATTTAGAATGATCATTTACTCATTTTCTCCTTAATATAAATCATTTTGATTTTATCATAGTTTTTACCTGATATGCATTTTTAAATAAAAACAAAAATCTCAAAGATATATTTCCACATTCGTGATTGATCTCTTGATTGTTAAGAAATAATTTTAAAAATTTTATGAAAATTAAAAATGCGTACTAGATGGAACTTATGACCGGAGGGAGTAACGTTTTTGTACCCTTTTTTTCATTCACAATCGCAACAAAATTAAATAAGGAGTAGTAGTTCTTAATTCTTATATGTAACTGCGAAATTGGAACATGATTGGGGTTGGTTGAAATAGAAACTGTAAAATAGTACTGTAACTTTAAAGATTCGAATATTCGAGGGGCATATTTCAGTGATCTCATGGGAGGTAAGTAGTATTCTGGTAACGAGTAATTAAACAAATTTTTTTAAAAAACAAATCTTATAAATTCCGCTTATTTTCCCTTTATATCTCTTTCTTTTTTCCCCCTCGTTATTGACATTTCCTAGTTGTATGTTTATTTTTCGCATCAAAAAATTCAGCAGAATCAAAACATAAATATTTTCGCAGTTTTTGACTAGTCGCGGCTGATGAAGAAGTCGAGATAATTCTAGAGCTTTGATCTAAAAGTTGTAAGATGCCAGCCAAATGGAAGTGCGCCTCTTGTTTTGTTAGTCGTTATCGTTTGTTTCCTTTATGGATGCCCAGCATCAACCAAATTCACAAATAGTGGTGGTTTTTGAATACGGCTTTTTAGCCTACCTAAAAGTCCATTTGTCCCTCATAATGGAAAGAACAAAAAGGGGAAGACTATTAGAAATCAAAATAATGTACTAATTAAAATTTGTAACTAAAAATAAATAATGCTCTTGTTGATAATCAATATTTACTACTCCTTCTGTCTCACAAAAATATTCTAATTTAATAAATAATCTTCTCTCAAAAAAATAATTCAGTTTCAAAAAGTCAAAATAAAAAACATTCAAAATGATTGTAATGTCCTTGGTAGTAAAGCATTATTACACTAGGTAAGTCAATCAATTATCTCACCAAAAACAGTCCATCATTTATCATCACCCCCGATCAACACCATCACCTCCCCTGCTTCCATTACTCTTGATCATCTCCTTTCGCCGGCACCTCCTCCGCTTCAATTATCATGTCTTATCGCGGCTTTCAAAGCCCAATCTCATGTATATATCCCGTTCCCACACGTCTGTCACCTTTTTTTTCTTCTAATTAAACATCTCTAATTATCTTCGATCGAAGCGATTCGGACAAGATTTGAGATCTCGTCATCGGGTCTCCTTGGATATGATGGTTTTGTGGCCTCTTCTGTTCTAGTCGCCTTTAGCTACCACTCCGATTTGAGTTTTTGGCCAATCTGAAGTGCAAAGTCGGTACCGTTCAACTTTATTGGTGATCAAAAGGGAAAAATTGTTGATTGGTGCTGAATTTTGTGATTCATTTTGCAGTTTTGGTGGCTGGATTGGGTAGCAGTAGCGACAGTGATTTGATCTCAGGTGACACAAAAGTACAGAAGATGATTTCTTTTGATCTCCGGCGGATTGGGTACTGTTGGGATTTAGTCGGGATATAATTGGAAATTTTCAGACAAAAATTTGTTGTACCTTAATGAAATTGACTAAAATAAAAAAATTATATATTTTCAAATTGAACTATTTTTGTAAAACGGAAAAGGGAATACTATATATCTTCTTTCAGTACATCAATAAGGACATTATTCATCATCCAGAAATGTGAAGATAAAAATATTCGGTTCTTTAGATGATAGCATTTTTGTTTAAAAAATAAAAAGAAATTACTGAATAAAAAAACTAAAAGGTAAATGTAGAATAAAGTTTATAGGGACCAACGGGTTATCCATTAGAATTTTACAACTTTTTAAAACACAACCAACTGTCCAACTTTGATTTAATTTTTCCTTGCTGCTATTCTTTTCTTCTCCCCCTTCAATTTTTTCCCCCCTAATTGAAATGTTTGGTATCCCGTGAGCGTGTATGTGACTCGCGAAATGCGGATTTTATTTTTATTTTCTTTTTGTTTACCTCTCAGTTATGGATGTTAAAATTGTCGTGTTACCATTTCACCTCTCCTACGATTACGTAACGAACCAAGTAGTAAATAATACTCCCCCTGTCCTAAAATTATTGTCCAATTTGAAATTTTACTTTTAATATAATTTGAACTATAAATCAAAACTTAAATTGGACAATAATTATGGGACGGAGGGAGTAATTGCAATTTTCTTCGGTGCAGCCATGAAGACAAATTTGATCGAAATTATTCTACGGTGGGCCAATGCCAATCCGCTATTACGATTAGCACCACAGAAACAAAAAGGCCACAATAATTCCCATAGTTGACTCCTCCTTATAACCAAACATCTCTTTACCCAAATTCGTTGATCAATATTATATCCTCCATCATAATTGAATAACTTTCACTTGAAAACTCCATAGAATTTTTTTGTTTAATTTATAAAACTTGTATGCATGTAAAAATTAAATATTCCCTCTCGTATTTATTATAAAGTAATTTGATTTTTCATAATGTTTTTCTTTTTTTGTGTTTTTCCAATTAAAATGAGATTTTAAAACTAAGAGAATACTTATGAAATGCATCTCTAATAAGTACATGACCATACATCGCTATAGACTATAGAGGCTTGCTTATGTATAGGAGGAAACAAACGACGAAAACTGTCATGTTCTTGTAGAAAATAAAATAGTGGATTTTACCCCAAATAAATAAATAAAATAGTGGATTGTTGACTTTTACGCTTGACTAATGATCACAACTCACAAAAGTGAAACAAAGATACAAACACTAAAATTGACAAACATTTGATTCATAGGGTATAAAAAGATTTAATTGAATTAATTTATGTATGATTAGAGCTGAAATCATGAAATTAGAGTAGGGTGATTTTAATACGTCCCGTTATTGTAAAATTAAATAGTTAGTATTTGGTACTATATCGGATGCGTTACGGACTCAAATAAAAATCACAGAGCTTTGTATAGATGCAACAGCAAAAACCCCTTTATCCATGGATCTTTTGTTCGGAAATGGTTGGTGACATGGATGAGCAGTACGAAATGATTAAAAAACAAAAGCGATAAATAAAGAAACCAGACAAGCAATGGGGGGCAAAAAAAAGGGTTTGGATTGCTGGCTTGGCATCACGTTTTGACGTCAGATTGTAGTATTTGGGTGTTGGATTCCTGACATGCTGAATGGCGTCAAGATAGGGAAGCTGGAATCAGCCTGACACCAGGCGTCATTCCCTATGCAACATCTCACGTGGCCGTCTAAATAATACTCTAGTAACAAATAATATACTAGAAGATGGAAAAGCAAAAAAATAATAAAAAACAGAAATGCAGCCATGCAGGCAACATCCATGGCGTCGCCCGGACTCGAACCGGAGACCTTCAGTGTGTTAGACTGACGTGATAACCAACTACACCACGACACCTTCTTGTTTGGTAGTTTGGATTGTTGAAATAAAACTAAAGTATTTATTTTATCTGTCGTTCCCCTCCCAACTATAAATAAACTACTTAATTAATGCACTAGTTTGCATAAAATCGTAATGCTCAACATGGAATTTTTATTTATTTATTTTTTATTTTTACAAAAATAAAAAAAAAAAAGAAGGAAAGAAGAAGCATACAAATGCCATTTTATTCATCTGAGAGCTTGGTAAATAGGAGTAGTAAATTTTCTTCTTTTAAAAATTTGGGCTTTGAAAATGAAAAGCCTACCATGAAAAACGGACTTTATTTGATTTGGTAATAATCTACTACTGCATTGGTTATGCAGCTTATGAACATGGTCCATCAATTTCCCTGATGTAAACATTTTTCAACCATGAAAAATCTTATGTCGAGCAAACAATTCAGCATCTCATTGATTTTGGTTCACAAAACAGTTCCTACTTTCTTGGAAGTCTTTCAAGATTATTGCTTTAAATAGTGATCCAAATCAACATTTAAACCATATCTTTTGTTTCTTGATTGAATTAAGAAGAGTAAGGTAGAAAATAAAATTGCGCTCTTTCCTCTTTATTCTTGGAGCAGCAAGGACTAAAGAGGAAAGCACCCTTTGTTTTTTCTTCATCATCATCTGGCATCCCCTTTTGCAGCTCTAGCAACCAACAATGGCTGGATATTCAAGATGGATTAAGCCCGAGGTAATAATTAATCATTAACATTGCATTTCCTAAAAGCTTTCATGACCTATCAGAAACGGTAGTTACCTTTGTGATGACAATCAGGATCATATGTCACGACGTATTTGATATGAAATTGTACAAAATTTTCTGTATCAAAATGATAGGATATCAATCAATTATATGGAATGATGAGTCTGAAAAGATAATGAGAATCCAAACAAAATGGTGTTGCCGTTTATGATTATGAATGTATACAATTTTTTTAATTTTTTTTTGGGGTAACAAATTACAACCTGAAGTTAGATACCGCAAAATTAATGAGTTGCTGATTTGTTAATAAAAATAAAACAGGTATATCCACTCCTAGCACCAGTTGGTGCAGTTGTTGGTCTAATGGCAATGCAACTTGTGAGGAACGTCTACACAAACCCTGAAGTCAGGTAAGAAGAATATTGTCACTTGTAATGGTGGTAACCCTTTTGATTTTATGCTACTTTCGACATGACAAAGAGAAAATGTGCATTACAAGAATATAAAATGATGATGTAAAATGAAAAGGGGACATTTTGATTCTATTATATGAGTCCTAATAATGATGATGATGTAATTTGAATCTTCAGGGTTACAAAGCAGAACAGAGCTGCAGGGGTGCTGGAGAATTTTGAAGAGGGAGAGAGGTATTCGCAACATTTTGTAAGACGATTTGTAAGAGGGAAGAGGCCCGAGGTTATGCCTAACATCAACAAGTTCTTCTCTGATCCTGAATGATCATCATCAAAACCAACCACACTGCTATTTTTTTTTTTCTTTTTTAGATTTTTGAGAGTTCATTCACCTATGTTGTTGTAGCCGATCAGATGATGTCTTTTGATGTTTTGTTGTTTCTCTGAATCATTTTCTGTTCCAAATCTAATAAATTTTGTTCCTGCAAAATCATTCCCCCCCCCCGGATCAACGCTTTACAAATAATTAGAATTTTGTTTATTGTAGTCATGTTTCAGTTTAACTACTAGAAAATGGCTACTTCTTTTGGAATGGGTAGTAGTAATTAGAAGCGATAGATAACAGTGATTCTTCATCACCAACTACATTATGGCATTCGCATGATTGAATCCAATCCCAAGTAATTGGCTATCCAAGAAAAGGAACCATTCGGCCTTAACAGACAATTACAAGATTAGACAACTATCTGTCAAACTTTCCTGCTTGCTACTTTTAACCTTTTTTTTTTTAATTTTTCTTTTTTACAAAGAAGGAATCAAAAGCCTAAAAGTGTCTAGCTCAAAATAAGACGTTGGTATGAAATACCAACTACATCATGATATAACCAAGGTTTTATGGTCGAAGAACCATAAAACACAACCCGGTGTTGAAGTGGCGAAACTTGCACATGGTTCAACTCCACCTTCCACATCCTCGTCATTAGGTCTCTGATTGCGATAACCAAGCCTCTGTGTATCCCCAACGGTTGCTCCTGTCCATCCACCATTTGGTCATACACTACGAACTTTTTAAAATTAGCACCTTAAAAACGTATATAATCTAGAATTTCTGATCCAACATTAGGATCGGATTAAGAGTGTAGGATCACCGGTTAAAATGCAGTCTCCCTTCTGCTTTGTTTCAGTTCTACTTTTTGGCTTGAAAATTCTGAAAATCAACCCGGAAATAATGAGCTACCTTTTCTTGAGGGGAAAATAGGCTCAATTTGTAACCTATTCCAGCGTTGGTTTTTTGGAGCAAACTATTATTAATGTGGCTAAATCCACTGCCTAAAATAGGGGCACTTGGAGAAACTACAACTTACAGCCCTGATGGTAATTACTATTTACTAGTAGTAGTTCTTCATCACAAGAATAAAAATATCATCGTTTACGAGTGTTCTTAACATATGAGTTCCCTAAGAACGAAACTGAAATTAATCTCATTTTGTACAATACGACGTACGTGTGATATTTTTGAAACTAAATTCTAGACCATGATTGAAACTACTAATACGTGGTTAAACTAGCAATTAACTGTTGGACGTAAGATGGGATTAGCGTTTGACTGGGACACACACAGTGAAAGTGTGTGGTGTGTGTTCACTGTGTTGTTAAAAGGGGAACCATATTTGTCATCAAAGGTCTATATATGTCCTTAAGACGAGGAAGACAATGATGATCTTCTCAAGAATTCCCCAACCAAATTTGAAAATGCAGAAGATTTATCCTCTAGTAACCGAGCTGGACTGTCAAATTCCACAACTTTGCCTGCATCACATGAAAAATCATGCGTTAGAATTCAGTTAAAAATTTGAAGTACTACATGTTAGTAAAATGTTGTTGTCAAAAACTTGAATTACCTTCTCCAAGAACCAAAACAAGGTCATTGTCGATGACTGTGGGAATCCTATGTGCAACACTAAGTACGGTACACTTGTTAGTTTCTGCCCTAATGGTCTTTTGGATTATGTTATCTGTTACTGTATCAACCGAAGCTGTGGCTTCATCTAGTACTAGTATCCTTCTCTTTTGTAACAATGCCCTTGCTAGGCACACTAGCTGCCTTTGTCCAACACTCCAGTTCTCTCCATCTTCTGCCACTGTAGCGATGACCAGAGGAAAGGGAAACAAATGTTTAGTTGGCGAATATCCTTGAAAGTTAAGATTTTTCTTGTTCATGAAGGATGTGCATATCATACCTGGTGTGTCAAGAGACCTTTTGTCACGCTTAACTATATCGGCTAGATGGCATTTGTGCAAAACCTGATGAAGAAAGATCATTATGATGGTGGAACATTCAGAACAAACCTTATGCTTCCGAAAACTTGTAACATTTGGGTATGAAACTTTATAGTTTGATTTTAAGGATCATATGTGCTTATAGAGGTTGTGCATGATCTTATCATAGAGCCTATACATTTATATACAGAATATGACACACGATTTGTAGCTCATTTGTTTCTATCATACATGAAAAATAAATAAATAAATAAAAAAAGAAAAACTGTACGCTCGGTCAATTACCTCCCAAATTTCTGGATCAGAACACTGCTGCAATGGATCAAGATTGCTCCTGATGGTTCCTTGGAACAATGTTGGATCTTGTGGAATAATGCTCAATTTGGACCTCAGATCTTGCAATCCTATTCCTGAAATATCGATCCCATCTATCAGAATCTGTCCCTCTAATGGCTCCACGACCCTGAATAGAGCCTGGATCAATGTAGATTTTCCACTGCCTGTTCTTCCCACAATGCCAATCTTCTTTTCAGCAGGAAAAGTGCAAGTGATTCCTTTCAAGACTCGTGGAAGATTAGGCCGGTATTGCACATGGAGATCTTTTATTTCGATTTTTCCATGGTTTGGCCACTCAGGATCTGGACTGCCTTTCTGTATGACTAATGGTGCTTCACTTTTAATGTTCGTAAACTGAAGAATTCTCTCCACACTGATCATTTTGTTCTCAACATTGCACAGATTCCATATGACCCAAGCTTGGAGTACATTCAGGTTTAGACCATAAGCCGCAGCCAATCCTGCCAAGCCTGTTTGCCAGGAATAGGATAACTTGAATAAATATGTTTATGTTTAAAAAGAAAAAAAAGTTCTGTGGTCCAGTCAGAGACCGATTTTTTAAAAAATGTTTTTTTAAAACTCTCTCTGTAACTTAAACAGATGGAAGAAAAATGACTATATGTTTGGAGAACACTGAAGAGAGTGTGAATGAAGGGCAGGTATATATAACTACTTACTCGGATCAAACTCTGAACGAGGAATGTTGACCAATATGACAAGGAGAAGGAAGAAGACTAGGTTGAAGAGAAAGTTAATTCTGACACAAAGCCACTCCATTGTTGCTGAGTTGTAAAAGGCAACATGAGAGTAGTCATCAATGAGTTCCAAATTCTTTTCCATGAAGCGAAACTCTTGATTGAAGCAACGAATTGTTGCTGCGCCAGAAACAGATTCAGACGAGTGATGCAGAATTGGAGCTTTCTGAACGCCTACCATCCTTGCAAGTTCTCGGGCCGTGGTAATGTAATAAGCCTTAAAAACATAAACACAATGCCATCAGTTTTTGCCTCAACTGACACTAGGTAAGAGTTATCGCGAGCACAAAATGGCTTCTACAGCTAATCTTTGTCAATTCAACAAAAAAACCCTTCATGAACTGCAGCTTAAAATTCATTTTCCAAGGACAATATTGTTTGACTGGTGAAAGTTAGCTTGATTAAGAAGTATGTTTTTACCTGATACCATATAGAAATGGCAAGGATGATGAGGAAAAGGAAAAAGACTGGCCAAGCAACCTTCGACATGAGAAAAATAATGCTCAAAAGTTGGATAAGTGCAAATGCTAATCCAGCTACTCTGTACGGAATGTCAGTATCCACTGTGCTTTGATCTGTAGAAGACTGTCAGAACCAACGAAGAAATGAAAACTATTCAGAAATTCGAGGAACACTTTATAAAAGATGATGCTAGAAAGCAGAGATAAGCAAAATGATTAGCACAGTTACCCGACTAAGAATTCTGCTGGAATGCGTATCGTCAAAGAATGACAAGGGAGCACGAAAAACCGAATTGATCATGCCAAGGAAGAGGCGATGGCCGGTCTCAATTGCAATGGTTGATAATAGCAAAGCCCTTCCTAAGACAAAGAATGAGCTTCCAGCTGACAAAAGAGCGAAGATGCAAATCAATTGCTTGTTGCTGACCCGGCCTTGTTCGTATGTTCCCCAAGCGAGCCAGTAGTTACTCGCCATCTGCAGCCCTTGGAACAGAATGTGACATATAAGCATAACAGGAACAAGTGATCCTCCATATGCTGAAGTGATTAAGGTAGAATAAACATGCCATTTAACCCGGCCTGTTTCTGTTTGTTCTTGCTGAGCTTTCTTCAAAATCGTCAGCCTGGAATCATTAGGCACAGTGAATTCCCTTAAGATTCCTTCATGAGAGTGTCCTTTTTTATTTTCGCAGGAGAAGGTGTGGCCTTTGACCGGGCAGCTGGTTACTTGATCCAGTGTTTTGTTGTGACCTGCCACTAGCCGAATCAGTTCACCTTCTGGATCAGTCATTAACTCTGTATACTTCCCTGATTGGACTACCCTACCTTCTTTTACCACCTGAATTCATATCAATCTGTAAGAACAATAACTGTTTTCTGCTAAACATAGATCTTACATTATCTTTGGCATAAATAGAACGATAAACATTTTCTGGTTTTTACTGATTACTAGTGCAAAATGAAGAAGATAAACATTGTGCAAAGTGTTTGTGTTAATTGAAATACCAAGACTCAACATGATACACCTATTCTATCTGCTTAGAAAATTTGCACAGACAGTTATAGAAACTTACCAGAACAAGGTCGGCTTCATCCAGAAATTCTAGTTGATGAGTGACATATATCACAGTCTTACCATTCAAAAGTTTCATCAAGCATTCCTGCAAGAGGATATTTTGAAAAAAAGTTGGAAGAACTTTTCCCAGTTATCTATTTTACAACAAATTAGCAAAAAATGGGGATTTGATGGCAATTCAAACCTTGAATATGTGATTTCCAGTCTCTGCATCAACTGCACTGAATGGATCATCAAGTAAAAGTATATCGGAGTCGCTGTAAATTGCTCTTGCCAACTGAATTCTCTGCTTCTGTCCTCCACTTAGATTTAACCCTCTTTCACCAACTATAGTCAAATCTCCATCAGCCCAGTTCTCAACATCACGGTCCAATGCGCATCCCCTTAAAACATCCTCATAATACCCGGCCTGATTCTGATTCATTTTCTTTCCAAATAACACATTGTCCCTGATTGTGCCTGTTTGAATCCAAGCACTTTGAGGCACAAAGGCTTTGGTTCCGTTTATCTTGATCCCTGAAAAACCAGAAGTCTTTTGAATCTCTCCAAGTATACTGTACAGTAAGCTTGACTTACCAGATCCAACAGAACCACAAATAGCAACCTTGTAGCCTTTCTTAATCCTGATTTCATTACTGATCTTTATACTAGGCTTATTTGTATCATTAATTGTGCCCCAAGAATATTCCCCTGGTTTGATTTCTACTGCAAATTCGGATAAACCATCCTCAACTCCTGGATGAGAAGAAATCTGCTTCTTTTGCTGATTGTCATCAACGACAAACTTTTCAAGTCTATGAACAGAAACTTGTGTTTGAGCAATAACTGAGAAGAGCTCGGGCAAATTGTAGATTGGATCTTGCAAGATTCTGAAAGTTGCCAGAGCTGATAGAACAGTGCCTGATGTTAATGGCGTTTGCAAAGCTATACACACTCCAAATGTCACGACAGAAATCAAAGTTGGTGAAGCCCAGAAGAGAAAAGCCACAGCTGAACAAGTGTAAAGATACTTCCTGATCCAGCATTTCTCAGTTTCTCTAAGCTGGATGAGCCTATTCAGAAAAGCATCTTCCCACGAATGAAGTTTCAGGACTTTCATGCTTTTCAACATTTCTGAAATGGCTTTGATTCTCGAGTCCCTTGCCTCCATTATGTTTGCATGAAGCTTTTCTTGCCTTTTCGCTAATGGGGTGTTGCTTATCATAACTAGAATTGTAGTGAAAAGTGCGGCAAATGAAGGCGCAAACCCGAGGTTCCGGTACAAGATGATCAAAGCAAAGGTTACCTGAATTGGAAGCAACCAAATCCCATGAATGTGCCAAAAGAACTCCCCAGTCCTTTCAACATCTACATTGATTAAGTTGATGACTTTACCACAGCTTAACCCACTGTACTTGATTTCCAAAGATTTCTTGTATATCAGCGCCAGAAGAGCTGCCTTGACTCTTATACCAATTCTACGAGCACCAAAATACCATTGTCTTTGAGACAATGATTCCACTGTCTTTGCAAAAAACATTATGAATGCAAGATAAAGTCCCTGCTGCCAGTTCATAACATCATCAACATCATTTCGCGAAAGGAAGTTCACAAAGCTTGTGATTAATAATGGACCTACATATGAAGCAAGTGTATTGATTCCTGAAAAAAACACCAAAACAGTGTCCATGTAAGAAATCTAATCAAACCTTGATTAAACAGTATTGTACCCCAAGTATAAGTTTATACATGTTTGAATTGAAGTATGGAGTCTAACCTGCAAAAGTGGCATTTATAGCAAGAGGCCTCCATATTGTGTGAAAAATGGCATTCAACAAACAAATCTGTTCGTTCTTTTGTCTTCTTCTAAGGGACTCCTCCACTGAAGTAAAAGCTTCATAAGCAGTATCAGGCTGTGGGATTGCAGGTACATCTTCAAATTGAAGCTTCCTTAAGTGCCCTATTTCAAAGAGAGGATTCAGCCACATGAATGATAATTTGCTCCAAAAACCAGCACCCGAATAGGCGTCCAATTGAGGCTGTTTTTCTTCAAGAAGAGGCTGTTCATTATCCATCTGTTGCTTTTCAGAATTTTCAGGCCAAAAAGCAGTACTGAAACATAGCAGAAGGGAGGATATGAAAGCGACAAAATCAGCCACATTACAATTTGAAAGAAAAGCTGGGATTTTTCCTTCTTCCAAGAAGTTGAACTTTCTGAGGAAGTAAATGGAGACAAGAACTGTATCAAAGATGGCTGAGAAAAGCCACCAGATAATGAGCACCAATGGCCACCTTTTGCCTCCATTGGATGAATGAACAGAAACAGAAGAGGCCATCAGCCATGTGAAACATGTGAAGAGGACAGGATCAAGGCTGAAGACTGAACTCCAATTCAGCCTTTTCAGCTTCCATAAATGGTAAAACCAGTAACCCAAATAACAAAACCCGACAATGAAGTTCAATATAACAGTGATAACCTTTCTGCTGAAACAACACTTTCTGGATGACTCTTTCTTTCCTCTGAGTAATAATTCTTCTCCGTTTCCTTCATTGCTCCTCAACTTTTGAATAATTCCCATTAAAAGACAAATCGAAAGCACAAAGAGGAAAACCACATTGATCATCATCTTCACAGCAAATTCCTTGAAGAACTCCATCTTTTTTGAAACCTAAATATCCCACCAAAAAAAAAAAAAACAGAGTCAACAAAGCATAAAAAAGCAGTCTTTCTCGGTGTACAACAACATGCAGTGGCAAAACCTAATTGATAAAATCACATCAGGCGCCACCATCATTGAATTTTCAAAAGAAGCCCATGCACCAAACTCGGCAAAAAAGTTTCAATACTTTTAACAGTACCTATTATGTGTAAATTGTACTAGTATATAAATACAAAGAAATTGCAGGTACAAAGAATGGAAAAAACTCACGTGGCCCCTTGATTGGAATCTGGACAGTGAGTCATATAAGAATACACATTACACATATATTAAATCAAATTTTTGTTTGTAACTAAAAGGGACAGCAGTACCTCAAAAATTCTTGTCTAACAATTATCCCAAGATCTGATTCTCAAAATTAAAGTTAAATTAGAGACATTCTTGTCAACACTAGTATACGGTGTGATACGTTTCCTCGTATGTTTTTGTCATCAAGGGATTTTGGTGAGATTCTTCGTGATTCGTTTTATAGTCATTCTTTCCAAACTCAGAACGGAAAGAGCGAAAAAGAAGGACCCTAAAAGTAAAAAAAGACCAAAAGAAAAGGAAATTAAAGAAACTCGGGTAGCACTAGTATTACTAACTACTACTGCACTAGTGTTACTAACTAATAAAAAGAATATATATATATGTTACATGCATGTCTTCATTCATCCTTTTGTTTTTTGCTTTTTAGTGCACAAAGAATTATACGGAACTGAACAGTACTAATGTTTTGGACCAGAAATTCATGGCTGTTATAAATTGGGAATTGCATATAAATAATTATTAGTACTAGTACTCATGATTAATGAAAAAAAGAAATTCTTGTTTTCATTAATCTAAGATATTCTCTTCGACCATGATTAAGTGAGATAAAGAGACCGTGAATACTGAATACTACTCACTCCATTCCAAAATAAGTGTCGTTTTAGCAAAATAGAGAAATTCCAAAATAAGTGTCGTTCTCACATTTCAATGCACTTTTTGTCAGAAGTTTCCAAAATTACCCTCAAAAGAGTTGATGCTATTGGTGGACAATTTTATAATGGGGTTGGTTGAGGATATTCAAGTAATTTTATTACCCTATTTAAGAGTTTCCTAAACTATGTGCAAAGTGTAGGACGACACTTATTTTGGAATGGAGGGAGTACTATTCAAATTGGGCATTTTTTTTATTTTTTTTTCTTTTAAAAAAATAATTCAGTGGCTTACATTTAAGATATTGGTTTGGTAATTTTTTCAAAAAAAAAAAAAACTTCTTATTATAAGATTTTCTTTCTTGGTATTATTAATTATAAAAAGTCCTTTTCAATCATCAATTATACACAAAATCATAGGATTCTTTTTCACATCAAACCCTATTCCCTTTCGGGTTTTTTTTTTTTTGTGTGTGTGTGTTTTGCACGCACTCCACCAATAGTAATAATTGTAGAAATATTAGGGCCACTCTTTCAGTTCATAGTAATCGCTTACCCTTCTTAGTGATGGCTTCAATAAAAGTATTCACGCTAATGTGTCTCATAAATATAGAAAGAATTTGTTTGCTTGCGCAATCAAATAATAGATGAAAGGGGGCAAGATTCTTTCGATTTCTCAATATTTCCTTTTTGCAGTGAAGGAAAATTATTGGTAGTAGTAAAATTGAATCGAATAAATTTCCGTATTCTATATAATAATAATAAATAAATGCTACAAATATTATTAGACAAATTTGCAAAATTAATTATAGGAACTCAGAACAGAACAATATGTATTTAAATAATTTCAATCACTCTGATTTATTTAGTAGCGGTATTTCTTCATCCCAATAATAAGGATTATCACAGCAAGCAAAAAAAATAAAATTAAAAAAAAATCATCATTTACATCTGTCAAGATATTAGTTTTTTAAGCAACGAACAATTGTCAAAGAGAATTTGAGTTTGGAAATATTTTTTTTTGAAAAAAAAACATTCGTACGCTGTCCTTATGGAGTGTTCAATAGCAAATCAGCAAAAAAACGAGAGTAATACGTATATTATCGTTTTATGAAAGATGACGTGCGTGTGATTCTTAGAAACTACTTCCTCCGTCCCATAATTATTGTCTAGTTTGGGTTTTCATTTTTAGTTCAAATTGTACTAAAAATGAAATTTAAAACTAGACAATAATTTTAGGAGAGAGGGAGTAATAAATTTCCAAATGAAATGAATGAAAAATACTTGCGTGGTTAAACCACGTCATCAGCGAGCGATAATCAGACTAAACCTAACAATTAAGTGTCCGACGTAAGATGGGGATTAGCGTTTGACTGATGTTAACGGGACGGAGGACGGCGTGTGGGTTGCCCCGTTTCCAGAAGCGGGGGCGTGTGTTAACCAAACGGGATACACACAGTAGAAATGTGTGGTGCGTGTTGTGAATTGCACGTGATGAAAAAGTTGAGCCTGGATTAGTTTAAACTTTAACCCCTTTTGGCTTTTGTCGTCAAGGTCCCTGGTCCAGAATCTATTACTGACTCCTACTACTCTTTCTGGTCCAGGTATATCAGAAATTGTGTTATTGGACTTCATGTGATTGTCACTCCCTTAAGAGTGCTTTTAGGGTTTTTTTTTTTTTTGAAAATGATACTTATATTCATTGGAAGTATCTATGCTATTGTATTTCATTCGGGCATAAGCTATATTATGTTGATTATTCACCTCCAATCCACTAACTTTAATTAGACAACAGACACTAAAAATATGAAATTAACACTCTAAAAACTGTATTAACCACTTAGCCTTCACAGGAAAGTGAGTCAAGAAACACGATCATATGTCTTGCTCATGTCAAGCTTAATATGAGTCAGGCCTTGGTTACCATCTTTTTTTTTTTATGTATTCAATCACTTCATGTATCAGAAAAATGTTCTCAGTAATATTCTTATCAGGGACAAAACCATTTTGATATTCATCAATTATGTCTGGCGTAACAGTTTTCAATCTCTCCCTCCCTCCCTCCCTCTCTCTCTGTCTAACATGATTTATCTTTCTCCTATTTCAATACAAACTCAAGAAAGTTTTATACAACACGGACGACTCTCTAACAAATTACTTAGTCCAATGAGATTATACGATACAATAGTAATTTACTATTGTAACGTCGGATCAATCCATGCATAAATCTAGATATAATTATCGTTCCAATTGTCCCTCCAGAAAATGAAAAAAATTAGTATACCTATCTACGAGATTGATAATCAACGACAAACTTGACAAGATGAGAATGGTTTCGTTATCTACATCACTTGATTGAAGCAAGTAGTGAAACATTGCTTCGTTGTTTGTCCCCATCAATAATTTTTGGGTCACAGTTAACGATTGGAAATCTTTGCTACGTAATACCACTAGACCTATTAAACTATCCTACATGAATTTTATTTATACTTACTCCGTCCTATAATTATTGTCCAATTTGAGTTTTAATTTTAGTTCAAATTATACTAAAAGCGAAATCTCAAATAGGACAACAATTTTGGGACAGAGTGAGTATTATTTTTCAATTTCAAAATAAGAGTTTTATTTGTTGTATTAATAATATAATTGAGTAATTGACCAAAGATGCCTCGCATTTGAGACAAATAGTATTCGCGTCTCACTATTCACGTTATATGAACCTTTGGGCTTGATCTTTTATCGAATATACATTGATCTTTATTCATTTCCATTTTTTTTTTGTTTATTTCCACTTTTTTGTTTAAAGGGAAAAAACCCCCCTTTTTAGTCACTAGTGACTAGTGTTCGAATCACAAATTAGCATTACATTATGCGGAAATATTTGTTCTTATCACTTGATTATTATACAAGTTGCTTTAGCTTACCACAATTCCTAGAGTGGTAACTAGTGTTTCATGCCTTTTCTGTAGTGTTGCACTCACGATTAATGTAACATTATCGTTCATCACCAAAACAAAACAATTATGAATTTCTAGATCATCATGCATAAAAATTTCAAAACTAATTAATTAATTGAACAACTAGGCTAGCAAAGGCTGTGGAGTAGGTTTTTTTTTTTTTTTTAAGCTGTGGAGTAGTTAAAGTGCCTAAATATACAGTTAAAAATATGAATAGGCTAGCAAAGACTTCCTTGGAAATGAGAAGAACTGTGAGTTAGGATTGGGATCCCGTATGGTGTTTACGACTGGCCAAGAAAAGGAAAATACATCTCACGTAGAGAGAAAGCGATGAGCTTGAATCTTGGGGCAAAGGTTCAGTCTAAAACCCGTTAGTTATACCGCCAAAATGTGGTCTTGATCCCCAGAAACACCAAGCAGTTTATGTAATCGACTGTTCTAATGAACTAGAAAAATTTGACAGGCGGCCAACTTCTTTCGATTCAGGTGATGATGATATGGTTGAGGCTACTCAAACGGATCGATGACTTATTTTTTTATTGGAAGAGCCGCCAGATATGGGTGATTTAGAAGGAGAAAATGACGATATATTTGAGTATGTAACTTTAGGCTTTCGGGTCTTGAGTAACCTCTAACAATTTTTATCATTTTCTTTTAATGCACCTAAAGTCATAAATATCATCCAGTATTGTCTTCAGAGAGATGAATTTCGTAGTAAATCTGCGTCATGGGAACCAACATCCCAAGGGAGTTCTGATGTTCGGCTTCTCCTTTTTTGGTGTTGAGTCGCGGCTGGAGTAAGATGTAATTAGTGAAATTCTCTTGTTACGTGTTTTGTTTTGAATTTAGGCTTTTGCCTCCTTTATTGTGTAAAAAAAAAAAAAAAAAAGACTTCCTCGGATATGTACAATTTTAGCTTGTTATTATGAATAAATTTTAAAGCTGATTTTCCACACATAAAAAAAATAAAATAAAAAAATCCTCTAGGCAATAGTTCTCTGTCTCATACCAAGTTTATGGCGGCTCAATCAATTGACCAACTACGTTAGGCTTTAGGGTCAAGTAGTATAAGTACTACGAATCTCCGGAAATTTCAACCCAATGTCAGCTTCTCCGAAGCAACCCCAATAAATGCTGAAATATTACCAATCAATCTCATGCATGAAAATGAAAGGGGTGGCAAAATTTTTAGAAAAATTGAACTGAATAAATTCTGTGTAACTAAAACGTGAGCTAAATGAAGCAATATATGAGAACATAATGTCGACATTATTTCGTTGGCTGAGCCGAAAAATGGTTGGAATACGTTGGAAGAATCTCCAAACATTTTGGGAATTCATCTTGTCGATATATATATATACTAGTGATGTCTGGTCGCGCAATGCGCGACCCTGGCCCAGTCTATCTGTAGATCTTAGAAATATTTATATTTGAAAAAAAATAAAATTTTGTATTTGTAGCGATATATTTTAGAAATGTTTGAAGGATTTAGAAATGTTTTATAAGTGTGATCATAGAAATATTTGTATTTCACACACACAAAAAAAAAGAAATTGTATTTCGCCATGTATGTTTTAGAAACGTTTTATAAGTGTTACTTATTAAATATAAATAGCCTTAATCGAATAAATGTGTTGAAGTAAATGTTAAATAAAATGTAAAAGCATCCTAATAAATTTAAATATAAGTAAGATGATTTATTGATGTTCTCCATTGGTCGTGCCAAATCAATACTTAGTTTTGGAGATTTTTAATAGTTTTGTAATAAGCTTCATCCGAAGGGTATACGCTTAAAACAAAGTTGACACTTTGTAACAAAAACCTAATTCATCAATTCAATTTAAAAAACTACTCTAGTTGAATGAAACATAAAGAAAAAATAAAATAAAAAAACGTGTCACGTAAAGTGGAAAGGGAAATTTAGTAATTTAGTTATGGTTAGACAAAAGGGCAATTTAGTACTTTCTATATGCCACGTGGCAATCATATGAGGTGTTTGAAAGGGAGGTTTTTGTGGAAAAGGAAATTTAGTAATTTAGTTATGGTTAGACAAAAGGGCAATTTAGTACTTTCTACATGCCACGTGGCAATCATATGAGGTGTTTGAAAGAGAGGTTTTTGTTTCTAATATAGTAGGATATGGAGACCAAAATAATTGATTGGCTAGCTGTTATAGACTTATATAATTAAGATAAGGGTTTTTTCTTGGTATATAATAATACAGGAAAGAAAAAATCTTATCCTATATACATACTCTTTACAAAACAAATAGTTCACATCATACATAAAAAATTATATTCTCCCCTATTGAAATGATTGTTTAGTTTGGGATTTCAGTTTTAGTACAAATTATACTAATAAAAATAAAAATGCAACAATAATTTTGAGAAAGAAAGAGTACTATTAATTTTTATACTCCCTCTGTCCCATAATTATTGTCCAGTTTGGATTTTCATTTTAGTTCAAATTGTACTAAAAGTAAAATCTCAAACTGGACAATAATTTTGGGACAGAGGGAGTACAATTCATGATTCATAGTGTGGACTAGTTTTTTTCTTTTTTTTTGGAGAGGGGCAGATGGGATATATATAATATAAAAAAAAAAATAAAAGCCAAACCTAAATAAATTGTAATGAACGTTCTTGCATGAAAATTAAAACTGTTCAACGTTAAGAAAGTAAGCGGCTCAAATCATTACATTAATCAATCCCTCAGTTAGTCTTTCATGGGGTTAAAGGTAATAATGAACTTATGAATAGCAAAATGATTAGAAAATGACAGACGGTAACATAATGTAGAAAAATATTCATCCTTGAATGCTCATGTTGAGAGATTTAAAAAATATATATATATATATAGGAGTAAATGTAGAATGATTAATAATTTGTGTGAACACAAAAATTAAAACCGGATGCAGCTGAAATGTGAATTTTCTCTTTTATTAGGTACCCCAAAAGCATTTTGGTGCCAATTTTTGTTCTTTGTCTATTATCTAATCACAAATTTTACCAGTATGAATTTTTGTCACCAAACAAGAAGAGAGATTTGTTGGGCCATACGTGGGATTAAGATAATACTACTTTCGCAAGCAATTGTTCGAAAAATGGGCCACTCTACCAGGCTCTCAACATAATGGCCCAATATACCCCATCCCATATTCTTAACCGTTGAAATCCGACCGTTGAACCATCATCATCGCCCCTCAATGGAAACAAAAACCACCCAAATATGAAAATTAGCCGTTGAGTGCTCCATTGTTCTTCTTCAAATTCCTCAAATCCCTAACTCAATCCCTCTCTCTCTCTCTCTCTTTCTCGTCGTACAATTAGCTTAAGATTTGATTAGCATACTTTGAGAAACCCTGTTTGTTTTCACGCTTCGCAAATTGACCAGAAATTCAGTCTGATTGTTGTTTTGGGGGTTTTTCTTGGAAGAAGGGCATTTTCGAAACTTCGAACTTTTTTGAATCCGATTCCGAGTAATGGCTTCAAGAACAGCCACTAAAGACATCATCACACTCCGCGGGTCAGCCGCCATAGTCAGTGAATTCTTCGGTAATGTTCGAAAAAGTCTTGTTCATTTTTTCATTTTGTTTGATTGAATTCGATCCAATTAGGGTTTTGAATGTGGATCGGTTTCTGATTTGTTGATTTCTTTTGGAATCCCCTTTTCAGGTTATGCTGCAAACAGGTAAAATTCATTAAAGATGAAGTCTTCGTTTGTATTCTTCAGTTTCCGTTTTTCTGTAATTCTTTTGGGTCCTAATTGTTTTTTTATTTGATGATAAAATTTGATCTTGAATTTTGGGTGTAGTATTTTGTACAATCGAGGTGTATATCCTGAAGAGAGTTTTGCAAAGGTGAAGAAATACGGGCTCCCAATGTTGCTTACTCAAGATGAAGGTGTCAAAGGGTTTATTTCAAACTTAAATTCCCAGCTTTCAGGTAATTTTTGTTTTGGGATCTTCATTTTAAAATCTGCTGCATTCTCCGCATTTTGTTTAGAGTGCTTACTCATGTTGTTATCTCATTCAAACAGAGTGGCTGGAAGCTGGGAAATTGCAGAGGGTTGTTCTTGTGATCATGAGCAAGGCAACTGGTGAGGTCCTTGAGAGATGGAATTTCAGCATTGAAACAGATAACGAAGTGGTTGAGAAAGGGTACATCTTTTTAACCATGTCAAATTACTTGAAGGATTTTAGGATCCCATGGAAAGAAGTGTAAATGTTGTTAGTTTTTGTTGTAACAGTGTTTCCCGGGAGAAGAGCGATAAGGAAATCATGAGGGAAATTCAAGCTATCATGAGACAGATAGCATCCAGCATCACTTATTTGCCTTGCCTAGATGAACCCTGTAAGTGAATCTTCCTTTGGTTTTCTTGTTGAAAGTATTTTTCTTCCTTTGGACATTTCTGATGGTAAATATACAACACTACAGGTGTGTTTGATGTATTAGCTTATACTGATAAAGATGTGGCAGTCCCATTTACTTGGATCGAGAGTGACCCGAAACTGATTGCAAATCCACAGATGGTAAAGCTGCATTCGTTTGACACCAAGGTACCCTACTATATTCAGCTCTTCCTACTTGTTAGATTTCTAAAATGTTGCTATTTTGCTCTCCAAATTGATTATTGAGAGCTAATATATCTCTGTATGATGTTGATGATCAGATACACAAGGTTGATACTCTGGTGTCTTACAAGTATGACGATGAAGATGAATGATGAAGCCATGTATGAATAGGCCAGGCATGCGTACAACTTTTTCCAACTTTGTGTTGTAATTTTGGTTCTGGTTTCTTTTGTCAATGATGAATGGATCATTGATTTTATCGTGTGTTATACAACACACTCTTGGTTAACAATGCATTAATATGTACTTCTACTTTATCTTGAAGGAAAAAGCCTTTTTATGTGACTCTTTTTGGTTGTATGGTCTCCCTTTGTTTTGTATCTGGCACTTCTATAAATGGCAATATTATCAGATTTCTTGCAGCCTTTCAATTTTACGAAATAACCTTTATAATATAGCCCTTATGTTTTAAGCAAAACCAAAACAGAATCTAGAAGTCGTCCATGATTTTAATGAGGCCATGGAACATAATTGTCTGTGGCGCACATTTGTTTAGAGTAACTGTACCAAATCAAGCTTTATTTATTATGTGGTTCATCATAACATGTGACAAAATCAAAGATGAATGGAGGGACTGAATAATAGCATTTTTCCTCAACCATTGAATAATCGGTTAAGGAACAACATTCAGTTAAGGATTAAGACATTAAAAACCATATACATCTGTTTTCTTCCCTCTTTCTTCTTCAAATATCAAGTTGCGTGTTGAATTGAATTGAAGAAGAAGAAGGGAAGAACAAAATGGACATATACAATTCCGGGGGACTGTCTTGGGCTGATCAATGGGACCGTGAGCCATTGCCACCTGCATCAGATAATGAGAATGACAAAAAGAAGAAAGGGGAAAATGGGAAGAACAACAACCTCGGGAAGAAGATTTTGACCCTCAGCTGGATTAAGAACATTGGCAAGAAATCCCAGAAATAGCAGCCACTCACTCAATAGAATATGGAAATAACATTGATGTGTCTGATTTGTTATAGGAGAAAAACAATGTGATTTATTTGATGAGAATGTATAAGGACTATGCCCATTACCATCTCTCTTGATTTTTACTTTGATGTTAAGTTCTAAAGGGTATTTAACGTTTGCATCAACAATTTCAATCCTGACTTTCCAAGAAATCATTTCTGTGTTTTTTTTTTATTATTATTTCCTTTTTGGATACTACATCAATTTGTTATCCATGATTGTTTCTTGTGCAAGCAGCAGTTGCGTGTTGTGCCTTCACAGAATATTCGATCGATATTGCCTCTCTTTTGGCTATTTTTCTCTTTGATCTGCCGGGCGAAAAATCCAAAATCCGGTTTCTGTTTTGCATAGTTAAGGACTTATTTTGAGAAGGATAATATTGCAACCAAGAATCTCATTTTGGGATGAAGAGAATCATAGTTCTTGTGTTTTTTAAGCGAATCTTATATGTTTTGATGGGATGGTGATCAAATGCAGGTTTTCTTAGTCTGGAATCTGGATGTTTTTCCCTTCAAATAGTCCTGGTTTTTACTCATTTTCTCATGATTAGGTTAGATTTCAGTTCTTCACCACATTCTTCTATCTAACTTAACTGAGAGCTCAGGTGGGTTCGCATTATGACAGTAGACTTAAATCGCATAATTAACTACACTGGTGAACTGTATCGCTTATAAAAACAACAGCAAGGCAACTAATGGCATTCAAGATTAATAACAAAATCACGAACTATACCAATATTATTGGCTCTGTAACAGCAAGGCAACTAATGACATTCAAGATAAATAACAAAATCACGAACTATACCAATATTATTAACTCCTCAGAGCCAAGCCCAGCTTCAGAGTACAGAACAATGTGTTCCTACTTCTTAGTATATATACAAATGGGGAGGGGGTTTGGGTGGAGTACAACACAAAATAGTTTCTTTTCTGCAGTATCTTATTACCTTTTTTTTGTTCTTTTTTTCTTTCTGAGATTAAGATGCAAGTGGAAAAAAAATCCAGAACCAAAAAAAAACCACTTGCATACTAAATCTCATTTGTAAAACTCAAATAGATAGACTTAAAACAATAGTTAAGCTGGTGATCATGAGCTTCATGGAGAGTTTTTTGGTCATGGCAATGGAAAAGCCCTGATTCTGCCTCCACTACGGGCTCTGTCGCACCGCCGAAGTAAATAGAAGGGTTATTCCCTTTAGAACCAGAAACACCAGGACATCCAATCTGCTTTGGCTACAGCTAATTCAAGCCACAGCAAGAATCTCATAGTACAACACATACTTTCTGCACCAGCGGACACTTGATCCAACAACGTTTACTTACTACCCAGCCAGCCTGATTCAAGACTCTGATAAATGTAGACAGCATTCTGAGCAAATATTATCCAAACAAAACGTCTCTTCATATTCGCTATCACTGATGCACCTACCACACTGCACGCAACGGGGAATGCAGATAGCACATGCCCTGCAAACTGCTGCAGCCTTTGCCTCTTGATCTTTCACTTGGCAGGAGACAGATGGACAATCAAAGACCAACCTATACTTATCACATCTAGGGCAAACTTCAATGTCGATAGCACGATCATCGTCACATGAGACATATATCTTTCCCCTAAGGAAGAAATGTGGCTTGTGATAGTTTCCTTTTTTGTGGTGCTTGTCTGCACCCAATAACACCTTCAAATCTTCAAAATGATCGTGTGTTACACCAGAAAGACCCCCAATCCGAAGGTACCTTATTGGCTGAGAACCATTCTCAGACGCGAAGTCTTTTAAGCTAGTAACAAGCCCCTCGATACTCAATCGGGTACATCCAGGAACACATAACTGAAGAAAGCCACCAAAAAGAAAGAAAGATAAAGATAATTAGAAGGATTTTACAAACATGGTCACCAAAAAGGTAAGGAAAAATACAAGCTTAAGGATGAACACAACATTCCATATCAAACAATAGGAAAGCAAATAAAATAAGCCTTCAACATTAATTTTCCATCAAAACAATCACTAATAGGCAATAGACCACGTAACTTGACTGATAACTATAAAATCCTTTCCACAAAGCGCTCTTGACATCAAATGGATTTATTCAGTGTCTACATGTTTCAGTGAAGTATAGCTAAAGCTTTCCTTAAAACAAAAAAGGTTCTTTGACAACCTCAAATAAACAAATGTATGGTTCACAAACAAATGTAGTACTTCCGAAAAATCATTCACAAACAAGCAACATTAGTGTATCCGGGTTTTGAGAAATTTGAATTCACTGTAGAGAGATGAGAATTAGAGACTTGACTCTCATTTTTACATTTATCAATGTTGTTTACTTGATCCTCGCTCTTTCTGCCACATTAATTATTAACAATGATGATTCTACACTGAAAACATTGATCCACATAGCTAAAAATCTAACATCCAGAGTACATGGATGTCTCAAAATTTCTATTCCTACTAACCAGCCTCATCTGTCATTCTTGAGCATCTTCACTATCATCCTTGGCACTTTAAATTTAATCAACTCACATGCTAATCTGGGATCCCCTATAATCTATAATCTGAAATATCCACACCTCAGATTCTAAGTCCTACCACCTTCATGTCGCATCTTCATTCCTACTATAGTCTCATTCTTCTCTCTCTCTCCCCCAAAAAAAAATCTTTCATTCTAATTTACATTTAGTCACTTAACACCCCATCAGTTAAATTTTTGTATTTCCAATTCCTTATTGATCGTATTTAAAACCACAGAGCATAGGATACAAAAAAGAAGATATTTCTGGAAGCGAATTGTAAAAAGGGTAAAAGAATCCCAACCTTGTTCAGCCGGGGATTGGATTGAAGAACGCGCCTGATGCCGGAATCAGTGATCCTAGGACACTCCACCAAGCTCAGGCAATGCAAGTTACCATGTGCCCGACTGGTCAATTCCACAAGTGCCTCATCCGTTATCCTCTCATTCAGAGGCTGCTCCTCAATGTGAATATCCCTCCATAGCAGTGGATCCGTCTTAACCGTATTATACAACGATTTACAAACCATTCCCACATTCAGCAAATCCTTCACTCCAAGATAACCCAACGCAAAAAAAAATGCTTCATGAGGGGGACCACCCCACCACCACCACCACCACCACCACCACCATAACCCTTCTCCTCCACCGCCGCTTCCGCCACGGCTGGTGTCGCTGCAAAGATTGTAGTTTGCCCCTTCTTCTTGTTAACATCCTCGCCGGCGGGTTTATCGACGTTCTTCCAATTGGATTGGAAGTCAAACCCTAAAGAGTAGTTGTTGTTCCATACAACGCTGAAACCGGCAAAGAGGCCGTAGTCTTGGTTATTTTTCTTCAGCCGATAACCACCAAAATCTTCCATTACCTCCAGATGATCCTCAAGCCAGCCGCTGATGGCCGTGAAAGTAGTCTGTATATCCATTCCGAACGGATCCGAAGGCAAAAGGTCGATAATATCCCGTCGGGAGCTGCAGCCGCCATCGATCCCGACAGCCCCGCCGCCGACCCTCTTGTCAAATTCAGCCTGACATTTGTGAGCTGGGAAAAGCGGCCTGTGGGAATAATTCAGAGCCATATTTCTTCAATTTCCTCTTCGAACTCTGCCTACACCTACAATCTTCTTCCCGTCCTAATCTAAATTCTTTTTTTTCTTTTTTTTTTGTACTTTTTCAATTTTTTTTTTTGGGTGGGATAGATGTAATGGTATCTAAACCAATTCAAAAATCTGGGATCAAGAATCAACGGGAAAAAAAAACCCTCAATTTTGATGACAAAATAAAAGGATGCACCAAATCTCACAGAGTTTTCGAGTATGTTTGAGCCCTAATTGTAAATTTTCCCTAAAACATTTAATTTTAAAAAAAAACTACTAACTATTTAGCTAATTAGCTAATCGAGAATGAACGGAACAAATCAAAAAATAAGTGGGAAAAAAAGGGGGAAAATTAATGGGAAAAGAAAAAACCCAAAAAAAAAAAAAAAAAAATCTGGGAGGTAGGAGGAGGAGACGAGGAGGAAGAGGGGAAAAGGGGGAAAAGGAAACCTAAATGGAAGGAATAATAAAGGAGAAAAAAAAAGAAATTAAATTGGAATGCGGGGCCCAGCGAAATAGGAGTTGGCGAGGGAGATCAACGCAGGTGACACGTGTAGGGTTGAGAACAGTTTTGCGATTTCAGCGGTAAAAGTCGTGGCGGGAATGAAATTTCTGACCACGCGGAATTTGGGTTGGGTTGGTTTTTTGTTTTGTTTTTTTTTTTTTTCTTTTTTTGGGTGGGGATTTTTCTTTTTCTTCTCCTCGATTGATTCTTCATCCCTCCTTATGATCATTTTTAGCTATTGTGATTGGTTGCGTACAGTTACCGTTAGTCAAAATGTACTGGATTGGTTTCGTGAGTGAATACATAGTGAATACATAGTAACAATACATAGAATGCGATACGTAATTGCGAGCGAATATATTTATTTTAGTTATTTAACCTCGTACTTTTTATACAATATAAAATTATAAATATTTGAAAATTCCAAAACTCACTCTCCCTATTTATTGTCATTTTCACATATAAAACATTATGCCAATGTAAAACATAAAACCAAAAATTGTACAAAATTGATGTGATATTTTTTTTTCCTTTCTTTATATATAAAGATGGACGTACTAGTCAAACATTTACTCCAACCTAATAGAGTACGAATTTATCAAACCTTTTAATAATGCAAATACAAAGATAGATGTTTCTATTAGAGTGTAAATTCATGAAAGCTTTGATAAATGATGCTATCCATTCAATAAATTCAATGTAGAAATGAATCCAGATGGTAAGATGAAAACACATATGATCATGAGTTCATTCTGCAAAAAGAAAAAAAAAAAATCAAAAATCAAACGTTGAATCCAAGTTGGTTTGACTTACCTGGTTACAATGTTGGAGTTAAACTCTAAAACTAGAGGAGGAGGGTAATGGCCCTAATCCTAATGGGATGTGACTTGTGAGCGAGGGCACTGTTGTTTTTTGAATTTGAGAATTTGAAAACCACGCGGAAAAGAAACCCAGGTGGGTAGCTTCATTGGTTGGACAATTTACACATCACGTAAAAAAAAAAAATTCCACTCATTTTATTTTATTAATACTACTAGTTTGGAAACTTGTCCAGCAAGAATTGTTGACTTTTGAAAATTTATTATGCATTCTATTATTATTTTTTGTTTGTAAATACCAAATACTCCGAGTAATATCCCGTAAGAGAGGATGGGTGCAGAATCGAACAAATTGACATTGTCTATCCGGTGATGATGACATACACAATCAATTTAATCATAGTACTAACGTCTGTTTACCAACCCTCCAGCACCCACTATAATTCTAGTGTAAGGGTGCTTCCGCCAAAAAATTTTCCAAAACAATACGTGGACAAAAATAATTTTTTTCTATATTTGATGATCAAAATTAGTTGTTTTGGATTTGCCAAATCTGAATCTATTCATTTGACAAATTCAAATCTATCCAATAGAATTTATTCATCACATAGTTGTAATACTAAATGCTTGGGCCGAGCGGATGCTCGGGCGGCCCCCTCTATATCAATATTGTGTTAATAGATAAATGAAGAGCTAATTTGAAAAAAAGTAAAAGAGTTTATATATTTTTTTGATATGATTTGCTCTGGGCACATATTCGGGGCATCTTTATTTTAAGTCAGTTAAATGACCATAATAATTAAATTTCAAAAATTTACTAAAAAACAATACAAATATAAAAACTCAATGTGGCACAAAATTAGTAATAAAAAAAATTCGTAATTCAATTAATATAGATTGCCCAGGGGCTGATTATTCTTAAACAATAAGCGTAAGCACAGAACCAACAACCTAAAAAGATGACTCAATCTATTCTTGAAGCAACCCAAATAGGTCAATTACTATTGCAGAAAGCAAGTCAAAACACTCACAAACCAACACTTTAATATACATCTAGAAACATCACATAAAAATTCTGATTAAACTAACTTCCAAATTTCACCATTATCTTGGAATAATATGCTACATTAAAAGAACACCAGAAAACTACTTTAAGATTAACTTCAAGCATTAACCAAGCATAATGGATCAAAAAAATAGTTGCTTTGTTACATCAAGTGAATTGGTATCCAATGCATAAAGAGTATGAGTTGTGCCTCCTTGATTCATATTTGGCAAATTATGAATTGGAATCATGAAAAAATAAAAAAACTTCAGAATGTGCATACATACGCCAAACCATAACCACTATTTTTAGAATTTGAAGAAAATCCAATTGCGATTTTTTTTCTTTATTTTTGAGAGAGAAAGTGAATGTCGTTTGAAGGAGTGTTCATCCATTGTATATGATCAACACCTTGAGTAGCTAATTCATCTTCAGTAGTATCCTATTTTCCTGTTCACAAAAGATTAAAAGAAAACAAAACGGAAGAATAAGAAGAGAAAGCAACCAACTTTGCCATGTCAAAATTCATTCCACTGTTAGTAATTTATCCAAATTCATCAGAGTAACAGCAACAACAGACCACATATACAAAATCTATTCATTCAATCTAATCATTGGATCCCATAAACAAAAACGTATATGAATTTTAGATTTTTTTTGCCTTTAATTGTTATACCAGAATAACTTGAATACATCACTTTAATTGATAATCAAACACAATCCGTTATAATAAAAGACAGGTAACATTGATGGAGGCTACTACCTGGAAATATTTTAAATCCAACCTAGGTGTGATGTTAGCGGCGTTTTTGTCGGTCCTCGTCCAGATTCAGTAAGGAATTTGCCAATTCTGCCTTGCTTCTTGGCCAGCCCCTCGATCATGAAACTCTTGTGACGACATCTATGATTGCTTCTGCTGTCCTCTCAGCGGACACACTGGACAAAACAGATTTCATACAATGATGCGACCTAAATAACAATGAAGTGGAAGGATAACTGAGAGTGATTTTTGGGATTAGATGTGAAATTCAAATGCCAGATTTGAAGGCAAATTATTGCCATCAAATGTAGTAAATCGGCATATTTTACATATGTATATAACTCTTTGTAGATCTAGAATTTAAGTTTCTTATTTGGATTGATTTAACAGAGAAAAGAGAGAGAGAGAGAGGGGGGGGGGGAGGGGGAGAAAGAGAGAATGATTCCATAACCATGATGCTAAAAAATAGCCCGTTATTTTGCTGTATACTCCAATAGTCCCAGACAAAGAGAATTATTATCTCAAAAAAATTAATATACTCCATTATTCCCAAATCTCAAATCAAGAATGATCTAAATGGAAAAAAAAACACTCATATAAACACACAAATCGTATTATGAAAGCAATCGAACAAAGAAATAGTTGGAGGCACTCACCAATTCCAAAAATTCTTGCCCTCTGAAACTGATCGAATGCCAAAGATAAAAGAACCATCTTCTACTGTTGCAATTTGATATTGAAGAACGACCAAATCATCAAGTTTATCTTTTCGAAGGATGCAATCTCATCATTGATTTTGTCCTCCACCGTCGTAAGAGAACCGTAATTGAGAGGAGAAATCAAATCGGCGGCAGACAACAAACCAACACCAGCAATAACACTAATAAAAGGAGACAGTGAACTTTAGCAACAAACAGCAGTAACAGCAGCCAAAAAGAAAATCAACGGCTAACAGCAGCAAACCGAACGAAACAATCAAAGCCAAAGAAGAAGCAGAAGAACAACAAATTGATCGAGGATGAGAGCCGACAAAGAAGAAGAAGACCGAAAATGATGATGTTTTTGGTATTTGATCGTGAAATAAAAAATGGGGGTTTTGAAACACACAGAACTAAGCATCCATGGCATTCATTTACAAAATAAAAAAAACCAAAAGAGGAGAAGGGTAGGGGTCACGAACCTGAAAATTCCTCCATCTGTACTCCCCCGCCGGTAATGATGAACCCAGAACGTGTAGGGGTCGGAGCCAAATATGAGAGGAGGAATCAAGAACAGAGAGCATATCGGATTCTTTATTATTTTAAAAATTGAATTTGATTATTGGAGCTCCCCCCACATTTAATTGCTACATTGTCCTCAATGTAGTCTATTGTACTCCCACAAAAAGAAATAACCTAGGAGCTAAACCAACATCTTAATGTGTGAGTACAGTAAGAGCATCCACATATTTAAATTCAATTTACTCAAATTTAATCCCCACAAAGCAACTACACATGTAAGTTCAACTTTAACAAAGCTTAAAGCAAATAGTTAAATTGAACTCCAGACCCAAATCACCAATCATGCAAAGAAATCATTCAAATCAAGAAAATAATGGAACGTTTTCTAAGCCCAGTAGTATTAAAAGTTCCAGCACCAATTCAACACAAATAAACTTCAAACTAACCCAATCACCCATTAAAGCAGCAATAAAAATGATACTTCTAAACATATACAGAAGAACATAGTTTCGAACTTCCCTGAAAAATGTTCTTCGGAATTGGATCACTGAAACTGCTATAATGTAGGTGTAGGCCATCTACAACACCAACAATTAAGAGATCAGCGCATGTGCATGTTGAAGTGGTCTGATGA